CCAAAAAAATTAGTAACAACAAATCTGCATCCTTTTGCTATAACAACATTTTTCCTATAAATTTTCTCAAAATTTCAAAATTTCACTAAATTTCGGCAGTTTCTTATACTTTGCGCAAAAATTAATTCAAAACCAAAACTGAAAAATCAGGTCTCAAGAAGAGGTCATTTGTCAGAACTGCCTGTTCTATAACTGAAAACAAGTTAGTAGGCATTTTGTTTTCATTTACAATTCAATCACTCCCGTCAACATCTTTACAAACAGGTTTGACAGCCAAGTACAGGAAAAATTACTTTGATCATTTTTTTTCAGATTTTTTAACCTTTCAATGAACCACATGTGAAAGTGAGTAACAAGACATTTGGTAATTGTCCTATCCATATAACAATTCATACATTTGCATTTGATGCTAATTTTTTTTTCAAACTTCCATGTGAAAATTCAAACAAATGAGATGTCCCATCAGATCTTAACTTCAACTTCAAGAGCAAACACTGCTATCAAAATTTGAATAAAATAACTCTGAAATCTGATTAAGGTTTATTTCATTGTATCAACAATGTATGATAAAATGCCTAATAATCTGCAAACTTTTTGAAACTAGCCCCAGTTCTCATGGACAGGTTGCCAAATTTGCATGAGTCCAAGAACAGTCTTAACTAAAGCCTTTTCATGACCATATACAGCAATCCTGAAGTGTGCCCATTCAGATTTTGCAAATATGCAAATCCAGGGAAAACTTTCAACCAATCAATGGCTTACATATGAACTCCTCAGTCCTCACCAATAACAATTCCTTTGTAGAGCCGAGAGACCAAGTCTGTAGTGCTGGTTTCCAATTCGTTGACAACATTCAATTGAGCTCCTTCAGTAATGACATTAGGATAGGGAGCTAGCTGCAAGTGGAAGGATCTTTCACAAAACAGAAATTTAAAAAAAAGGTTCACTCTGTTGACCCGTAGAAACTTGTGTAAAAAATATCTCATCAGTACACTTTGCAATTTGGTATAAACTTAATCAATTTTGCTATTACATTGTTTCATTTCTATCCTCGTTTTAACCATCTTTCAGATATTAGCCTTACATTTTCTTTTTCTTTTTGCCCCCAAAATCAATTATCATTATGTAATGAAGCACATTATTAAAGCTAAAAGGGACACTGAAATATTTCCCCCGTATTTGTTACTTGTCATGGTTTTGCTTTCTATAATTAGATGTTTGCTAATTAAAGAGGTTCAAAAGGCTAGACAAATTAAAGCTGTCCTCTTTAGCGAAACATGTTAACTTCTTTCCTAACAGATGGTAAATAAGATGAGTTTCATATTTGGTATTTATAGTCAAATTTAATTCCATAATTTTCATTTCAATCTACCAAAACTAATTATCCTACATCACTAAAACTATAACTTGCTCCAAAAATTTGATTTTAAACTTGTGCCAGTCCTACAAATTGTTTTATACCTGGGAAAGGCAGTTTTTTTTTTGGAAAGGCACTTTCGTTAAAGCACTGCGAAGGACCTACCTTTCAAATGCAGCGATTTCCCAGTTGATAACAACACCATCATGGGATGACTGTTGGATGCAGTTTCTTTGTTGTACAGCAAGAGGACCAAGGTCGTAGTTTAGAGGTTCAAAATGGTGTATGAATGTACTCAAGGGCATTTCTGTATTGAAAGGAAATATTGTTTGGATTTTTTGTGGAAAATGTTGCTTAAATATTTTCGAAAGTGTGAATGCCTAGATACAAGCCCTACTGCTTACTTGCAATCATTTAAATAAAAAATAGACTTTTTTTAAGGCTGCTTTCTTCTCCTAATTAAAAACAGGGTGAAAGGATTATAGGGCCAAAAAAAAACAATAATAGGCCTAGTTCTGCTAACGGTTATCCTACCTAACCTCTTTTGACAGCCTCTACCCTAATTTATGTTTGGGAAAATGAGGAAAAAACCCTGAAATCATCAATAATTACCTTTTACCCTTGACTAGTCCGAGTATAAACTTGGACCCCCAAACTTATCGCCTTTTTAACATTCGGACATGGTCTGGCTACTATCGCCAGATGCATGTCCGAATGTTAAAAGGCGTTAACTTGGGTCCAAGTTACTCGGACTAACTCTTGACTAAATGCCCCCCAAAAACTGTCCTACCTACTAGCCCCACTAGTGTGGCCGTCGGTATGCTGCGCTGAACCTAAGGCCACACACCGTGGTACCGCGCGCTACTGAGGACGAAGTTTTCATAAAATTCAGGGCAGTTTCTTACATTCTCAGTTCTTAATTTCTTATGGTTGTATTCTATGATGTCTCACCAATCACTTCTGGAATGCTAAGGTCTAATGATGTTCCATTTTCCGAGATATTCTTCAATCTTTCTGGAGTCCATATGCACTCCATATGTTTCCTGTACCATGCATTTATCGTCAGGGGGCCACGCGCACCGATCTCTATTCAGGATCTACGGCACAGGAAACAGCCGTCGCATTTGCAACTCGCGCCCTCGCGCGCTCGACAAGCAATTTGCATAAACGCGACGTCACAGCATGAGGTCATCTCTTGTCACATTCAAAATGGCTGCCACCACCAGACGTTTCACGAGTGCATATGGGCTCCAGAAAGATTGAAGAATATCTCAGAAAATGGAACATCATTAGACCTAAGCATCCAGAAGTGATAGGTGAGACATCATAGAATACAACCATAAGAAAGTAAGAAACTGAGAATGTAAGAAACTGCCCTGAATTTTATGAAAACTTCGTCCTCAGTAGCGCGCGGTACCACGGTGTGTGTGGCCTTAGGTTCAGCGCAGCATACCGACGGCCACACTAGTGGGGCTATCCTACCTACCTACCCTATCTTCAAGTTCAAAGGCCATGTAATCTGAAGCATAACTTTGGGGGGGGGGGAAGCTTATGATAAACTGTGATGAACATTTGAAGACGGAAAAATCAGTTTGAAAAAAAAAAATGATGGACATTTTTAATTGGAAAACGTTTGTGTTGTCGCCACTAACCATCTTTTTCTTTCACTTCGCAGTAAGCATGGTAAGCCTGACGAAGCGAGATGAGTAACAAAATCAGGACACCAAAATGAAGATTCGGCTCCATGATTCACCCGTGCGGCAGTTGCTTTAGGTCGTGGATGTCTCGCCGTGCGCTGCCTGCCTGGCTTTGCTCGTTACAACAAACATGCGGTTGTTTTGCCTCAATACCCCGTCCAACAGTCGCAGCTGGCCACACGAAAACCCTCCTCACGTGCATGCTGTATGTTACATTTTGGGTTCCCCTTTTATTACATCAAAGATTTAAAACAAGTTTGAGGTCATGCTGCACAACTTGCAGGTTGAAACTTGTCTGATCAGCTGCAGCTGGCGTAAACAAAACAAGAAGTGAGTACGCATGCGCGGAAAAGTTTCTTTTCCCATCAGCCATTGCGCCAAGTCGAACTTTTTTCAGAGTTGCTAAAACTTTTGGCGCAACATCTCGAAAAGGGGGAACTATTTCTAAGAAATTCCTATATATTGGTGGGTCAGGGTATGGGTAGGGTTAGAAAATATCTCGTACATTGTAGTTTCGAACTCTTTTTTCATTGTTTTTGGCAATGCATGTTCTTGTTGCTAAATAACAATTTTAAAAAAGCTGACTTGAATTTTTTAGCGTTGTCTTGGAACTGACACGCTGCAGATTTTTGGATAACAAAAGTCATGACTATGGTACATTTCAAATTAAGTTGAAATTTTAAGTACCAAAAAAACAAACAAACACATATACACTGAAACAAAGGAAATTGTACCCAACAATACAATCATATAGGCCCTTCTGGGAAATTAAAATTATTGTGCAAGTACCACTGAGAATAAAATCCATTTGACAATATAACTTCTCACAGAAATATTATAAGCTTCCAAATGAAAATCAAAGAGTACTGCACAAAGTTATCCGACCCCGACTGAAAACTGTACATGGAAATTTCAGAATTTGTTTTTACAATGATACAAATTTACATACAACATTCCATCGAAAGAAATATAATAGTTGTCTTGAAATGCTTGAATATACTTCTTCTTTTTTAGCCAGTTCATGTATTAGAGAGCACTCGGTGCATTACTTCGTTTTCTTTCTTTCTATTCTCAATAACCTTACACAAAACACGCAAATCTATATATACTGTACATAGAAGGGATATTGTAGTGAGTCATTCAAAATTATATAGGCTGGTGCTGACGATTCTGTGACTAAATGTATTGATGGATCTGTGAGAGTCAGGGAGCCAGACACAGAAAAAGAATAAATTTTGTTTCACCCTTAATTGCTCTATTAAAACAACAACAAAACTTTGTATTTAAACTTTCTCAACTAAGTACTCTTTTTGGAGTCTTTTCTGATTGGACTTTTCTTCCTTCCAATGCACTCCATACGAAGAATGTATGTCAAGCCGAGTATTAAAACACAACACTCAAAGAGCACAGATTAATTAAACAATCCATTACATGTGAATTGAAGCAACTACTTAGATGGCATTTATACAGACGTGTTAAATTTCAAATTACTTATTGAAGATCTTTTAATGCTCCTGAAGTACCACATTTTCAATACTACCATTTCCATGGAATGTAGAACTGTACAGAAAGACTGTTATAAAACAAACATGCACAGCACAAGTACACAAGACCAATACCCTTTCTTCTTTCAACATGTTCAAAACAAAATGGCAGCACCGAAGCTATATATAGGAAAACGTTCGTAGAAAGTGGATACAGTAGTTTAGCAAGAAATACAGTTTGCATAAATGGTGCATATATTGATAATCATTTTTGTTTCGTTTTCGATAAAGTTTTTCCTTCGAATCATCTTAAGTTTTTTCTTCGCCGTTTTATTCCTTGATATCAGGTCCAGTACTTAAGCTCCAGATTTCAGACTTGTTTGAAGTGTTACACCGGCAAGAACGGAATTTTGGAGAATAAAACAACATGCATCTGCGATGCTTACATTTACTACTTTACAGTCAGGAGACTTTTTCTGCAAATTAAGAGTTATTCAGTATTTTGTTTTTCTAGTCAATTTTTAATATACATGTAGACACTAACTTATACAAAGGGTCATTTTCTGTACAAAACTACCAAATAAAATCACAAATTTTAACCTCATACCTAGTGACAACATGAAATGCAAATTAAAATTAAAAAATTGGGTGAGCAATTGAATTTCTAAATTACACTTCAAAAAACAAAAGTGACGGAATTATTTCAATAATAACAATGATGTAGATTGAAAAACATGATACCTTTCCATATATATTTAGGTATCAGCTCGTCTGGGACTTATTCATCAAAAGTGAGCTCAACATGTTAACATGAAGTTCTTGAATGTGGTCTTGAAGACTACATTAGAATCATTGTCATAATGTAACCCTCTAGCACAAAGCCAGTTGCTTGGACCAATTTTTGAAAACTGGCATTTAGGGCTCATTGAAAATGATGTGATGCAGTCAAGCTAAATGAGTCGTTTGTCTGGAATTTATAATTTGGAGATTCAGGCCAAAATAGGGCCACTTCATCAAATGTCTTGGTGTTCCCACTTCTATAATCTGTGAACTAAAGATGGTACATGAACCAGCATGCAGTTTTCACAGCAGTAATGCTGAGATTGTGCTCTTTTCAAATCTGTAATAAAAAATTTTGACCAGGTTCGACAAACGACTCATTTAGCTTGATCGCATCACATATATATTGAATAAGCTTTCCAATGATGTATAGAATATGGGGATCAGACAAAATCTGACAGCTATATTTGCACAGCTATGGTAAATGTTTTACGTCACAAACACTGGCAATTAAATAAACCAAGCCTATCACATGAAAGGAAACAAGGAAACGTGCAGTCCTTAAACCTTTGCATGCAAATTGCATCTGTAAGGATAAGAGGCTCAAGCTATGTCCATATTGATGTGAAGCACGCAAACCGCTGTTGAAATGAGATAACATTCCTATTTAAGAAATTATGTCTTTTAAGTTTGTCATTTTGCTAGGTCCGTTAACATTTTTAATTTGAGGATCCTTTTCTTTAGAGCAAAGCAGACAACAATTGCTTGGCAATACAGGAAATTACAAGCGTTTTTTTAAACGTTACTTTTGTTATTTAAGCTTTTAATTAATCATCCGTGCTGTAGTATATTTTACCCCTAAATAGATGTGCATACATGTACATGTATAAAAAATAACTTAGTGATAAGCACAACAAAAGCTTATTACCATTTCCTGCCATTTGTTATTTAAAATATCTTTTTTTTCCCATCTACTTCCAAAGGATCCTTTTAAATTGTTATGCCAGAAAAGAAAACGGGCAAATGAAAAGACACCTCATTCTTTTCATTTTTGTTATCCTAAAAAAAAAAGAAGAAGACATTTGTTGAGGTAACTATCTATTGTTGTGATCTCAAATTAGTTGTCTTCAGGTTCCATTGCAGTTGAACAGCCACCTGTGGTCTAAAAATCAAATCAGGAAACAAAAAAACGTAAGGGGTATAATCTTCCGTTGAGTTAGGTCATTCAAAAAGTCACCAACCAATGGGGATTATCTAACAAGGCAGCTAAAATAATACAATATTCCAAGTTCCAGTTAAAATTACACAAAAACTCTTGATTTTTCATATATGTTTAAAGGTAGAATGGACCATTTGTCATTTGTACATTTTTTGTTTTAAGCAACAAAAGTGCTGGTTAGAATATTTCTGTTGAGTTGGAAGGTCATTCAAAAAGTCATCAACCAATTGGGATTATTTAAAGGAGCACTAGGTCCTGAAATCCCCGAAAATTTCATGTTTTGGATTGCTTACTTAGCCTATTTCAAACATCTGGTTGAAAGGAAACCAACCTTATGTCTTACCGTTCCTGAGAAAAAAACGGGAAAAAAAACCTGCTTGTTTACATCGGACACGACGGAGTACGAATACGTTTTTCGTGTCGTTCTCAGTGTACAATATACACGTTGTGTGTCTCGGGAACAGCGGTGACCAATCACCAATGCAAAAAAGTGGTTTCTTCAACGTCCGCAAAAGGCAAACACTTTACGAATGAAATCACAACTTGCATCCAAACAGCTCGAATTTATGGGGTCGCAAAAAGTGGACCCCGAAATTCGTTCTCACACGCATAATATAGGAATAGCACAAAAACGCCCAGTTTTGAAATGTTATTTCCGATTAACATCATCTCGTTCAAAGCGCGTTTTGTAGCCCAATTGGGCTGTTCCAGGACCCAGTGTCCCTTTAACAAGGCACCTGAAAAAATACAATATAGACCTTATTCTATTCACAAGGGAGCCATTTTCGATTGTGTTCCCTGAATCTGATTTATACATTGCAAACCGTTGAATGTGATGGTGCCAGACTATTTTATGACTGGCGTGCATTCCTAGCTTCGCTTTCATTTTTTTTTAAATGTGGCTTAAAACAAAAGGGTATGTTTAATCACTAATGTTAAATTATCACGCACGTTTACGTGAAAAACCTCACCATGTATGTCTTTCATGCATGCCTTTCATGTATGTGAGCAATGGCATTTGGCATCGCGCCATCGATTTACCACAAAGTGGAAAGAAATTCAGGCAAAATGGGCCCGCAATAAACAATGAAATGCATGCCAAATTGACCTCTGAAACATTCTTTATATGTTTTTTTCACTTTTTCAAAATCATGTGAATTTAGAAAAGTGGCTTTTGGTATGCCTCCAACTCAGACTCAACCAATTTTTTTTGACATCAAATTATAAATACATTGATTACTTCAAAGAATTTATTAAACACCAAGAAATGTAAATATTTTGTTTTCAAAAATATGAACATTAATGGAATAATTTGTACACATTTACGTACTGGACTTCACTAAAACATAGTCGTCCACAGACACAACACATGTTATAAAGAACAAAAAAAAAATGGATGTCTGTAAATCATCCAGAATACTGCCGTCAGTGCTGTGATATTATTGATCTTCTGTTGGATAAAAACCTTGCAGGTTGTTTATTTTTACTTGATCACTAAATAAAGCAGAGACCACCTGTGATGGAATGGCCTGATATGATCCGATAGCTCAAGGGTTGCAAGTTCCATTAAAAGAGTCCATTTATTTCTGTCTTATTACAGAAAAACTTTGATTGTAAGTACGAAAACAACATACATGGGCCTGGTTACATCACCCCTCTGCCTTGCCCCTCTACTTTGCCACCAGGCAGAGTTGAATATATCAAGCAGTTTTTTTAAATCTGAATACAAAAAAAAAACACTAACAAAACAAAAATAAACGCCCCCCCACAACCCCAAAACTGGCCCCCCCCCAAAAAAAACCCTACACCCCCACAAAACAAAGATATCCCATCCTTAACAAAAACGAGAACAAACAAAACATCAATAAACAAAACATCATTAAAAGGAAAACGTACAACAACAACAAAACCCCACCCACCCAAAAAAATGAACAATCTTGAGGAAAATGAAACCTACCAGAGGTGTTCGTTCCCCATACTTGCTCCAAAATGTCACCTTGGCTTCGTGCTGTTTTCCCGACCGCTGATCAAATGACAAACAGCTATCGAATGGCGGTGAATAGAGATGGAGACTACATGCAGTGTCTGTGTGGCTCATGTTCTCAACTCGGTGTAGGCCATGGCTATCTGCAAGCGGAATGTTAAATTCACAACAGATCGGTTTCATTTTTATCACAGGTCATTTTGGAATGCTGGCACACAAGGAAATGCCCGCTGAGAAATTTGGAGAAATTTCTCTTTAAAATTACGTCCCCAAGTTAATAGTTATGCTAGCAAAATACTGGAAAAATTATTGTGGACTCAACTTCGAGAGTCTAATATTGCATTATTGTGCGTATTTCAAACAAAAACAACTTCAGCTGTAATTGACCTATTGCCATTTGCGAATTAGCCACACCCCTTAGACAACCCTATGGAGTGTCGTACACTAAGTTTTGGTCGTCTCAGATTTTGCGCGTTCCGCGTCCATTTGTATTTCATGAAATTGGACAATATTAATTTGCGATTCTACCACGATAGGTCAATTGTACACGGTACAACAAATATTTTTTTAAGGGCCAGTAATTCAAAGTCCTGCCGCTTACAAAACAATCACTTGTATATTAATAATAGGATTTCCATATAATTTGTTAAATGTGAATCTTATAATAATATTAAATTTCAATGCAGGGCAATAAATAAACTTCAATAGGAATGTACAATTCAAAGTACAGTTTGAAAATATTTAATCATAATGATTGGCAAGTTGTTTTTTTAACTGTCGGCCTTCGCTGTTTGTACCGTGTCAGCTTCAAGTTGTATCCCTATTTGTATATCCAAGCATTTGGATCGTACATGTATTGCTTGTGGTTTTACTCTTTTAAACCCCAACAAGTGTATTGTGCAGCTTTCAGTTTCAGTCATACACATGAGCACCATCGTGTATCCTCTTTCTGGTCAAACATGTAGCACACGAGAGATGTTGATGACACTGTGACATTGTTTTTGTCAACATATGACCAGTCATTTCCTAGTTCAGTAATTTCTGCAAACAGGGAAATCTTCCAAATTCTTGGAAACATGCCAACCATAAAATAAAGACTGATTCCCCCCCAATGCTGAAACACAATTGCTCACATTTATATTTTGCATGTACCTAACCGGTCCCGCCTTTATATAGGGCATTCAAGTACATGTACATGTAAGACCCCTAAAACCCTGCCCACTGTGCTTGATTGTGATTCAGTACCTTGACATCTACGCACACAAGCAGAGCATTGTGATTCTATACAATTCATATAATCTAGGTGTACTTCTCGGTACAAAAAGTACAACAAACCTAAACCAGGTAAATGTGTGCATTCTTCCTTCACTCTTCGACAAGAGCGTCTGCACAACAGTAACACCTTTTTTTCAAAATCTAAATTTAACAGAAAAATACAATTTTTAACCCTATTGAAGTTCAAAATTGGTTTCAGCAGTTTCATTAGCATTTTTTCGGTACTCACGATAGATTGTTTAGTATCAATTCAATATAGACCTTTGTGATTTTTTTTCCCGATTTGAAAAACAAAAAAACTTGAAAGATATAAACCATGCATACATATTTAATGTAGGAAAAAACAATATGTGAGTCTATTCCTACATCTTTTCGCCAAAATCTATCAACTTTTGATGGATTTAGTACTGAGAAAGGCACACCGACGTGCGTGCACAAGCGTGTGTGACATGCGTGCTCGCAGGATGCGCGTATGACATGCGCAGCTGGAACACGCAGCGTAGCATTGCAACAGCACACGTGTTAGTATCCATGTGCGCAGTGTTCGTGGTATACTGGATTTTGGAGATTTCAGTAAGTTCTACAGACCCCCCCCCCCCAAAAAGCTTTGGCAGTAAGGGTCAAAGGTTATCGGCCAAGCATTATATAATCTGGCAACGCACCATTGATATATGCCACCTGATTCCTTGTATAGTCATTGACTCCACGAGGCGGCATTTCGTGTCGTTTCTCCGATGGAGAAGGCCAGTTGAAGAGGGTCTCCCGCAGTGAACCGTCTAAGACTTTCATGAAGCAGTGCGAGTCTGAATGACTGTGGATGGAACTGCAATAAAGAAAACATAATTCACACGATAAAACACAATTCATAATTCTTTTTGGTACCGGTGTAGCATGAATTTAGGTTTTATGAAAAATACGGACTCATTGGTGGTACTGCACATGCTCATGCATAGATAATTAGGAGAGGGACCAGTCACGTGAGAGGGTTTAACCAACGACAGGGAAAAAGAGTCCGAGTTTCATACGAGTCCGATTTTCATATGACACCGGCGCTATCATCAAAGTTGTAAGCCATTGGAAAATAAATGATATAGGCCTAAGGTTCAAAAATTAATTTTATCAGCTTACAATTTATAGAAAAATAAATGGATACTTTTCATATCACAGAATATTGTAAATTTTACAAGATACGATTGTGTGCTACTTACATGTGCATGTAGTGCCTGAGCACTCTATGGTTTTATTGATTCTTCAGTTAATAAACACAATGTAAGACAATGTAATACAGTTGCTATGGGTTAAAATAGATGTCACAAAACTATAACTCACCTCCCCATACTCTCTCCCCAGCACAGGACCATAAGGTTAAACTTGCCATTGCCACTATCCACCAGATTTCTTGTGTATCTAGAGAAGAGAAGACAAAGAAAAAAATAATGTGAGATCAAAAATGAAGTTTCATGTATAATGCAACCTGACTTACAATGGACAGTCACATTTAACATTTATATAGCATTAAGGTCCCTCCCCCCCCCCCCCAAAAAAATTGTGTGTTTATGGTAACGTGCTGAAAATTATACAGGTACATGTACAGTAGGTAGGTAAGGAAATAACTTTATTTTGTAACTATTTTAAATGTTACCAATCACTGCTTAACAGTTAGTAGAAAAGTTGTGCTTACTATAGCAGAAAGTCGTGCTGAGCTTAAGCACTATTTCATGGCGTGGATGTGCTAACGGTTACGCGTGCCTGGGGATTTCTATTGTTACGTTATTGATTTAAGCAACTTTTTACTCCGGTTTTGCTTTGCTTACTGCTTAAAGTCTCTATGAAATGGACAGTGGCTCTGTTACCACAAAATCGGCTGTTAAGCAGCGCTATGAAATTGGGCCCGGTACTTCGTCAAATCGGTTTTATTTGTCTAATTAACAAATAAACGACACATTAAAAAAACTTGTATAGGGAAGACTTCTAATTTTCAAATACATGTATGCTATTTCTTAAATGTTTGGCCAATGTGGCAATAAAAGTTTGAGGTTGACACTTTGGCCACAAAAAATCCAGGTAAGTAGGGTCACTGTCAACACAATTTTTTGGCCTCAAACAAAATTTCAAGATAATCAACTCTATTTGCCAAAAAAAACACCAAAAAAACAACTTGTACAAGCATACATGTTCACATTGTATACTGTTCTCTGTCATCAAACAACAATCGCGTAAACATTACTACACTTTGAACTGTTGTCTTAAGTATGTCAAACACTCAAACTATTGACATCTTTGCATACACAAATAGTTGGTCTATTGTTGAACAGAGAGGCCCCAACAAGTCAGACAAATTATGATAACAGGGGATAATGACATCCTTGTGAAGGCTATAAAATAACGTACTTGTTCGTCTGTTAAGTACTAAATTAGGGAATAAACATGATAAAGTTGATTGATAAGTCTATTTGCTTTAAGTTTTACTCATAATTTCCAATCGTACGACAAAACGTTATCTACTTTGATGCAGATTCGGAAACACCGATTGTAATTTATTTTTCAATTGTGCAGTGCTACGTACCAAAACGATTAAAGATGAGTCAAGTCAGTCAAGTTTTTGGTGTCCATTAAAAATTACACGTAATCGTAAAGAGTTTTTAAACGGCTACAGTTACGTATTTTACAAGATAACATTACGAGTCCGAGAACCAGTCGGTTGACAACTGAAGCATGCACAACAGTCATCAAGATAGCTATTAATTATTAAAATATTAGTAACAGCACTGATTCAATCATCACAATTTCGAAAGAAATATTCGACTTTGATCCCAAAATGTATTACATGGGAAAGAAACCTTGGCCTAAGTAAAATTTAACTTAGTAATACTAGTACTAGTAATATATAATACATGTATTATGTGGCTTAAATGTTGCAACCAGACGCCACTTTTCTCTTCATAAATCATTTCAATGAAGGTCAGTCATTGCAAAAATTATGATAAGACATGAATCTGGGACTGAAAAAAATATTTCCAATTAGGAAATAGGGCCTAGGCCCCTACTTAGAAAATTTTCTTGACTCTCCATAGACTTTGTGCACAACCGCTGATGTGGCGTCAAGTTGCAACATTTTTTCCTATTATGTTAGTAATACTAATTAGTATTTTAAAACGGAATTTTTACCTGTATTCGTCATAATGTGCAAAGCATTCCCAATCCCCTTCCCGGCTTTCGTATCTTTCCATCACATCTTGCACTTCTTCGATGTTTACTTTCTCCTCCGAGAAAAGAACGTGAAGACTGTCGATCAGTTCTTGGATATTCTGTGGAGACTTGTTATATGTTAACTGCCTCCCTTCCATCCTTGTGCTCGTTTCTACCTTCTCGATGTCGTACAATGTATTTATTGGCGCATAAAACTTAAAACTAAAGGTACAAAAATCCAAATTTATTTCCTTCCTATTTTACTAGACACCGGTGCTGTGATTACGTGCGCAACGTGTCTGCGTAATAGCGCTGCAGACATGCTGTGCAAATATCGCTATGTGTACGTGTATACGTACGATTTGCAATAATTTTGCATAATCTATACCTTTGACGAATGGTACCCCGATACCTTTAAACTACTTACAGACACTATTGATAAAAGTGTATCCGACTATTGGCGCGCTGCCAACGTACGCTCGTTACTCCCATTGGTCAATCACGGGGGTGTGTCGCACGCAAGATATAATGCATATGCATAAACTGACTCATCGATCGACTGTATTCTGATGACAGACATGTGAGGGCGCAATTAAAAAATATTGCGTTCCTGAATCGGAAGTCTTCGGAATTATTATTGAAGAATAAATCATTCCAATCAGACCAATGTAATGTTGGTAAGTAGAGATGGTTTCTAGGGTCATCTGCTTAGATGCTCGGGACGATGTGAGCTTCCAGGGAACAAAATAAATTCGACCCTTGTCATTATTTTGGTGATGCTTCTGTGACGTCACTAGCACTTTAAGTTCAACTGAAAAGGGCACGCCTTTCTTTCTTTTTTAAAGGGCACTTCTTCAGTAAAAAGGGCACTTGCTAACAAAAGAAGGGCACTCTTTACAAATATTTTTTGGTGGAGTGGAGGTAAGGCCAAAAAAAAAAGTCTCCGGTTTCTGGTATGCGCGCGCGTCGCCGTAGCCATGCGCGTCGGCAAAATGAAAAAGGTTTTTTTTCAATACAAGATGATGTCTCAAAACCGCCAAACTCACTGGTTTGACTGGAATCCTGCTGCTGCACAATTGTAACGTGTTTTTAGATGGGGCTATGATCGAGAATAAGCTTTATGTGGCCTCTCTGGACTCCCATATATTTGCACTAAGTTAAGTCGGGCACCATTTGCAGTCATCAGCCGACATTTGAAGCCAAAAAAAAAAAAAACCAGGTAAAAAAAAAAAAAAGCCGCGTCGCCGCACCACTTTTGGGGCAAGCTCCATACCAGAAACCGGAGACTTTTTTTTTTGGCCTAAGCGCTGGTGGAAAAAGGGCATTTGAATGGAAAAGGAAAGTAGTAACAAAATATTGGGGTGGGTAAATACCCCCTTACCCCTCCCCCTCCCCTGCTGGCTACGCCTATGCGTTTCTATTAATAAAGTATCAGAGGAAAGGTTTTAAATACATTAACAAACTTGAGTTTAACATTTAATACACGTTATCATAAGTTGACAGAAATGTGTGTGATTTCCATGATTTTTTGTCCATAAAAAGTTTACCACTTAACTCACAGAGTAACCAATAGGGTATATTCCTGCATGTCACCAGATTTGTAAGGGTAAATAGTTTTTGTAAGGGCAAACGTTTTGCAAAAGTGATTGATCTTTTGAAGTGCATCTTCCGATGGAAAACGGATCAGCCACATGTTTTTTATTTTAATTAACTGACCATGGCACGAACACCGTGACACCGAGACTTTATTTTAGACCGCTATGCTTTCAACAGTTTGTTTTTAAAGGAAAATCAATGTATTTCGAGCTGTCGTGCCCTATCCAAATTGGACAAAAATAGCATTGTTAAATAGCGCCATGCCTGGCCACGCCATGTGTCGAGTACGAAGAAACAGCAACTGTCTACATAAAGGGCGCCACCATAATGGTAGGAATTTGCTGCCATGCAGTTAACTCACTTTAGTATAACCCCAGTGAACGGTATAACTCATCACACTTAGAAAACATCTGATAAATAAAAAAAAAACGACTTCACAAATGTAACTTTAAAAAAGATACATTAAATAATTTGATTTACGATAGCCACGTCGTGCACCTCGGATTATTTTCAATGGGTCATCATTAACGACACTAGATTTTATTAAAACACAGCAGAAATACGGGGGGGGGGGGAGGGGGGACACTTTAAACAAATTCATTACATCCAGAAGAAATTTCCTTGCTGTTGTGGTAAATTAGTTGTCTTCAGGTTTTACCGCAGCTGATCTGCCTGTGGCCGAAAAAAAAGACAACTAAACATTAAAAAGCCAGATTTTCGCTCAAAGTCAAAAGTGAAAAGGGAACATTTTCCATACATTATACAATATTGACCTTGGAAAAAATATACCATTGGTGTTCGTATCCCAACTTCAACCCAACTTGCTCCAGAATATCACGGCCTTAATTGACTTCGTTCTCTTTCCCCGATCGTCGGTCGAATGTCAAACAAGTGTCATAGAGTGGCAAGTAGAGTTGCAGACTTAAAGCAGTCTCCGCGTGACTCATTAGTCCACACGGTGCAACCCAATGCTGTCTGATGAACAAGGAATGATTAAAAAAAAATCGACAAATTTGGACCAAATCTTCTTTTTTTTTTTTAAACTTGCTCACCCCATTTTCTTCAACATACTCGATTTTTTTTCTCCAGAGGAAATTTTCTTATTTTGAGCGTCTGAAACCCTTTCAAAAATTTAAGCTAGTATTCTATGTTGTTTTTGCGACTCTTACGCACAGAAACAAACAATATCCAACATGAAATTAAAGCAATACAATTATTCCCATGCGTGCAAGGGCGGATCCTAAGCTTTGGCTAAAGGGAGGGGTAGCTTTCAAGAAGGAGGGGGATCAACAGGCATGTGCTGTGCTACTTTTTTGCAGGAGTATAGGCGGATTTTTTTTTTAGCGGGGGTTCAATGTCTCATTTTATTAGTGAATAACGTTTGTATTGTTAGAAAAAAAAACAATTAAAAGTGTACTTTTGGGGGTGAAACCAGAAAATACCGGATATGAAAAACATTGCGAGGGACATGGTCGAGTGAACAGCCACTTTACCGCTGAAGTATTTCTTTTGTTTAGTCGTGAACTTGGGCTTTTCTCTGATTGAGACGGCCAGTTGAAGAGGATCTCTCGCAGTGAACTGTCTAAGACTTTCAGAAATGAGAAACTGAAATTGAACACAGAAAAAGAAGGTCGTTTTAATTCACGATAGAATTCTCAAAGTTTCGTAAAAATATGAACTCATTTCACGGTATTTTTTTTACGGCAATAAGGAAGAAAACCTTTCAATTGAAAGCAATGATTAACAATAAATTTATCAGATGAAAACTTTTAAAATGTAGAAGGCCTGACTTCTGGACCCTGCCAGGATGTTTTTAAAGGCATATATAGGATCATTTTGATAACGCCATTCAAATTCCAAAGATGTTAAAAACCCAACCTGTTGAAGTTGCAGCTTAACTATATACATTTTTCGAGAAAATAGTTTTAAAAAAAAATTAAAAAGAGGAGGTTGACGTCACCCAATTCGTTAGAGGTCGATGACTTGCAAAATAACATTTTGCCAACCTTGAAAAATAGAAACCAACTCTGAAACTCCATTGAAAAAGAGATTATTTACAAGTTTATGGCATGTAGCTTAACCTTATGGCACAGCTAAATCCGATCAATCAGTAATCCATATCCATTTAATCGGAATGAAACATGTTTTTGTTTTCGAGTCTCTGCAAGCCTGAAATTATAGTGTCACTTTTTCGACGGATATCCTGCATCATATCGACGCGTCATCTGTCAGAAAAGTGCAATGATAACTTCGGCTACGACTGTTCTAACACTTTGAAGCCATAGCCATAAAATACCCGATTTATCCCGCAGGGCCTTTGGTAATATTTTGGGAGGCAAGGAACCAGTCCTACCTACGATTCTTCACGTCACATAGTCCGTGCTCGGGTACCAGGCATTAGAGGATGCATGATGATTGGCCGGCAATGGCACAATGCATGAATCTGCTTCATTATGTTCATGTACAATACACGCGGAAGTAATTGTGAAAATAACATTTATTTTGCAATGTATATCTGATTCCCTGTCTGCTTTCAACGCCGAGGAAGAAGAAAGGAACAAACATGGTGGGTGAGCAAGTAAATTAAAGTACTGTTGTTTTTATCAGTGAAAATTGTCGAGTTGACGAGTTGTCATTTGGACGATTGAACGGCCTTCCTTCCTCATTTTTTGCATGCATATTGCACATGGTGGTAAGACATGTAAGATCATGGAGGAAGATTAATTTGGTAATCGTGTAGTGTAGACTTTAGGGTAATCCTTACTTTTAGGACCCCGTTCCTATATAGGAAGGGAAGACTCACCAAAACAGTTGACTAAAAATTGACATTATGATATTTCTTGGTACATCTGAACAATTGGCAACGACACCTTCTTAAATATCAGCAGGTTTTATTTTGTGGAAAGAGGGCAGGGCTTTTTGCCTTTGATTTATAAGGGAAATTCAGGGGTAAAAGACAACGATGACAACCACTGAACCAGAAAACAGACTCAAAAACCAAGATGGCAAACGTGAAAGCTCGATGCAATGAAAGCTCGATGCTGATTGGCTGATAAAAAATGAACATCTTTTAAATTTTTTTAGCAGCCAATCAGCATCGGGCTTTCATTAAATAGGTCTTTCACGCGCGCGAGAACTTCAACATGCACGTCTGACTCCGAAAAAAGGTAGGAAAGTCACATTTTCTTTGAAAGTGCTTTCAAAACTACAACTAACATGAATTTATATGAAGACAAAAGACTGCTTTAGCCTGCAAAAGTCACTTTGGTACTGGACAGTCATCTGCAAAAGTCAGTTTTGAACAGAACTCGTAAAAAATAGAGGTGTCCTAAAAGTAAGGATTACCGACTTTAGGACACCTCTTGGAAAGTTTTCCATACTAGGCCTCCAGTCCCTCCACTTGTTTTCAATGAAGTTTCAAGCGCCAAAAAGTTGCATCCTTTATTGTTAATGTTATTTCCTCCACTTTCCCTCCTCTACTCTCACCCCCTCTCCTTTCACCTTTCCTAATTAGGCCTAATCAGTCACTTACTTCATCGAGATTCAAACCTCCGACGCTTCTTTGAAACATAACTACCACTAGGCTGCGCACGATTGGCTTGTTGCAATAATCAATCTGTGGACGTATTTAAAGTATCCATTGAAATAAGACTAATTTATTAGTAATGAATATTAAAAAAACTAAATATTCATGAGAAATTAAATATTCATAATGACATAATGCCACGACGTATTGCACTATCAATCATTGGCCGGCACATGCGTGGTCGATGTCATGCATAATGCGACGTACTGCTAGACTTCCAGACACTTCAATCACTATGGCCGGCGCCTGCAACTTAGTTCTGTTCTGCACGACGTGTGCATCCAAAATGTGCTCTAAAAACACATTTTTCCTGACAATTATTCGCATTGCCAGAGCTTCCTGGATTGGTCTTAGGTGAAATCACAAGGTGAAGTGAAAATTGATGTGTTTGGCTGGAGATAAAGGGGAGGCCTAGTATGGACAACTTTCCCTATAGCCAAATGTTTAGGCTAGGTATTCAGTCCCAAAACTTAAAGTGTATTTTTGTTCTCTTATAGTTATATGGAAACGGGGTTCTAAACTACTCGATTGCCATTAATTTGGCCTAATTCTGCATTTGATTATCCTGCTAACTTGGTGGAAAAATATTACTGCGGCACGATTCGAAAGAATGCAACATTGTGACACCACCTACATCAACAAAATCATAAGTAGTAGAGGTCACAACAAGAAATCATATAAACAACAATGTAGGCTGGATATGTACAAAAATACAGTTTTTCACACCGAGTCGTTGACATATGGAACAGTCTGCGGGAGGAAGTGGTCCACGCTCCATCTATCATTTCGATTCCGAAGAAGAAACTGAAATCTAGATTGTACTTAAAAATAACAAGAATGTTTTGATTAAAAACATTGGAAAGATTTCCATATATACGAAGTTCACTAATTTTCCTCTATATTGACTAACAAGCCCCAAGATAGCAATTTCATGTCATCAAAGTCAATTTGAGCAGTGAGAAAATACAAGCATTTTCTTAGAAAACACTTAGAATTTTTCAGTCCAATCTCATAGGGTTTGTACACAGGGTGTTGAGTGAACTTCGTATATATATGGAAATCTTTCCAAAACATTAAAAGTAAAGAAAACTAAAAAAAAAATTTAGCAGCGCGGCAGCGGTTTCGAATTGGGATCCCTTGCACAGTAGTCTAATGTGTAACCAACCGAACTACTGAAGCATTCTGGTTGGACGGGTAGTTATAAATGTGATATAGTTTCGCAATGGTGATTTTGCAATACCACAATCGTCACACTTCAGTGTACCCCTAGAACTATGGGGCTCCGGAATAGTTCTAGGGGTAACTTCAGTAATGGTCAATACATGTGATATTAATTGTGATGTGATCAACTCAAGCTACATGAGTCGTTTGTCGGGAATTTTCATTTGGAGATACAGGCCAAAATAGGGCCACTTCATCACATCACTTTATCATCACATCTCTTGGTATTCCAACTTCCATAATTTTTTAACTAAAGATGGAATCAGCATGCAGTTTTCACAGCAGTTATGCTGAGATTGTGCTCTTTTGAAATCTGTGATAAAAATTGTTTTGACCGGGGTCGACAAACGACTCATTTAGCTTGATCGCATCACAATTATGTTTCTCTTAGTAATAGTCTTACTCTTATTCTACCTTTTTTTATATGCAGATTCATTTGAATTGGAAATGAAAGCAGACAGCGACATCTGTGACATTTAGCAGTACTTGGCATAAAGATGATAAAGTGCAACAGCGAATTCGCAAAGTAACTACATGTACTTGCTCAACAAGGAAACAATCAGTCGATAAGGAAACTACCAAAGAATTCTCTCGATACTTTCGCCAACAAGGAAATGTTCTTTGAGTGAAGTCAAAGCAAGGAATATTTGATAAAGTGTATTTTTTTAACTATGAAAGAAAAACATTGTACCATCTCTATGTAGGCTATCCATCGCATGGTCCTACAGTCAACTTTTCATTTGTCACAAATTAAAAATTCACGCAATTAATAAACAGCTGCAACATCTGCCGCAGTCAACGGTTGCATGAGAGACTGGTTTGAGCCAAGATGGCGGATTTAGCAACTGTTGTCAATCTATGGTGGACCCTGCTGCTGTTGCATGTCTGTATGCATTCTGTTGTCGTCCGAGCTGAGATACTTCGGCTGCCACTGCACACCGCCGTTCGTCGGGTCAACGATGGGGTCAGGTCAAGGGTCGGCGAGAGGTCACACAATGTCTTGAGGAGATCTGCTCCTCGAGATAACATCGGCGGTAAACCAGGCTTGGGGTTCTATGTAGAGATCGAACTGGGGACGCCAAAGCAAAAGGTCAGTATTCCACCATAATCACTCAGATTTTGCAAAATCCTCTCTAGCACGCAACCGTTACGGATGATGGAATAGTGCTTTGAAAGGTTACCACAACTTTTCTGCTATTTAAGCAGCGTAATGATATTGGCCACTAATACATTCAGTAAGACATTCTTGCTAAGCATTATTATTTTCTGTATTTACATGAACATTTAATTGTTTCTCCTGGAAAACCTTCCTTAATTAATCTTTCACAATCCATCAATTTTGACCAAAACCCTCTTTGACACTCTTTGTTCTGCAATTCAGAAATCAAGTCGTGTAAGATTTTTAAAAAATACGTATCTTGGCTAGATTTTTAAAATCAGTTATTAAAAAAATTTTTTTAAAAATTGTAAGAGGTATACATGTAGATATTTTTCTAGTTTACAAAAAATACAAAAAACCAAAGCCTTGATTCATATACATGTAGTGCAACTTTACAACTGCATTTCAGTTTTTGATGAAAATGTCAAAGATTTTACTCTGTACTCCGACACCACAAGTGCATTGCTTCAATTGTGGCTTCATGATGTCCTGTTGCTTATACTGAACTTTTTGGGAAGAACCTGTATGTATTTTTGCACACTTTCAAACATATGTTTTAGCCTCTGAAGAAGAACTTGCTAAGTTCGCAACGTCAGGCCACATTAATTTTTAGATTTATATATTTCAGGTCCACCCAGTCAGTAAGCAGTTTGCAGCAGTCTTACTTTTTTCACTTTCAAACATAATGAATACATACATGTACATGCTGCAACAAAATTATTACACAATAGACACAGCCACCCATCATTGAACATAAACTGCATTATGCTGGCAGGCTTGTACAATATTGATCAGCACCATGTCTGAGCTGTTGATAATTTGGCCGAAGGTGATTAATTGCACAGCGAAATCATTCACTGTTGCTTAGGGATCCCTTGACGATGGGTTGCCTAGCAACAGGTATACTGTTGGATACACGCAGCCAAGGGCGGATCCAGAACACAATTTTTGGGGGGGCCAAAAAAATTGTTGGCCCCCCAAAAAAGTGGTTAAAAAAAAATTACGGCGTGGGGTTCGGGTCCCGCTTAAGGGCCCCAAATTTTTTTTGGATTCTAGATGCTCTGTGGTGCGATCTGAGGCAATTTCTGACCACTTTAACCAATTTTTTTTGAGGAAAAGATGATGGTGTACTCATTGCCTGCCTTTATTGCGATGTCACATCAAAACAAAAACAAAATTGGTTTCGTTTTTGGGGCGGGGGGGGGGGGGGGCCATGGCCCCCTTTGGCCCCTCCCCCCTGGATCCGCCCTTGCACGCAGCAGGATCATCATTCAATTAAAACTAGGATTGTGAAGTTTAATTGTTTCGACCAGCAATTTAATTTATTATGGATAAATGCAGGCATGTTTGAATTTTTTTTTCATAAAGGGATGGGCTCAAACAATTTGAGAGAAAAGACATGAGAGATTCGTAAATGTTGGCATACGTGTCAATTCGTACAAAATGTACATGGAGATGTGACACGTTCATTGGAAGATCACCAGTTTGTGCTTAAGCCTTCCTGTACATACAGGATGCTTACAGGGATGTACATGTAGGCATATGCAGTAAGCCAAAATTTCTTGCTAACCCCAAATTGAGTTTTTTGCTAACGTTACCAACTATTTGTTGTTTAATGTATTAAGTAGAAATATTAAAGATGTGACAGTGACAAGATAGCAAGAATTTATCTATTGCCCATCAATTATATTCAGCATCATAAATTCTTCAACCAACTCATAAAACAGCCTGCATATATGCTCTTGCATAAATAATTGCATTGAAATGTATTCAGTAGCTCATATAAACTTACTTATATGTAACTAACATTCAGAATTAGTACAAAATATTCATAATTGTTTTTTCCTTTTGCAGCTCAATGTTCTAGTGGATACAGGCAGCAGTAACTTTGCAGTAGCGGCCTCGCCAAACAGTTTGATCACCAAATATTTTCACAAGGACCAGTGAGTACAGTTTATTCATTAAATTTAACAACTTGATAGTAAACTTTAATATTGAGTTCTTATGTAACAAGTTTACTTGGTGGGGACTTGAACCCAGGTCCTCCGGCTTAATTTTGTAGAAATCTTACCACCATCTCTATGAGATGAGGTTTACGGTTGCATCATGTAAAAATCTCTTTTGTGAGTTTGTGAGGTTCTGGGAAGAACTGGGGAAACTGAAGGCTTTCCCTATCGTCAGCAAAAATGTCAGTCTCCATGCAAACCTTCAAATCTGACCATTGTAGTGATCAACTGACTGGTTCATATTTGACATAAAAGCATGTTCCGCATTTTAGATTTTAAATTTAATTCAAATGACAAGTGAAATGTGACAATGCATGTTGTGTTTTGTAAACTGTTAAGTCGGAAAAGAATCAGTGAATTGGACACCCCAAAACAATTATTAAAACCCTAACCCCCTAGGCCCTCTGGCTAGGATGCAACCTCAATCCTGCAAAATCCTCCAGTTGCCACCAAGAAAAATTTGGATTTAGCCTCAGTCCTTCAAAATCATCTGTTATTTCTTGAATTTAATCTGTGGGGGTGACCACTGCCTCAATCCTCCAAAATCCTCTGCCAATTACTGCTATGGTTTGAGGCAGTGCGAATGGCATTTAGAAGCAGTGCGGACGAAATACGAGAAAAACACAGGGCTGATTTATGCATGACTGAACATAACCAATGCAGGATATGGCCTACTGGCTTGACGTAATGCATCCTCCACAAAAAAAGCGATACATCTTTGCCATTCATCCTCAATCCTCTAAAATCATCCAAAACTGGCAGGAGGATTTTGGAGGATTGAGGAGGGTTAGGGTTAAAGTGCCTCCCTTCTACTTTTTAAAAAATTTAATTGTGCAATTCTATGTAATTTCACATGGGGAAATTATCATGCCATCATTCTGCACTGCTATCAGGCATGGCTTGTCATTTGTGACCTTGACCCTTGTGCTTTTGTTTTATCAGGTCACAAACTTACCGAGACCTGAACAGGAAGGTTTACGTCCCCTACACCCAGGGGGAATGGAGGGGAGAACTGGGGGAAGACGTCGCTACGATACCCACCTCACATCCCAACATCTCCGTCACGGTCAATGTCGTCAGCATCACCTACTCGGAGGAGTTCTTCCTCAATGAATCCAACTGGCAAGGGATTCTGGGATTGGCCTACGCTGATATAGCACGGGTACGTACTGTCTTGCCTTGAGACCTGACCACATAACACAAGTGTACACAGAGTGTGCCCAAAAAGCAACATCTAGAAAACAAGTAATTGAAACTGTTTAATGTTTTTTTCTTCAATGAAATTATATATTACATTAAAGCCTTTTTACCCCATTCCATTTCGGTCCCTAGATCCAGAATACAATCTGTTAAGTGAAAGGGTGTACATTTTACCTGGGCCACTCTCACCTGTGATGTCACCAACTTCAGTGCCTATTCAATGCCTTTTTTAATGCTTAACCGAGATTCAGCATGTCTATCATTTCAAGGAAAAATCTACCTTAAACAACCCTAACCCTCTAGGGTATGTTTGCTAGAACCCTGCCAAACATGACAACATGCAACACTTGACTTTGGGACAAGCCTGCCAGATGTAAAATATTGTGAAGTCTCACTAAACGACGTCTCCCAATTTTGTATAGTAAGCCATGCATCATGTTTTTAGAAGTCTCTGCCACAGAAAAGCTTTGTGATGTAAATTTTCTTTTTGTTTTGTTCTTAGCCGGACGATACGGTCGAGCCATTCTTTGCCTCGTTAGTGGATCAGACGGACGTAGCCAACATCTTCACTCTCCAACTCTGCGGAGTCCCCGAAAATGTGGTGCATACTGGAACGACTGACGTAACAGGCACAATGGTAAGCAATTGTTGCCAGGCTTCAAATTATGCTCAAAATTATTTGAAGACTTTTGATGCCCATTAACCCTAATGTTCCTGAATCCATCAAAATCCACACCCCTATTTTTGGAGGATTTCGGCGGATTCAGGATACCTCCATATTGAAAGGTTCGGGGATTTTAATGGATTCAGGACAATAAACCTAGCGGTACTGCAGGACTTTGATGGATTCAGGATACCTCCGTATTGAGCAGTTGGGGGACTGTGATGGATTCAGGATCTTGACTTTGGCTATATGGTTGGTGTGTATGAGGTATATGCACTACACTGGTGGATTCTGATGGACTCACTGGTGGATTCTGATGGATTCTGATGGACTCAGGACACCAACTTTTTTTGTCATGACAACATTGGTGGATTTTGGCGGATTCAGGATACTTTCTAGTAAAAGTGCTCAAGGGGTTAGGGTTTATAAGATAAGGAAAGCCTCCAATCAAATTTCATTGTCGAGAAATAAATAGTAAAGATGTGAAGTACTTAGAGCAGACTCTACTCCTCATATTGATTAACCCTAACCGCCCTCAATCCTTCAAAATCCTCTTTGCCAAAGTGGAGGAATTTGGAGGATTGAGGTTACGTGGCAAAAGTGCGTTACTGATTTCGTAGGATACACTTTGTCAAGGTCTTGGGCCGGACCTTGTGTTGTTTTTGCTCAGCCACGCAAAATCCTCCGTACTGCTCCAGGATGTCACTGGCCAAGCCTCAACATACTGACAGTCACTGCTGCAGGATTTTGCAGGATTCAGGCAGTGGTCACCCCTCCACGGACCATATTCAAGAAAAAATGGAGGAATTTGCAGGATTGAGGCTATATATGCTGTTTTTTCATGAGGCCACTTGGAGGATTTTGCAGGATTGAGGCTACATCCTAGCAAAAAGGCCTAGGGAGTTAGGGTTAATCAATCAGTTTTAACATAGTAAAGTCCGTCCCGAGCCCACATGGCTCATCAGGCCGGTGTGAGATGACTGAGATATTTCTATTCCCCCCCCGGATGGGATGCCAGTCCATCGCAGGTTACTCCCCAGCTAATGCCCTGGGTGGAGAGAGGCTAAGTGGGGGTGAAGTGGCTTGCCCAATGACACAACATATGGCCAGCTGCTGGATTCGAACCCCCGACCCTCTGATCATGAGTCACAAACCCTAACCACCAAGCGTAGAAATGTTCACTGCTCCTACAGCTTGCTGTTACAAAGATTTGGCCTCTTTACTCAAAATTAGCTGTTGTGACTTCTTATTGATTTTGTTATGTGTTGGATCGGAAATAGTTTTTGTTGAGGAATTTTCATGGAGATTGTTTTGTATTTTGTTGCCAGACAATTGGTGGAATCGACCCTGGCCTGTACACTGGTAAAATGTGGTATACACCAATCCGCAACGACTGGTATTACGAGGTGATCATTATGGACATAGAGGTCGGGGACCAGTCACTGGGCATGGATTGTAAGGAGGTAAGATGACAAAGGAAATCTTGGGACATTTTCCAAATCTTGGCTTAACTCCAGCTTTGGCCACATCCCTAGCTTCAGAATTATTTGAAAGACTTTATGCCAAAACCAAATGGGAAAACATTCAGCTTCGGCCTCATATTATAGTATTCAACATTCACAAAGCAAACAAATTGATTTTATTGAACTGTAGTTCCCCAAGTCAGGGGCCAGAAAACTCCTAAAGCCAAACTGGAAAGAGCCGAAGTTTGCAAAACCCCATGAAAAAAATAATGTTATTCTGGTACCTCTATGTATATGCATAATGTGCATTAGTCTGGTACCATTATGTTTAAAGGTAATATACAACATTTGCAAACATCAAAAAACAAAACGACCAAATTATTATGAAATATGTACCTTACTTGAACGTAAGTGAATAATAGTCTCAAGCATCCTGTGAAATCATGGCATCTGGTGTGCTGCCATTTAAAAAAAAAAAAGTGGAATTTTTATTCAATTTCCACCATTGTTGAAAAAAAACCTGACTTTTTTTTCAAATACTGCACCAATTTACCACATTTAGTTAATCCACATTTTGTTTGCAACTGGTTACACATCCGTGACTGGGTGCAAACCAGCTAGTCTGGTTTCCTGACCTGGCAATTCTCTGAGGTCTATAAAGTGCTCTGCTTTGTCTGAAGTAGGGTCCAGGAAACAGACTACAAGAACATCATTTTTTTTCTTGGTTTTCCAGCAGCTATAAATAAACAAACTGTAAACGGGTCAGTGTCACAACTTTTCCTGTAAATTATTGACCCTCAAATCCATCCATTTCTGAAAAAAATCACCTTTAAAGGCAGTTGTGTTTGTCTAAGTATAGCTGCGGATGTTTAATAGCCGTCACCAGTTTCTCAAATAATATTTTTCCTGTGAACTTATCATTTATATACCCACCACTAAAAAACCCCAAAATCTTGTTTGTGGATGATTGCCCAAGTGATATGATCCTGAACATTTTTCAGATCATTCACAATAGAAAAATTAACATCATGACACAAACTCCAGTTCTCGGCCCTCAACTCCTTTTTGTTTATGAGAGAGTCCTTCATGAAAATACTCTGATGTCCTCTATTCCCGTAGTATAACTTTGATAAGACCATCGTTGACAGCGGCACGACCAACCTTCGGTTGCCAGCCCGGGTTTTTGACAAGCTGACATCACTCATCTATACTGCACTTACTAAGGTAAGAATCCTGATGTGATCCGACCCTTTCTTTTCGCATAGGTAAGAATGCTGATGTGTGAAAAGAACGGGTCGGGTTTGTGTTTCCTACTCTATAGGGTTTGCGCAGGAACGGTTGAGAGCACTGTTTCCGGGTCTGAAAAGATGGTCCTATGGTAAATGCGCTCTTTTTTCATTTTTACCACACACGCTGGAAGTTATGTGTGGACTTCATAGTATGAATGTAGTTAACCATGCTTTGAAGAAAGGTTTGACAACCTTATTACATTTTTTTCAACAGGGCGATTAAAAAAAAAAAAAAAAAAAAATGTCGGGACCATTGTTTTAGTGAAGTTCTGCATGTAGCACTTTCAAAATCTAGGATATGAAAGCCCAATTCATAAGCTTTCTTTTAGTACAAGAATCATTCAAATCAATCATGTACTTTTCAAGTTACGGAGTTTTAAACACAACCACTGTTTGAAAGTTCTGTCCAGGGATCACCAAAAAAAGGTGTCTTGTCAGCAAAACAAAAACAATTCACACGCATCCCTATGTGATTGATTTTCGTTTTGCTGAGAGAACTGAACTGTTTTGTGATCCGTGGACAGAACCTTAAAACGGCGGTTGTGTTTAAAACTTCGTAACTTGAAAAGTACATGAGTGATTTGAATGATTCTTGTACTCAAAGAAAGATTATGAATTGGGCTTTCATATCCTAGAGTTTGAAAGTGCTACACGCAGAACTTTGCTAAAACAATGGTCCCGACATTTGGGTTTCGTCTTTTTTGACTAACCCTTTTTTTTGTTGTTGATAGAAAATGGAAAACGTAACGATACCTACTGACTTTTGGTCTGGAGCCGATATGATATGCAAGGAGGGTACCGTTGAGGAGCCGTGGGTCAAGTTTCCTACCCTGTCCATCATACTCAACGGAACCGAGCCTGGCACAGGATTCAGATTAAGGATATCACCCAAGGTAGGTGGCTTGGACTCCAATGCCAATTTGCATGGCGCTGCTAAGCATGGAATTCTATTTAGCACAGAATTGATTCGCTTAGCAAAAATAGGTTGCCAGCTAACAATCCTAACAAAGTATATTGCTTGTGACTGGTAATGCTGTTTTTTTTTTGTTGAAAACTTGGGATTTGTTTGGGTCCGACTTTTTTCGGCGGCGGATCCGTAATCTAAGTAATTTAGAATAAATGGCCTAAACAGCTGATTCATGCTTAGCACACTAATTTGCTAAGCAGCTTCTTCCAGCTTACTCTTTTCCGAACAGAAGTGGTATCGCTTCAATTTAGAGACACCCCAGAAACATCTGGAGTTGCGGACATTATATTTTTCTTCCTCTGTCTGAAAACCTGACCTTTTTCTTCTTCTTTTTTTGGCAGCAATACTTACGGCATGTTGAAACTAGCAACAAGAAGGAAACATGCTACAAGTTTGGCGTGGCTTCGTCAGATTCAGGTATTCCGATATTTTGAGGCTAAAGTCAAATCCCAAACTGTCTCAATATGTCCTAGACTAACCTGAGCACGTTACCAGTTCTATCACGAAGGCCCCCTTCAATGGCGAAAGCATTGTGCTAGCTATTGTTCAGATAATCCGTCCCGGGGCAGCTGCTTTGTACAATAGCTTGCATAATGGTGTCTCCATTGAAGGGGGCCTCGTGAGTGACCACGTGCCCGGATTCTTGTATACATCTCTCTCAAATGATGTCACTGTCTACAGATTATGTGCATCGGCATTTTGGAAGTCAAATTTTCGTGACGTGCATCGACTGCGCCGCATTTAGAAGAAATTCCGAGCAACGTCAGGGTTCGAAATTAGCGGTAGCCCGCTAGCCAAATGCTAGTCGAAACAGCGGCGGGCTAGTCAAACTTTTCCTTAACAAGCCCGGCTGGCGAGTGAAAAATTATTTGGATACGGCAAAGATGAATGTACAGGAAAAAATAAATCATTAAATTCAGACAGAAAACCCCATCAATTTGTGTCTGATTTCATCAACTGTTTGAAAGGGTTAAATTATTAGATCTGTTAATCAAAATACTCACAAACTTGCCTCAGAATTGAGCCTGAAAATGCGCCATTTTGTATTTGAGATAAGAAAAAAAAATGCGGGCTAGTGAAAATGCCCGCGGGCTAGTTAAGAGTCCGTTTCAGTAGCCCGGCTGGCTAGTGAACAAAAAAGTTAAGGTCGAACCCTGAACGTCTACGTGCATTGATAACATTTTGCATGCTGGGCGCACGCCGCAGACGCACACGCACCGGATGGCGTTGAAAACAATTGTTATTTGCCTACTAAGATGGCGTCCTATGTGAGCGGTCTGTAGAGTGCCTGCTAAGATGGCGTCCTATGTGAGGGGTCTGTAGAGTCAGAGAACGGACACGATGCTGTTGTCTTGATGACCTCTGATGCTTGGTCAGCTTTCACTGAAACATTACACATGCAGGAATAAGCATTACATTTGAGGTGTACGGATACTTGAGAATGCGACCGATCACACCATGTGAAGGTAACTGTCGTCAGCTGCTGGGAGATGCTAGATAAACAAAATGTGTACACAATTTTGTGTTATTTTTTTCACAGGAAGTGTAATTGGTGCGGTGGTCATGGAAGGCTTCTACGTGGTGTTCGATCGGGAAAATCAAACCGTAGGGTTCGCAAAGTCCTCCTGTGCATGTGAGTAGTCTTTGTTTATCTGGCCGATTTTCTGTCAAGTTTGTTATTTTCTCACAATGAATCTAAATGTCAATCCAGTTGAGGAAAATGAGTTGCCTGATGACCTCAGCTTGGACATTTTTATATGAAATAAAAATGGGGCTATTTAGGGTTTGTTTATGAAAACGTGACAAAGTACTCAGGAAGTGTAACAAGTTTTTTACTTTGCCTCAGATTTAACTTTCCAAACAGACACCAATACGTATTATAGATACACATATCAGCTTCTGTAATCCCAACCTCCAGGATGCCATCGTGGTGAAGGCAGAGTTCTTCTCTTCTAATTCTTTGCATGTCTCCCGTTGATTCACATGCATATATTTTAATGACTCTAACAATTGTATCTCCTCAGATGAATTTGAGTTTGCGACTCCGGCCCCAGAAGTTGAAGGACCAATCAGAGAAGGTGAGTTTATAGCTTAACCTTTGACCTTGCCCATAAAGCCTTGATTATTTGTCTCCACTCGTCCCTGTTGCTGCGCAAACTGTGTCACCGATATTATTCAAGTCTATGTCACGAGGCAATTTTCACAGGAAAGTTGAATGGATTTGATGCACTGCAAGCTCATGGAACTGTCGCATAGAACAAAAATATTTAATTCCAACAGCTGGATGAAAATTGTGTAGGAAATTATGCAAATATAATTTGTCTGCCGTTTCCTCTTGGATATTGCCACATTCCAGTCCTCTGTGGAATACTTGACTATTATGAAACAGGCCAGTCATGCGAAACTACCTTGGTAATAAAGCCAAAACGAAATACAGTGTAATGTTCTGCTTCCGGTTGCCCTACCTACCCTATTTTGACAGTCTCTACCATAATTTGTTTATTTGAAAAATGAGGGAAAACCCCCAAAATCATAAATACTACCTATTACCGTTGACTACATGCAGACACCTTCATATGTTGTACACAAAAAAATTGCCAAAAAAGAAAAAATGCCCTACCTACCTACCCTATTTTCAAATGTCATGTAATAGGGAGCAGAACTATTTTTGTCTAGCCATATTGAATAGTCATTTTTATGTTTGCACAAAGCCAATTCACTTTTGCTGGTATTCTTCACCATTGATTAATTACACACCGTACACATTTGGCTATCACATAAATATTTCAACGGGCTAATAAGTAACATGAGATAATTTTTTTCATTGAGATTCATATTTTATAATTCAAATTTTGAAAACCTAATGGCGTCTGCATTCTTTTGTGTAGTGTGACTAAAGAGTGTTGTGAATTTTTTTTTTTAAATTTGATATAGATCATCCGCCATGTGAACTTGCAGTCTGCTCAGTATTTTTTTTCTAGTTTGGCTGTCACAATTGACTGGTTTTCTGAATAGCCACATTTAATACCACAGGGACCCGTCCTGCATGCCTGTCTAACAGCACACATTAATCAATTTGATCACGACTTTTAATAATAATGTATGTCGCTTATACAGGATGGATAAAAAAACCCAAAACCGAGATATTATTGCGTATTTGAACAGAAGTAGGGCACATGTGAATCAAAGGGAGATATCCTTTGTTAGGGTTGAATCTGCTCTTTAAAATGACACCCTGGTCATGGCATTACATTCACGATTGACTGAGCAGTGACCAATGTTATGAAAGGGTCTATTTAGAGAATTGTGGAACTTTTCAATTATGATGTTTGTGGTGTCAGTTGTCACAGAGTGAAAGGCCATGGTTGCCAATCAAGGCAGGTTGGGAAAAAAAGAGATTTCACCATGAAAAGTGGCGCAATTCTCTAAATAGAGCTGGGTTCGAACCCACATACCATGGCATATGGGACGAACAAAACCCCTGGACCACAGCGCTTCACTTTTGGCCAGGTGACCATGGCAGGTTGGTCAGGTGACCATGGTAGGTTGGTCAGGTGATCATGGTAGGTGGTCAGGTGACCATGGTAGGTTGGTCAGGTGACCATGGTAGGTTGGTCAGGTGACCATGGTAGGTTGGTCAGGTGACAATGGTAGGTTGGTCAGGTGACCATGGTAGGTTGGTCAGGTGACCATGGTAGGTGGGTCAGGTGACCATGGTAGGTGGGTCAGGTGACCGTGGTAGGTTGGTCAGGTGACCGTGGTAGGTTAGTCAGGTGGGTAGGGCCTACGGTCAAATCAGGAACGGTCCATTGATCGAGGTTTCCTTTGAGTGTACACTGATCACATGCCTTGATATGGGAAGTGGCTGTAGCCACTACCATAGACGCACGAATAATTTCAGATGAGTTAGTCAGACAGCTTAAAAACGAGCTTGCATTTGCCTAAGGGAGTTCATTAATTGTTTGCTTGTTCATTCTTTCCCTTCTCCAGTGGCCACAGACTGTGGCTATGTGGCGCCGGACAACAACAACCTGGCCCTGACGATTGCGGCTTATGTCTTGGCTGGTCTGTGCGTCTTGTGCCTGACTCCCCTGGCATTCCTGTACGTCTACTACAGGTGCCGTCTGTGTTTTGCCAATACCACCAAAAACGACGACAGCGAATTGCTAGAAGACAGGACGGACTCGTCGGAAACGGATGCGTTGAGGGAGGAAGCCCAGCAGGGTGAACCCCAGCAGGGTCAAGATAGTTAAAAGGTTAAGGGTCATGGAAAAAGGTCACGAATCATGAGAGAAAAGTCAAAAATATACTTCTTGGGTAATGGAGACCGTTGAGCCTTTTGTTAAGCTATGAAGCACAACTATGTGGTTAAGCCCAGCCTCATTCCCAGGGTGTCAAGCAGTATGCTCCCACCACTACCTGCTCTCTCACCCTGGTATTGGATCATTTGCATATCCAGAATTATGTATGCAAATGAGGAATAGTTTGGTGCCTGCCTGTGCTTTACATCAGCATTTATTTTCCCTTGTGGTGTCTGGGGTAAAAACCGAATCAATTCGTTGCGGCTTAATTTACAAAAAACACTCCTTTTTTAAGTTCAAATGTAACAATCTTATCAAGCCAATATGCAGTATCACATTACATGTTAGCATGAGCAAATTGGAAAGGAACGGATTATTTTTGAGAAGGTATGGACGTAATAATTACAATGACCATGAAATACACGTTGGAAATAACAACACCAAGTACACGATATAAATCCATTACTTGCTAATTGCGCTATCGAATCGGGATACAGGAAGCAAGTTCCCATCCCAGGGCTAACTGTTGGAAACGAGGTCGAAAAAATAAAGTAATCCATGGGGGGCGAGATTGAGTGAAGCCAGCAGCCTTGGTGCAACTTGATAAATTTCAGTCTTGAACAGAGAAGGTCTACAGTCTTGAACTAAGACTAGCCTTGGCCATGCCCACTTTGTAACAAGGGATCAGTATCAGCCTTTGATGACAGAATGCGGGTTCATTTAACTCATCTTAACTCGTTTTAGCCCATCTTTGTTGCCAAAATGACAACCGGCTCTGCTCGCTTCATTCATTTTTTTCCCCTTTCTTTTCCCCCGGCTATATCAAGTGAGTGGAGGTTTTCTGAAGATTTATTTTGCAGGTGTTTGGAACTGTTAATTCATCCTCAGTTAAGAGGGAATGTACAACATTTGCTTTTGCTGTAATTTTCAGATATAAATGGATTTTAATGATTAGAATGTTATAGCAAATATTGTTACATTGAATTGTTTCACGTTTTGGGCTTGTAGCTGCTGGAAAAACCAAGAAAACCAATCATGTTCTTGTAGTCTGGCTCCCTGACCCCACTTAAGATGAAACGGAGCAGTTTGTAGACTTTGGGGAATTGTAAGGCCAGAGAATCAGTCTTTCTCCAGTTTTCTCCAACGCTGGTCGGCCGACCAGCGTTAGAAAAATACAATTTTTCTTAAAAACGTCAGCACACCAGGTGCCACGATTTTACAGGATGCTTTAGACTTTCACTCCCATCAATCCAGAAAGGTAGCTCGTGATTATTTGGTCATTTCGTTTTTGAATTTTGCAAATGTTGTATCTTCCCTGTAGGCCCCCAAAAAATAAGTCTCCGGTTTCTGGTATGGAGCTTGCCCAAAAAGTGGTGCGGCGACGCGTTTTTTTTTTTTTTTTACCTGACTTTTTTGCTTCAAATGTCGGCTGATGACTGCAAATGGTGCCCGACTAAACTTAGTGCAAATATATGGGAGTCCAGAGAGGCCACATAAAGCTTATTCTCGATCATAACCCCATCTAAAAACACATTGAAATTGCACAGCAGCAGAATTCCTGTCAAACCAGTGAGTTTGGCGGTTTTGAGACATCATCTTTCATTGAAAAAAAAACTTTTTCATTTTGCCGACGCGCATGGCTACGGCGACGCGCGCGCATACCAGAAACCGGAGACTTTTTTTTTTGGCCTTAGAATGGTATAGCAAATATTGTAACATTGACTTGTTTTTTTTCACGTTTTGGGCTTTTAGCTGCTGGAAAAACCAAGAAAACCATTCATGTTCTTGTAGTCTGGTTCCCTTACCCCACTTAAGATGAAACACAGCAGTTTGTAGACTTTGGGGAATTGTAAGGCCAGAAAATCGGTCTTTCTCCAGTTTTCTCCAACGCTGGTCGGCCGACCAGCGTTGGAAAAATACAATTTTTCTTGAAAACGTCAGCACACCAGGTGCCACGATTTTACAAGATGCTTTAGACTGTCACACCCATCAGTCCAGTTAGGTAGCTCGTGATAATTTGATCGTTTCATTTTTTGAAGTTTGCAAATGTTGTATCTTCCCTTTAACCAACAGTCTTTTTGCAAACTCCTGCACTTGCAAATGAGCTCTTTGTATTTTCTTGAGATGACAATGGTCCACTTTCAGGTGCTCAATTTTCAAAATCGTTATTTTCTGTAATCTTGATTAGAACCGTAACATTTTACTGCAATATTTCATTCGTTATTTTGTTTCTGCTCATTATATATTTTCAAAAAAATGTTATCTTTTACTATAATATTGATGTACATTTTCGTTCTCCTGCAAATAATGTATGTATTTAAAAGGGTTTCATAAAGCTTTTTTTTCTAAGTGAATCATATCGGTTTGTATATGTAGAGATCATGTTCCTAAATTATATACACAAATGTACACAGACAAAATGGCCACAGAATGACCATATGTATGTTTTTACTCATTAAAGTTATGTACATGTATTCTATCTGTATATTTTACTGGGTTCTGCTGGGTTTTTGTGATTTTTTTTGTAGATGATTAAAAAAAATGCCTTTTTATGAAAAGATGAAATTGTAACTGAAATGCCTTACATTTTTTGTGATTGCCGCAATTATGTCTTATTGTGGAAGTTTTAATTTTTAATCAATAGTTCAAGCAATATAGATTTTTAAAAAAATGTTTCATTCTTTGAATAATGTTTTATCAATTTTAGAAACTTTGATTTGTTTTTCTGCATGTAGGCCCACAAGTGATGTGTAAAAATTAGATTGTGAAATGGAAAATGTGTCACACTAAATGTTCTCTAGACTAATACATAAACCCATTTTATTACAAAAAATTATGAAAGGCCACTATGTCAAGAGAAAGATAACTTTCTATACCAAGAAAACTAAACTTACATGTTGGACTTAAAAAATAGTAAAAGCAACATGTCAAATGATGCAAATGATATTTTTACTTGGATATGTTGGAAATGTTTGGAAATAGGATTTCCAAGAGATTGATTTGGGTTGTACGATATTGTATGATAATGTACATGTACATGCATTGCAAAGGTATACAATAAAAACGTGAATACTGAAGGAACGACTTTTTGTCGTGAGAATTTGTGGATAATGCTTAGAAAAGGGTCTGTAAAAATAATTTTTCTTATGATCATATTTTGTGCACTCTGACTCCTCTTAAACTGTATGGAAAACTATTTTCCATCCTTTTTGGTATTACGGACAACTGAGGGCGCTGTTGCTGTGATGTCATTTTAGGAAGACACTGTTCAGTTTGGGAGTTTTCTGTTCAAATTGTGTACCCCAAAATGTGCTTATTGAAAACATCTGTGAGAAAATTTGCCCACTGGCTTACTGCCATGTACGGAGTACTGACAACAACGAATCACCACTGAAAGGAAAATTTAGGACAAGAAAATATCCAAACTAGTGACAACTCTCTGTTCTGAATTGCCATGATTAAACATTGAAGTTATGCCTGATATGACATCACACTTTTGCTCATGAATATGGAAATTCGCATTCGCATAAAAAGCAAAAAAAAAGGCACACAGTACCCTTGAAAATGGCAACACGAAAATCGAAAATCGGGTTAAATGGGACAAAAAGGTGCACTTTCAAGGATTGCATTTGGTGCACTTTCAAGGATTGCATTAGAAAACTAACATTGCATGGGCCCTTTAATGTGTGAAACCATGGTAAGTGTAATTTTTTTGCAAGTAATAAACACTCGCCTGTGATGTAGTAAACTTGCCACCCCTCCCCCTTTCCCCATTGCCCCACCCCCTTCCCTGCACATCCTGAGCTTTTGACGTCACATTTTGGACTACAATAGTAGGCCCACTGATGGTATTTGCTTTCGCTGCCTTTTTGCACCTCCTCGCTAAAACCTGGCCTATCATTCCGTCCCGTGTGCTCATTTTGTTTTCTCTGTAGATTATTGGAAGTGGTGCACACCACTTTGAACTAGGCCTATCAGTTTGCCCTGCAGACCGGCAGAGATGAGAACGTTGGAGCACGGTGACTGAAGTAAGACATCATGATGTATGATTGCATTAGTTGTGTTTTCTTGCTCTATAGGCCTAACGGTTTATGCATACACACGAAATGTGGAACATGAAGTATTTTCAACCGTTGAAGATAATGACAACGCGCTATCCGATCTCTGACCCCCGCCCCCTTCCCGCGCTACCAGAGGTCTTATGTCGGGGTTTGGTCACTTTTTCAATCCCCAGGAAGGGGATATTGGTCACGCATGAATTACCATTGGCGCACTAAATGGACAGACAACCAGTTTAAGTGCGCCCCATCCATGGATGTTGGGAGACTGTCACTTAAATTTCGCACCAGGGTGGGGATTTCGTCTCTTCAAGTGACAATCCAATCCACATCTTGGGTGTGCCAGCCCGGGGGCGGGGAGGGGTGGGGTCACAATATAGCGGATTACATGTACATGTACTTGGAAAGTAGGCCTACGAGACATTGTAGGCCCTGTTTAGTAAAGACCTTACGACCAGACATACTCAGTTGCTTCGGTGACATAGGGCCTATCCACCACGGGCACCATTTCATCACGTAGCCGACTTAAGGCATTTGTCACCCAATTCTCAATATAACGCAGCCTCAGCCTAGCTGTCACAATAATTAGGAGAAAATAATTTACTTCGAACACTTTATTTACATACCGACAAGGTGCTAATTGACACTTTAATGAACAATGCAGGGCGGAAGCCATAAAAAAAAGGTTGCAAATAAATAAGCATAGGAAAACCAGGACCGCCGTCGAATCTAGAAGTAGATAGTGTATTCTTGCTGTTCAAATGAAATTGTTTGTTGGCTTCGGGGCATAGAGCTTTGTGGGTGGCTCTCCTGTTCACAATAACAAAAAGAACAGACATCAAAATATTGTTAGTACTCGAAAGTTTCCACGCAATACACTTCTTTTATTCACAAGAAATATAAATTAATCAGGCACTAGAACATCAAAACATCTCCGATGCCATACTCAACTATAGTTCAAGTCTAATACAATGTACATGTACTCGGTGCTTTGGAAATCTGACGCATGTAATTATTACCTGTGTGCTTCATAATTCACTACTTTGCACAATGTTTGACATACTCAAAACGGTAAAATACAGTAAAATTCAACAAGTTATGTATGTATATTATTTACATTAGGCAAGACAACGTAAAAAGCAACCATCTTTAAACACAATGAATGTTTGTTAAGATAAACCTAATTTACTATAGTTGTTTCCATGCATACGATATATAGTCGATGATAACTCCCATTCAATTTGAAATTCATGCCTATATTGAGTGGGCGCCATACCAATATCAATTTTATGTTATTTTTGCTAAACACGTGGGATGGTTTCAGAGACGGTTTTACTATTGGCTTGTTACACTGCTTGTTGAATGCGAAATGGCCACTTCACTAAACTTTATTTTCAGTACACGTATACACTTTTATGTACTGTATGTATCACTCAACCCACTTCACTTCGAAATTCCCGGTTTGATAATATACATGTACATGTACAACGGACATTTTGTGAACTTGTGACACTGTACATTGTAGTTCCTACAAACGTTCACACTCTACGAAATGTACAACACAATGTAATAAACAACTTTTACATTTAAAAGCCGATTTCTCTTCGTTAAATTAAGGCTCGTCACACACTAGACAAACAAATGGTTTTCCAACTATCCCTGGAACTCGGATATGATGGCGTAATACGTCAAGACCAATCCAGCAATCTGAACAGGAAATTGAAAAAAAGAGAAACTTACAAATTACTGTTTTTGTTTATATGAAATATTCCGACGAACCTTTGTACAGTTTATGAGATATTTATTGCAAATGTTGGAAGACAATTATATTACTTAGCGGAGACTAGACTACATGTATATCATCCAGTTGCGACACTCCTTCGAAATACGTTGTACCTCTTTCCCCGTATATGCCAAGCCGAACCTCATGTAATTCCAACATTTCTAATTGCTTGTTTTGGAACAAAATCCTTCTGAGAAAGCAATCAAAACATGGGCCTTATTCACGAGTTGGCCATTTTTGTTGAGTTCCCTGAACATATATCATTAATTCTTGACTGTTGAATGGGATGGCGCCAGACTTTTTTTAACAGGCATAATAATGCAGCCTTTTTTACCGTCATTTGTTTTTAAATCTGGCTTTAAACATTAGAGAACGTTTAATTACAAATTTTAAAATTATTCATTTAAGCAGACTGGAATTAATTAGTTATCCTTGCTTTCATTTCTCTACACAAGTTCCAAAAAGAAGATTTTACCTCACTCTCAATCCAATATGGCCGATTCGTGAATAAGGCCCATTTCAAACAAACTCCACATTTTTCGGAATAAGATTTTCTGTGGCGTATATGCAATTTCCTCTCGCGTACTACAATTTGCAAGCTCACTTTGACATCAATATGATTTATTTTGGTTTGCTGCAGATTACGAGAAAAGTGACTTCGTCGTACAAAAACGCCCGTCAGAAAAAAAGACCGCCCGTTAAAAAGGAGCCTGACAGAAAGCCAAGCCTGATACTAGTGATACTTACCGTCAATATGAAGGGCTTGGTGAGTGTAACGAGATCAAAGATGGTGAAACCTATGTCTTCTCCGTTAAGCCTGGACAGGAACATGTTCATCTGTCATCAAAATACACATAAAGGTGTGTCAAGTTAAAGTACATCAGAAACGTGAATTGTATTTTACGGCTTTACGGCCGTAGCACATCGATGCATACACTGAGGCCGTTTTAACCAATTTCGACACGGTCAGTAACCCAAACCATTTAGATCTCACTCATACGGGAAATATTACTAAGATATTAATTTTTGGTAACGTGCTGAAATTACCTGCATAAGTTGTTCGTTGGTGACGCTGTCTATACAGCAGACGTAGCAGTCGTCCTTCGCATCGTGCGCCTGCGCAAAACGATCGGAAAAAATGAGCAAAAGTCATGTTATTCATGGTGTACATTCCAACAAAAGGGGGGGGGGGGCTAATGAACGTACTTTTCACAATACTGATCTCAGTTCTTAAAGCTCCAAACAGTACCATCGGTACAATTTACAGCTAATTTTTTTTATTTATTTCAAAAGTTCAATGGATGCTTTGCATTCAGTATCAGTAGCCACCTTTGGGATGCCTGCTGTGACTTCAACGGATTCTTACGAAATATAGCTCTGGAAGCTTGATGCGAAAGAGTCTTTTTTTTATAAATGCGAATTCATATTTGTTCCAATATGGGAATTTTGTGCAAAGAAGCAATACATTATAAAGGTACGCACCTGAACGTGTTTCATTAAGTGTTAACTGTTCAATGGGATGGTGCCAGACTATTAATGCAAGCACAATCACTCACTTTCAATTCAATATGGCCGACTCGCGAATAAGGCCCATACCATAAGTCCTAAGCAAGTAAAACTATTCATCGCGAAGACGTCTGCACTAGTAAGAAAGAGGTGGTGGGTTCGAGTCCCAAACGAGTAAACTTGTGCTTTTTCTCTCGCAAACCCTAGGACGGCCCTGAGTGTACAGAGCTTATAAATTAATATGTTGATGAAGGGTAACATCCCCGCTGAAGAAGGATAAAACCGATAAACCGTGGACTTACCTTGGAGCTCATGACAGCGGCGTACCAAGACACGACGCACACGTTGACGAAAATGGAGGACAGCCAAATGGCGTACATCAGGTAGGCCGATACGTTGCCAGCAATTCCTTGCGAGAAGAGAAGTTGGTACAGCATGAAGCATGCCAAGGGGCCCATGGTAACGTACGTGATCAGACTGATGTAGGTGAACAGTCCGCTGTTGGCCAGACTAACCGACTCGCACAGGTACTGATGCTGGCGCCGAAGCTTCTCAAAAGTTGGCGGGAAGATCTTGGCGGCTGTGGCGCGCTGGATGTCTATCCCGATGCGCACGTCGAAGTCGTGGAAGAGTCGAGACATGAGCTGGCAGGTCAGCAGAAAGTAGAGGAGCGGGAAGATCCAGGAGGCAAAGACGTAGATGTTGAGGTAGATGCAGATGATGTGCACGACCACGTGGGGGTTGAAGGGTGCCACGAAGATATTGGTGGAGTTTCGGATGGACTCGACGGGACCGAAGACCCCAACGGTCTGATTCAGGAAGTGGCAGGTTACGTAGATGACAGCCACCACGGTGAAAGCTTTGGCTCTCCCCCGGAGCCAGCCAAGATCTATTTTGTTCTCTGGATCCCGTTGGATGGACTTCTCGAAGTGGACGAAGTAGTCACGGAGCATGGTCTTGCGGGAGGCAGCCCAGAAGTTGACGCTGGCGTTGAGGGCAGCCTGCAGGAGCACGGTCATGTAGATGACTTTGAAGTAGAGACGCGATGGATCCAGCTCAGGCCCGACGAAGAACGCCGGCAAGAAACGAAGCAGGTTGAACCAGAGGAGAAACAGGACCAAGATGGAGTAGTTACGGGCGTTCAGGATGCGCCTGGACTTGCTTTTGCGCTTCGACGGATTGATGACCTCCGAGTGCCACAGCCCCATGATCTGCATGAATTTGAACAGCGGTGACATGGCCTCGTAGTAAGTCAACTGAATGTCACTGTCGTCGTCGGCGTCGTTGTCCTGCATGATCTGATGTTGGGCGGCGATGTCAGTGATGCCAGTGCCATTGTCCACAGATGACATCTTGGACCGGACGGTGAAACTGACGGCCGATCCAGTGGTCTGGGCCATCTCGTAGGCATTTGTCGGGGGGTTTCCGGTGGCGTAGGGCGGTGGGGGACTCTCGTCCGCAACCAGTGGACAGACGCTGTTTGTTCTGGACATTGCGATGGCTGTTACTGGGTACTCCCTTCCAATCGAAGACAATGAACCTGTATACAACGCAGACCAGATAATCAATTAAATTGAATGACGAGTATGGAGTGCCAGCTTGCATGATTGGTAACTTGAATTAAAGCCTTTTAGTCTTAAAACAAACACACCAAGAGTTTCAGCAGATATAATTCAATTATACTCGTTCACAATAACTGGAAACTTCGATCATTAAATCGATGGAGATTATCGCTTCTAGAACTCAAGCCTAGTTTCCATATCGACGTTAAGGCAGACTGCGCAAACAGTACGTGGAACCGTCGGCAAATATACCGATCGTCTGTGAGATAGTTTGCGTCTGTCTGGGTTGTCTAAGACATTTCCGGATGAAAATGTTTCCATATTTCTGCGTTGCTGTTTGGGTCTTGTTTGCGTTGCTCTCTGCGTTTCTTATGCCGATATGGAAACCAGGCTTAAGATTCAACTGTACGTTCTTAACAGTACACTCTATCCTTCCGACTCCTGGAAACTTGCCAAAATACGTTAACAATGCCCAGAAGAGTAAGTTGACCATAGGACAAGATATTTTTTGACATAAAGCATACCAGTTTGTCTGTCACAAAAACGTCGGTCACCCAAGTGAAGCAGTCAGTGTATGCAGGACCTATGCGCAGTGACCTGCAACATTTTCGAGTCGGACTAAATAATGGACAACAAGGAACGCTATGGAGACAAGCGGCGAAAAATGCATATTCATTTACCTATGCAAATACGACCAAGGACCCCAAATGCATGCTCTAAATTACAGACCTCCATTGGCACCTTTTCCTATATGTAATTACCGGTCAGACGAGACATTTTGAAACACTGGCGGAGATGGTATCCGTATCAAATCTGACCTCGTATACGCACCGTATATTTCAAACAGAGCAAGTTTATAATTGCAATAACTGTCAACTATATTTGTATAGGTTAATTACTTCAGTTTCATTTTGCCACTTCGGGTGCTGACTACTGTTGTGAGGTAGATTATGTGGCTGTGCATTCCGTTACTGTCGCTACGGCCAAGAGAAACAGTCGGTTTCATTATCTTTCAATTTGACGGCCACTTTGCAGATATCCATTAGAGGAAAAGAATCGGAAGCCGCAAATGGGACTGAACAACGAGTTCCGACCATTAACCTAATGATTGACGTCACGGGTACTTCACTTCAGAAAGAGGTTATAAGATTTTAAGTCTTCACGACGAGCAGATACGGTTTGATTGATGGAATGAGCCTTATACGTATGACGTAAATTTACTTGACCCTCTCAGTTATTCCCAATACATGTAGAAGGGTTTTGGTGGATTTTGTAGGATTGAGGAAATAAGTCACTGTAAGCACACTAGACGGCTTGATGCTCAATAAAAGCATGCACACAAAAAGCAGAATTTTAGAGGATTCAAGACGATTTCTGGCAACTGAATGCCTCTGCAGTAAGGCCTATAGGTAAATTGCGATTTTACGTTCGTAGGCCCCATTTGGTGCTTTGTTGCGAAGAATAGAACCATGCCAGTTCTGTTCCCGCTGGCCACTGGGTGGTTATTGCGTCTATTTGTCCATTCCAATAAATTAATTGTAAACCCACGGTCTCTTAAAAAAGTATTTGTCGTGACTCAAACAAGATATAGGTACAGGCCTAGCTCATTATATTGTAAGTTTGCCTGCAGACATATTCCTCCACCTAATCCTCGAATTTTCCAATCCCCTGTAAATGCGGCTTAAGACTACAACACGAAGGTGGTAAAATCTCGCCATATTATTGTATTCATGTTTTTCTAAATTCAGTCCATTATGAGCCCGGAAACAGAAAGCCCAGTACGCAGAGAGACAACGTGATTCCGTTTTGACAATTTAAAAGTCGGTCATTTCGCAGAGCTGGATTTGTGTAAATAGACGTAAGGGATAGACTGACACCGTTATTTACTCGTCCAACACTTGAGCCTTTTGTTGGCTACCGAATCGCCGGCGGATGGTTGCCGGGGAAGAGTGCGGTGCAAACCCTCGGCGGAGATTATCTGCGACTGGGCAGGCCTAATCCGGTTTGAAACATCTCCACGGCTTTTTGTATAGCTTCAAAGAACTCGGAGGAAAAACTGAGATCCATTGGAAAAATAAAGCCTAAGTCGGGATGTAAGATCAGTATAAGATTCTAAACTTACTAAATTTAATTAGGTTAATACATTTTCAACTTAGACACGTTGGTTTGAATATGAAGATTTATATGTAGGTATTCCAGAGAAATATACATCTGACAACAAAAATGTCGATGGCCTTTTCGACATCTTTTATGCTATCTTTAGTCAATTCATGGAGAGGATTAGTTGAGTGAGATTATTACTAATTCACAATTGACCTTCTCCATCGTACGAAAAATTGTCTAAAACAAATCGAAATTGTCTATACAATGAAATATCAAGCACTAACAAACAAAGAATCGAATTAAGATGTTCAAGAAAAACGGCTTGAAATTCAGGAAAGGTACACATACATTATTTTCTTTTTAATTTATTTGCTAATTCAATTTGCTTGATCATTGCTTATTAATATCATCCTTGCTTTTTGTTGTTCCAGTTGCAATTCTGTGGTTTCCTTAATTAAATGTTATCTCTTTGCTTGTTGGTTGTTTGCCCTAAAGGGGTGGAGAGTTTTACCCCATCAACACCACCACAAAACGAACCCAATGCCCACCCAAGGCCCCACAGTGCATGCCTATAATCCTCCCCCTGGCACTTGTGGCCCGTTCTCCGTCTTTTCAATCGTCTTCGATACATCGGACCAAGAAAATCGATTCGATAATTAGCTTCCCTGTCACTAAGTCACATTATCGACATCCATTAGAGTCTATACATTGTGTAATAACGCACCGACACTTTCAAAATGTGCCAGTAAGATACATGTATGCGTGTATTATTCTTATTACTCGTAAGGTCCCTTTTGACTTCTTAACGAGCTGCCAGAAAAAGAATCGATTTTTTGGGCTTGGAGTGGAGAAATGAACAGTTATATTGTAATCTTCGTTTCTCATCTTGAGTACAAAAAAGAAGATGGGGCAAGGCTTCCTGAGTATTTGATATTGTGGTTATTATGGAAACAGTGTTTTGTCCAGCACTGCCTTAACTTCATAGGAGCGCACAGATAATTTCGGTTTCGACATAAATCTTATTAAATTAAATATCTAAGAATGTTGTCAGCCAGTTTCAAAACCGTTTTTGAAGACCCTAACTCAATGACTTCATGCTCAATACTTTTTGGGGGAGGATTTTCTTTTTCCATTACAATTAAATGTACGTAAATGACGAAGTTATTATGTGGCTTTCAAGATGGGCTCGCCGGGTCCTATACGGTTGTTTTCACGATAGTTCCGGATTTTTTGCTCTCGATTTTGGTTGATTAAAATTTCTAAACTTCGATGTTGACTGAACACTGAAACTTTGAAGGAGGAAAATGACTCTTTTTTGAAACTGCATAAACTGTATATAATCTTTTTGATGAGGTTACACACTCAGGCAGCGTGCATGCAACGTTCCAACTTGTGCCAAAATGCCGTGATAAAAATACGCAAAAATAAATCTGAATCATTTTGTTCAATTATAGCGTGATTGAAACCGCACACATAATTTATGAATACAGTCGAGTCTCGTTAATACAAACTCATTCGGGCGTAGCCAAATTGTTTGTTATATCAGAATTTTGTATAAAGAGGAACATCAGTCCCATAATCCCATCAGTCACGTAAATGCACAGTCGGGACTAAGGCTTTATGTTTGTTGTAACCAGAATTTGTATTAACAGAGTTTGTACTAACGAGAGTCGACTGTATATTGTTGCTGGGGCTACTGTCTGTGGAAAAGTTTACACAAAGAAACCATTCAGAGCAGCAGCCTCAATTGCTTCTTTAACGTCAGTTCTGAAAATTAACTTTTTAAGTTGCAACTAATTACATTGTTTTAATTATACCCCATTGTTTGTTTAACAGTAGATTAATCACTTTAATTTTTATTTACGTATATTCTCAAACAGCTAAAATTTAGTGTCTTAAGTTGCAACTTGTTCTGTTATTTTTATTCATATACATATTTATATTGTTTATTTTTTTGTTCTGATTCAAGTTTCTTTTTAACTAATGACACATGTTCGTGTATGATTTCACTTTTAAACCATTTCATTTTTTATATATAACCCACATTTGTTTTACTTGTTTTGCTAGTTCTTGTTTTTATATCGTACATAAGTTGTCTTTTTTTGCTTGTAATTTTATGTTCAGGGCCCCCTGGGAAACCACATTATTTGTGAATGGGTTACCCTGATTAAAGATCAGAAATAAATAAATATAAAAATACATAGATAAATAAAATATTCGTAAAAGTTTAATACAGTGAGACAAAAAAAAATAACCGAGAAATTACCGAAAGAATTCAGTATCTTTGCTGGTTCGAAATGGCATAAATACAACAGCCTATATGTTTTTCAAATTGTGAGAGTACAGCTAACAAAAATATTTCTTATTCTTGGCCTAAAAAGATGGTGATATTCATTGGAGTAATGAAATGATAATTAAAAAACCGGTCTATTGTTTTATGTTTTGGCGGTTGATTCTCTTTTGAAGGAGAATACTAACGTCAGTAAAATTACTCAAAATCGGTGATCTTTTACCGCAAGAAGTTAAATAGTTTACAAAGAACTTAAGGTGGAATGTATTTGGTGGTTAACATTTGATGGTATTTGATTGTACATTTCAGTGGTATTTGATATGTTGAAATGGAATTGTAGTACATGTATCTGCATTGAATTTTTTGAAAACAAATTTGCCAGTTATTTTTTTCTCAAAAATAAGAATATAGTGTTCAGTATTTTCACTATATTTTCGTATGTTCCGAGAGGAATATTCTATATCCGAAAAAAAATAATTTTGTTATTGGTCAGCACATGGAGTACCATTAATTCTACCTCCATGTTCACAACTGTGAAAGAAATAACTTTTCCTTATTATTTCCGAGCAACCGCAACGAATTGAGTTCCACTAAAAGCCACTTCCATCGTCACAACGCGTACGGCGGATCCGGGGGGGCTAAACTGACGTCGCAAAGGCAGCCACTGCTTACACCACCCACAAAGCAATATATAATCCTCTTGCTTTTCATATCCCCCCCTCCAAAAAAAGTGTTCTGGATCCGGCCTTGTCCACAAAACTGACAAATCGAGCCTTATTTTGATGTTATTTGTGGTGGATTGGTATAGTGCATGCATATAGAGGTTTTTCTATAAATTTATGGTCCACTTTTTTCCCTGTACCTATTAATACATGACATCTATGATTTTTATAATTCTGATGCACTCCTTAATTAACTGGGCCTCTAAGAGTGATTTTGAATAGCAATCTACCCACCCAATAAATAAAAATACTTTTGAAGCAATTCTTATTTATGATACTCGAATGGTAAATTACCGTATACAAGGTAACACTAAACAGGGGCAGGAAAAATGTCACACTTCGGACGCTTTCGAGTCAACTCGTACCTTGGGCGACTCGTACCTTGGACAACTCGTACCTTGGACAACTCGTACCTTGGACATCTCGTACCTTGGATAACTCGTACCTTGGACAACTCGTACCTTCAATTAAGACGACTCGTACCATCAGAATAAAAAGTAGAGTACACTGTACGTGCGTGACTTAGTGTGTGGTTCCTTGACTCTGAAACGATATGATTCTTTTCAAGTCAAAGTTAATTTCTATCTCACAGAACCACATTCAAGATCTAATGGCTTTGCCAGGCAGCATGATTTTCCGCATTGGGCCTGGCGGGCCGGCCTCCGAGGGCGCGAGCAGCGGTCGGTCGTGCGCGGTACCGATGCCGGTGACTCGGAAGCGGCCGGCCTGCGAGCTGCGCGGCGCGCGCGGCAGTGCCATTCTGTTTTTAATGGATTTTACAGTGGAGAAACTTCAGATGCGGATTTGGTGTGGTTTAATTATGCAATACAGCCTAACCACCGTAAAATCCTGTTTCCAGAGCGAGCTTTATTAAACTCTATTAAAACCAACCGACAAAATATTAGAAAGCAAATTTAAACATTTAATTTGTCCAAATAAAGTAATTTCTGCGTTTTCTTGTGAAGTCTAATAACCAAAGTATACAAGAGCAGTCAGTACTTTAAATGATTCAGTCCTTTCCTAGCTATAAGTCTGAAAGTCTAAAATGTAAAAAAAAATTCACAGTTGGTTTATTCATCAACTGGTTTATTCGAAACATTTACAAATTGGGGGCGGGGGTTTGGCCAGATGTTTCGTCATAGTCCGACTTGTTGAAATGAAATGATGAACAGCAGACAAGCAATCGTCTCTTGAGCAGCGCAATGGTTCATCAGAAACCCGCAAGATCATCTGAAGAAAAAAAAATTAGCGGTTAGCACATAGTTTTGGGATGAAAATATATCGATTCCGTAATACATGTATTTGCAATTTTTTAAGTAGGCCTCAGTCTCTAAATGCCGTTGAAAAACGGCAAACTGCAACAATGTCACCGTGCACGGACGGTCCGACTTGTTAAAATGAAATCAATTAATAATGGTGGACTATAGCAGCAATTGTCTTTCGAGCAGCGCAGTGGTTCATCTGTAAAAAAAAAAAAAAAAAAAAAAAATTGCGGTGAACACAATAGTTTGGGATGAAAATTAGTATTTCCTAACAAAATTGGAAATATTTGTCAGTCCAAGATTCACGTCTTATCATTTTTGCGGGAAAAAAAAAGTAGTTCAGGCGATTATAGGGATCAATAATAGGAAAAATGTTGCAACCTGACGCCACTTTTTTCTTCATATATATATATATCATCTCAATGATGGTCATTCATTGCAAAAATGATGGTAAGACGTGAATCTTGGATAAAAACATCAGTTCCATAATATTTTCACGTAGCCTAAGTCTCTAAACGTAACGGCAGACTGCATCAATGTCACCGTGCACAGACGTCCATATTGACCGGTCAGCGCGGCGCAAGAACCGTGTCACTTTGCACGGATGCCACGGTCCACTTTATTCAGCCTCGGATCATTATCCTGATTGACGGTACGACTTGACTTACGCGTGATGGTACGAGTCGTCTTAACTGAAGGTACGACTTGCCGAAGGTACGAGTTGTCCAAGGTACGACTCGGTATAATGACGTCGAGTTGAAGGTACGAGTTGTCCAAGCTACGAGTTGCCCAAGGTACGAGATGACCTTCGGACAGTCCCCAAATTCTGCTGCTGAAATTTCTTGTCAGACATTTCTAGTCATGTTTTCCCCATCTGCTGTCGTTACGAATCTCTACAGAGGTGACGAAATGTTTGCCAAAAAGTGTGGAATATGACAATGACGAGAAGTCAAGTCTTATACTCACTTTTGAGTGGGTCCTTCAGTTGATGAATCCTTCGTGCTTCACTCGCAGAGTTGGACAACTGATCGCTGCTGATATAAATTGTCACAAACGATATTACAGGTCTTCCCAACACAGATGCAGAAAATGATCCAGTCAAAGTAAATATTCCGACGGCAGAAGACAATTCTTCTTCTCAAAGAAGTTAGACCTCCTCGCCCCTTAGGGCCCGATTACACGACAAATTTGCCATGTTTGGAAGATAAACAGATCTTGCTCTTCATCAGAACATAAGGTGATGCTGAAGTGGACTCGAGAAAACTCTGCCGTCGGCCTTTGGATGTCGTTGCGAATCGAGTACATTGAGGAGATCGACAATTAATGGCGGCAGTCCGATCAGGCCTTCAGTCGAAGAGAGCATGGGTTTACCAGAGATGATTAAGCCTCTTTTGCATTCATCTAAGCCAATTGGAGCCTTCTATGTGGGGTCTTTTGATCTTCAGAGTGGAGATGCTTTGTATCGATCCAAGCGAGAGAATGAAGCGTGAATGACACAGCGAAGAGCTGTTGTGCCGGCTTTTGGTATAAACAGACCGCGTGAGAGGCTCAGAGCTGATGCATCCCCAAACCGTGACCCCGTTTTTTTGTTAGAAATTGTTTGTGCTGATGGCCATGGATGCGAACGGAGATTCTGAACCATGCAATGTTGCTAACAAATTTGCTGGACTTTCTAATTTCTCTAGGAAAATATCGTGGTAAACACCTCACGATCTCACAATTGAACATGGAGTGACGAATCGCTCGGTGAACATTTCTATTTTGGTAACCCTACGAATATGTTTCACTTTCAGTCTTCGTGGACAAAAAACTTTACATATCACGCGGATGCCGGATATGCACGTGAAATTTTGGGGGGGGGGTAAAACTTTGTGAATGGGTCGATTATTTCGCTATTCAGCCGTCCTTCCACTCGGGGGCAGCCACTCCAACTCTTTGGGATTAGGGGTCAATCAATCTTTTGTCGCCGCCTCTATTCAGGTTTTTTGAAAGCGCTGTCACTATGGTAGTACAAACAATAAACACAGAAGCAGGCCTTCGAGATAGGAACGGACTCGAGTTGAGTGGTGGCGCCCTCCCAACGAATGGCAGGCCCGCGTGAAACTGCTTTCCTTAAATTGCTTATTTTGGATATGTTATAAATCTGCTCGGAGTGTCAGCCATTACGTTTTCTGGCAGCATTAATCTGATCAAAAGAAAGTGACAAAGAATTGCTTGTTTCATCATTTTGTCCCACTTGGGAATGTTTTCAACCGTTATGTGGCTGAGATATACGGGGGTGGCAAAACACTTATTCTGGCTGAGAAATGGAGACGGTTTCAAGTTGCATTTGAAATTTCCATGTGCACAGACGTTCCTGTCTTTAGCAACTGGGAACTCAAACAATAAAATAATAACAATGTCACTCGTTATTCAAGACAAGAGCGAAAAAGGACAAAGAAGGTGTAAGATATATATTTTTTTAATTCTAGGGAAAAGGCAAACAAATTGGCGCTTTTAGGCATCGGACGATGTGTCCCGCTACAAGGTGTATGGTGTTTGCACGAGTTCAAGTTTGTAACGTCACTATTTGAACTCTTCTATTTAATTGAATTACAAAATGTAGAACAAATTTCATGCTCAGTTTCCTAGGTCCAAAGACCCTAAAAGTGTGGGTTTGAATCTCCCTTATCCACCTTCAAGTTCTTCAAGAATCTCCCTCAAATCCTCCTTCTCTTCCAAAAAGTGGTTGATGCAATGCCAGACACAATTTTGATTTTCGTGTGCAAGAAATGGCAGACGTTTCTTACGACAGTTCTTCTTGTGTTGGTATAAATCAACCTTCTCAACTGAATCCGGGGGGGGGGGGGGGGGGGGGGGGGGGGGTTCCATACTCATGGGCGTCGCCAGGATTTTTCTAGAGGGGGGCAAAAATTGTTTTGCCAAAAAATGCTTGTATTTCTCAGCACATTCTCGATTTATCAGTTTTAGAGGGGGGCAGGGACATTTTGCCCCCCCCCCCCCAACTCATTAAATTTACACCACTTTGTCTTCGCGCCTCTTTTTCTTTTCTTTTCTTTCTTTCTTTTTCTTCATTTTTTTGTTTTTTTGTTGCTATTCCAGGGGGGGGGGCAAGTGCCCCCCCTTGCCCCCCCCCCCCCCTCGCGACGCCCATGTCCATGCTCCCGGCCGCAGGTGCCCCCACTTGAAATCTTGAATTGCACACAATGTGCGTTGCCCCTAGTGCCCGTATGCAAAATTGGTGCACCCCAGGTACCCCCCCCCCGAAGTGTTGTCACATGACATTTATCGACTCTGTTTCTTGGCAACTCGGCTCGTACCGTATACGCTAATATAGACACACACTCAAAGAGCACTCGGTTAATTGTTGAACAAACGCTATCTATTAATTTACGCAGCCCGAGTATCTCGCGATGATATGATAATGCAAATAACTGTACATGTACAATTCAAATGACACGTCGCTACAAAACACTTAAGAGATGTGAGCTGTTCACATCTGACGGTAGGAAGCTCATTACAGGCCTACTTCAGTTTCATTGTGTGTAGATATTCCTCACAACCATATGCTCACATCGGGACAATTATGACTAGAGATTGAATAGATGGCAGACGATTGCAAAATATATTATATGTCATTAACTAGATACGTCCAAAGCTGACTAAAACAAACTATAGTCAGCAGGCCGGAGGTCGAGGGTTCGAGTCCCACCCGAACAAGCTTGTGATTTGTTTCTCGTAAACCCTCGGATATCATTGCCTTCACATCTGAATTTTTGTTCTCATGAATATAATCGTCCGTATGAAGTTTAATTCGTCTGGGAAAGGTAGGCACAAGTTTTTTTCACGGTGGTCATAACATGAGGTAACACCCCCCATTCAGGAAAAACTGCTGCCACGCCTCTAAAAGGGTGAATTTGCGATGGCTCCACATCTGAAAAAAAAAATGTCTCAGGAATAAATATACTTTGTGTGCGGTTGTGTGCTGTTTATGAAAGGTGGGCACTATATTTTTCACGCTGGGTAAAAGCCCCCCCCCCCCCGCATTTTAAAAATGGCTGCCGCGCCCCTAAAAGGTGAGTTTGCTATGGCTCACATCTAAAATAAATTATCTCTTGAATATAAATGTCCCTGCAACGTTTCACGCTTTTTATATAAACAAGTGCACAATTCAGCAGTAGTTTGTCACATATCCGCTGGACTAAGAGTAAACAGTGCTGATACAATTACGTCGGTAAGGGCAACACCGATATTACAAAGCCACAAACTGCAAACGTACATAATGTAATTGGATAATACCTCTTGACGTTGTACAGGGTGATGCAAAAAGAAGGAAACCCACTTTTTGACAGTAATTATAACCCACTTACTTAACTGATTTGAGTTTTTTTTAATAATGAAGTGAAGCATGGACGTCGCCGGGGGGGGGGGGGGGCAAGGGGGGGAATGATAAATTGAGAATATAATGAAAAAGTTAAGGAATTTTGGGGAAAAATTTGCTTGGCCCCCCTGGAAAAAAATCCTGGCGACGCCCATGAAGTGAAGTATAGCTCTTCAACAATACGAGGTGGAAAAAAAACTTCGCAAGAATAGTGTTATTATGCTAATTTGAATACAAGTCATCACAATATCACTGTTGTCCACGTTCATGGAAGTCTTTTGTGGTGTTTTCGTCTTCAAATCAAGCTCCGGAGCTCAGTCAAGCGGATGGGATAAAGCTGTCCGTGTGGACAAACAGGTTTGGCAAATGTTTAAACTAATTATCTCAGAGTCAAAATATTGACACTATCACCGCGTTCCCACATGCATGAATTGGAAAAAGGTGGATCAAGATCCGGCATTTTGGTGTGATCGTTATCTTACCGCAACGAAACCGCAAGTCGCGTTCCCACTTATGCTTGATCCACCTTTTCGTACGGAAATGTTGGGTCCGAAAGGTCACTGAGTTCGGAATTACGCGCGCTCTGTGGGAGTGCCATTGTTGCATGGTTGCATGCTAGGCCAGGATGGGTCAGTTTTCAAACAGCACTATCAGAATTCACAGACAAAAATTACGCGAATTCACCAACATAAATCACGGATCCGTAGAGGATCCGTGCGTGTATAAATTAACAGGTGAAATCCAACAGAGCCGATCATTGTGTGACATCACGGCAGAAACCAATGCATCGATAAGGGATTCCCTGGTTCTGAAGCTTCTCATTGGTTAGAAACGGTCACATGATGTACTACGACATCATTTTCCAATTTTCTATAATCAATACTTCAGATTTGTCACCTCCGTACGTACCGCATTATCGGCACTATTCTCATCGCATACTCGTAAGCTTTTCCATGATTCTATGCCAAAGTGAAGTCTTTTGGTGAGTGCGGACTCAGAGTCATTTATGGATGGAAAAATAAGTAAAATTTCAGGAATGAAAAAGGTTTAGTAATGGACGAACACGCAACAAAAATAAGGCCTATAGTGTAGTTTTAGGATACCACGTGCGCTTTTGCATGCGCGGTGCTAGCCCGTATCCCCGCGTAGTTCAGCGGTTGTTTATTGTGCATGTTGTATACGCTGGAAATGTTCACATGAGCTACACGCCTGAAAACGTGTTTCTTCGTTCATGAGACCGCAACATTTTCGCGCCACTCGTGCACCGGGCGGATGTTAACAGGTCAAATTGCCGGATCAGATCCACCTTTTGCGTTCCCATCTGATCGTGATCCGGCAATTGCCGGATCTGATCCACCAATTGGGGGATCTGTATCCTGGTCCAGAGGTGGATCAGAAAAGGTGGATCTGATCCTGATCCACCTTATAACGGTTAGCGTTCCCACTACACACAATTGCCGGATCTGATCCACCAATTGGGGGATCTGATCCGGCAATTTGGTAAAAGGTGGATCAGATCCCCCAATTGGTGGATCAAGTGGAAACGGGGTCATATATTTGCAATAATGTTTTCGCCACTTCAGTTTCAAATGAACATTTTAACACCATTAAATTGAATTTTGGAAATATGCTCAACAAGTAGGTGAAAATTGCTGTCCAAAGTGTGTTTCCTTCTCTTTGCACAATCGTGTACTGATAAATGAACTCGGACAAAACTGACGACATTTACTGATATGCACGCACTCAGTGCCGCTGCGTTTAATTCGATTGAACGATCGTCGTGCCAGGTCACGTATTCTGCAGTGAAGTGTCTTTTTTTGGCCGGGGTCGGCGCGATTATTTTGTACAATCAATGTGGAACGGATGCGTCATTCGGTAGGCTGTGCAAGGATAATGATAGACCCTGCTGATCGATGCTATTTCTTACAAAAAAGAAAAAAAGGAGATTTTATTGTACACTTGCTTTACTTCGATACCATTTTGTGAGCCATGTTACCTTTGTAATTTCGTCTATAAACACTGCTAAACCGATGCTTATATCGACCCAAGCTTTAACAATTCCTGCGTCCAATAATATAATCAATGTTGGCTCCGCCCCCAAACGGTGAGTGGTTTTCCTTGCCAACTAAAACGTGTGAACGCGCAGATATTAATATAACTCTTTATTGTCAGAACACCTGTACTGCTATAACCCCGGTGTAACATTAAATACCACTCGATACACGTTATTCAATATCGAGACTTTATACAGACTTGACACTCATTTACCCGCATGTTAGTCTCAGAATTGAAGAATTTATGCATCACGCAAACCTTTTTGGGATGTCTTTATTATGTTAACTGATAGTAGTAACCACGAAGGTGCGTTTCATGTTATCAGAACAAATTTGAACCATTTTTCAATGATGAAATGTTCTATTTTCCTAATATTTTATTGAATATTACAGGCTAGCATTACCCTCCTGGAAAATTGACCGTTCCTGTTGGCATTGACCAATCAGATCTCGACCTTTTGGTCAGGTGACCACATAGGTTGGTCAAATTCGTCCACGAGTTTTGTGAGAAATGTACACAAACCAAAGGTGGGCGGGGCTGGAAAATGGTAGCGACCTACATGCATAATTATTGGGGCCGAAGATGCACAAACCGTCCCCGCATGTTAGTATCTACACGTATACACGTCAACGCCGATCGGTGTGCGGCAGGCGAACTGAACCGGGAGATTACCGACTTGATTACAAGTCTAAAGGTGGGTGAGGCTTATGGTCAAACTAAACCAGGAACAGTCCATTGTGTAGAAATTCTAATTTTGTGGAGGTACTGTAAAATAAGAAAATCCTTCCTCAGGTGGCGCAACATTTTTCTGCCACCTTGTTTCGAAGTTTGTCCAAGGCGAAGAGCAAACCATGGAGGCAGGGCGCAGCCGCCACTGTACCCAGAAGAAGAATGATCAGCGACGTAGTCGGGGCATTTTCCCAGTCGATGAAACTTTTGTAAATATGCGTTCCACCATAGGGGTTGGTCCCCCCGGATTTGTAGTAAATCAGCGCGAACAACTGATACAGGAGAAAGTACGAATATGGGTACACAAAGTGCAGAAGTCTGATAGGGGGAGCCGCTACTATCAAGTCCGCAAGCGCGATGATCAGACTTATTCCGTGAACGTGTATGGTGAAGATTTGCACGATGGTGAACCCCGGTTGGAACTCGACCAGCCAATAACCAGCGGTCACAAAAGCGCATGCGCTGTAAGCTATGTTCTGAAGCAGCCATGTTAGCTTGAAGTACCATGGCAATGGGGTGTTCTCTTCAAGTTGTGGTTGATTGTTCAGGATTGCGCCATTTTCCAAGGGTCCGATCACCAGTTCGTTGACGTCAGCAACTGCAATGGGCAGAAAAAAAGGAACTAGAGGAGTATGATGGGCCTTTATCACCGTGGTCAAAATGTTTTTCAACCAAAATGGAATTTATACTAAAGTTTCTGCTTGCTTGCCCGCTATATTAACCAGAAATCGGAAACCCCTGAGTTCTCAATGACTTTCGCATTGTCAGGAGATATCAAACGATAATAGGGCCTATGCCACACCATTGGACATTTAGATCAAAATTTATGATAGTATTAGGATCAAATTTTGCTTAGTATCTACCGTCCTATATGGGAGTTGGGGAACGGCGAAATCCCTTTTACAAAATAGAACCATTGGAAATAGTATACGTATGCTGGACGGAAAAAGTTGCTGGTTGAAATACTATGATTTTGTGTGGCTATTTCATCTGGTACATTAGGGCAATGCATTTCACATCAAATTGTTAAGATGTATGTGATATTTTGTGTAATAACAAAGCATGCTGATAACCAGCTACCTTATCTTCATATCACGTACTAATAACGCACACATAGTATCACGCACGTGCATTTTCGCACGTACTCGCGCTGAAAGCCGCTTTCCCCCTGGCTGGAAAACGATATTACGAAATTTATCCAATAATAGAAATCAGCCGGACAAAGTGACCTTGCATAGGGCAATGTGTTTACGAGAGAAGAACAAATGAAATTGTCTCGATATTTATGCGGCATCCAGTCTGTCACAAGCAGTGATGTACAGATTAAGAGAAAACGGGTCGTTCGGCCTCGTGGTATGTGGGACACAGACGCACTACATTATTCCGTGTTCCACTCGCGCTCACGGGATAACTAATAGTGTAGCTGCTCCGTCCTACATTAGAATAAGGGGCGGAAACTAGTCTAAAACGCACCCATCCGTATCAAAATTAAAATAGAACCCTCCTTGAGTGTATGAAGTAGTGTTTGTCTCAAAAGAAAATGTTTACAAAAACTATTTTGTCAATAAGTAATTTAGAAATATGTACTGGACGCGACACCATAATTTTACGACATGTTTGTTAACAATTCCGTTGTTGTGTGAGTAATAACATGGCGGACGGTTGTTGCATGGAGATCAGTGGTTACCGGAGCCTACCTTGCCTTTGCGTCTGTCTCCGGTGGGCTACTAAGGAAACAGCAGCAGTCACCAAGTACAAAGTCAGGACGCAAAAGCTCCAGTTGGAGAGGTAGATCAGCCATTTGGCTTGATTGTCCACGGCTCGGCGATAGAAGCTAGGATGACCCCAGATTATGGGCACAGTGATGTTCCAGGCTAGTTGATAGACGGCTACCAAGACTCGGAAGGCGATGAACAGACTCTGATGCTGTGACCAGAGAAACTATAAAGATGGACACGTAAACGTTTTCTAAAAATGAAGTCACCTTTTAATTTTGTTTTTGTTCAGTTCTAAGATCCAATCCTCCTAAAGGTCACAGGCCATAAATAGGCCCAAAAATGCATACGAGGCTACGCCGGCCAAATCACTATTTACATGTGCTCAATTTTTGTGTTATTAGAGCAAATTTTGTGGGCCATGAACTTGAGGGTTTGTAAAAAAAAAGGTGGAAGCTGTGAACAGGACTGCGAGCTTGTATTTCTGTGAAATTAATTTTGGATGAAATTGGGCCCTAAAATTGCTCTATTTTGAAATGGAGAGCAGGCGTCATTTTCAAAATGTATTTATCACTGGGGTCCATGGCAGTTTATTTACTAGTTTGAAACCAATGTATGTTCCGACCTATAGCCATTCCACTATTTTTGACTTTGTTCGTTTATCTTTAACTTTGACTAAACAAAAGCCTACATGAATACTATTAGAATGGTTTTAATTTTTAAAGTTCGTCGGAAAATTACACCCCAAAAAGGCAAAAGAAACAAGATAACCCAAAAACGTTAATGTGGAGAATCAGTCTTTCAAAACTGGAACAATACTAGGTGTCATAAATTTATTACAAAAGCAACCGACCAAATCTCTGGACGAAAAGTAATGCGAAGAATATTTTACGTAAGTCAACATAAAGACTTTATGGGGTAGGCCTAACATTTTTAAAATCATTAAAAATTGTTCATAGCGATAAACCATATGTAGGCTATTACCGCATTCATGGAATTTGAACCTATTTTGGAAAACAAAACGAATCAGAAATCAATGATTAACGCAACAATTCTCCAAATGAGGCGTCATTCTCTTTTACTTCTGTCAGACATTTTGTCTTTTTTTCCCACGAAATGTACACAGTTTTCTAAAAAAACAAATAATAAGATGAATTAATTCACCAAAAAAAAGGACACAAAAACTTCATAGGGAATCAGCAAAAATCTTAGCATTCAATCAAAATAATATTTTTGCTCTTTAAAAAAATCATACTTGCGGCGAGACGAACGCCTTTACCGAGACTCCACCGAAGCCAAACTTCTGCCAACGAAATTCACTGCGGAGCGCTTCCATTGCTAAGGCGACATCTTCAATTCACATACCTCGTATATGAAAGCCGCACATCTATATATGACTGCACAGAGAAGAGGAAATTGTGCAGGCCCCCGCGGAAGACAGATGTCTTCACGGGGTAGTTAAAGCTCTTGAGACACTCATGCAATCATCGAGAAAATTGGCGGTATTTCTGAGTATCCTGACAGAGATATCTCTGCAACAGAACTGCGACGAACGTGCATCCGCTAGTCCAGGCTGCCGACCAGAGAAATGCATGCGATCAGTCAAGAAAATGACGGGTTCTCAGCGTGTGCCACTCGATACAGACCTTGAATAGGTATCTGAAAGCTCCGTTGCTGAACTAGCCTCTCAACGGGACGGTGCATGAGGTGAAAGTGACTCCTGCCTCCTTAAAAAATGGAAATTTATGAGAACCTGCCCGATCGTCACACGGGCAATGTCAGATCTGCCGCCTGCTAGGGTGGCCAGCACTCAATCGTCATAAATTGCAGCCAGAACAGATGGATTCTTATCGCCGATTGTGCAAATATCAAACGTCCTTTTGGTTTCCCTGCGCGGAAGCGTTGTGCTATCAATCTTGTAGGCTTTGTGACAAAAAATGCATTAATGCGATGCATCGCCCTCGTTTTTTTTACTAACTGACTAATGGAAAGATTTAGCGAGTTTGAAAAATACATTAACCTGGATGATTAAACTGAAGAAATCCTGAAGCAATTTTTTAAAATATTAATTTAAACGATGCATCGCTATTCGTCAGGCTTCACATAAAATATCAAGAGAAAAAAATTACATATCTTTCTATATTATCATAGTCGTGACATTTCATCAATCCATATGAAAGGAGCAACAAAATGTCATGTCAAAAAATTGGAGGTGAGACCACGTTGTGATATAATACAGTTTCGAGGACCGTAATAGTGATTCTTAAATATATTTAGAGTTTAATGTTAAACGTGCAAGATAAGTTTCCTATAGTAGTGCTGAATCTGGATCTATTATAATAAAACCCTAACGATCCCCATCCAGTCAAACTCAAACACCAGGGTTTGTTAGAATATGTTGGAGTCGAGTGAGTGCTGCGCCTACCAAATTGATTATGCTTTACATGGGGTTACGCATACCACAATAATCAGGGTCCAACAGTTTGGGTGTAGAGTTTACCATATGGTGTAGGAATTCAGTCGCAGGAGTGAGGAAGGTTCCTAAAATCACTCAAGGAGGTTAGGGTTGTTCAAGGCATAGCGCAAGGAAAGAAAAGCCGGGGGACTGGCATTTGAAAAGCTTCGCTTGACCACTTCCTGGTGTGACTCTTGGCTGTCTGGACGTGCTTGGCATAAGATTGGACGATTATTTGGCACGTCTTTACCAAATCAACAGAGCCTGCGCAGAGCAACGAACGGCGATAGGAACAGCTCCCTGGCGCGTCGTCTGAATGCATCATTCATGGCGAAGTAGATGACGACGTTCCAAAAGCTGTTGGAGAATTGGAGCCAGTACAGAGCGAAGAACACACCCAAGGGTTGGCGAACACCGGCCAGGACGCAGGCAAAACCCACGATGGTAATAGGAGCCCAACATGCGTAGAAAGTGAACGCCATGATGCGGCACATGCGGAAAAACTTGATGGCTTTGCGCGTTTGTCCGCCTTGCTCGGTTAGCTTGGATATCATGTGGGATCTGACACGGGTGTGTTTCTTCATGCCCACCCAGGCTAAGGCTGAGGTAACGGAAACGGTGGCTAGACTCGGCAGAATGAACAAGCCGACGGTCAGAGCAATTGACAGGAGCTGGTTTTGATAGGTGACGGTGCAGGAATGGAGCACCAAGGCGTACTGCTGGACTATCTGGCGGGTCATAAACAGGGTGGTGAGAAACAGGATGGAAAGGATCCAACAGAACACAACCCCAGTTACTATTTTCTGCTTGGTGATGATTCTGGTGTACCTCAAAGGGTACACCACGGCAATGTAGCGCTCAATGCTCAGTAAAGTCAGCGTCAGTAGAGAAGCCTTCTTGGCGACTGCCTCGACTCCTGCCACGACCAGACACATGGTATCACCAAAGGGCCACAGGTTGTACACCGAGGGGTATATAGACGAACATGCTATCAGACCAGTAAACAAGTCAGCTAGGGATAGGGACATGAGAAGCAGTCCATGGCAGTTACGGAGCGAGGGTGTGGATCCTATCGTGATCAGAGCTACCAGGTTACCTGCGGTGGTTAAGGTAGATATCGAAAAGATAGTAGCAACTTTAAGCCCGCAGATGATGTCGGCGCAGATTGTAAAAGGGAAGGCGTCCAAAGAAGTGCTGTTTCCAGACATTTTAAAACTGTTGTCAAGATTTTTCTTGGAGTAGTCTGTTAAATTGTCTGTTTGTCCCCAATTGCGGTAAGCAAAATGGAAGAAAGGAATCGTTGAAGTTTCAGGCTTATATGCACTGCTGTGTCGTGAAGACCGTTGCCAAAATATCGGTTCTTGTGAAAATGATAACAGGCCGAAAGCTGAACTTATACTTGAGACTCCAGCTGCACCAATGAATACGAGTGGAGGTCTTTTATACAAATCTTTCACTTCTGTAATGAATTTTCTTGTGTACTAAACTGTACGTCTTGGCGTGTCTTGTAAAAGCCTAGTTGTAAGCATGCGCAGTGTGCTTCATCACCACTTTGAAACAAAATGAACTCAAAAAGGTGCAGCTTCCGATTAAATCTGTGAAAAAACTGTTATTAGTTTCGATTTTTCACGGCAGAATAAGCACGAACGAAGTTAATTTACTGACGAATCAAAATACGTTGAGGTGACGTCATTCAAAACTGTATAAGGGATAGAGATGAACACTTCAAGTACGTATATATATGGAGCTCTACTACGCTGCTAGCATTTTTTTCAGGTTCAGTTACACTAAGGCCTATGGGGATTACGCATAAGAATATCATGCATACTATGAAAACATGCACGAACAACAATACTTCTTTCTGCGTGACATTTTATGTTACTTGTCCATATGTTTAAAAGAGACATTTACTGGTCAATAAGTATATTGGTCAAGACTTGATATGGTTAGGGCAAAACAGCAGTAACATAGTTCTCATTTTGAATCTCTTTCATTGGAGTATTTTGAAAACTTAAGTGAACAAAATTAACGCTTTTACGCGACAGCTCATGCGATCTAGATACTTTTATCAAACGACAAATTCAAAGCTGACGACATCCGCAATACACATATTATGATTGGATAACAAACACGTTGTAAGCGCCCGAGTGTACGTTTGTGATTTTGTAACACTGTCAATTTCTGTACTCGACTCTAAAAGTATACCTAGTGAGGTTCCCCAAGTGGTTTATTTGATATTTTGCAAAAAGAAATCGGTGCAACAGTTTAAAACCAATCACTTAAAACGCATCCAGCCAATGAGCATATTACAAAAGAAATCTTATACCACACAGTTTATTTGCACTTTATTTTCTTCTACTGACAATCGCGCGGTTTTATTTATTTTATTTTATTCAAACTTTCAATTAGTCCGTGTACAATATTAAGCTTTAGCAGCGGGGTCAAGTCAAATAGGAATCCAGTATACACACTTTTTATATTCATTCTACAGTTTAAAAACAAACATTAAAAAACACCTTTCACTAAAATTGCCCCAAAAGTAATCTTTCGTGACCTTTTCGTGTTCTGGTGTCAACAAATTCCGTACAAGGCACGTTCACCTTTTTGAGCGCTGACATTTTACGGTGGACAACACAATAACGTAAGTAATTGTTGTAGCGAATTTTGAAAAGGAAAAATCGAACTGTGGACTTTGATTTCCTAATCGGCTGAAAATCTACGACCCCTGGCTTTAATTAAAATTCAATTGCACGCACGGCGATTTTTTTTATTAAAAAAAAAACCAACCCGATGTTTATCAAACGAATTTTGTTTTAATAACCTTCTTCGCTTGATTTACAACGCGACCTCGCGTGTCACCATTGTTTTTCTTCATTCCGTTTGATTGCACCTGTTTTTTGGGTTCAACAGATGTGCAATATTGCCTTTCCTTTTCGTGTGTTTATGTATATAAATATCAAGAAATGTACAAAAAAGTCGATCCACACCAAACAGTATAAAACACTCCCGATGCGAGTTTATACGCAAAATACAGGTTCATCTATACAATGTAAGTTCGTCTTATTAAAAGAAAGTTATTTTAATACAAAATCTAAAGGACAATTTCACTTTTTTTGGAACTACTATACAGTAAAAAAAAAAACCTGAGAAGGGATACTTCCACTACCTTGATACTCAATCCACCTGTGCAAAATGATGGAAAATCCTTTTACCAAAATCTCTCGATTTGGTCCAGTAGTTTTTGCTGCAGAGATATTTTGTGAAGCACACTTCTTTCATGAGGGTATTATTACATAACAATCCCTCTATAAATCAAATTAGGTTTTGCCCTTCACCGACGTTTAAACACTGTATACTCAGTGTGTTACCTCCCGAGTGAAAGTTGGGGAAAAAAATCACTCGGGTGGGACTCGAACCCACGACCTCCTGCTTTCTAGTGCAGATGTCTGAAGACCTCCTTCTTTCTAGTGCAGATGTCTGAAGACATCTGCACTAGAAAGCAGGAGGTCGTGGGTTCGAGTCCCACCCGAGTGATTTTTTTCCAACTTTCACTCGGGAGGTAACACACCGAGTATAAAGTGTTTAAACGTCGGTGAAGGGCAAAACCTAATTTGATTTATATCACCCCGACTCAAAATTCCATCTTATAATAATCCCTCTATATCAATACAATGCAAGTCAAATTCCCGGGCGCGGTTTAGTAAGTCATCGGGACAAAAATTAACCCCACCTTGCTTCACAAACTAGGCTCTAGAACAAAAACTACTGGACCGAATCGGGCGATCTTGGTTTCATTTTGCTTCTAAAAAGATTCTCCATGCATTGGTATATGTGGTTTGAGTCTCAGGGTAGCGGAGGTATGCCATTCCGTTTTTTGACCACCCTGTATAGTATAAACTGTGAATAAAAAAATTCAGAATGCTGACCATTTTGACAAAAAAATCACTTGAATAAAATTATAATTTTGTTCTTATAATATTTGTATTTTTCTTTCTGAGTATGAGCTGTTTACTTTCAAGCTATTTTGTTTGTTTACTATTTAAACAAGTAACGATACCATGATATCGAGTGTATATTTATCATCAGATAATGGAACAGCGGCAGGCGCAGCAACATTGCTGGGGGTAGTCTGGTGCCCAAACCTTCCGCTGTTGGCCGTACAGCCAGTACTTGCCTCCTTTCTCTTTCCACGTGTATTCCACCTGAGCGATTGGGATCCCGACCAGCTTATGCCTCTATAGGTAAGTTAAAGCAAAATGTGATTGGAAGATGAAAGATAGCACAGCAAACTGTTGATCAAAAACTAAATCTTAAATAAAAAAAAAAAAAAATCTAAAAGTGTAGATATAACGCCGTCATTGTTTTTACAGCCATGTTTATAATTAGATAATTTGAAAATGAGACATTACAAAAATAAAACAGATCCCTTTTTTTCTGTTCAACTAACTAAAATTCCACTCACCAGAACCACAAATAATGCATTTCAAGGGCAAAGTAGCGCCTGCGCATGCTCACCTGTAGTAAAATGCGCTCCGTTTTCACATTTGCATGTTTGGCGACAAGCTTCTCTGATTGGCTGTTCACCTCCATGGTCGGGAAGTTACTCAAGGGCGCCACCTACAGAATATTAGGAAAGAATGACGACAGAACATTTGTGCATTAAGTTTTCACTCAAAAGGCTTGTCCTGGAACAAAGTAAGTTCTGAACAATTATCATTCCAACATCATTCTTATTTAAAATAAAAAAAAAAAGATTCCAGGCAACTGCTTTGTTTGAGTAAAGCCTTTTATTTTACGCCTTAGCCTTTATTTCTTATATTTTGTAAATTTGGAGACTAGAAAAGTGGAAGCTCAGAAGTTTGTTATAACAATGATTTTCGAAGAACGACAGAATCCTCGCTTACAAAAACAAATATATTATAGCTTTTAGACAACCATATACATCCAAGTCTGATGTTTTTTTTTAAGCTTACCGTTTGTTTTTCTTCTTCAAACAGTGTGATTCCCTCAGTCCCACGCAACAGTTTCCGTGGTAACCGCTTATCGGCATGATGCAAATACTCGTCTTCTTTGACTTTGCTTTTGAAGAACAGCAAGAAAAGGTATAATGTATGCGTGGAATATTTACAAAAATACATAGCCTCATTTGGCCAAATTAGATGAATTGATGCCTTAGAATAATATCCGAAAAAAAGCTTTACTGCTTTTTTTTTAATAACCAACTCAACTTACAATGTTGAAGTCACTTCAATGAAGAATTCGAGTTGTTTATACGCCTCACAAACAGAACACGATATGATGGCATGACCATTACAACGGAAACATCTGTCCATGGGGGAGAAAGATAAATATAAACCGGATTACCTATAGGTTACCCTTAGTCTATTCAGAGACAATGAAAGCACAAACTTAATTGTCTATCTTGCTATCACATATGATAAAGAACTGTCCTCAACGAGGGCGCCCTTTGCACGGGGTCTATTCGGAGTAACAATATGATAATGATAATAGTGTAAGAAAAGTATCAGTCAAAAATGTTCACCATGGGTAAAACAAAAAGTGACCCCATGAGTTTTACAACCCATGCATGGTTTTTGTAAAAATCATGTGGCCACTTTCTTTTTGCAGACAGATATAAAATTTTGCTACTCTCGAACCCAGAAACTTGATAGGCCCACATCACTGGCTCAATCCCTTCACACCTTTTCTTCAATCAATTATGCAAATGACCCACCTTTGTCTTCCTTTCCCCCGGCAGTAGTCGCAATATTTGTTTCCGCGCTGTCCTCTAGCCTTGCAATACTTGCACTTCGTCTGTAAAATATTACCAAAATGTTATTAGCAGAGACAAAATAATCCGAATAAATGGTGACAGAAAGTTGTGTTACAATTCAACTCAAAGTTTTGTAAAAAAAACCAAAAAGAAGTCAGGAATTGAAATCATGCTTACTTTTCCTCTTCCCTTGCATCGGTAGCATTTATTGAACCCTCTTCCACTGCAGGCATAACAGGTCTGAGTTTCAAAAAGTGAGAAGAAAAAAAATAGTAGGTTCCTCAACGTGTATTTGAATGTAATATTCAAATTCTTGGGAGTTCAGGATCTTTACTCGAAAAGGGTGAATGTGTGTCAATGGTCCGTGATATAACGAAATGTATTGCGAAGTAACCATCATTTTATTTTACCTCTATGATAGAGCAATGAGGAATCTTAACGGTCTTGACTCCTGCCTTGTAACGCTCGGGCGGCTCGACGACTACATCCCAGAGGAGTGGTGGGGCGCCCCCTTGCGGCCCGTCAACGGCTTGACCTAACAGGGACATCATCAGAACGTTACAAGACGGTTGCACAGATTCTTGATTTAAATTCTGCACTCTTAATAGACTAGCCAGATAATGACTGGAAAATTGTAGACTTGCACCGAGCTGACTATTGTTATATATACACACAGGATGAATTAAAGTATAGACCTTATGCGGAGCAGCCATCTTGGAGGGCTTCCTTTGTTATTTTATTTCAGTAACAATGGATGCACAAAAGATTCACTCATGCATATCCCAGCAAAACCAAGGCATTGCCTTCTAAGATGGCTGTAACGCACAAGGCCTATTCCAGTTTTTAAAAAATATTTCATGAATGTTTGTGTACGGTACCTTGATATGGGATATGCGCTCTTTTGTTGGTTCGACTTTCTACAAATGTCTCAAGAGTGTACTGCAAAAAAAAAACCACCCGCACATAAGTACATGTAAGGCTAGTAACATTGAACAATAGGAATAATAATGTATTTTACAGTCCACCAAATATTTATAAATATGTTATATATAGTTTTTTAGGTTATTGAAATGCAACTGTACTTACACGTGCTGCAGCCGAATACTCTATAGTTTGCACCTCCAACTCCTTGGCAGGCTTGTTGCCATAGCAGCATCGATGCGACGCCATATCCACCACGCAACTTTTTGCCTCCTCGTTAGAAATCTCCGAAGCGCCACTGCTTGCGCAAAATAAGTTATTGTCTTAAAATGTCCCTCAAAAAGTGTCTGATTGCGAAACCCGAAATTCAGTTTGTTGCTGAGTTAACAGATGAGAGATAATACATCAGGATTTAGAGGAACACTCCAATTTCAATAAAAAGAAAAACATGAATATCTATCTGAGCATTTAGAGCGAAGACAAGTTTTTTAAAGAAAAACGGATTATTTTTTGTAATAATAATAATATTGATATTTAAAAAAAAATCGTTTCTTTGTAAAATCCTTAATTAGTTCACTTTTTTCTGAAAGGGAATGTGCTTTGCTTTTTTAATTGTTACTTTGAAGACAGAATAAAGTGTTTACTCACGATTTGAATTCACGCTGGGCGTTGTGAGGAATTTGATATTTGGGTCTTTCTGCCGGCTTACCTGGTAAACAGTGCAAAAAAAATGGGAAGAAATTGAGTCAGTATAAATTAAGAAAGCTGCATGCCCTTTCAGAAAAAAACAATGCTTGACAAAGATTTAAGAAGCTTTTACCTGACGGACAAAAATGTACAAACAAAATTAATACACTCATATCACTCAGTTCTCGGTGTGATATTTTAATACCGCAATTAACATTTAAAAAAAATATTGCATGCATGCAGAAGAAATTGGATAGATAATTACCGAATTATTTAAGCTGATTAAACAGAGATCTGACCGCTTTCTGCTGTTTACTTAAGCATCAACTGTTTGCCATGGATAATAATAAATAGTCAGGAAAATTTATATTGGATGTACGCAATTTAATGCCAGGAGTAGTCGTGGCCGAGCGGTTAAGGCGACAGACTAGAAATCTGTTGGGGTCTCCCCGCGCAGGTTCGAATCCTGCCGACTACGATTTTTTTTTATCTTGGCAAAATTTTACTCCAATTTTATTGGGTTTTTTTATACAGAATTTAGTCAACAACGTGTATATTCAACATCAAGTAGTCGTGGCCGAGCGGTTAAGGCGACAGACTAGAAATCTGTTGGGGGTCTCCCCGCGCAGGTTCGAATCCTGCCGACTACGAAATTCATTTTTTTTAAATCATCGGCTTAAAAAAATGTAATTTTGTTACCGATTTGGGATCCTGGAGTTGGTCATTAGAGGGAAGCTGGCACATTTGTTTTTGCTCAGTTCATAACAAGACCAAAAAGGCCAATCAAAAAATCGTAGTTGGCAGGATTCGAACCTGCGTGGGAAACCCCAACAGATCTCTATTCTGTCGCCTTAACCGCTCGGCCACGACTACTCCGTGTTTTAGGTGAAAGTGGTTTTGCTTCAAAAGTTGTGTTGCCGTGAACGAATAAAGAAGGAATCGTTAGATATCATGTTTTAATTAAACAGCAAAAGTAATGAATGTTCGGCAACTGTTTTAGAATTTTGTGTCGAGCAATGTGTCATGTCATCAAGATCTGCTGACTTTTGCTGCTGAAGTTTTTTTACAAAATGTACACATGTCAGATAACCATTCTCAAACATCTGATCGCAATACCGCTAATTATAGTTTTATTTTAAACACAGCTCAGGATGCTGTTCACTTCGTATAATGATAACGTGTCTTGTTCTAACTATTGATAAAAATGCTTACAATATTATTGCCTTTGAATAAATTAAGAAGGTTTACAATGTATTATATTTTTTTTAATTAACTGTTTCCTTAAAAAGTTAGCACCATCAATATTGCTTTATACAATAATTGCATTAAATGCAGCACCTGGATAGAATGTGGAGACTATATAGACGGCATGTATAGTCTTTACATTTGATTTTAAGTGAATAGGGTAATATATTTTTAATTCACGAGTCGGCCATATTAAATTAAAAGCGAGGTAACCTCTTCATTTTTGGAACTTGCGAGTAGAAATGAAAGCAATGAAATAAAAGTTCATTACAAATTAATACCAGTCTGCTCTGATGAATAATTTAAAATTTGTGATTAAACATACCCTAATGTTTTAAGCCACATTAAAACAAATGAAAGTGAGGCTTTGAACGCACTCCAATCATAAAATAGTCTGGCACCATCCCATTTATCAGTTTACAATTTATAAACTGGATTCAGGGATCACGATCCAAAATGGGTTCCTCCTGAATAAGGTCTATAGGGTAACCTTCGAAATAAGTGTGTCTTCATTAAATACAATTGAAAACATGGCGGCTGGAATTCGAAACGTAATACAAAATTCATGCATATACACGGCCACGAGAAAGATATATATCAAGTACAAAAAAAATGAACCGATTCAGTGGAAATTCTACTGCGTTCACTGTGAAAAAATATAAAACATTTGACAAATTTCTAACGCTGACCAGCTGACATAGAACATCAGGGTCCTTGTGTACAGAGTGGTTAAAAAAAAAGGACACCCACATTTGACAGCAATTTTCACCTATTTTTAACAATTATTTTTAGCTGTCGATTAGTAGCTATTAAAGTACTGGCCTTTAAGCAAATGTGACGAAAAATCGTTGCATTTGCACATTTTGTCGTTGAGCTATGCTAATTTGAACATTTCATATGCGAAACCTGTTTGTCCACGGAGGTATACATTCACTTCACTTGACTGAGATCAGCTATCGGAGCTTTATTTGAAAGGGCATGACAGTTGATTGTTATGTTATGGAATGTTATGAAACAATCAGCTTAAGCCGACAGCTCATTGAGTAGATGATCTTAACACTGACATGAATAATTGGACAGCTTCAATAAAAGTTACCAGGGCAAAATATATTTTGGTGGGAAGGTTTTTTTAAATTTTTTATGAACTACGAAACGTCCAATTTACACAGAATAGCCCGTGGACAAAACTGATTTGGGTGACTTGTATTCAAATTAGCATAATATCACTATTTTTGCGACTTTTACTAAACTTTTTTCAGCATGCATGGTTAAAGGCCTATACTTTACTACTATGTGAAAAAAAACAGTAGGTGAAAATTGCTGTCAAAAGTGAGTGTCCTTTTTTTTTTAACCACCCTGTAGTAATCAATTGCAAGGTAGTGCTCTCGTTTCACACGTAATGTAGGGAACTACATTTTGTAGTTGCATTTATTATTTGCACAATGCGCAATTCATATTTGTATCTCCAACGAACTTTTGAAGTTTCAAACAGATTTTAAAACCAAAGACTCCAGATAAATGACACATTCACATTGCACACTAAAACACCAATAAATGCTTTCGTTATTATTGCAATGCAATATCTTCAGAGGAGAAAATGTAATAGTTTTGTTTCGTGCGATAACTATTTGTATGCACAATTCATATTTGCAGTCTCTAAAGCGATTTTGAAGTTTCAAACAGATTTTTAAACAAACGACTCTTGATAAATGACACATATATATTGCACAGTCACTAAAACACAAACGAATGCTGTCGTCATTGTTGCAATGCAATATCTTTAGCTGAGAAAATGTTGTAGTTTTGTTTTGAGCGATAATTATTTGTAATTAATTGTAATGCACAACTCATATCTGCAATCTCAAAAGCGCTTTTCAAGTTCCAAACAGGCTCTTATTAGACAAACGAAATGACACATGCGCATTGCACACTAAAACACAAATGAATGCTGTCGTAATTATTGCTTAATGCACAATCTTAAGCTGAGAAAATGTTACGGTTTTGTTTTGTGCGACTGTTTTAAATTTTCCTATTTCAGATTATTTCATTGGGGCCGTTTTTTTTCTCCTTTTTGAGTATATGGATGCAGCGTCTGATGTACCCTCGACCCGACTTACTTTCCTTGGTCGTCGTTCTCTCATGGCCTGGGATGGTAGGTAGCGCATGTGTCGTCTTGTACACTGGTTCGCACACCTTCTCGTTGTCTTCAACGTCAGTGTCAGGGGCATCGGCCCATTGGTAAGCTGGCGTATCTGTCTCTCCAGGGGGCGCATTCCATGCTAGAGTGACGGAGAACGAAAATATGAACCCTTTAATTTTTTTGGACCAGAAGCACGCACGTAAAGTGCACATGTTTCATACAGTGGACAGAAGAACCAAACAATTTCGGCTGTCAATTTCTGTTGAATATTGAGGGTTCTGGCGGTAGGCCAAACCCCAAATCTAACTTTTTACTTCAAAACTTTTTTTACAAATCTAACATTTTAGCATAGAATTGAGGTTCTGATGCAAAGTTCATTGACTTTTGAAAAATGAAGAAAAGCAGAAAAAAAATCTCAAAGAGTTTTGTCACAGATGAAATTACAAACAGGATTATTTGGCCTATTCACATTATGCAAAAAAAACCAAAAAAAAAATGACGCCCAAACGTTTGTGTTTTGCAGTAGTCTCTTCGTTTTTAAGCCGATGTGTTATGTGGAGGGGGGATAGCACTTGAAATCATTATTAATGAGTCGGCCGCTGAAGTATAAAAGTACGTGCTTGATTTCGATAACATCAACAATTAATGCATATACGAGCTCATACGAGCTCAATTATGCAAATTTCTTGTATCAACTCACGTATGGATTGGTCCATTATCCCCAGTCCCGACAAACGGCCAGACGCGCGGAGAGTATTCTGCACACAATCGTCGTAAGAGGGCGGGGCATGTGACGGAGACTGCTGCGGTAAAGGCGTAAGTCGAACTGTCCCTCCATAAGGGGAGCTGGAGGGCTGACCAGATGTGGTTCCTAATTGAAAGAATATGGAATTATAACAGAAACAATATACGACTATGAATTCTTATCCTGCGGATTCAGGATAGGGTCACTGTGTTGACGGCGCCCCCATAGGCCTATTATTTCTCGATGATCGTCCCTAGTATAATTACCCCCCGTTTGTCAGAGAATAATATTGGAGTTTTCTCAATTGTCCATCTTCACCAGCACCGGTACCGTTGGGTGTTTTACTAGACCATGACTGGGGTGCTACGACTCCTTTTTTTTTGATATTCTGGTTTGGATTAGAACGACGGATCCCAAGAGTTTCAGTGCCCGATTTAGACCTGGTAGGTCAGGTGTTTTATAAATAGGCCGAAAGTGCGCCTTTATTATTGTTCGTAATAAATGGAAATCAAGACCACCATGTTAAACATCAGTTCGGTAATACAAACTTCCCTCATCAAAATTTCATGAAAACAAAAACAATAGTGATATGAATGGCTGGTAGTTACCTGAGGATTCTACTGGAGGAAGCGATGACGACGGACCAGCTAATGCAGTGAACTCCGCCATCATTGTTTGGGTACATTCCCTCGGAACCAAACTCACAAGCGGGAAATATATGTGCCTAGAGGCCTCCCAACGGGAACACTGTAGTCTATTTCACCAACGACAGGTTGTGTTTGGACTCATCACATCACAAAATGTAACCCTCTTCTTCTACTTGCCATGGTTTCTAATCGATGGTTGAGTAATTAATGCAGGTGGTTACGCATATATCGCACAGGCCGTGTTTAATATTTGGAGCACAGTTCGTGTGCCTGTGTCAAGCTCACCATAGCAACCATGACCTGTTATCACATGATCGTTAAACCATCGATCAAAAAATTTATTAACAAAAGGTTGCGCTATGATTTCTCTTTGTACTTGCTGGACCGACTTTGAAACGCACAGCCATTTTGCACGCTCTGCTGACTTTGAACGCAAGCAAAGAACTGAAGCAGTCTTTACGCAAGTGAACTGTAGTCTACTAAAAGCGTGTCAACAAATTTGTTTATGATAAAGACATGAATTTGTTAACCCTTTGTTGTGGAAAATCAACACCACGTGGTCACAGTCATGCCCCTGTTCAGTCTGTTTATGACTGAATGTCGAACTGAACATTTCTACTTCAGTGACGTTGAAATTCAGAAAACCAGCCATTTCCAAAATATTTGCAAAAACGCAGTAATTTCCAAAGTTGACTAATTGTTATATTTTAATCCAATTTAAACATCATAATGTGACCCCGCTCTTCTAAATTCTAAAATGTCTCCAACATTCCGAATAAAGAAAATCAGAACTTTGGGTTTTCCGGGAACATTAACTAGCTATTTCCTCATTTCAGAACTGTCGATAAAATATCCTCCCATACTCCGGCCGTAAAATTAAGACAGAGTAATCCAAAACGCCAAACAGAATCAAGACACGGTGATTAGTAGATTTTACATCATTCGAAAACAAAGTCTTATTCTTCCAAATAAATAGAGTGATATACATGATGTACATGTAAAAATCCTGAATCGCTATTAAAAAAAAAATCAACAATGTTCAACAACAGTTTGTTAAAATAGCTAACATTAAATTTATGAATAAAGGGCAAAGCCTTTTTTTCTCGCAAAATGTTCGTCATCCCTGTATTCAAAGTTCAAAGATATTTCTACGAGAAGGTACAAGACGCTCACACGCCATTAAAACACAAATTGCATTGTCAAAGATCACGTTTTGTTGTTAATTCAGATAACTATCAAGACTAGTGTAAGATATGCTTGGTAACTTAGTCGAGGTGGTGGTGGTTATTTTTCGGGCGCAATGGTGCGTTGTAGCGCCGTAGTCTGTTAGTGTTCTTGGACGTGATGCTTGTGTTCTTGGGCAAGACACTTTACTACAATTGCATCTGTATCTCCACCCAGGAATGCAAGTAGATACCTGTAAAAGTGGGGCAGATAGGGGAAATTGTGTGGGGGAATTGTGCCTTTGATCGTGATGGAGCCATGCTTTGATGATACAAGCATAGAATTTGGCACAGTCAGAGTATGTCATGAAAAAAAGATATTTGGCTATAGGGCCATCGCAGATTTGTCCTTTGAAAAAAAATATGCATGTAGGTAGAATAACAAGCAATTTTCAAAATTTTCAAAATGGCTATCATTGCTTGTTATTCTACCTATATTTTTAAAAAGACAAATCTGCGATGGCCCTATAGCCAAATATCTTTCTCGTGGCATACTCTGACTGTGTGCCAAATTCTATGCTTGGACACATGTACCATCAAAGGAACAATCCCCTCACCTATCTGCCGTGCTATAAGGGTAAATAGATTGCACCAATCTCGAGGTGCTGCAGAAAAAAAGGTCTCATGGTCTCATGAACAGAGGTAATATTGTAAAGCGCTTTCAGACCTTTGTTATGAAGCGCTATAAAAGCAACGCAATTTTTTTTTAACCATGCCATTACCACATGCATGAGCCATCAATTCTGTCCGTCACACAAAAACTCTATTTATACCCAACAAAGGCAGGACCACCACTGAGCTGCACCAATGAGGAAATAAGGAAAAATATAGGGTGCGTTGTCATCACACAAAAAACTCTTGTCATTCTTTTTTTCAACATCTCTCTAAAACATGCAGCATAATATATTTCAAAAGTCTTTGGCTGATTACTGTGTGTGCCAGTTTGAACTCAAATCAGTAAATTACAAGTAAAACATCTGACATTTTTAATTGCTACTCACAGAATTTTTCAATTCTATTTTAGCGATAAATAAAACTGATGAAAATTCAGGCTTTACTGAGAATGATAACAAATGTACACTTAAAAGTTAATATTTACAATAAAGTCACACGTTTTGAATATTGCATAGTATTAAGCATGGTCATGATTATAATAATCATTCATCCAAACTTCCAAAATCATGAATCTAGAGAACCAAAAACTTTAGAAAAAAAAATAACGAGACCGAGAAATTAACACAAAACCCAATAGGTTCAGTCAATCAGTATTCCTGCTTATAGGTTATCACTTCTCATAATGAACGCTGTTCTATGACCAGCATCAGGAAATTGTACAGATTATAAGCAGAAAATTCTGCTTAGCAAATTTACGAGCTAAGCAAGAATCAGCCGAATACCAGTGACAAGCAATACATATTGCACTGCATAATGGCTGGTTACCCATTTCGGCTAAGCAATTATTTTCTGCGCTTAGCAAATTTCTAGCAGCTCTGTGAAACTGGCCGAAGGTTTTATGAAGCTGGTGACCAGGAAATAATTGCTAAGCATATTAAGTGCTAAGCAAACAACAGCGGAGAGCCAGTCAGAAATATATATTGCATGCCTCTTTTCAACGGTAACCTATTCCTATTTTTGCTGAGAAAAATCTAGTCTTTTTTAATTAAAGGCATATAGAATCATTGGCATTTACCCCAAGAGTAACCTAGCAAATTATTATCGACAAGCTTACTTGGATTAAAGATCGTACTTGTTCTAAACACCCCGTGACAATTATTCCAGCTGACTTGCTGTAATTTAGAAGAAATCAAGAAATGTAGTTGATTTCTTACAATCACGCAATGGTATGAACGTTCAAATAAAGAGTTCTAATGACGAAATCGTGATTTGTGATTCAGTTTGTGCATGGTTGTTAAGTGTTTTCTCGAAAAGTGTAATGATCCACTGAGATGAAACTTCAACAGGTTAGGTTTTGAACAATCTTCTTTGGGTATTGAGTGGTGTTATTAATGTAAACAACAAAATGTATGAAAAGCAAGAGATCCATCATGCCTTTAATGAATTTAGCAAATTGAAATGTGAAAGTAGATCCATAAAAGTGGCACAAAAGATCAAACCTTGTGATTGTAGTCCTTCACAAGATGACTGTAAATTTACTTGGCGGAAGCTCACCGATGTTCATACAAATAGTTATAAACCTTGAGACTATAATCCGGGCAAGAAAGAGTGCATCGAGAAAAAAAACCCCCAAAACTGATATCAAACTCCGCGTCGTACATGTGTCTTTCGGATCGGCAGATGATATCATTCATTGGCAATGTTAGCAAAATAACTGAGTATTATTTCTTCGGCGTCCCTGGCTAGCGACTCTTTGATGGTCTCTGGACCGTTCTGTGGAACATCTTGTTGGCAATCTCAACCACAAGGGAGAAGACGTGGAGGGGAAAATCACTGCAATAAAAAAAAACAAGAAAAGAGACAGTTACAATGATTTACAAAATGAGGATTTGCTTTATGAAACCTAACCCTTTAATATCCTTCAAAATTCAGGATATGAAAGGTAAGGCCAAAAAAAAAAAGTCTCCGGTTTCTGGTATGGAGCTTGCCCAAAAAGTGGTGTGGCGACGCGGCTTTTTTTTTTTTTTTACCTGTCTTTTTTGCTTCAAATGTCGGCTGATGACTGCAAATGGTGCCCGACTAAACTTAGTGCAAATATATGGGAGTCCGGAGAGGCCACATAAAGCTTATTCTCGATGATAACCCTATCTAAAAACACCTTAAAATTGTGCAGCAGCAGGATTCCAGTCAAACCAGTGAGTTTGGCGGTTTTGAGACATCATCTTTTATTGAAAAAAAACCTTTTTCATTTTGCCGACGCGCATGGCTACGGCTACGCGCGCGCATACTAGAAACCGAAGCCTCTTTTTTTTGGCCTAAAGGTGCCTAGCCACTGTCACTGTGAATGGGATTTGTTGCAGTTTTGTGGTGAAGGTACTTGTGAAGTTGTGATAAATCACAAGCCATCACAAGTCCATCACAAGTCATTACAAGTCCATCACAAATCATCACAAGTCCATCACAAGTCATCACAAGTCCATCACAAGCCCATCACAAGTCCATCACAAGTCCATCACAAGTCCATCACAAGTCCATCACAAGTCCATCACAAGTCCATCACAAGTCATCACAAGCCCATCACAAGTCCATCACAAGTCCATCACAAGTCATCACAAGTCACTCACATATCATCCAGTCCCAAGTCAACTCACAAGCTATTCCAGTGAACAGTGACAAAGGCATTCCTTTGTTATTGTTCATCCACTCTTACTTGTGACTTTACTTGTGAACTGATCTGCGATGTACTTGTGACCGGTCTTGTGATGGACTTGTGACAGGTACGTCGATCACAACATTAGTTGGTGCCCCTTGGAATGAGACATAGACAATTCAAGGGCAACGTTAACTTGTACTCACGCAAACAAGCTACAGGGTTGTTTGAATTCAGATGAAATGTCACGTGCCGCAACTGCGTGAACCTAGTTGCATATAAACTGGGGAGGGGGTGAGGGGGGGGGGGGGGTGTCATGGGATTCTACTTCATCCCCCTTGAGGCCCCTGCCCCACCCCTGCCAAGAGTTTGAGTAAAGGCTAAAATGAGTCCCCCCCCTCTAAGTTCCCCTCCCCTAAAAAATCGGAACCCAGTTCACCACCGAGTGAACCTCTAAACATATGCACACCGCAGTGCACAGCGCCCTCTACTGTTTCCGAATGGAGTCTTCACTGGCAACTTACCACGGTTGGGTTGGGGTGGCTGCCTCGTTGCCGCTGATAATGAACAGCGGGAAGAGAATCGAGAACAGACAACCACGGATGATGTACGAGGATGGCAAGGAGGTGAGCAAAGCTAGGGGTAGGCCAAACCCAAAGAAGTAGGGCCAGTTGAACTCGATTTGGGCAAGACGTCGATGGACTCTCCATCCTACCAGGAGCAAGAAACATTCAAATTAATAGTCAATTGTGAGGCCCCCCCCCCCAAAAAAAACCCCAACAATTATTTTGGTCCCCTTGGTGTCAATTTGGACTTGCACGTTACAGTTTTCTGCAAGATGGAGTTTTTGTTCTACTAAGTATTAATAAAAAAAATCTGTTCAATTGTAGCTGATGTGGCTGGATTTATTGTAATTCTCATCATTAGAATTTCTAACGACTAGATTTAACCTTTCCCTTGTGACTCAGGCAGCTGTAGCACCAAAGTGGGTACTCTTATCCTTGGGAATCTTACAAAATGGAGAAATAAACCCAAAAAGTGTCTTTACTGCCTCAAACTGGCCTGCCTGTTATCTCCCTGAACTGCCCCAAGGCGCCCTATAGCACTCTATTATTTCATGGATTCATTAGAGAATAAATATCATGCAATAATGTGTGTTTCTTCACCCTTAACAGGATTTTTGTTCTGTGTGATTTGGACCATCATAAAGACTGTCAAATCTGTTTGGGCCACTTTCTTCCCCTTCTTGGTATGTGAATGCCTTTCATTAGATACCAAGTGGCCCAACTTGGAATTCAAGTCCTGTCATTTAATGAGCTGTATCTCTGGACTGGGGTGTCCAAATGAGATGGGATAAAAACCACTGTGTAGAGTTTTTACTACGCCTTCAGAGTCTACAGATGAGTTTTGCAAAAAGAGAGCGCTAGTATTTTTAATATTTATGGATTGACTGCTACATTTCTTTAGAGACACCCTGTACAAAGCGCCAATGAGTTAAATGCACAAGGAGGAAAAGAATAGTGACCGAATGGCACAAACTCACCCATGTTGAACCACTTGTACTCAAATGAATAAAGCGAGTAGAGCAGACATAGATGCATCAGACTAAGGAATTGTCCCACTCCAGCTATTGGTACTAGACTTACAACCATGCTCTACAGACAGAGAAACAACAATTACTCCCCATTAATTTTTTTTTCAAAACTTGGTAATAAAACATACTACAGGGTGTCTCAAAAAAAAGTATACACTTAGAGAAATGTATCAAAAACGGATGTTTTATAATTTTCCAAAAATCTGTCACTACTGATTGATGGACCAAGGTCTTATGCTTTAATTTCCACCATTTCAATCCTCAGCTGTTCCGCATGAGTGAACACTAGCTATTTACTTTCATCAGATTTGAATTGGCTTGCGCACAAAAGTGCAAGGGTTGAAACAGAATCAAACAACGTGGAAGGGAAGTTTAGGCATGTGATTTGTTGCTCACAAATTTTCAAGGAAATTGGATTAACCCCAAGACCTCCATAAGCCCACCAAGTTTGAACTCAGGATGCGCCTTCCTCAAAACAAGTCAATGATTAGGTCTAATGGTAATCGTCACAAGGGAATGCAACGTTTGCACTTCAAGCATTCAGTCTTCGACGTGGCCTCCATTTCTTTGCACACAGACTTCTGCCCTCCTCAGCATGTCATAAACAGCAACAGCAACCTCGGCAGTAACACGTTCTTGCAGGCCATCCAGGTCTCTTGGTGGAGTGGTGTACACCTTAGACTTAAGATGGCCCCACAAGAAAAAGTCCAGTGGGGTAAGATCAGGCGATCTTGGTGGCCACTCGACCGGCCGGTTCAACGCGATGACGCGATCGCCAACAGTTCAGTCACGATCCTTCTCCTGTGCGGTGGTGCCCCATCTTGCGCCCACCAGACATGCCTAAACTGCCCATTTCTTCTTCCAGGACGATAACTACGAAAATCATTGAAGGCTGGCACGACATTTTCATTAATCATGTGCAGGTATTCATCACCATTGATGTAATTCCTGAAGAAAAGGCCAATGATTCACCCATTTCCAAGCGTTCAAGGAAAATCCGGCCTCGTCACCGATGATTAAATCATCAAGGAACCGTGACATAACAGATGTTACATAACAGAGTGTCATGCTATGGCATAAAACTGAGGGTCTGCCTTGTACATCCCTACATTTCTGCTTTGAATTGAGTACAACATGGTTCGTCCACAGTACACACCACAACAGAGATCATTTTTGGTAGAGAGTACCACCGTACTAACAGTGTCTCTGCAGTGCTTCGAAGGTTCCGCCAAGAGTACCCAAATGTACGCTGTCCAACACGAGTAACAGTTTACAAAAATGTTAGGAAGTACCAGGCTACTGGGACAAGTCGGAATCTGAACAAGGAACATTCTGGTCGACCCAGAACTGGTCGATCTGCTGCAAACATCCAATCTGTCCGTGATGTCCTGGAGGCACAGCAAGAAGCAGATGCAGGTGGCAGGCATGACGGGAGGATAAGCTGTCGTCGTAATGGGGTAGGGTTGGCCCCGGCAACCTTCAACAGGATTACTCACCTTGATCTGCATCTACACCCTTACCAAATCATCAAACGGCATCAACTCCTGCCCGGTGATCCACAGAGGAGGCGTCAATTTTGTACATGGCTTCTGGCACAGGGTCCACGGTTCCTTGATGATTTAATCATCGGTGACGAGGCCGGATTTTCCTTGAACGCCATGGTGAATTCCCACAACGTAAGGGAGTATCAGCCACGTGGACAAAAACCTGTTGATTTTGACTTCCAACGAAATAACGACAGGCACAAACTGACAGTCTGGATTGGTTTGCTTGGAAATGGGTCAATCATTGGCCCCTTCTTCTTCAGGAACAACATCAATGGTGATGAATACCTGCACATGATTAATGAAGATGTCGTGCCAGCCATCAATGATTTTCGTCGATATCGTCCTGGCAGAAGAAATGGACAGTTTAGGCGTGCTTGGTGGGTGCAAGATGGGGCACCACCGCACAGGAGAAGGATCGTGACTGAACGTCTCGCCGAATTGTTTGGCGATCGCGTCATCGCATTGAACCGGCCCGTCGAGTGGCCACCAAGATCGCCCGATCTTACCCCACTGGACTTTTTCTTGTGGGGCCATCTTAAATCTATGGTGTACAACACTCCACCAAGAGACCTGGATGACCTGCAAGAACGTGTTACTGCCGAGGTTGCTGTTGTGAGGCAGGATGCCGCAATGATTAGGCGTGCTGTTTATGACATGCTGAGGAGGGCAGAAGTCTGTGTCCAAAGAAATGGAGGCCACGTCGAAGACTGAATGCTTGAAGTGCAAACGTTGCATTCCCTTGTGACGATTACCATTAGACCTAATCATTGACTTGTTTTGAGGAAGGCGCATCCTGAGATCAAACTTGGTGGGCCTGTGGAGGACTAAGGGTTAATCCAATTTCCTTGAAAATTTGTGAGCAACAAATCACATGCCTAAACTTACCTACCACAGTGTTTGATTCTGTTTTAACCCTTGCACTTCTGTGCGCAAGCCAATTCAAATCTGATGAAAGTAAATAGCTAGTGTTCACTCATGCGGAACAGCTGAGGATTGAAATGGTGGCAATTAAAGCATAAGACCTTGGTCCATCAATCATTAGTGACAGATTTTTGGAAAATTATAAAATATCCGTTTTTGATACATTTCTCTAAGTGTATACTTTTTTTTGAGACACCCTGTATAATCATCTGCGGTCACATCCATCCTGTGTTGTTTAGGATGACTTTAACCCTAACCGCCCTGAATCCTTCAAAATCCTCTTTGCCAAAGTGGAGGAATTTGGAGGATTGAGGTTACATGGCAAAAGTGCGTTACTGATTTTGTAGGATGCACTGTGTCAAGGTCTTGGGCCGGACCTTGTGTTGTTTTTGCTCATCCATTCAAAAATATAGGCCTGGAGTCCTCCCTACTGCTCCAGGATGGCACTGGCCAAGCCTCAACATATGGACAGTCACTGCCGCAGGATTTTGCAGGATTCAGGCAGTGGTCACCCCTCCACGAACCATATTGAAGAAATAATGCATAAATTTACAGGATTGCGGCTATATGCTATTTTTCCATGAGGCCAATTGGAGGATTTTGCAGGACTGAGGCTACATCCTAGCAAAAAGGCCTAAAGAGTTAGGGTTAATACTTTCCCAAATCATTCAGTCATTGTACTGTGCGAGGGTGACCATACCTGTATGAGGAAGAGTGCTTGTATGAGGAGACTGAACAACATATCTGCAATCAGTTCACTCAGGTTAGGGAGCTGTGGGCGGCCGCGTGACTTGCGGTATGCAGCATCAGCTATATCCTACACAGAAAAATAGGGCAAAATAAAAACAGTTAACAATTGTTGACTGCTTTGATGTGGGATATGACGTTTTGAACACCTGAGGGGTGCATAGCACCCGAAGCGAATTTGTTATACCTCTGTCTTGGATTCTTTGGATTTTGACGTACCGTACCGTACGTGCCATACCGTACGTACGTAATATCCCACAGGGAGGTGTGCCATGACTTTTTATAAACTTAACACGTGATCGTTCTGGGCCACTGAAAATACAGTATTCAAGACAAGAGGTATAACAATATCCTTTGACACATAAGAACTTATTTTACACTGTATTACATTGAATTTATTCCCTGATAAATGAATAAAACCAAACGTAAGCTGAGGCGGTTTAAATGTACACGGAGTAACACGCAGAGCAGTTTGGGGTTATAGAGGAACTTACTGGTTGTTAGGGGGATACTGGATTTGCACATCCGTAGCCACAGGCGTGTGATATATTAAAACCAATCTAAGCTAAACTTTTATAGTTATGGTAAAAAAACTTTGCTAAGAGCCAAGGAAGGGGCTTGCCTTTATTAGTGTCTAGGGTTCTGCTTCCGATTACATGCCTTTAAAAAATAGGGTCGGTCGGAATTTTTTTTTTTTGCCAATTTTTTTTATGCAGATTGAATGGGGTATTCAATAATATGCGAAGTTTAAGCCTGAACTATTTCCATTGCACTACGAAAGCTATAAATGAAATGGCAACAAAAAGTGAATAAAACCTACCTTTAATTATTGTCAATATATTTACGTTCGATAATTTAAAAAAAAAAATGGAAAATTCCGGTCGTTCGCACCATATGCACAACGCTAGTCAAGACGCGGGGAGCTAGCCAAAACTCCGAGGTGTGTGATGCGTGCATGTGTGGCGAGCGGCCCACCATGGGCCGACAGACCCGTTTTTACGGTCAAAAATTTCGGAAAACACGCGGCATGTATCACTCGAAATACGAGTAGTGCGATCTCAAAATGAACTCTTGAACACAGAAAATACATACACAGACAAGCTAGATCAATATCTGTAAATTAACTTGCAAAAATGTTCATTCTCCATCGGTGTTTTCTTGGCATTTTTATGATGTCGAATCCGACCAGTTGACAGTGGCCTGCACTGCTAGCGCACTATCGGTCGCATAGCTGTGGACTGGTTACCGCATTTTCATCATGTCTTCTAAATTGGCCCCTGCGTGGCGCAGTGGGAACCAGTCGTCGCCACGTGACATCGAATTGCGAAGTAGTAAAAATAACGGAGGTTTCTTTTGAAAAAAAAAACGAATGTAAGTAAGAAAACAAATAAATGCAAGCATTTTTTTATGCAAAAGGGTTGTTGAGAGGTATTTTGTGAAGACAGAAAGACAACAAGATTTTATTTTTATTTATTCAATATTTTTTTTTTTTTTTTTTTGAATTTTTTTTTTTGGAAGCAGAACTATTTTTTTTTTTGGCCTTAGTTACTGTGCAGATAAATTTCAGATTCCTGAGTTTGTAACACCGTTATGTTGTCTTTAGAAGCACTTACCTGGAACCATAGACTACTGACCGCTTTACTCAAAACAAACAGCGGTAGAACCCACAGCGCGCCGAATGTATACGACATCATGGGCCCCATCCACGCCCATACTGTGCTGTTGGACATCGACTGACCAGATATACCTGAAAGAAAGTCAAATGTTTAAATAATTATTCTGAAAAATGATAATCAAATAGAATGTCATTTTAATAACCTGACCCATAGTTTCTGTCCCCTTATTGGCCAAGAGCATGTCACATGGTGTGCGTCTTGGATTTGGGAGACTCAAGCTCAGAGCAAGTCTTTGTTCAATGTAAGAAGCATCTAATGATTTTGGTGATGCCGATATCACATTGAAATAGATTAATCAACTAATATTGATATTATAAGATGGAATTTTGCGTCGGGTGATATAAATCAAATTTGATTTATATCACCCTGATGCAAAATTCCATCTTATAATAGTTTATGCGGTACCCGCTGCTATGTACATCAGATTCGAACCAGCCAACCGATCCCGTTAGCTCGGTGGTCGAGTGGTAAAGACATCTGCACTAGAAAGCAGGAGGTCGTGGGTTCGAGTCCCACCCGAGTGATTTTTTCCAACTTTCACTCGGGAGGTAACACACTGAGTATACAGTGTTTCAACGTCGGTGAAGGGCAAAACCCTAATTTAATATTGATATATCGACAGAATTGGTTGGGGGGGGGGGGGGCACTCACCAATAATCTTGTGGGTGATGTACTGTAATAACGGCAACAACAGATTGTTGAAGGTAACAATACTGAGCCAGAATATACCGCCGTTTAGCAGACAGCACTGTAACATGCGATGCATTACTTTGGGTTCACTGTATAATAAAACAAAAGTTTTTTGGTTATCAATACAAATTAACATTTTAACATGCAAAGTTTAAGCACACATTTGACATATCAAAGTTCAGCTCAGAAATTTCTTTTCGATACCTCTCTTTTTTGTCTTTGATGGGAATTGGTCTCCGCTGCGACTCCCTCATCTTCTCCTCTCGTTTCCTTTTTCTCTCCTCGGCAAGCGTGTTTATCTCTGCATCGACGCGGAAGATGAAGAGCGCCCCCAGAACGGCATCTCGCATCCCGCAGCAGATGTCCCCAAGAATCAACTTCATAGAGTCCGTCATGATTCTTGTGTCTTGACAGACTTCTGTGAAAAGAAGGCGTATTGTTGATGTACCCTAACGTGGCGCGGCCCCTAACGTTTTCCGAGATTTATTCAAGTGTGCCACGTTAGGGAACACTCAGCCAAATTTGTGCCCAATTTCCGGATGCCACCGTTTTTGAATTTCGGATTAAATTTCATGACACCAAAATTGTTTACAGAGGTTAAATAGCAAGCATTAATAATAATAAGGTAAAAGTACTAGTATAGTATTTCACTACATGAATTTGTCAACAAAGAGGTTTGGCAACAAATTACACGAAGAAAGTCAGGTAAACGTCGAAGTGCGCCACATTAGGGAACACCACTAGGCCTAATAATACAAACTTTAAATTCAATGATTAATGAAAATTTTATTTCACAAACTAAAGAACCCCCAACAAATTCAAACTGAATTTAAAGTGAACTGAGCCCCCCCCCGACAAGTTCACGCCCACTTCCAAAATGAATAAACGCCATCCAAAACATTACTCTGAAAACTCGTAAATTAATCTCTCTATTTCTCGTGAAAAAAATTATGTAAATTTGTGATAAATAGCAACTTCTTTGACAGACCATACGGAATAAGAATTGTAAGCAAGCAAAACATCAGCAAACTTACTTCTTACAACAAATGAAAATTCTTCGCAAGAAAAGCAGAGTGTGACAGCTGACAAAACAGAAGAAATATCATTCGGACGGTTCCCTGAATCACGAAATAGTGCTCTTCACACATTTTGAACGATGGGCTGGTATCAGACTAATTGTGCGGCGACATAATATAGAGGGCGCTATATATTACGCATCTGTGCCTTGGAGGCGGCTGGTAATTAAAAGCAGTGAATTAAAAGTTGTATTTTGAAGGAAAGACGCTTCAAACAGAAGTCATGGCCCGGGCTCAAGATGATGATGAGTCAGGTCCTCTTTGTTGCTGTGAATATCTCAGTGATAGTGGTGAAAAAGGCCATTTGTTGACGCTCTTTTGTGACTGCCAAGAACTGGATCAAACCTGCGATAGGTACGTATGGTCATGGCGGTCATGACACTGTGACAGTGTCAGAAAATCCGGTTTCTAGTATTCATGTGTTTGCATACTTACCACATGACATTCTGCAGGTGCACTACAGATTACTGCGCTCCCAGCCAGCCAGCCAGCATTCTGGACAAAAAAGTTGGATATTTATGAAGATTTATGATGATTTAACTTTTTTAGCATGTTTAGGGCTAACAAATAATGTTTGGTTAGTCTTCAATTCCGTTCCACCGTCAACGTCCACCGTGACACCTTTCCACCGTGACACCTTTCCACCGTCACTGTTCCACCGTTCCACCGTTCCGTGTTTTACCAACATCCTAGTCGATAGCCAGACCATGTCCAAATGTTAAAAAAGGCGATAAGTTGGGTCCAAGTTACTCGGACTACCAACATCCCATGTAAACGATAATGTAAAATTTCCTGTGGTAGGCCCTAGCTAGCCTTTATGTATGATATATTATGTATGATTTTTTTTTCTATTTGAACTATAAAGGGAATACAAATAAAATCATCAGACTAAGTTAAAATTTTACATATAAATTCCTGAATCCTGGATTTCTCGCTTTCCCCCAGATTTCAAGGGGTCATGTGTCCTCGGGAACTGAATGTTTCACTCGCCAATTTTGAAATCAATTTTCAATTTTAAACAATGTTTATTTCTTGATTTACAGAATTGTCTCTTTTGACAGTTAATTGTACATTTGTATGTGGTTCTGAAGGATTTCTTGATATTGAATTGTTTTTCCCTGCAGGTTGTTCAAGGGGAGAGGGATTGAAAAAAGTAGCCTGGTCAAGATCGTTAAAGTCGCTTGTGATCGTGTACGTATCCCAACATGCTTTGGGGCTGGAGCTAGGAGACTCGATGAACTAATGGACACGACAGCTATACCTCCAATGGTCATGGTCCCACTATGGATTTACATTGCATCGTTGCATCTCTTCGCTACAGTGGCGTCATTTCTAGTTGTACCAGTAGCGGTTATGCTTTACTATCGGTTGGTCTTACGTCACCGACAACGAACTCAGTTTTTTATGAGTTGGGGCCTCACTTCCGTTTTTCTCATCTATGGGACGTTCTATCTCTACGTCAGTTCTAAAATCGAAATCACTCAGTTCATATCTTTGACAGTGTTGTTTATGTTCACCCTCATAGCATTTTTTGCCTCAAAACACGGCCCCGGTGTCGTGGCCAAACCAACAGGGGCGTCAGCGACGAAAAACCTGTTTAAAGTTCTGGTGGAATCGACGGTTGTTCCTGAAAGTGTCTTTGGAGTGCAAAGGAAGAGAAACATCTCTAATGAGGGCGATCTGAACAATGTAGAAAATGGGTGCGTGCATCAGGAGACGTCAGTCATTGAGATGAGCAATCTCGTTGGTGGAGAGCTGCAGGTGTGTAGCGAATCGACCAATCAGGGATCAGAAGACTGGTGCGATGTCTGTAGGCTGATGAGACCAGAGCGAGCGGGCCATTGCCGGATATGTGGCCACTGTGTGCTTAGGTTGGATCATCATTGTGTATGGTGAGAAAAAATAATCTACAGGGATTTTAACACATGAAGAAAAGCTTGAAGACCAAATTGTGGTATAAGAAGTCTATAACATGTGAAGCCTTGAAACAGGCCAGTTTAGCTTATCAGTTTTCCTGATGTATTCTTCTCGTCTCGCATTCCGCAATTCAGTCTTACATCCAGTGGATGATGCATGTACAAATTTACCAATTATTATTTGTTTTGCGGATATAATTGTACCATCGTACTTGCCTGTCCCTCCCTTCCCCCCGGCATCCCTCCCCCACCCTGAAATTGTCCTTGCTCCTGGGAGAGCTCAATCAACCAAGGCTGGGACATGAAAAAAAGGAGCATGCCCAATTGAAAAAAGGGCACTCCTTTTTTAAAGTGGCTTGTATTTACTCATCTAAGCGTTTCTTGTCTAAGCAAAAATTGAAGACAGGGATTTTTTGTGGGGCACCTCGGCCAGTAAGAAGGCAACGACGGCACTGGCCGTCGTTCAATTCAAGCCCTGTAGGCCTACGGCACCGTATTAAATTCCACCCTGGGAATTGGAACATAATCAAAATATATTTCTACCGAGAAAGAAAATAACGTTACAGCCTTCCTCCAAAAGTGATACAATGTATATCTTTGGTGATAAGAGATTGTCTGTGGAAGTTCTACTAGAAGCTGGCAAAATAATCCTGGCAACTATTGTGTCGGTGTATTTAAACTGCACCTTGCAAGACGGTGATTTGTTTGCATCATACAGCAAGAAATCAGTGTCGGCGCGCTGCGGCGGGCTGTGTGTATTAAGTGTGTTCAGCCGTGTCACCTATTGTTATTCGTGTTTTCCACCTGCGCCGCACGGCGCCGTGCTATCGGCAGGCCGAGAGAAGCTGGAGTGCGGGCCAGTGCGGCGCAGTGGGAGCAGTGAAGCGGATCGCGGCGCGCCGAGTAATTTTTTATGGACGCTCAGCCTTATTTTAAAAAAAAGGAGCATGCCCAATTGAAAAAAGGGCACTCCTTTTTGAAAGTGGCTTGTTGTTACTCATCTAAGCATTTCTTGTCTAAGCAAAAGTTGTTGGCACAAAATTGGTCCTGGTGTTCTGACTTGGGTTTTTTAATCTTTTATTTGTTGGACAGGATTGATAGCTGCATTGGTGCGGGCAACCATCGTTCCTTCCTACTAGCGGCCCTCTTCTTCATCGTGGGAGGTCTGTGGGGTGCCTACCTATCCCTGGATCATCTCTGCTCCCTTCAGCTGAATCATATGCCCGATTGTTCTGCCGTGTACTCAGACAGAAGGTACAGATGTGGGAACACTGTTAATGAGCCCTTCCTTTTGTTTTTTTATGCCTGAACCCTCAAGTTTTTATATTTTTATATTTTTATATTTAAACCTTCAAGTTTTGGAAAGGTTTTGGCAACACTGATTTCAACACCTTGACAAGGGGAAGTAAGCTTCTTAGAGTGGTCAGGGTCTTCAAAAGAAATATCAACTTGCTCAACATTTTAAATAATGAAATGAACCCCAAAGGGATTTAAATTGTAGAGAATTTTGACCATAAATAAACAATATCCACTGAATAGATATCTCCTGTGTCCGTAACTTTTTTTTTCTCTACACTTTCCTTTGTAGCCCACACCTGGAGTGGGCTTTTTGGCCTTGTGATAAGCAATTTCCCCCAATTCAAAAAAAAATCCACTATTTGCTTAAAGAAAGCAATTCTTGTGAAGCAATTATAGTAATATGTTGCTAAAGGACGCAAGTCTTTAATATCTGGTGGCTCAATATGCTTACAGAAGACTATGCATAGTCTCTTCGCTTTGCAAATTTAGTTGTAAGCTTTTCTTTCTGTTATTTTGGTTTTTATTTTTTTAATTTTTTTTTTGCCTCTCCAGGACAGCCGTTGTATTTGTCTCGATTATCTACACACTGCTCGCCGTGTGCTGCGTTTTGGTGCTTCTTCTAGAACAGTTCCATTTGATCACACACAACTGGACGTACCGGGAACGCAAGCTGGCGGCGCGGTCCCACAGACGAGGGGAAGCACTGGCCGAACGGGACGAGGGGTTCATCTCCAACTGGGGACACTTCATTCTCATGAAGATTGAGACCGAACCGCCCGACAGAGCCACTAAGTTGACTGTTATATAAGGATTTGAGCATGTTGATCATGATCATCATTTTGATCAGTTTTATGCAGTTGCTTATGAAGTTTATATTACTACAGTCGACTCTCGTTAATACAAAGTCTGTTAATACAAACTCTGGTTATAGCAAACGTAAAGCCTTGGTCTCGATTGTGCATATTATGTGCACAATGAATGGGACGGGCACTCCGCTTATAACCAGTTCGCGTCGGAGGCCGTGTTAACATGCACTGGCTGTTTTTATACACAGGCATGGCTGACTGGATAAAACGTCAAGATTGCCTCGACTCGCCTCCGGGTGACGTCTAAACACACTAATCCCTCGTGTCTTTTGTACACACATACAAAGTCCGTAAAGTCTGTGGCTGTTGTGCACGGCCTATTCTACAATTTGTAGAGGTTTTTAGCAAGAAATATCGCACAAATACTGTTGAAATGGCTCTTGCGAATCAGTATTTGTGGCGTTTGGTTGTTTATCAGAAGTTTGCTGCTATATTTTGCCTTGTTCAAAAATCGAAATTTTCGGCAAAAATAATCCCGGCGCGAACTGGTTACCGGTAATACAAAATTCTGATATAACAAAGTTTGGCTAGGTCTGGCTGAGTTTGTATTAACAAGAGTCGACTAGAATATTCACTTGCCAGATTGCCAATATATTTTTGGAGGGAAGTCAGCGGGGAACCAGCCACAAGCAATAGAAAACAATGGCGTTTTGAAAGGTAACCTGAAGGGCAAGTTTAAGCAATCTCTACCAGGTATTTAATACAGTTGTGGTCGTTTCTTCAGTATGGAGATTTCTTTAACTTGAACTTGGCTGTGTGTTGAACTGGAACTTGGTCGCTGTACACGGCCTGTCCTTGTAGCAAATATCGTTCAGTGGTAGGGTCTCGGAGCATTGCAAAATATGGATATATGGTGAGAAGTATAGTACAAATATTGTACAAATGATTCAAGACTGAAGAGCCAGTATTCGTGGTGTCTGACTTGATTTTAAAATTTGGCCCAAGTGTTTTGTCTTTTTCAGAAATGGTGTTTTTCGGCCAAAAAAATAATCCCATTGTCAAGTGGTTAAAATATTGACATTCAAATGAACAATCCACAATTTTATCAAATGGAAGGCACAGAAACGAAACATTTATTCAGTAAATATTAAGCATCAAAACTAAAAAAAATTAACAACTTACTTTCATGGAAATTTCGCATTACAACAATGTTATAGTTGCTCATCTCAAAATATAAGTACAATGGAAGTACACCTGAATTAAATATATTTTCAGAAATTTAGATATAATAAATGTTAATTTTTCTGGCCGAGTACAGTCCTGCCATCATCAAACTAAAGCAAAACCAGTCAATGGATTTTGGCAGCTTTTGTAGGACACAGGAATCTGAATATTTTTTGGACGGAATAATTTAATCAATTTCATGAAGACTCTTGCAAGCAAATCACAAATTACATTACATTTGCTATTAAGGGAAGGCACAAATATAGAGCTAATTCTGAAACTGGATGGAATGAATAAAATGTTTACAAAACTAAAGCTGGAATACATTGCTTCATCTTTCATAGAATTTTTGATACAAATTTCTAACACTACAGTTAAATTTAAAGATGGACGGTATTCACTGCATATTAGTATATTTACAGTACGTAATGACTTTAAAATTAAATGTCTTTCTACTGAAGCCCATTTTACTCTTGTACATTCCATTATTGAATATATTTATTTGAATACACCGCTAGCAACAAGTTGACATATTGAAATGCCTTAAATGTATTATTTATTGTTAACAGTTTGGAAGTAAAAAAGAAATGAGGGAGACAATGGAATTACTGTTCCTAAAAGGACTATAATGGATTCGTGAATGACTATGTCTTCTGGAAATTGAATGTGTTATCCTGGAGTACTGATAGTGTTTTCATATTAAAATCGAACAGTATCATTCATTGAATACATGTCTGTTGTTCATCATATTTTTCTAAAAAGTATGGCAAAATAACGGAAGATTAAACCCATGTGGCCTTTGAGTGAAAGAGAGGCTTCGCTTTTGCAAGTACAGCCTCGCTTTGAATCTCCTCCACTAACACAGTCCCTTTCAGACTGTATGTGTGCTTCTATTCTAATCCCCCCTTTTTAACATTGACTCCACCCATAGGAATTTGGCTTCAATACTCGGGGATGCAAGTGGGTTTTGGCTCCGGGGCCTGAAAAACTTGACATGTGAAAGACGGCCAAATGTGCAAAACGATAAACACATTGCAGTACCACATGTGTACATAGACATGTACACGTCTGTCTACTTTGAACTTACAATTTATACATTCGTGTAGTCAGCCAGCTTAGCGACTGCCATGGAGCATTGCTTGCAAAACAATATTTCCCTGTGCATGCTACACGAGGATTTATTTTTCCGGCCTGCGAAGGGATGGAAAGCCTGAATTCAGGCTACAGCCTAAAAACTGGCATCCTTGTAAATTACAGTAACCAATGGCAAATCATCTGTGTTACGCCATGTAAGTTGATTAACCATTGCTCTGTTGATTTCATGTAGCGCACATCAGCTGGACATGCCAATGAATATTGGAGGGTAACACCATAAACGTGGGGAAGACATTTTTGGCAAATCTTGAAGTGAAGTTTGAGGTTGTGTGGTAAAGCAACGGTTTCATCAGTCTACTGCTGGCCGGGGTTGCCTGGTGGGTGCTTGCCATGGGCCGACGTCTGCTGTATGGGGGGCTGGGTAGGGGGTAAGATGTGCCCACCTTTCCTGGACAGTAAGCTGATCTCTTCCTTGAGGGCTTCTATCTCCTGCGCTTGAAGCTGTTTGAAACAACCAATCAGAGTACAGATTTCACTTATTAGTTGTATAGAATTGACCAATCGGTGTGTAGCCACACCCCAAAAAATTCTGAATATTTTCTATCAATGCAAGTTGTTTTTGTAACAATTTCTGTGAACACAGTTTCAAGTTCATCATTCCTGACCTTTGGGTATTATTATTATTATTATTAATCATTTCTGGTAATGAAACCAAGGATTCCTGAAAAGCGCCCTAGGCACTGTAGCTCGCAAGCCTGAAGAAACCTGTGGAGAGAAGACAATGAGAAGAAGTTACAGTTTTAGAGGTGGGAGGAAAAGCCCAGAAGAATATTCTGGGGAAAACCCACGGAATCAGGCAGGGACTGAAAACCCAATCCACATATTGGCCACGGCGGGAGTCGAACCCGGGTCACAGCGGTGGAAGGCGAGGAAAGTACCGCTAAGCCAACCTGACTCCCCAGGTCATGGTCTGGAGGGGGAGAGATTTTCCTCCCACTTCTAAGTAGGGGGAGAGACAGTACAATCTCAACTTTTTTCTGCCCAATGGACTAAACTATCTCCAAAAAGAAAAACAATCTAGTACTCCTACTTCAAGGGATCATTGGACGACTCACCTGAACCAGTTGAATCAGTCTCCCTCTTTCCTCCAGGTCAGCTCTGCGACTTCCCTGGAACTCACCACCCTGTGAAAAAGCCAAAATAACATAGTAATCTTCTTGATGTACATATAAAAGTCCAACTTGACATCTGCAGTTACTGTCTCAATTAAAACTGCCCAGTCTATGCACTCACATATCCGGTATTGTAAACAGCATGAACAGTTTTTCATTTGTAGCTTAGTTGGCAAGTGTTAATTCTGACTTTAATAAAACACCACCACTTATGAATGTTCTTAGGTAGTAGACATGACCACATAGTAATCTGAGCAACTGGACTTTCACGAGTAAAATACAACAGTTTTGACTCTTTGTCCGGAAAAAAATGTCATATCACGGGTCTCTGACCGACTAAAACCCGAATAACACTTGACATGAAGTACCATCCAGGATAAGATGTGGAAAATTTGGTGTAGTGGATTTTTCTACTCGAGTAAGCAAAGAAATTACTCCCGAGTAGTCGAGTACTCAAGAGTAGTTAACCGAATTCCCATAAAAGCAGAAAAATGACATACATGTTAATATGATGTGAAGAACAAGCAAATAGCTTGCAAGCCACACCACATTCTTAAGCACTGAGATATCCTTACTTTGCTTCTTTTTTTTTTTGGGACGAATGGAATTCTAGGGAGAGAGAGGTGGAGGGAGTGATTCCCTGTTCGCAGGAGACATATTTAGCCGTGAACCCTCAACCCTAAATTGCTACTCACGAGTATCTGCTTCTACTCGTGCCAGGACGAGTACTCGAGTAGATGAAAATCCACGAGTAGAACAACGAGTAGCATAAACAACTAGTGAATACTCGAGTAATAAAGTTACTCGCCCAGTGGTACTACTCTGGGAAAAGATTTAAGTCCAGTTGCTCAAATTGTTATTAAATTTAAACCATGTGCCACCCAGCAAGCATTTTTGAACATATACCCCTTATGATACTCCATTAATTGCCATCCAATAGCCTGGATACATGCATATGTACATCCATAAAACACACTGGGCTTGCTTACAGTTTGCTTTAATACTGCAGACAGGATAATTGAACTGTCAATGTGCTCCATTGTCTCATTGTTGCAATAATCTTTAACTCACTGTGTATGACATATATCAATATTAGGTTTTGCCCTTCACCGACGTATAAACACTGTCTACTCAGTGGGTTACCTCCCGAGTGAAAGTTGGGGAAAAAACACTCGGGTGGGACTCGAACCCACAACCTCCTGCTTACTAGTGCAGACGTCTTACCACTCGACCACCGTGCTAACGGGATCGGTTGGCTGTAGCAGCGGGTACCGCAATACAACTATTCAAATGGAATTTGCGTCGGGGTGAGGTAAATCAACATTAGGTTTTGCCCTTTTTATGCCCTGAATTGTGTTTGAAATAGTAGAGCCAATTCACCATAATGAAATGTTGTAGGGCGTTTGCTTCATAAATAAAAATGGCGACACCGAACATGAACAAAAATGCAGGACAAATGCAACCAGATGCAAAGCAAAAAAAAAAAGGCTTAATACTTTTGCATACGAATCACACCAATCTAATTACCGATTTTGATCCTTGGGTCTGCATGCATTGGAAGGAATTCAACAACATGGTTAGAAATTATCATATACGAGACTGAGGAGTTGTTTGAATTTGTGCAATCACTTCACAACACGTCCTGCAAACTGTGATATGTTCGCCTCAAAGATTCCTGGAAACAAACTTCTTAAACGAACATTTAAAAAACATTTGAAGATTTCTTCTTAGCTTCTCTATTGAATTGTCTCTTTGGTACTGCTTTATCTTATGCATATTCATGGCTAACTTAGCATTCTCATTGGTTAAACCAATGTGATGCACAATGATTTGTAAGCTTGCTTGGCATCCTGCCAAGTCATCAGACGTATCCCACGGTGCTTTGTGAAGATGCACAAAAGTGCATATGTGAAATGGACAAGGTCTCGGTTCACAGTAAAATCATATGATTGGTGCCATGAAACTGGCAATACGTAGGTTCAAGTATAAAGCAACTATGGATGAAAAGACAAGTCCGTTTTTACGCACCAAGTTGGTCTGTCTTGCGTCTAGAGCTTTCTCCAGGTTCTTGTTCTCACCGACCAGCATGGTCAGTTGCTGAAGACGCAGTGTGTTCTCTTCAATCAACTCGGTGATGCGAGCTTTCTTGGCTTCAATTTTACTCTAAAAAAAAATGGTTGCAAAAAGAGAAATAAAAAAAATGGACAACCAATTTTCACCTCGTCAAAAAAATATATATCGATATGATTTTGATGTTTTAATATTAGCTGTTACTATCACTGAAGTAATTGTATAAGCACTGCATATTCAATGCTATCTGAAAGCTTGCAACAAGAAGGACATAGTTCAAGGGTAGGACTCGAACCAACAACCTCCTGACTACAAGTGCAGATGTCTCAACCATCCAATAACCCAGGCTTTCCCAAGTGGCTGGCCAGTTCGAATCCGTTATGCCAGCAGGAACAACGATCGATATCTTATATAATGGAATTTTGCATTATGAAGATTCAAATTTTAATACTGTTTGATGTTAGTTCAACAGTCTAACTTTCAGGTTTAGTCTTAGTCCAACTGTCAGTCTGAGTCCTGAGTGTGTACGTCCGAGTCTGAGTCATGAGTATCACAACTCTGCAACTCGTGCTCCTACTCACATCCCACTTCAGCAACTCGTTGGCGTTGGTCAGCTCGTTGAGTCTCAGCTTCTCCTTGAGTTCCTCCACGGTGCGATTGACGCCCACCGTCTCCAGTTTCTCCAGGTCGATGATGCGGCCAAACTTCTGCCGCATCATCTCGTTGCATTTCTCCTCCAGCTCCGTGATGCGAGACTCCATGAGTTTACGGTCTTTGATGAGCTGGACGTGCTGCTGGCGGTGCTCCCTGAGGAAAAGATTCAAGTAGAAATTGAGAATTCTTATTTCTGAAACCATTTTTGAGTATTTTTTTCCATTTTTTAAAAATTTCAAGACATGTCAATAAATGCGAAGTTTAACCCTGAATCCTTCAAAATCCTCTTTACCAAAGTGGAGGAAGTTGGAGGATTGAGGTTACATGGCAAAAGTGTGTTACTGATTTCGTAGGATGCACTTTGTCAAGGTCTTGGGTCTGACCTTATGTTGTTTTTGCTCAGCCATGCATAAATATAGGCCTGGTTTATGCTTGAAATCCTCCGTATTGCTCCAGGATGTCACTGGCCAAGCCTCAACATATTGACAATCACTGCTGCAGGATTTTGCAGGATTCAGGCAGTGGTCACCCCTCCACGGACAATATTCAAGAAATAATGGAGGAATTTGCAGGATTGAGGCTATATATGCTATTTTCATGAGGCCAATTGGAGGATTGTGCAGGATTGAGGCTGCATCCTAGCAAAAAGGCCTAGGGAGTTAGGGTTAAAAGGCCATAACTTGTCAAAAGAATGTCAGCTATTGAAGTGCAACAAACAGTATTGTAAGGAGAATTTTATTCTCTTTCCTAATACCTGCAAACCCTCATTTTGACCTCTGCCCAGTTCTGTCTCATTTTGCCAGAACACTTCACGTATCTGTTTTTATGATAAAAGGACTAAACCCTGAGCCTACTTGTAATGTCGTCGCTGAGCCGATTTCTCCTCTTTCAGTTCTTGGATGCGGCGTTGCAGGTGACCCATACTGGCGTTGTTGACCACCAGAGTCTGGGAGAGATCCTGAGGCACCGCGCCGTTCACCATGTACTCCACCTGGTGAAGTCGCAGTGTCGCCACCACGTCTAGCTCGTTGAGTTTCTGCTGCTTCTCAAGCTGTTTGTGAACAAAAAGAGAGAGAGAGTCAGGTGTTTGTGTAGTGTAACATCAGGTTGATGAGTCATGGGTATCACTGGTTCACTATAGACCACGTCACACCTATGTTGCAGTCACCTGATCCAGACTTTATCTACAAACTGTTTCTTTTCTACACTCTTACTGAAACGCTAGATGTAGACAAGGAAATGGCAGGCTTAAAAAATAGTTTTGAGTTATTATTTGACATTATCTGAGCATTATGCAAATAGCACTCAGTGTTCTTTAACATCTGTACCTGTATCTGTATGGGTACGTCGCAGAAACCTATTCAGGCATTAACGCAACATATGTATCAGTACTGTCTTGCCTTTTAATTGGTAGCAGCATAGGCAGGCCCTCATTAATATTTTGCTTATGTCCGTATCAAGTTGCAATTATTATGACTCAGGCTCATCTTGAGTCATGTGGACAAACAAATCGGACTCGGACTCAACTTTTACGACTCAAGACTCATTCATCATGACTCAGACTTTGACACTTGAGGACTCGTAACTTTTAACTCGGACTCAAATACAAGTGACTCCTGATGCTAACTGGGACTTGAACTGTGTGGCTGCTGACCCAGACTCAGGCATGATCCAAGTGACTCAAGACTTGAACTCGAACTCAACTGAAGTGACTCAGCCACGACTATGCTGCTCGATGTGAATTTTACACATCTTATACTCACCTGGAATGCTTCCAGGTCAGCTTCTGCCGTCTTCAAGCCGTTAACAATGAGCTTCTGCTTCTTAGTCAACGCATCAACCTCTTTCTTCAAACCTTCTGCAATCTTCTTCTCTTCCGCAAGCAGTTCCTCAAAGTCCAGACGTTTCTCGCGGAGAGCACAGGTGTTGTCAAACAGAGCCTGTTGAAGGAAAGCAAACAAACTGTTGAATCGATTGTAGTCTTAATTCATACTCATCGATAACACTGATAAACAGGATGCACAACACAAAATATAAACTACGTCATTCAATAACACTGACTGAATGGTAAGAACACAGTTGAAAGTCGAATGTTTGTGAGTTTCGTGGGAACAGGGTCCAACTTGCAGAACTTTTCCGAGTGCTGTAAAATATTGACTTAGCAGAAACAGGCAACTTTACTTAAATGTTACGTGGTGCCCATGACCTGGATATTTCTAAGCACACTATTTGTTCATCAATGTTTTCTGCTGAAGAATCTCATTGAAATTAAGTCCAGCGCCCCATTTCAGAAAATATGGCTTAGCAAATTAACGTGCTAAGTAAAAATCATCTGGGGACCGGACACATGTAGAATACAATGCACGACATTTTGGCTGGTAACCGGTTTTTGCTAAGCAGATATTTTCTGTGCTAAGCAAATTCTCTCGCTCAGTAGCTCGTGAAGTATGACATTTAAAGAAATTGCTTTATGACCACAAATGGGAGCTTCAGTGGATGGGAGTGGGGTTGAGTTTGAGGGAGTATGGGGGTGGGGGTGAGCTAGGGGCAGAGATGGTAACGGACATGGAGACACACCTGATCACATCCCGGTGGACAGACGCTGTCGTCAAGCCCTTCCTCTTCACTATCCTCTTCATCGCTCGACCAATCAGATTCATCGTCTGAGGATTCCTCGCTCTCTTCATCCGACCCTGGCAAACAAGATCACAGAAACAGTCAACTCGTTTCGCCTCCATTGGTAGATGTGTTAAGAGAGTGAATTTATGATCAAACATTAGACATTTAGCGACAATTTGTCTGAACAGATTTGTACTGTGAGAGCAAGTGCGTGGCACGGCTCAAAACTGATTGTACTATGTCAGTTTTGTCCGAGCAGTGTGCCTAATAACGTCATCCTCTTGACTGGGTCTTTCAATCTTCAAATCTGTCTAAAACAAAATTCCAAGAGTTTTTTTCGTCCCTTCACTAACCTTCCTCAGTCTGGGCTTTCTTCTTGGCCCTCTTGATCTTCTTCTTGAAGACTTTCGTCAGGAACTCGGCAAACTTGTTGTTCTCTCCCAGCGAGGCCTGGAAGTTGGCGTACAGCGCCTTCTCTTTCTCCATCAGCCTGTCGATGTCTTTGCGTTTGGCGTCCAGTTTCTGCTGGCATTCAGCAACCTGACAGAATAAGGAGAGGGGAAAAAGTCCATAAAACTCACATGACAAAACAAATTGGAACTTAAAGTTGCTATTTTCATAAAATGTTTGCTAGCAATACCATATTTATTCATTTTTTGAATGAGATGTCAAAAAAAAAAAATCAAAAGGTTGCAGATGCCCAAAATACAAAAAGTAGTTTTTTTTCATCAAAACAAATCTTACAAATTGAAAATATTGTTTGGAGAAAAATGTTTTTCTAATTTAATGGAGACAAAAAAAGAGTAACTTCAATTTGGTTGAACAGTTTGGTTATGGTACCCGCTGCTTTTTCAGATTCGAATCAGCCAGCCGACCCCGGCAAGCTCGGTAGTCAAGAAGCTAGAAGTCTGCACTAGCAAACAGCAGGTCATGGGTTCGAGTCCCATCCGGGTAGCTTGTGAATTTTTTTCTCACAATCACTTGGGACAACGCTGAGTATACAGTGTTAATAAAAATATGTCGGTGAAGAACAAAACCCAATATTGAATTCACATCACCCCGATGCCAGTTCCTTCTTTTGAATAACTTCAATTTTTAAAAGCAGGTATTTCTGCAGATCTTTTGGCCACTATTAACATGTTTTTCATTCATCAAAGCAAATCGGTTTTTGTTTTAAATGGGTATGGTGAGATTCGAACCTGCCGAATCTAAAAAGCTGTATTGGCACACTGCCAGAGGTTGCAAGTTCAAATTCTCATGGTCAATTTCTTTGTAGAACCAAAAACTGAAGTTTCCCCGAGAAACATTTCTGGCCCTAGTGGGATTTGAACCAGGGTACAATAGGGAAGACATTTTAGGCCTTGTTCTTCCCTTTGTTGGAGCGCAGACGGGAAGTGAACCTACCTTCAGTTGACTGTCTGACTTCTCCTTGATCTTGGCTTCAACCTTGGCTGCCAAGACGTTCTCTCGTTTCTCAAACTCCTTCAGGAGCTGAAGCTCTTCAAACAGTGTCACTCGCCTGCAATCAGGCGATCAAAATCGTCATGAATTTCATTATCAGTATTTTAATATTTTGACATGATAACTAAGAAAAAAATTAGATCTAGATGTGAGGAAAAGACTTGAATTAGTTTCCAATTTTATGGATCTGCTTACTATTTAAATAAAAAATGGCAGAATCTTTACTAACTAGCAGAAATAACCATGCTTACAGTAACACAAGAAAATAAGGCTTTTGCACATGCGTACATCCTGTAACTTATGATGCTTCACACAAAAAGCTCAGGATTTATGTTCTAATGCAGTAAGCGCTAATTTCATGGTGATCATAAGTGCATAATTCCTTGGTTAGCAGTGCCGTGGTTAGTACAGGGTTCCAGGAGGTTCCAGTATCTCAATGAATTGTGGTGGTTATACAGTGTTGTAGTCGTAGTGCTTGTGATGGATCACAAGCCATCACAAGCCATCACAAGCCATCACAAGTCATCACAAGCCATCACAAGTCAATCACAAGTCAATCACAAGTCCATCACAAGTCCATCACAAGCCATCACAAGTCATCACTAGTCATCACAAGCCATCACAAGTCATTACAAGTCAATCACAAGTCCTCTAGTCTCAAGTCAAGTCACAAGCTAATCAAATGAACTGCGACAAATGGCATTCCTTTACTGTTCATTTCCTGTATACTGTAAGTGGACTTGCGAATCGACAAGTTTTGTGATTTACTTCTGACTGACTTTGTGATGTTCTTGTGATCCACCGCCAGCATTCTCAACTTCAACACCGAGCAGTTACCTGAGATCGGAGTTCTTCAAGTCGGTGTCCAGGTTGAGCTTCTCGTGTCGGAGCATGCGCAGCTCCGCGTCAAAGTTGAGGATGAGCTCGTGGACGCGCTCGATCAGTTCGCCCTGGCGATGGTGCAGACGGATCTCCTCCATGGCGATCATCTGTTGCTCCAAGGGGGACAGCTGGACCGTGGCGTCGAGGTTGGAGGCGGCCCTGGACCTGGCCGAGATCAGGGAGGAGTGGCGGTAGGACAAGGGGGTGGTCGGGTCCTTGTCTTTCTGCAGATGCAAGAAAGGATTAAAGGGACTTTACAACATTTGCAAACATAAAAAAATAAAACTACCAAGTTTTTACGAAGTACCTTACTAGGATGTTGGTAAATGACAGTCTAAGGCATCCTGTAAAATTATGGCACCTGCTGTGAAGTCATTTTCAAGAAAAGTGATATTTTGAATAAATTTCCAACGGTGGTCGGCCAACCACTGTTGGAAAAACCTAACTATTTTTCAACTACTGCTCCAAATTTACCATTTTTTCAGTCTAAATTTTGTTTGCTATTGGTTACATGTTCATGAACAAGTGCAGGCCAGCTAGACTGGTTCCCTTAACTTACAATTTTCCGGCATCTATAAATTGATCCATTTCATCTTTAGTGGAGTCTGGGAACCAGACTACTTTAACATTCTAGTTTTGCTTGGTTTTCCCAGCATTTTCGAACACAAAACTTCAAACATGTCAGTGTAACAATATTTGATCTATTATACTAAACCCTCAAATAGTTCATTTCTGAAAATTACAGCAAAAGCCAATGATGTACATTCCCTTTAAGGAGCAAATCTGGTCAACGACAATTGGCTGACTGGTGATTCATTTGGGACATATCTTGTACCGGCACGATAACATCGCAGTGCAAATTTCTCTTGTTAATCTGTGATCAAATGTCTTTAGTAGTACGCAGGAGGTTTGCAGATTCAAACCTCAGTCAAGCAAGATAATGATTTGGTTTTACTTCACGCTTACTGAGCTGGATGTTAGTGAAGGGCCAAACTCATTTTAATACCCAGCATGCTTGTGTTTGCTCACCATGACCAAGCGACTGCACTAGTAAGTGAGAGATCCTGGGTTATGGTTTATGGTTTATTTTTTTCATATCAAAGCACAAAAACATAATTAACAAGAATCTATATAAAGAATGACAAAAAACTGTACGAGGGATCCAGATAAAAAAAATATGCTTGTACAAGACCTGGAACCCATAATTACAAATAGAGCTAACAAATAAATATGTACATTTCGAGTGCTACCAGAGCCAGCTTGTGAAATTTTCTTCTCGGATTGACACTAAGTGTTCCACGCTACGGCCAGTGAAGAGCAAAACCCAATATTAATACCTACTTAGTATATATTTGAAATAGACAGATATTTCTGTCAACATATGGAAACAAACTCTCCCCTGTAAAAAAATTCCAACATGACTCCTTACCTGGTCTGTGGCACCTCCACCCCCACCGCCGGCACCTAATCCTCCCCCGAATCCAAAAGCTCCAGTATCCCCTCCAGTCTTCTCCAAGATGGCCTTCTCCGCCATCTGGGCCTTGAACTGCATCAGGGTCTCGCGCGTGTACTCCAGTTTCCTGAACGAATGATACAGTGATGTATCACTGAACAGATTTTGCCGGATGGCGAATTCGCAGATACGTTTGAACTCGATAAATTATTTGTGAACTACTGAGGCAAAACGAGGAATGTCCCCCAAAGCCTTGTATTGCATAATCGACGCCTGGAGTTGGATATACTAGAAAAATTACGTCAAAATCGATATTGATTGTTTTGTATTTTTGAGTAGCAAAGGTATCCAAGATTCAAACTATGCATTTTTGTTGGGAAAAAATACCCACAAAATGGCAAAACTGAAAAACGTTTTTCACTGGCGTTGGTGGCGCAATGCGTGTCTTTTTTTTTTCAAAGTTGTTTTTCTCGAAATGAGGTTAGCGAAACTTGGCAGGACACTGTTGAAGTTCCTGCGTCATATCTTTGGAATACATTAAGCTACAGAAATATATTTGGTATCATTGGAAAGCCAATGATTTGCGCTTTAACATGAGGTACATCATGTGAAAAGTCAAAGATGGGGGTTATTCCTCATTATGCTATGGCAGGTCACATTTGCCTTTAGGTCCTCAACAACAAAACTCGGCTCTCTTGACATTTTTTTTTAGGGTACAAAATTTGTTTACAGTGCACCTCAAAGTTTTTTGCAAAAGTCTAAGATATTTCAACTTGGCCAAATTTGTTTTGCCATAAATCTGTCTTACTGTAAACTGTAACTGATTTTTTTATATTTTTATCCTAGAACTTCATAAAAAATTTTATCTTGCAAGCTTTAGGACAGTACGAAATAAGCAGTGCCTTTGAAATTTTGAAACAATCTTCACTTGGTGAAATCAGGCACAGGATGTGTAATCTTACTTCTCTGGTGTCTCGCAGGGGTGCAGCGTTGGGCATTCTGGCAGCTGCTGCCTCTGCTCTTCACCAAGGACTTTCTGAATGTCACTCAGCTCCGTCAGAAACTGCTGGATCTCCTTAATGATGCCGATCTTCTTGTCTCGCAGAGCGACCACGCGTCGGTTGAAGTCGGACTTGTACTTGTGGATCTGTTCACGGTGATCAAAGCAAAGGTAAAGTTTTCATTAATAATATTAGTAGTAATAATAATAGTAGTGCAATAGTAGTAATATTAATACCGAAAATGGTACGTTTATAGGGAGACATTCCCATGGACTTGCGCACAAAAATCTTCAAACTTAACCCTTGCTGCTGTTTAAAAGGTCACAAACTGTCAAAGTTTCCTTCCACTTCCCCTGGTATACTTTTAACACAGCAATGGTCACTTGACCAATACTGACCCAAGTAACAGCATGGCTCAGAATGCATGTTTTCATAGGAGGGTTAATGACACCTACTTCTAATTTTTACCTTATCCTACCCCACAAATTTTGGTATTTATGTTTTGGGCCACAGGCAATCGATGTACCCTATTTGCGACTGTAACATTCTGGCTCTAAATAGGAGTTGAGGAATTCGTCCCCTGTTTCCCAAAGGTATAACATCTGACGTTAAGGTGTCTCCCAAATAGTACCTTTGGCAAATATAATAATAATAATAATTTGGGAGGCTAATCATCCCAACTCCCAGCTGGTATGCTGAATTGCGAAGGACCCGGCTACAACGTGGTCGGGCCGCTGGCACGTAAAGGCGCCTATGGCTGCCGGCCACATCGACCCATGTATGACCACGGAGCACAGCCTGAGATCAAAAGTGTTTGATTTTTCCAGAGGGAGGAAAACTGGAGGGCCCGGAAAAAAACCCACGTGGCACAGGAGAGACCAACGCACAACTCTACTCACATGTGATCCGCGGCCAGGATCCGTGGTCACCTTGGTGAGAGGCGAGCACTTTACGCACAAGCCACCCATGCCACCCAAATGGGTATTTTAATAGAACTTTTAACAAAGTTCACAGTGCCTCAAGTTACATGATTATCACCCCTGCTCACTTGGCCCATAAAACATTCCTTATACTATCCCAGCTCCCTGGGGAGTATACAAAAGTGACAGAAAAAGTATGAGGATTTTATTGTTCATTTCTGAGTAAGTACTCCAAATCTTAAAACCACAATTCTTTAACCAGTCTTAACTGGGGTTGATGAAAAAAACCTGGTTAAAGTTGGATAAAGTGAAAACTTAAAATAGGTTTAAGAGGCAAACACTTGATGTTTCTGCTACCATTTCTTCCAATGTGACCAGCTGGTTGCGTTTCTTGAGCGCGTTCATGCGCAGGTGTTCCGGCACGCTGTAGTCCTTCGCCGTCTTCAGTTTGAAGTCGCCCATGTGATCCTGAGCATCCTTGATGGCCGCAACGTCGGCCGGGTCCTCGTAGTCCTCGGGCGGTTTGCTCGAGAGAAGCTCCTCCCACTAGGGAAACGAGGATAAAACACGGTTATAGACTCAGTGCACACTATCCCCCTCGATGGAGAAAAAAAACACGATTGAAAAAACACGAATGAAATTTTCATTAAAAGTCCACTTCTCCGTGAAAAGAATCTTTAAGAGATGTTTCATGGACATTTACATAGGGCTTATATAGGACTAATCCTGTAAGGGTATTTTCACGTTTTTTTTAATGACCCTGGCCACTGAGGATTATCATTGGTTATACATAACGGTACACTGGGTCTATCTCCATGGGTAAACAAAGGACTTTCTTAAGGGTGTTTTCACGGACACCTAATCTGGCTTAATATGTTGAAAAATCCGTGAAAATTTAGTTAACTGTAATTTCAAGGGAAAATGGCTCTTTAACGAATTTGTAAGGGATGAAGATGTTCATCAGCCCAATTTCTGTTAACTGCAGAATTCCGCACTTGTGATCACAACTCTGTGCTAACCCTGTAATCACAGAACCCTTAGTTATGAGATGTCGCAAGCACACAAGCCAAATTCCTTGCCAACCCGTTAAATGCGACCATCTTTTTGCATTTTCTACTACTGTTGAAAAACTGCTCGGCAAATTTACTTTTTACAAAGCCGAAAAAACTGGCCTTAGATCTTTCATTGCATGATTTGTACCTGTTTTTCTCTGGCCAGTCTCTTCTGTCGAGCCTTCTCAGCCTTCTGCAGAGCCTTGGCCACTTTCTCCCCGTGACGTCCAGTCAGAACCGTAGACTTCTTGATGTCTCGTGTCCCGGCGGCCAGCGAAGCCTCCGTCATGCTCTCCCCTAGACCCGACTGACCGGTCAGTGTGTCACGGGTCGGGTCGCGTTGTAACCCTTTATCGGACATCATGGTGGCGCGACGGGTCAGTTCTTGTTTCATCTCAAGGAACTCCTTGGGGAGCTTGGTGGTCCGGTAGGTAGGGACCTCGTGGTCGGTTTGGATGGAGACGACGACAATGCGCTCACACTCCAGCTCTATTTTGAACCTGATGGTGAAGGTGTAAACAGTCAGACATAGTTCTAAAGGCTACTGCACCTACAAAACTGCTTGTGCCACCCAAATTTAGCCTTGTTTCAAAGCAGTACGCCATTTCCCCCTTTTTTATTTTAAAGCTATACTTCATCATTTGCAGCTATCCGCAAAGTAACTGGCGTAATTATTGTTGAAAAACTTACTTGGTTGAAAGATAGTAAGGGGACTAAACTCCCTGTGAAATTATTCTTTCTGGCAAGTTCTTTCTGGCAAGCTGTCATTTTGAAGTAATCATCGAAAGAAGGCCTTTCTAACGGTGCTTCTTAAGACGCACCGTAGGAAATTTAAATTAGTAGTTCGTTTTGTTATTCGGCGAAGCAAGCGCAAGCATTGGCACGACGCACACACAGTTGCTATAATTCGTCGGATCAGTGCGTGACACCGCGTAGCTGCAATCAGCTCAGTGAGAATGTGTCTCGGACGCGGAATTCAAGCCCGATTCAAAACATGATTCAGCAACTTTTAATTTGAAATTGAGATCTTAGAATGCTGCTTTTCTCAGAATGTACAGCTGAAGCTGAGCTGAAACTTTATCAGGTTAGTTGTTCAGTACCCTTCTTTAGATTTTGAGCACTTTTGTTGCTTCAAACGAACAAAATGCACAAATTACAAATGATGGACTATATCTTTAATACGAGTGCTTTTAAAAAAAAAGAGTAAAAGCATGAGTGCTTGGCTCTTTATCCTAGTAGAATCTATGGCTGCATCTGAATGACTTGGCTATGGCTGGATATAACACACAGGTCTATGGAAAGTGGCTGTAGCCGCTTCCATAGGCCCATGTGTGATAGCAAGCCATAGTCAAGTAATGCAGACATGGCCTTGGCCTCAGATTTGAGAAAGATTCAGCTCTGGTTTAAATTTGTTTCAATTGAAATATTTCAGGTCATCTGGGGTCTGCATTAGTTCATAATATAATCAGAACCAACCTGTTCTTGAGTTTCTCCAAGCTGATCTTATGTTTCTCTGCTTCCCAGGCCAGCTCCCTGCGCACCAACTCAATCTTGTCGTTGGTCTGTTTCTCCAGTTCCTTGCGAATCCCTGGATCCATCTCAAACTCCTGTCAGAAAAAAAAATAGAAAAAAGCAAAATTAATTGTTGGCTGGTTTTTGTAAAATAGCAATGCTGTAGTCAAGTCCATCACAAGTCCTCCTGTCTCAATGCAAGTCGCAAGCTATTCTAATGAACTGGGACACAGCATTCCCTTGTATCTGTTCATACTGTTAACTTATGAGTAGACTTGAGATAAGACTAGTAATGTACTCTGGTGATTTAACCAGAGGAATAGTCAGGCGGATTTCCCACAGAAATCTTAAAATTAAAATTCCATGACTTTCTCAGAACCACACAACTCACTCAGAGATATCTTTCATTCACATGGTGTTAATACCGAAAACCTCCCATTCATTGTCCTTGACTTTTCTGTTACTTTTCCAAGACAAAATTAAGGCTATATCCATTTACCAATTCCTACGCTGTGTTGGCATCTTGGGAGCTTTTTTACAATACATTGGCCAGTAATCACACTGAGGCAAGGGACGCCATGCCCTTTCAGCCTTCCAGTTTGACACAAGACCACTGAGCACCACAAAAGCATCACAATGGTGCACTGAACATGCAACAAGTATAGATGCATAAGGCCAAAAAAAAAAGTCTCCGGTTTCTGGTATGGAGCTTGCCCAAAAAGTGGTGCGGCGACGCTTTTTTTTTTTTTTTACCTGTTTTTTTTTGCTTCAAATGTCAGCTGATGACTGCAAATGGTGCCCGACTAAACATAGTGCAAATATTATGGGAGACCAGAGAGGCCACATAAAGCTTATTCTCGATCATAACCCCATCAAAAAGCACGTTAAAATTGTGCAGCAGCAGGATTCCAGTCCAACCAGTGAGTTTGGCGGTTTTGAGACATCATCTTTCATTGAAAAAAAAATTTTTCATTTTGCCAACGCGCATGGCTACGGCGACGCGCGCGCATACCAGAAACCGGAGACTTTTTATTTTTTTGGCCTAAAGAGGAAGTAATTATAGTAAACTGAAATGCAAACTGGAAGACTGCCACAGCCAAATATGACGCATCATCACGTATGGATTGTGCAGGATTCCATGACTTTTCCACGCTTTTTTACCTAGGAATATCAACTTTCCATAACTCCCTGTAAAATAACAAAATTCTGTGACTTTTCCAAATTTCAGTCGTACCTTTCTCTGCAACTGCAGATGATCAGGCAGTTCCTGGTTCTGCTCCAGTAATTTCTTGAACTGCCGTCGGAATTTTGCGATGGTTCGTCTGACCTCCATCTTCTTCTCTTCGGCCTTTCTCATCATCTTGTCGTATTCGGACTTCTGCTTCTCCAGCTCAATGCTGTAGTGATCTTTACTTTCGATGTCCGAAACTTTGCGATCTTCATCCTCTTTCTGTTGAGGAGAAATTCACAAAAACAGAGAAACTTACCCCCAAGTCTATCAACTTCTGTTCTCACATTGTCTAACAAAATGATGTAATGAGTGTATTTCTTATTGAATTTTTATATTAACTTTTTGCAGTAAAAACTGTCGATTTTTTTTTAAATACTGTGATTTTTCCAGAAATGTTGTTTTCAGCATGTTCCAAGAAATACAGCCTGAAAATACTTCAAATTTTTTTTCTTCATTTAAAAAAACAACATATTGATCATCATAACATGTTCTCAACATTTTTGCAGATGTATATACCATAAATAACAAAAACCAAAAGAGTTATTTTCAATTTCCACAATATAATTGATTAATTGTTTAGCTTTTTCCTCCGATAAAATATTGCACTCAGTTGGACGTGAAATCAACGCTCACATTAACAGAAAAAAAGTTAACTAGAGGTTCACGTTTGTTGAGTTACAAGCACACAGAGTGGTCGGGCGGACAGCCTTTTCATTATACACTGCCCAGTTAAGTTGGGAATATATGTTTATGTAGAACAAAGGATCACAAAATTAAATCCCTTCCAGTACAATCAATTATTTTGTTACAAAAATGTATCTTTAACAGTGTGATAAATTTCAGTAAATATTCTATGTGCGCAAAAAAAGTTATTTCTGGTTTGATTACGTCATCAGTCAAAAACGGTAAGTGAATATATACTGATAAAGTTCGGAGAGGATACATTTTCATTGTGAAGTTAAAATAATATTGATTTCCTCACCCCGACAAAAATTACATATTATGAATGAATCAGATTCGAACCAGCCAACTGATCCCACAAGCTCGGTGGTTGGGAGGTAACACACTGAGTAACCAGGGTTTACACGTCGGTGAAGGGCAAAACCTAATATTGATTTACATCACCCCGACGCAAATTCCATCTTATAAAGAAAACAAGTTGTTACCTTGGCCGATGGGATCTTAGCCTTAGCCAAAGCCTTAGCCTCTTCGATCTTCTCCTGGCTCATCAGCTCAAATGCAAACAGGTTCCCGTCGGCCCCAGACGTGAAGACAAACCGGTTGTCGAAGCTTTTCTTCACGCCGGTCACGCGGCCGTAGGTGTTGTCGTGGACGGTGAGCGACCAGTACGGACCGAACCGGGAGAAGTCAGCCTGGCTTCCGTCGGGGTTGCGGTCCGGTTTGGCGCCCTCTGTGTCCAGTGAGTGGATCTGGATCGCGCCGTTCTCCATGCCGAGTAGGACTTGTTTGCCGTCACCGCTGTAGAAGAAAACAGATTAATTAAAAAAATCAAATATGAAAAAAAAAAAAAATTACATGGCTCTTTTTAAAATGCGAGGCGTCCTGGCAAAATGAGACGGAACTGGGCACAGGCCGTAGTGGAGAAAAATGCAGAAAATAAAAAGTTGGATTAGGCCAACAAAAAAAAGTCTCCGGTTTCTGGTATGGAGCTTGCCCAAAAAGTGGTGCGGCGACGCAGCTTTTTTTTTTTTTTACCTGTCTTTTTTGCTTCAAATGTCGGCTGATGACTGCAAATGGTGCCCGACTTAACTTAGTGCAAATATATGGGAGTCCAGAGAGGCCACATAAAGCTTATTCTCGATCATAACCCCACCTAAAAACACGTTAAAATTGTGCAGCAGCAGGATTCCAGTCAAACCAGTGAGTTTGGCGGTTTTAAGACATCATCTTTTATTGAAAAAAAAAACTTTTTCATTTTGCCGACGCGCATGGCTACGGCGACGCGCGCGCATACCAGAAACCGGAGACTTTTTTTTTTTGGCCTTAATTTTGTTTTTGTTTTTCAGGTTTAAGGATACTTGTCATCTTCAATATGTCTACTACACATAATTGAAAGAAATAGCATAAACATTAAGCAATAAAAGTGTTTTTAATGAAAAATAATTGGCATCTTTCATTTTCACGACTACAAAACTTGATACTTTAAAGACCTTTTTCTCAGTATATGTATTTTATTTTCTCGACATATCGATAAATGCGAGCTTTAAACAGCTATAACTTGTAAACAGAATCTCCGATTGAAGTGCAACAAACAGTACTGTAAGGAGAATGTTATTCTCTTTCTGAATAACCACAAACCCTCATTCTCGACCTCTGCTCAGTTGTACCTCATTTTTGCCAGAAAGCTTCAGTGTGGCCTAGTGGTTATGGTTTGTGACTCATGATCAGAGGGTCAGGGGTTCAAATCCAGCAGCTGGCCATATGTTGTGTCCTTGGGCAAGCCACTTCACCCCAACTTGCCTCTCTTCACCCAGGAGTATAAATGGGTATCGGCATTAGCTGGGGAGTAACCTGCGATGGACTGGCATCCCATCCAGGGGGGATAGAAACATCCTCGGTCGATTCATGCCTAGAAAACTGGGGATAAACTCTGGCCTGATAAGCTATATTGGCTCGTGACAGATTTACTACCAGTACCGTCTCATTTTTGCAAGAGCGCCTAACATTTGTGTTCGAACGGACAGAATAAAGAGAAGAAACTCATGGACGTACGTGAACTGCATGGTCCTAATAGGCACATCATCGCTATCAACGACCGGGAATGTTCTAACGGCTTCGTTGATTGCCTCTTCACGGCCCTGCTTGATCATGTCTGCTTGCTCCTTCTCATCTCGGAACTTGCACTCGTACAGGTAGCCAGCATCAAAGGCACCCTGCCAAAACAAGACAAGCAGTTGTTTCATTTTTTTCCTGTCTTTGCCACTTAAGTATTCTATTCCCCAAAATCCCTTACCATAACATGTGACTCTGTTTGGACACCAATCACAATAGACGAATCCATTAGGCCTGACCTCTGGAGACAAAGCTGAATCTGAAGACAAAACCTGAGTTTCGTAAACTGCTTAAAGGCACATAGGATCAGTTGCTTTTCATGCATTTTGTTCGTTTTCAATAATAACACCACTCCAAATCCCAAGGATAGTGTTCAAAACTCAATCTGTTGAAGTTTCAGCTCAGTGGATATCTTATCTTATCACTAAGAGAAGGAGTTTGCCCCGGTTTTTCTGGCAGTGGTGGCTTAATGCGCCGCCACACTTGTAAACCCTTATAAGTTGCTACATAAAATGGATCTCCTATTTCAAATACTTCATTTACCTGTCTTTAAAATAAATTCACATTAATTAGTGCCTTGAGTACCTAATTGTTGGTAGATACGTGCGCTATATAAGACTCCAGTATTATTTTTATTATTATTATTATATTACACTTTTCGAGAAACACAGTGGAAAACCATGCACAACATTTTGATCATGGAACACGATTCTGTCTCTAAAACTCCTTATTTCCCAAAAATTTTCAGACAACTGCCTGATTGTAGGCAATCCCCTACATTTCTTGATTTCTTCTAAATGACTGCAAGCCAGACGGAATAGCTGTACAGGATGTTTAGTACCAGTACGATCTATTATCCAAGTATTAAAGCTTTTTGATAATAATTTGGTAGGTTACTTTCGGGATAAATGCAAATGATCTTAAGATCCTTTATGTTTTTAAGACAAGCATCATACCATGGAGACCCAGAATTTGTCTGGATCGTCAGGTGAGTAGACGCCATAGAGAATAGGGCTGGGCTCCTCGGGGATATAAAGGGGCGGAGGCTCCTCCTCCTCTTCCTCTTCTGCATGGGAACACGAATGAGAACAGCAAGGTAAATGAGCTGTCACATTTCACATAGAGCAAAAGGAGGGAGGGGCATCTATACTTCTCATCTCTCAATAGTGGATGGCGATATGAAAACAAATTTGATTCACACAAATATTACTTCATGAAGGCCCAAAACTGACACCATTCTGACAGTAAAATACTAAAATTTCACAATTATTTAATCAAATAAGTAATGAACTTGGATGGTGAACAGCCAGGGGCTGAATCGTAGTTAAACAATCATTTAACATATCGCAAAAATAATAACAAAACAATCACCAAAACAATATAGGATAAAAATAAGGCGAGCCCTCAAATTAGAATCCCTCCCCGGACCGTTCGGGGTTGAGCCCGCCCAGTATGTTGAAGGGATTGGGACCTTGCATGGAACCAATCGGCCTGGATTAACTCCACCAGGCTTCTGCACCATGGCTCTGGCTCATCACAAAGGAACCAATTTGCGATGCGCTAATCCTCCAGTAGGCAACAATGACTGTGATGAGCTTCATAGAAGTTGCCGCTGGTAATCCCAGTGGGCCGAATAATCCTCCAACAATGGCCATGCAGACTTCAATTTATGTTGCCTATTGTGAAACCCTGAGTCACCAGTTTGGACCGATTGGGGCGTCACGCTTCAGTGACCGGGTGGCTTCTGGCTTCGTACCGATTGGGGTGAAAGAAATTAGCATACCGGACCCGGTACCCAAACGGTCTGTTATCTGATGGCTCGCCTAAGAATTCACTGAAAATCCATTAATAATGGAACAAAAAATATTGCACAGCAACACGCCCACCAAGAAAACGTAACCAAACCCAACCCTAATCCTTCAAAAATCTAGCCATCAATTAAATATGAGCTTCGACCAGACCAATATCCATCCCAGACTGCAAAGTCTGTTGGCAAGTTGTCATAAACAGCAGGTCATTTCATTACAGTTCACATCGCCAGTGCAAAAGTCAATGCGTTATTGAAAGAAATAGTGTTTCAAATAAAAGATGTTACAGTGAATCTTTGAAGGTTGTGATTTCTCACCTTTCTTTTCTTCTTCTTCTTCATCGTCCAGACCTCGCTCCCGACGGATGCGGCGTTTTCTCTCCAGCTCCTTCTGCCTAGCTTCTTCTTCTTTCCTCTTACGTTCCTCTTCTTCTTCTCGCTGGTGAAAAAAAAATTAAAATCATCACTTATTACAAATTTTTGTGCAGTTGTCTACGAGCAAAAAGGTCATCGGTTCCACTTCTATTCGATATTCCAAGAAAATACATTAAAATAAATGCAAATGAATTGATGGCCCGAGGATTAAAATTTCTGAGCACATACTCGGAGTCTTGACTTGATACTCTTGAAGGTCGTTTGTCTTGTCTTGAGGCCGGTGATCTTGAAAGTCGTTGAGGTGTCGTAGGTGCCTGGCTCCGGAGCCTCAACCTCCATCACTTCTCCGTTAGCACAGAAGACCAACAGGCAATTCTTATCCTGAAGAAAGAAAAACCACAATGTGTCAAATATCTCTTGAAGTCCAAAGTTGAGCTTTGAATTAAAAGGATCAAACATGGAAAAAAGAGTCCTGGGCCCAATATCACAGAGCTACAGAACATACTGTTATTGTTATCATTATTATTATTTATTTGTTATTTATTATTTATTTCTGGTACTGAAACCAAGGATTCCTCAAAAGGCACTACAGCTCGCAAGCCTGAAGAAACTGGTAGAGAGGAGACAATGAAAAGAGGTGGGAGGAAAACCCCAGAAGAACATTCTAGGGGAAACCCCGAAATCAGGTAGGGACTGAAACCCCATCCACTTGTTGGCCCAGGTGGGATTCGAACCCAGGTCACAGCGGTGGGAGGCGAGGAAAGAACCGCTATGCCAACGTGACTCCCCAAATTAATATAAAGAGTAACTTATATTAAGGATATTTCTTCCATCTGAGAGACGTACATTTTCACGTACATTTTGCCCTTCTCTGACATCAGATTCATTCCAAATGGCCGGCCAATCCTGGCAATCTCAGTGGATGACTGGTAAAGCCATCTGCACTAGTAAGCAGAAGGTCGTGGGTCCAAGTCCCACCCTAGCAAGCTTGCGAATTTTCTTCTCACAAATCATCAAACAGCACTGCTTATTACATAAGTCAGTGGCAAAACCAAGTCACAAAAAAATGCCGAGCTAAAATTTGCCGAGAAGCGATCACAAGTGATATTGATAACACAGCAGCACTGTGAAGCTAGTAAGAAGATCTCTAGACCGGACAGGAATATTTAAGGCAAACAAGAATACTTACAAAGTAGCCCGGCGACCATGTTAAGTGGGTGACAGTGCCGGGGGTGTCAATGAAGCCAATTGGAGTGAATTTATCGTCGACGTTCATGAAGAACAGGGTGTTGTCTGCTCCCTGAGAATTGAATAATTAGGATAACATGCGGGTCAATTGTGAGCTAAATTTTGAGCAAAATGTAGTCATTACAATTAAGAGGGTCACTTGCAAAGGCTTTTCTAACCTAGGATATATATGTGATGCGATCAAGCTAAATGAGTCATTTGTCAAGAATTTTTATTTGGAGATACAGGCCAACTTGAAATAGGGCCACTTCATCACATCACTGCATCACATCTCTCGGTGTTCCAACTTCCATAATTTTTCAACTAAAGATGGTATCAGCATGCGGTTTTCACAGCAGTAATGCTGAGATGGTGCTCTTTCCAAATCTGTAATAAAAAATTTTTGGCCAGGGTCGACAAACGACTCATGTAGCTTGATCCCATCACATATTTTCTTCAAACGGTCTAATTCCAAAAATGGAAAAAATGTCACATTCTAATCACTATTGAAATCACTATTTGTGTCAACCAATGAACAGTTCCCGTCGTTCCAAAATCTGGAATCTTCAACTTGGAAGTATTAATCATATGAAAGTTTCATCACTGACAGTCTTTCATGACAGTTTTTAAAGATCCTGTCGTTAGCAAAAGTGGACCATAACAAATGTACATACTGCGGTGGTGAGTATTTCTCCCTTCGAGTCCATGGCCATAGCGGTGACAGCCAGCGTGTGGGGTTTGAAGGCCTGCTTGAGGGCTAGCGAGGCAGGCTGATGGTGGGCGGTCCTCTTCCCTTCTTGGTTGTCGCGGCGCTTGATGGTCAGGCTTCGTACCACGCCGTCGGAGAAACCGGCCAGGATGGTGCTTCCCTTAGGGTCAACCTGAAAAAATGGAAATGACGAAAGAATTGGGAGATGTTTTACACACCATGTGGAGTGAATAACTGAAAGTAGTCCAAGAAAAGTTACAACCCCCCCCCCCCATCTCGGTCAGCGATATCCGAGACTTCTGTTGTGTTATCACCTCTCCTCAGTCAAGTTGTGACTGATGGTGAGTTTTACCCACAAGATTCCCTGAGTAGGAACGAGTTTCAGTCCGATAAAATGAACCTAATCTAAGTTATCGCCACAATTTTCCAAGGATTATTATTGAAATGACTTCTAAGAAAGTGCAAAAACAACATCGACATGTTCTGTCACAAAGAGAGAAATAAAATTGGGTGAGGAATAGGATATTCTCCTTTAAATGAAAAGTGCGACGAGATGTTTGAAGACTTTTTTTCTGAAAAATGATTTTTTTTTTAAAGGAAGGGTTTGGCTTTAAAGTCACTAGAAAAATGAACATGGCAAATGAATTTCAACTGAACAACCAAACGCACACTTAAAAATGGCTTGAATAGTAAACTGAAGGGTTTGCGAGTTGACAACGTACCGTGGGAGGCACCCAAAGCATAGACGTGGAGCCGGCGTTGAACTTGGTGGAGCAAATGGGAGTCTTGGACGCGTAGTCAAACACTCGGACGGTATCTGGGAAATACAGGAATATGACACCAAAATATGACAGAACAACAAACAAATTCTGCTATTAATAGCTAATGTCAAGACCTCACCGGTTTTCAAAAGTTGTGCAGTCTCAAGTGAAGTCAAGTGCTACAGCTATGAACTTCTATTTCTTTGTTATTGTTGACCTGTGATTGACTGGTTACTTTATTTATTATTTGATATTTATTTCTGGTAATGAAACCAAGGATTCCTCAAAAGCGCCCTAGGCACAGTAGCTCACAAGCCTGAAGAAACCTGCAGAGAGAAGACAGTGAGAAGAAATGACCCAACCTGACTCCCTCTGGTAATGGATTTGACAATTCTGATTTTATTTGTTTCGAAGTCAAACTTTTAAAATGCATCAAATGCCAAAAAAAAAGGCAGAAAAAAAATGTGATGCTTGATACAGGGTGAGTAAAAAAAAGCGGAACCCAAACCCCCAAAAATGTATTTCTTATTTTAAAAAATATGTAGCACCAAAAATAATAATGACTGGAAAGCCAATTTTCAAAAGCTACTTTTAGATGAAAAAATTACTGAAACTGCTCAATCAGTTCAAAGAATACCACCATTTAAACGCAATGACCATTAAAACCTGTCTCGTCCAAAACAAAATCAATTTATTGTGTGTTTTGACTGTTTGAAACAACAAAGAAAATGACACAGAATACTTGTTTCAACAACTGTCACCAACTGTAGCACACAATATTTTGATTAACAACACTGGTTAGGCAAACAATATGATTTATAAAAATCTACTACTTTAAAGACGGGCCTTCAAACGGACTTTGTTGCATATTGTTAACGTTTAAACTAAGATTTCATCGCTGGCGATGTTTGAAGAGAATTGTGACGACGATTGTTGAAATCGCATTTTTTGGACGAAACGGGTTTTAGGGTCATTGTGTTTAAATGGTGATATTTTTAGAACGATTGACCAATTTCAGTAATTTTTTCAATCAAAAGAAGCTTATGAAATTGGCTTTCCAGTCATTATTATTTTTGATGCTACATATTTTTTAAAATATGAAACATAATTTTTGGGGTTTGAACAAGGACACCACAGTATCTTAGACACGTTTTAACAATGCTACATCTTATGTGGTTTCCAGACACAGCTGTGAACGGAATTGTCTCCAATTTGTCAGTATCAAAGACTTTCAAAATACGGCACTTAAAATAGTGGATAACGGCACTTTTACAAAAAGACTTAATGTGACATACGATCCAGAGCAGTAGATGCCAGGAGATGAGACACCGGGGAAGTGTCGATGGAGGTGATCTCCCCAGCATGGAATGAGAACAGCCTCTCTGGATCCCTGGTGGTGTGTGAGAAGGATAGATCCAGCTTCCAGATTGCGCCGTTGGCATCCTGGGGGGAGGAAAAATAAAAATGCTAACCTTTTGGAATTTTCATTACTCTACATGTACTTAGCCTTGTGGTGTTAACAACACAACAGTCAGAAAAATCTTCTGGCAAAGGCAATTGTACTTTTTTTTTTCGAATAAAAAATTAACAAAAATAAAACATTTCTGTCAGAGATTCCAATTATGAGAAACACTTATTTTTCTTTCATTTGCAAAAATTGAGGGCATTACTTTCATTTCATTTGAAATAAATCCTATAATATCGAAATACCTTAGGAAAAAAATTAAAACCTGTACAGGGACTGAAATGCTCCTGTTTCTGCAATGAGAGTATTCTTGACAAGTACGTCGGCCTCCAGGACCGGCCCTCACTGGCGTGTGCAGACCGCCCTCTACAGTTCTCGCAACGAGTCAATACTCACCTGCGCATACCAGATGCTCTGGACCTCAGGATCCAGCGATTTGACCATGGAGATCAGGTGCACATCGTTGCCGACTTTCAGCTCGTTCATGCAGTCCATTTCAAACATGCCGGATTCGTTGGCCGAGTCCGCCGCGTCAATTGTCTCAAAATCCCACACCTGGAATAGGTTAGATTTGTCAAAACAATTTTTACGCAAATATGAATAGAAACACTGATCATTGGCAATTGGGACCCTCTTCAGCTCTAAATTAATTTTGTCAAAAAACTGCTTATGATGTAGGTGAAGAGTTAAGAGTAAAATATCAAAAACAATGTAAACTAAGAAGGAACATTTCTGAACAGACCTAGGTTCAATATCACAGAAAATTACATGTGCAGATTTTTTTTTTTTCATTAAACCTCCTGCTTATAACAGAAAATGAACTAGGCACATGCTTGTTAAGAATCTAGTTTGTTAAGGGGACAAAAATAAATGAAGAAAAATTGCGTAAGAAATATAGGGCCAAGTAACTACTATATCCAAAAAGTCTATATAATTTTTTTCACAAAAGGACAAGATTTGGGTATTCGCTCAAGGATTTATTACCTCCCCAAAAAACAATAATTAAAATCAATAATGCCTACTGGTATTAATGGAAATACAAAAGTGAGAGGAACATTCTCATGCATTTAAGACTCCTCAAAGTTCAAAACAAGTTTTCAATACTGACTTTTAACTATTGGACAAACAAAACTATCTCTGATAATTCGAGTCAACGTTTTACCAGGACTGATAAAATCATACTCACCCTGACGTAACCGTCAGCTCCAATACTGATCAACTCGCCCTCGTCCATGACAAACTGCTCAATGTTGCCGTTGTGACAGGATTTCTTGTTCTTCCTGCCGATCTGGACTTTAATCAGGCCTCCTTCCCACAGCAACATGTTACCTTAAAACCAGAAAATATATCAAATCTTCAAGTTTTTCAATGATGGAAGACATCCCACATTATTGCCGGGGTAATTATTATTTTTTAAACCTATTAGAATGCAGAGATTCTCCAAGTGATATTTTTGTCTTAGCAACTCCAAGAAATTTAGCGAAGGGCCCTGATTACATGGAACTATAAACCAGTTCATATCGGATGATGTGTATACACGCAAAGGTTTTGCGGCATTCGGAATGGATGACGGAAACACGCAACGAGAGAGGCTAGAAATGCCTGTCAGCGACCCGCCCGCAGCATGCGAGGCCTGAAATATCAGGGTGTGCTACCTGCAGATGACGGCATGAACCCGTCTGGCATCGAGGTCCATGAACAACAATCCCGCGCCTGGGTTCGATCAATGTCAAAATAATCCTGGCGCAAACTGGTTAAAGTACGGAATCTCCATGTGCAATGTGAACAGTGGACAAGCATTAATGGCTATGGCTCCCAGTAACAAAAGATGGGAAGTGGCTTCGGTTATCTCCATAGATGCCTGTGTAATTACAAGCCGTAGCCAAGTAATCCAGACACGGCCTTGGATCACTCAAAATACCCACCCGATTCTGAGCCTGAGAGGACCTTGCCGTCTGGTAGTTCCACATAGCCGTGGATGTCGGAGATCTCCGTACGGCCAAACTTTCCCAGCTCTCCTTGCAGCTTCAGACCAGTGAACGTGTGAGCCATCTTCCAAAACCTGTGACAGACATTCAAACATGAGTTGGAGGCGTAAAAAAAATTGACAACTTTCCTCCAAATAATTGGACCAATCTGGGTAATAGAATCATTTTACAGTCATAGAGGTCTCCAGTGATGGAAGGGTGGCATGGTGGCTAGTGCGTAAAGCACTCGTTTTTCACCAATGTGGCCCGGTTCGATTCCCGTCTCGGACCATATGTGAGTACAGTTGTTCGTTGATTCTCTCTTGTGCCACAAGAGTTTTTCTCTGGTTTCTCCAGTTTTCCGCCCGCTGCAAAAATCAATCTCTGGCTGTGCTCTTTGGCCAGACATGGGTCGTATGGCGGCTGCCTAAGGCGCCTTGACATGCCTTCACCTCGACTACATCGTAGCTGCGTCGATCTTCACAATTCAGCTTCTCAGCTGCGAGTCAGGATAATTTGCCCCCCAAATTATTATTTTTATTGTACAAAGCAACTGCTCTTAATGGTGACTCTGGACAATAGCTTGCACACCGTGAGTGTACAGTGCCTCTGTGCCTGGATGGGTCCATACCTGATGTGTCCCGTGCCACTGGACGTCAAGAGGCCCTCGTTTTCCGGAGAGAAGGTCACCCTGAAGATGTCTTGCGAGAAGGCCTTGGAGCGCAAGACGATGGTCTCGTTCAACCAATCCCAGACAGTCAGCATGTAATCCGGGGCGCAGCCTACCGACGCTAGCAGGGTACCGGCCGGGTTGAAGTCAGCGAAGGAGTAAGCGGACTCGGTGCCCTCCCGCAGGACGCGGTACAGCTTGAGAGATGGGTACTCGTAGATGTTGATGTTGGGCATGACGCCCTTCTCGCAGACGGCAAAGTACTTGCTGCTCGGATGCACCTGCGACGGAACAACATATTTTATTATTAACAACTGGATCAGATTTGAGATGTTCTGTCGAACTCAGACACAAAATCAGGAGAGCCAGGTTGGCGCAGCGGTACTTTCATCGCCTTCCACCGCTGTGACCCGGGTTCAAACCCCGCCTGGGCCAATATCTGGTTTGGTTTTTCATTCCCTAGTTGATTCCATGGGTTTACCCCAGACTATTCTTATATGGTTTTCCTCCCACCCTCTAAAACTGTCATTTCTTCTCATTGTCTCCTGTCTACAGGTTTCTTCAGGCTTGCGAGCTACAGTGCCTAGGGTGCTTTTGATGAATCCTTGGTTTCAATACCAGAAATTAACGATAATAATTATGATAATCATAACTTCTTGGCACAGCTTGAAATTGATTTTTTTTTTTTAGATTTTTTTTTGGGGGGGAAATTTTCAATACAGAATATGTGTTAAGTTTCAGACCATAATTTTGCTTCTTAAGGTGAGTTTTTGGGGGTTAATTTTTTTTTCAGATATTTTTAGGCATCTTCTATGGGTCTAATTCACAACTTCATAGTTACTGCTACTTCCTTTCCAACATCCATTAATTTACATATTTATAACAAGGTATTATATTCACATAACTTATGGGATATAAAAAAATGCTTTGAGTAGAGCATGCTGGAAACAAGCCATTAACTCACAGTGATTGCGCCGATACCGCCTCCACCGGTACTCCGTATGTATTTCTGTTCTTTAGTCTGGATATTGAGGAGCTCCACTAGGTTACCGGCCGCAAAGATCAGCATGTTGGCATCCAACATGTACAGATTGGAAAGTCGCTTGCAGTCATAGCCAAAGGAATGGCTGTTAGAATCTGGCTAAGGACAACGACCACTGGAAAAGGTATCTCGGAAGATTTACTTTAAAGAGGTTGTGGAATGCTCGAAGACATTTCCGTCATTTTTCGGGTATATGTAGCCTAAGGTGTGATGAAACAAAAACGACTATTGTTTATGTCATGAAATGAGTACAAAAGGTACTTTTGGGAGCTGTTTTTCAGGTCCAGTTTCGACCCGAATGTGCAACTGTGTAAAAGTCGTCGTTGCGGGCAGCAAACAAAACACAGTAAATCGTGACGTAATAAACAGGACTCGTGTATGCTACTGTGCATCGGGAGTCCTGTTTATTACGTCACGATTTACTGTGTTTTGTTTGCTGCCCGCAACGACGACTTTTACACAGTTGCACGTTCGGGTCGAAACTGGACCTGAAAAACAGCTCTCAAAAGTACCTTTTGTACTCATTTCATGACAGAAACAATAGTCGTTTTTATTTCATCACACCTTAGGCTACATATACCCGAAAAATGACGGAAATGTCTTCGAGCATTTCACAACCTCTTTAAAATTTATGAAAAGTCCTGTCAAAATGGCAGCATACAAAAATTAAAATGTACAATATCTGCATGTGCACTATAGAGGTGCTGAGATTTGAAAATAAAATCATGTGACCCCTCATCAGAGGTTATAAAAACAACAATGCGCTGGTTCTACTCTGACTCTATGAGCGTTTTCGAAGGGACTGGCTTGGCTTCGTCTTTGGATTAATGAGATTTTAGGCCCCCAACTTCAGGAACTCCAGCTACATTTTGGTGCCTGTTATCGTTCAGGATCATTTAATCGGTTGATATGAGGCCAAAAGTTGGAATATTTTCGTTTAGATTGCCTCTCAGTGATTCAGAAGTAGGAGGCAAAGCTGAAGCCGAAGACGAAGCAAAGGTTTCGAAAACTGCCTATATCTGAGACACTGAAGCAGCATTGACAACAGAGGGGGTATTTTCTCAATGAACAAGGATACTGCAGAGTGAGCATATCGGTCGGTAGATCTGAACCCTCAGCTATCCTGGCTTTGGATACGTGCTCCTGGTAATCATAAAAGAAATCCAGCGGGATCTTCTCTCCTTCCTCCTCTGCCTGATCACCTTTGAGCACACCCTCCCCTGCAGCTGCCGTCCCATCTTCAGTGACCTCTGCCCCCTGCGCAGTGACCTCTGCCCCCTGCTCAGTGACCTCTTCCCCCTGCGCAGTGACCTCTGCCCCCTGCGCAGCGACCTCTGCCCCTTGCTCAGTGACCTCTGCCCCTTGCTCAGTGACCTCTTCCCCCTGCTTAGTGACCTCTTCCCCCTGCGCAGCGACCTCTGCCCCCTGCTCAGTGACCTCTGCCCCCTGCTCAGTGACCTCTTCCCCCTGCTCAGTGACCTTTGCTTCCTGCTCAGTGACCTCTGCCTCCAGCTTGTTGACCTCTTCCCCCTGCTCAGCGACCTTTTCCCCCTGCTCAGTGACCTCTGCTCCCTGCTCTGTGACCTTTGTCCTATCACTGGTGACCTCCGCTCCATCATCAGTGACCTCTGCATCTTTGGCAGGCGCAGGTTGCTCATCGGATGTATCTTGAGGAGTTGGTTCCTCATCCTTTATGTCTTGGCTTTCAGCTGGATGAGAAAACAGATGGATACATGAACATCAAATTAGCATCATTCCATGCAAAGTCATAAGACTTTTTCCCGATCCTCACTTCATCTTACTGAGGCTCATATAGCATAGACTATTTTAGATATATGGAGTTTTTTGATGGGAAGGTACTTCAACTAGAAAATTAGTAAAAAGGGACAATTCAAAGGATGTCATTGCCAATACCTAGTGAAAATCGTACAAATGTAAGTATCTTCTTGATATATAATCCTTTAATGAAAAAAAATGATCATGTTTCTCTCTTTTGGATAGAATAGTAATAACTGACTTTGACTGGCATCGACAAACTTCCTTCAAATGTAATTATAGTGACCAATCTCAAGAATTGTACCACAACTTACCACCCTCATGTTCTGGGGCTGCTGCTTCATCCTCTCTGCCCTCTGCACCTGTTGCACCTTCACCTTCCACCTCTGCAGGTGACCCTTCACCTTCAACCTGTCCTTCGCCCTCGCCCTGTGTGGTACCACCTTGGTCTCCTTCATCAGAAGGATTAGCGTTCACATTAGTGTTTCCCTCTTCGAGCTTGTCAGCTGCCAGCTCAGGTATGGTACCTGATACTCCGGCAGCCTGCTCTTCTTGTTGTGATGCAGGGGCGCCAGACTCCTCTGCGTTTCCGGCTGCCTGATTGGGCATCTCCGAGTCCGACTTTGCATCTTGCGACTCCTCAGCGGGCTTCTGAACATCTCCTTGTTCTCCTTGCTCAACTGGCGAGTCTTGACTTGTTTGTTCCTCTGCCTTCTTGTCCTCAGTTGTTTCTTTGGTTGCATTGTCTTCAGCATCAGTCTTTTCCACGGGCTCTTCGTCCGAGGTATCTTTCTTCTCATCTTTAAAGAGAATTTATCAAGACAGACATGTCGGTTAAGGTTATATTGAGGAATACTTTTTTTTTCTTTAGATACTGGGATCATTTCTAACAATAAAAAGCAAGATCAACCCAACCGTGTAGGTGGTCTATTTTTACAAAGGTGCCTGAAAGCATTAAATTCAAGCATCAAAACATAAAATCTGGCTCCAAATATTTCTGGTTTAATGTGAAGTAAATCTGCCATTGAACTTCATTGTACCCTCATGCTCCAAATAAAATGCCAGTCACATACTGTATTTGTTATAAAGCATTAAAATAAAAGCTGTATTCTTATTCAAGCACACCTACCGTATCTCTCTGAGGAACATAATCTCTCCCAAATTGCCAAAATGCTCATCCTCAATCCAAACTAATTTTGAAACAGCCCAAACCCGATCTTCCCTCTTTACCCTCTGCCATCTAAAATGCAAATTAATTTTTCCTAATTCATATCTACAATTAATAATTATAAATTGTACAGCCTTTCATAAGTCGTAGATCTGTCAAACTATACCTTGGTCAGCTGTTACTTCCCCAGGGGCTGTGTCACCATTGGTGCCGTCAGTATCCACCCCTGTAGGGCTTTCTGCTGATCTCTCTCCAGAGGGGGCATCTGGTGCAGCATCTCCAGGTGCAGCCCCTCCATCTGTTTGCCCCTCTGGAGTCGCATCGGCTGCCGAGTCTTCCTCTGGCTGTTCATTCTGAACATCTCCTATTTTTGTAAATTATGAAAAATTATGAAAACAAATTGAAATGCAGAGATAAATTTAATACAATTTCACAAGTTGGCAGCGAAGGCATACATAGTTTGGTCAATTTTTTTCAATTGTTTGTTTTGTTAAAATCAACAGACTTGGGATGAGCAAAAGTGTTTTACAATTATTGCAAATATTTACTTCACTGAGTAAAATATCAATCAATGAATTCAATTGGAAATATCTATTTGTTATATATATTGTGTCCTTACTTCATTCCTTTTAATAAAAAAAATATTGCACAACAGAGACATGCAGCTAAGATATATGTGCAACTAAATCATTTCAAATTAAAACTCAAATCCTTTCATGCAAAATCTCGTTCTGCTTAATATCAGAATCTGAAATTTTCCTCAACTACAAATTGCATGAAAATTCAATTTGTCTTTTTTCCCCTTCAACATGAATCTACAATGAAAAAAAAAATATTCTGATCAGTGCAAGCATAAATGTCTAAATGATGGTGCAAGTGAGGTTGTGTCCGAATTACTTGGCTGCGGCTTAAAATTACACAAGGGTCTATGGGAAGAGGCTGTAGCCGCTACCATAGACATGTGTATAATATCAAGCCGTAGCCAATTAATTCAGACAAGGCCAGAACTTCAATACATGTAGATCATAGAAGCTGCCAAAATGTAAATGCAGATTTTTTTTGCCTTGATAGTATCTCAAGGGGGGGGGGGGGGAAGTCCCAGCCCTTGGCCTGTTGCTAGGGCAACAGAGCGCCTTCTTTGTGGCATTGTGGTAAATGGTACATCCCAAGCTGTGTTAGTATTCATTGCCATATTCACTTCGTATCAAAGGCATTCCATTCCATGCATCGAATAGTGCAACAAACCCTTCAAAGTTGTACACTTGAAATATCACAAGCTGCAGTCATGATCTGTTGGCAAATAGTGCATTATGAATAAGGAACATTTAAATTGAAATGGTGTGCTGTTTGGTTAGTTTGGAATGTGATGACCTTACTATGCACATGGTTGTGTATTACTATTTATATCTTAAAAACTTGCCCTCCTACGTGTTGTGCAAATTAAGTGCATGCGTGTGATGTACCCAAATGTTTTGCCTTGTCAAGTGAGTGGTATTATAGTTAACACCAACTTAAATTAAAGAATTTCTATAACCAAACTTTTTTGTCAATTATTTTTTTTGGGGTGGGGGGGGGGTAATTTGAACCTAAACAAAATCATCACCTTGATTCATCACCACATTTTAAATATGTTTAGATTGGCAAGTGACAAAGCATTGAGAACATTTTAACCTTTTTGATTAACTTTTGAAATTACACAGGCTTAATTTTGTGACGCTAAATTTCACATCAAAATATTGTTCAGTGTACATTTTCCACTCAGTGAGAAAAATCAACAAAATTGTTATGGTACTTGGAACAACGATGAAACTACACGTGTAGATGTCACAAACTTTGTTTCACTTTCACATGGAATTGGACAGAGCCTTACTACAGTTTAGAAAATGTCTTTATTATTCCAACCACTACAAAAATATCCCCAAAAGTTGTGGTGGAATGAGGATTTCTGTTAATATTATTCTAATAACACGGCTGTAATATCTCCCACTGGCTGGATGCAATAGTCAGAGTTATACGTTTGCTGGCTTGAGCACACCTGCTCGTCTTATGATGGGTTTCAGCTAGGATGCAGAATAAGACGTTCACTGCTGGTCAACCTTTGCACCACCCAGCACCTTATGTTTTCATGGATTCATGGCAGGCGTAAATACAATGTAATACAATTTAATACATGTGCTAAAGTGTTAATATAATAGTTAAATGATGGGCTCTTAGGCCCCAAAAAATAGTTCTGCTTCCGATTACATGGCATTCAAAAATAGGGTAGGTAGGTAGGGAGGTTTGTTTTTGCCAATTGTACGATCATATGGAGGCGTCTGCGTGTAGTCAAGGGTAAAAGGTATAAAGAGATGGTTTTGGGTGTTTTTTCTCATGTTTCCAATAAAAAAATTAGGGTAGGGGCTGTCAGAATAGGGTAGGTAGGGAAACCGGAAGCAAAACTATTTAATTTTTTTTGGCCTTATGCTGATTTGATATTAGTACTAATCTTGACTACTGTCGGCAAGTGTATGGTCACTAGCAATGATCAGTGGCATTACTTCTACCAGTTTTGCGATGGGGAACATTACCTGCATGTGCCTCACGATATTGCCGCAGGGCCTCTGCTTGCAATTTGTGAGTTGCTGCTCGTAGACTCTTGGGATTTTTAGGGTACAAACCAGACGATTCTGCGCATCCAGTAACATATCAAAGTTGGAGAAAATCAGTAAGGCCAAAAAAAATATTCGGTCTCTGGTCAGACCAAAGTTCCGGAATTGACACGGCGACGCGGCTTTTTTTTTCTTTTTCTTTTTTTCTTCAAGCTTGGATTGTACAGACAAGGTGGGGTACTATTTTGCTTTTTTGGTGTCATGTACATTGGTGTCCTTCATAATTTGCCTTGGTGCTCTCGATCATTTGCCGTGGTGCAATTTCCCATTCCTTGGTGCTCTTTGGTAAAAAAAATTGAGGAGGTGCGGCAATAGAGGGCGCTGTTGGAGCTACCGCGGAACATTTTGGAAAAAAAAAAGATTGACGTGCGCTGACCAGAGACCGACTTATTATTTTTTTTGGCCTATTAAGGGGCAGACACTTTTTCATTTCCAAAAAAAAAATCTCTGCTTTTAATCACTGAATCTGCGCATCACAGCATTTGACACGGAACCAAATTTTTACTGCCACTGTATTTACATTCACATCCACCAAAAATTGCAGAAAACTAAATTTGTAGCATTAATATAAATTGATGTTAAAAAAGACAGTGCTGATTTAGCCAGCGCAGGGCTTTCTTTAGGTAAATATTTTGCCAGATAGGCACTGAACATGCGCAGTGACTTTTTTTGGGACTTAGCACTTTTTTTTCCATGACAAATCTTAGTCTGGGTCCGCGCCAACATTGTCGTTGTGACTTTGTAATCAGGAGACAGGAATTTGATCCCTGTCATATCTTCGAATTCCAAATAACATCCATTACAATGTTCACCTTTGGATCTCTAATGCTGTGACGTCTTCAAACCGGAAGTTATGCGTTATTTAACAATTATATTTCCCAAATTTTCATACGTTATTTTAACTTAACAATGAAAAATTATCCCCTCCGAACTTTATTAGTATTTACTAACCGTTTTTGACTGATGACGTCATCAAACCAGAAATAACTTTTTTCTGAAGTTTATCACACCGTTAAACTAAAGATACCTTTTTGAAACATTGATTGTAGGCCTACTTGAAGGGATTGAATTTCGTGATCTTTTTTTCTACATAAACATATATTCCTAACTTAACTGGGCAGTGTATAATGAAAAGGCTGTCCGCACGACCACTCTGCATTTGTAACGATTTTGGGTCAACTCGTACCCGAGTTAGCTCGTACCCGAGTCAACTCGTACTCGAGTCAACTCGTACCCGAGTCAACTCGTACCCAAGTTAACTCGTACCCGAGTTAACTCGTACCCAGGTTAACTCGTACCCGAGTCAACTCGTACCCGGGTCAACTCGCACCCAGGTCAACTCGTACTCCCCTCCTTTTTTAGTTTGGAAGTACGGATGGATGGTTAACAAAACTTCCGATTTTACCCTCAAAAACGGCGACTGAGAAATAGTAGTTACGCCGCCAGAAATACAAATAAAGTTCAAGGATTAGTTGAAGGCGGTGGTATCAAATGTTGCTCACAATCTGGATGAAATGGGAAAATGTACCGTTCATCGGCAAGGGCTTCATCGCGAACGGACGGGTACCGCGCGAAGAACATTTTCAAAACGGCATCAGTGTGGTACTCGCGAGTCGACGGAGCCCTCGCTGATGAACGGTAAATTTCACTTTTCATCCAGATCATCAGATGTGTTATTTTAAAATTTGTGTAGTATTTTCTCTTAGTAATGATGTTTTTCTTTCTTTTTTCAGAGACCCTGGATCACTGAGATTGCGGAGTGACTGTGCGAACTGCTACGTCTTTTTTTTGTTCGGTCGAACGTGTTTTAAGGGCATGGTTTTCATTTTTACGAATTTAATAGAAAGCTGCTATTAAAAAATGAATTTTGTAATGTAAAAGTAATATTTTTCAACGTTCACTCACTCCATTTTTGGCATCATTTATTGAATAATAACTGCACATGGCACAAATCTCTTTGGGAAGATTGGGGGCCCTGAAAGTACAAATCTGAAGAGAAAATTATATTACAGGAAACTTAAAAGAGTCACACGGACATCGTTATTTAATTTATAATGATTTTTAAATATGTTGGTCATTTTTTGTACAATTAGTTCGGTAAATGTAGTAAAAAAAATCTTGTGCAGCTCAAATAAAGTTTCTGCGATAAGTTCAACTAGAATATTATTTTGGTAACGGATATGTAGGATTTTTAATTATTTGTTTACATTTGAGGCATCAAGGAAGTAAAAACGATAAAGGAAAATGGTGGCTCGTTTCATTCAGAGATGCTCTTTCTATAAGTTTTAGGGGACCAATTTGTTAGTTGATCCTTGGGTGTGAAAGATTGTTTGACATTAGGAAATTGTAATTCAAGTGCAAGAGAAAGTTTTATCTTAAACAAAACTGAGCTAATCGGGTTTCGTCCTCAAAACTTGACATCCGATTCGATTCATCATGAACTACGCGACGGCAAGAACACCGTGCACGCACAACCACTTTGACCGGCGAGTGTGCGCACATGCTCGGCAAAAACGATATCACCGTGCACGGTACGACCACGCGCAGTTGGCCGATGAGTGCGCGCACAGGCCCGGCAAAAACGATGTCACCGTGCACGGACGACCACGTGGACCGGCGAGTGCGCGCACAGACCCGGCAAAAACGATGTCACTGTGCACGGTACGACCACGTTGACCGGCGAGTGCGCGCACAGACTTGGCACAAACGATGTCACCGTGCGCTGCACGGACAACCGGCCTATCCCTCCGATCTTCCGTTCGTTTCACTGATTTTCTCTTCGAAACTATGCAACTATTTTGAGCTGCGGGTACGAGTTGACTCGGGTACGAGTCAACTAGGGTACGACTTGACTCGGGTACGAGTTGACTCGGGTACGACTTGACTCGGGTACGACCTAACTCGGGTACGACTTGACTTGGGTGTCAATTTTGGGGTACGAGTTGACTCGGGTACGAGTTAACTCGGGTACGAGTTGACCCATTTCCTTTGTAACTCAACAAACGCGAAACTCTAGTTAGACTAGAGTTTATTTTCCTGATTAATGTCGGTCAGCATCGCATATGGAATTCCTGAACCCAGCGACCCCATAGATAAGGACACATAAAATTCTAAGACGTAAAAACTGGCTTCTCCAACAAGGTAAGAATATTGAAAATATTGTCATAATTTTTTTCGCCCGGTTTTGAGCACTTCATATCCTGGACTCCCTCCGTACGGAGGAAAGGGAGTCCACCTGGGCTAGTTAGGCCCTTACTAAACTAGTCAGATTAAAATTCCTGAGATTTCTTTAAACATTCAATGCACGCTTACCGTCTTTTGGTTGCTGGTCGTCCATTGAGCTGATTTTTAAACGTTTTGGTAGATCAATAACATTTCAAAAATATAATTTAATCATATCTGGAAATTCGTGCACAGAGATATCGTTGCTAGGTTAATGTTTGGCAAAAAAAAACCAGGCAGGTGCGCTGTACCGAATTTGGTGTGATTCTTGATATAATCCGTCAAGGTACAAGACCAAAATAACCACCACTTACGCACGATGTAGCGCTTGAGGGCGCTATGCCGTGTCTGAACACTGTCTCGTGCTCTCTACTCTCGTGTATGGCAATGTATTGGTGGGTGCACTCAATCAAATAAATTCCTATAAACAGTGTTAAATAACTAAACTTTACAATTCTTTTAATAGATAATCTAAACTCTCACAGGTGTTCAGGCTGCACAGCAAAATGATGATCAACATGTCATCTTTCATTTTCTTTTTAATCTTTGGTGGGTGCGGCGAGAAATGTTCACACAAAGAAACGAGTCCCTCCACAACATGGCTAACTTAGCACCACTTTCGGCGGGCCCGATAGCATCCAAAATGCTCCAGTGGGAGGAGTGGCATATCCAGAGCTAGAGGGGGGGGGGGGGGGGAGGGCTAAACCACCCCGGTGGATTTTCATAAATGGTTAGAGAGTTCTGTCATGAAAAAAAAGAAGAAAATAAAGCTCCAAAACCATTACAATGCGTCATGAATATCGGCATATATTTTTCACAGCACGCAGTAGAGCGCCCCTATTCGGAAGAAGGGTACCAGCCCCCCCCCCCCCCCTCCCCCGACATGAAAAGCTGGATACGCCACTGGGTGGGAGGGGAGATGAACTAATGACCGGTAAGGGGGGGGGGGGAGGTCTGGGCGTTAATCAACCTGCTCAATGAAGCCTGAAAAGCGTCCGATCAGAATTTTTAACTAAAAAACGAAAACACTCCAAACAAAAAAAGTGACAAAAAACACAGAAAAACTTCACTGACGCAATCTCTGACTGTTACTTCTCTTTTTATTGTAATTCACAAACGAAAAGTGTCGCTCGAGCTCAATTACTTTTCTTTAATTTGAAGTTTGCAAATCGTATTTAGGATTTTTGGTTTCATCATCATAGTCGTCATGTAGTTCCTCCAGCCAAAATTGCGTAGCTAGTTATACCTCATTTATCAGCAAAACTAAATTCCAGCGCCTGAACGGAGTTTGCAACATTTAGGCCGTGGGGGCGTTTTGGATGTTTTCATGGATGCCTACTTGTTCCAGTATTTGTAACAAATCTTTGATGCTGTGAAACGCAAATATGTTTTCGAATCAAGTATAGGCACAAGCACAATTGATACCAAGCATTAACACTGATCAACATTTAAAAACATTCGAATCCGTTGATTAATTCAATATAGCTCCACTATCAATAGTTTGTAAGACAGAGACAGCAAAAAGGTCATCAAAGGCGGGGCCTGTTAAACCACCAATGAGTGACTAGCAGTTGGGCTTATAGTAGCAGTAGATCAGCTTCATTCTATCCCCAGATTTGTCGTTGTCGGGGACGGTTCCCTCCGCTGTTCCTTGGTTGTAATTGCGGAAGCTAAATGACAGCTCCCGCACTGTCATGCCCTCGACCTGTCAGGGGAAAAAAGGGGAATATTGGGGTAAATTCAACCCACAATAATTGAACATCCAATCAATGCCAGGACATCAGCAGTCCTGATTCTATTATTTACCTTGGAATACATATCGGAGAACTATGACACTTCATCGTGGCCTTTAAAGTGCCGCTGCAATAAAGTTCTCTATTTTTTTTAAAATGGCAACTAAAGTTTTGTGGTAAAGACTTAATGGTCGGTTTATTACAACAATTCAAAACAATAATTACCTCTTGGCAGCGACCTCCGCGCCGCAGAAGGAAGAATGGGTCTTCAGTAGGAAGTCTTATTGGTGTCCAATGGTCCCCGTCAGTTTTACAGCAGAACGCCAATTTATACCCCGGCCGGTCCGGAAGCTCGCCGAATTTGTTGTTCCAACCGGGCGAAGTACGATAATCAAAAAAGAGACGTCCTCCACCAACCATGCCTGTGAAGAAGATGATCATTCTCTGATTGTACTGTACGTTTTCGTTGGCCATAATGTGGGTTAGTCTGAGTCAGGGGCGGTGGAATGCTTTTCAAACTGGGGCAACACCAAAAAGGGGCACTTGCTCAGAAAAAGGGCACCTCCGTCGGTGTGAAAGTGGAGGAAAAGAATAAAGCCCCGCTCAATTCGCTACATATATGACGGGGAACAAATTACACGTTGTTCATCTTGCTCTTTGTGTTCATTCTACCTAGTTTTGTAGAGGGACCTTTTTTTATCGTAAGAGGGGCACTGGTGGTCAGTTACCTTTTTTTCTCGCGTAAATAGCACTATTTTTTTAGGGGCCAATTTTCCATCTCGAGAGCGGCACAATTTTATAATCGCGAGAGGAGTATTTTTGCTTTCGACGGGTAGTGTTTTCATCTCGAGAAGGTGCAAAATCTTGTTAACGCGAAAGGGTACTTGTGTTTTTGAGAGGCAGTTTTGCTTTACAAGAGAGGAGACAATTTTATTTGTAGTCTGATCATTATGCTTCCATACATGTGCGTTTGAGGGGCAGCCATGGTTTCATTTCGAGGAGGCACATTTAATAACCGCGAGAAGGGCACTTTTCTTGGCCTGGGAAAGTGAACCCCCCCCCCCCGCCCCGGTTCCGCCACCTCTGGTCCGAGTTGCTAATAAACCCTCAGTGAACGCGGAATATATTGTCAAAATGCATTTTGTATCAATAAATACTATATCTTGATGAAACTATATAAATAAAAAGAGGCAACTTTTTTTACAAGGCTCGTTTTTAGGAAGGCTTAAGGGATTTACCTGCGGGACACGCGCCCTTCTGGAAGATGCAGTATTTCCCCTGAGGCCATCCCCAGCGGTACGTGTCAGCTACGGCTACCGTCTTGGAGCAGAAGTTGTGTTTCCAGTTGTCCTTGTGCGGCGGAAGTATCCCCCCTGGCCATTTCGATGCCTCTGGCGGATTTGGCTGGACATTTGGACGGCCGTATTGCCTCAGGAAGCCCTTCTGGAAGAGGAATCCCGCCGCGTGCGGACAGGAACCGTCGGTGGCCCCGGGTAAGGCGTAGGTTCCTTCGGGCCAGGTTATCGGAATCCTCATGACCGGATCTATATATTTCCCGGAAACAAAAGGGATGATGAGCCTACATCTGCTTTAGACCTGCGTCCCAGAATCATTTTGTGCCAAAGACAGTATCAAGAGCGACCCACTGGTCGCCTTAAATAGATTTTTGTCTATGTCAGGTTAACGTGATACAGTGACTGTCCATTGACGTAGATTTAAGTTTTTTTCCAACAACTCTAACCGTTATTCATTTCGAAGACGAACGTGAAGTCGCTATATAACTGTTTCAAACGAGGCAACTCTGAAATGCCATGCAGTAGGCCTAATCGCACACTGGAAATCTGACTTCATTCTGACATGCAGAGGAACATTCTTTAACGTTGGTCAAGGTTATTATGGAGGAGGAAAAAAACCCGGAATAGAGATACGGGAAGATTGTAACTGTCCTGGAATGCATTATGTTCTAGAGCAGATCGTGGAGGGGGCGGCGGTTACTCCCCCTCCCCATCGATTGACATGATGGGAAAATTCCAAATTTTCTTAAATGCCCTGAATTAACATCATCACTGAACATTGACCGTCTTGATTCATTGCCTCATCAAGCCTTAAGAGTTTGTTTTAGTGTTTAATGCAAATCTTGGACTTCAACACGCAATTAGCCACTCACTCAGTTTGGAAAATCCTAGATCCGCCAATGGTGTTACCTATTTGAGACCAACATAACAGAAAACAGGATAAAATTTGAGCTAACACACACACACACTCACCAATGGGGACCTTAGAATTGATCCACTGGGGGTGATCCGTCAAAGCGTTCTGCATGTTGGCCTGGATTTGAGCCAAGTTGTCCATCCAATCATCGGTGCAGCTTGTATATGTCTGCACGTATTCATCTCTTAAGGTCCAGAAATCCGTATGGTAGACGCGGTGTAACTCAAAGAGGTCGACAAGGATTGGTTCTGTTGGTACAAAAAGCAAAGTTAGACTGGGAAAGGTTTTGGGGCGTAACTGCCTTGGGATGGGGGTATATAACCCCCCCCCCCCCCACCACACACACACACACACACCCACACAGACACACACAACGTCGGTGCTACCTACATTATGTGGACGTCTTTTGTTCGGAAGTCCACACTGCGTATGTAAGACAAACTCACACACCCAGACCAGGGGATGGGCTACTGGATCCCCTCCCCCCTCTTTATCGTGATGAGAACAAAAATGTGGATTTGGAGGTATTTGTCGAAAATCCCAACAACCAAAATGTATTCAATAGCCATTGAAAAGTAAAGAAAGAAAATACAAAAGCTTTTGAAATGCGCTGTTTCAATGCAAGCGCGAGTGAACATATTGATATACATCTATAATAATCATGAAGAGCGCCTGAAGAGAGTAATGTGGTGTCCAGCCACATGTCCAGGGCAATTTTGATCATCCCCCACTCTAGCCTTGACCAAGGCTATCAGCTTGTTCCCATACGAGCTTGTTCCCGCTACTACCACACAGCGCGTGCCGCGACACACTAGTTGTACTATACCGTTGGCCCCAACGACCCTTGCATGTGCTTTGTGTTCATGTACGTACACCCCACACACACTTCCGCAAACAGCCGTACAGTAAGTCGATCCTCCGGCTAGACTTACTGTACGGCTGTTTGCGGAAGTGTGTGTGGGGTGTACGTACATGCACACAAAGCACACGCAAGGGTCGTTGAGGTGTCGCGGCGCGTGCTGTGTGCGGCAGCGCATGTAGCGGGAACAAGCTCGTATCGGAACAAGCTGATAGCCTTGGTCAAGGCAACCCCCACTCCCACCCCACCCTCACTCGCCAGCACAGTTTTACGCCACTGCAGTCGTCATTTTGCATTACTTAAAAAGAAACTTAGATACGTCTATTGCTGCATTAACTACAAAGAGAACAGAACAAAATGGGATATTTCAATATTTTCAGTTATTTATGGCATTGCAACACAACCCAATGTCATTCAAATTCGTACCTGGAGATGTCTCGGAGCCCAATGTGAAATGGTAATCCTGGCGAGTGAAGGCACCTTCTGATTGACCAGACGATGTGAACTTTTCTTGGTCCATCTCTAAGCCAGCAGACAAGCTCACACCCTTAATGGTCAGCCCAGTAGAGGAGGAGATACTGTCCCCGACCTGCAAACAGGTGTACATTCAAGAAATAGTTTTGGAATGATACTCACAATCGGGGAAGGAGAAATCTCTCTCCTTAGTAGTGGTGTGATGGTGGTGGTGATGTGGTAGTGATTTACTTGAAGATCATTGACTTACCGTTGTGGAGGCGTATTTCACAACATCACTTGTGTCCTCAGAATAGCGTGTGACCTCCCTAGTTCCAACATGCACCTTCACAACAATGTGCTGTAAGAAACCAACCATTGCGGTCAAGGAATTGCGAAGTAAGGAATGAGATTGTGATGAATTACAGTGACGTCACGACAATGCAACACAACGTCAATAATTATTGGGTTTTTCTTTTTGCTCTCTCACCGGCTTTTTCAATTTTTTTTTTTATAAACACTGTGTATAGATCGTTTGCATGCAGCCATCTTCAAGGTACAGCAGCGATACGCATGATAAAAATGTACAATATGATTTTAATTATTAACGACTTTCATGAGCCCAAATTTCAGCCTGATGCGATTTTTCATTTAGAAATGGGAGCACAAAACCCTAATCCAAGATCCCATATGCTTTTAAGCATCAAAGAATACAGGATTGCCAAGTGTCGTCTCCAAAAAGGGACCGAGTAAACTGCACACCACCTTTGCCAGTCCATCAGCCTTGCACTTACCGTCCCGTATTTCTCGATCAGATCGTGGTATTCCTGAGCGGAATATGCGATCGGCAGTTTACACGAATCGACCACGAAGCTGTTTCTCAGCGGAAATTGTGCGTCGTAGGCCAGGCTCAACAGGTACCGGGCTTCTCCGTAATTGCAATTCTCGTTGATTTCGTAGTAGACTTTCCCGTAGTTGAAGGCCCCCTCTTCGACTTCCGAAAACCCTAGAGGCCAAAAATACAGGCAATTAACTGAAGTGTCTGAGGGTGTTTAAAGCGAATGTACTTCTTTGGCTCTAGCTTTAATTTTCAGAAATGAACTATTTGAGGGGTTAGTATAATAGATCAAATTATTGTTACACTGACATGTTTGAAGTTCTGTGTTCGAAAATGCTGGAAAAACCAAGAAAAACTAAAATTTTCAAGTAGTCTGGTTCCCTGACTCCACTGAAGATGAAATGGATCAATTTATAGATGCCGGAAAATTGTACGGTATTAGGGAACCAGTCTAGATGGCCTGCACCCATTCATGAACATGCAACCAATAACAAACAAAATTTCGACTGAAAAAAAATGGTAAATTTGGAGCAGTAGTTAAGTTTTTCCAACGGTGGTCGGCCGACCACCGTTGGAAATGTATACAAAAATAAAACCTTCTTGATAATGACTTCACACCAGGTGCCATAATTTTACAGGATGCTTTAGACTGAAATTTACCAACATCCTGCAACTTTTTTTCGTAAAAATTTGGTAGTTTTATTTTTTGATGTTTGCAAATATTGTATTTTCCCTTTAAGGATAAGAAACACGAACAACAACAACGTCAATAGCTTGTCAGAGATATTGCAGCAGCTATTTTCAGGATTCTTGCAAGTCATTTTAATTTTCATTAAATTTTAAAAAGAAATTATCTCAATTACTTTTAAATTGAACAAGCAACATTGACTGGAGCGGGGTTCGAACCTGCGACCTCCGGGTTGCTGTTTCAGCCCTATGTTGGTGGTTCCCCAATTTGTCAAAGTTTTTGTTCAAGGGGCGCTAGTCAGAAGGCATGGCCCGTATATGCCTTGTAGCCAGATATCACGCCCACAGTCATAAAGCTAGCAATATTAGCAATGTTGCAAACGTGGGAAATTTCTGTTTAACTTTAAAAATGATTTAATTGCACCTATTCAGTTTTCCTTCCTGGTTAATTGCCACATCATTTTAAAATATTTTCGCAATTAGAAAAACATAAAACTAATAACATAATATTGCTTTTATGTGGACAATACTCTAGGAAATATACATTATAGATATATTAAAAAACCCAGAAAGTATAACTTACGGTCACTTTTGGAAAAAGCTGATTGAAATATTCCGGGGATGCTTATTCCAGCTGAAAAAGAAATAGACATATTATTTGAGATATAACAAGTTGCCCTAAAGTGACTTACCTCTGAGTTTTAGTTATTGTACGCCAACTCAAACTTTATTTTACAATAGACCCAAGTCTGATGGTGTCAATATAATACGAACAACTCCTTAAAAAATAGAGAGAAGGATTTCAGAGAATGGAGGAAATTTAGGGCGGGTCTGAGGGGCGTGGTTTGGATGACAAAACTCCCCGACTTGCCAATGTTCTTAATTTTACATATTGGAAAAAAATTCCAAATTTCACTGAGCTCCCTGAATACACTGCAAAAACTGTGGTGTTGATTTAACACCATTCGGTATCTATATAGGGCAACATCAGTAAAATTTAACACCAGATGGTCCTATATAGATACCAATGGTGTATTTTTAACACCGCAGTCTTTGCAGTGTAGCATCACTACTCAACAGTGCAAATCTTAATCCTGATCAATTGCTTTAAAGCCTTTGATCAATTCATGCGTTGACTTCAATCTCAACACTCCAAGAAAATCCATTTCTGAAAAACCGGGATCCTTCACTGAAAGTTTTGTAATTTGTTGCAAAGCCCATCTATGGGCCAAAAGTGTAATTAATATTGTCCAATTATAAGAATGGAAAAACCTACAAGTTGAGGTGACCGACTTGCTGAATTTATTCTGGTAGCTGTTGCCTCCTGTGTACATTCGTTTCTGGGATTTCTGCACGCAACTTTGGCGGGGAACGAACTCGATCTGATCCGGGATGGGTATACCACTGGGGGATGTGTTGCCGTCGTTAAAGGTGTAGGCCAGGACACGACTGGTTACCTTCAATCCGGGATCCACGCCAGCGTTGTCAATCTCGCCCCCGTCCGGGTTAGCTCTCAGCAAGTCGTAGCCGATGCCGATGAAGGTCACGGCAGGAACAAATTGGGCCAATTCGGCCAGAAACAGTTCGTATTTATCGAGGTTAAGGACTTCGCTTTCGTCGTTCTTCTTCGCAGGGACATCGGCAGCCAGCAAGCCACCGATGGCCATGCAAAACATCAGGAGAATTCCAAGATGCATTTTTGTCTGAAGACAGAGAAAGATATCAGAACGCTGATAATCTTTTGAGTATCGGGTGCTTAGTTTTTTATAGAAGCTGATACAAACATTCAAATTGATGTGGAAGTCTGTATTTTTCTTTTACAGACTCTCTCCGTGCGAGCCCCCCCCCCCCCCCGCGCAATTCGGGGGGAAGGCGATGGAGGAACGAATTTTCTCCGCGGGGGGACGCCAATGGCGATGCCCCCTCCTATAGTAATTTAGACGAGTGTGTGTAGATATTACACAGGCAATACATACATTAATTTAAATTATTAATATTATTAAATAATAATACAGTGGTGACAGTTACAAGTCGTTACTAAGTTCAATTCTGTTCCTACTTCTCTTGTCAGTTGCGAAATATTACCATAAATATTTTATTTCTGGTCATGAATCAAAGGATCCACAAAAAGCCAAAAACACTGTAGCCCGCAAGCCCGAAGACGGCAGAAGACAAGGAAGACATCTTCAGTTTTTGAACTAGACAGAGACTGAAAACCTTATCCACATTTTGGCCCCAGCGGGATTCGAAATCTAGAGGTGGAAGGCGAGGTAAGGGCCACAGCACCAACCTGAATCCGACTTCGTTAAAGAAAAAAAAACATCGCTTACCTCTGTTTTGCTGCTCTTCTAACGGAAGGCAACTCCCATCAGCAGTGGTGGCATTCAGCCGAGGCAGCGTCCTTATATCAGTTTTGGGTGCCGGGTTGTGCGAGACCTCTCCCGTCACTTTACTCGTATTGGTGTCAATCAGCGAACCGCGGTATGCCCGTGGTCTTTGACAATTGATAAAATCTCACTGCTTTGACACGCTCGTAAAAAAATAATATAACAAAACAATCAATTTGTATTCTGAACCCCAGACGGCGTCTTTACATGTATTTACCTGAGCAGTTAAAGAATGGTGTTTACAGACAGGTGTTTATTATATTTGCTGCAGAAATAAGATATCTTGGAGCACAGATGGCCGGGAGCAGAATGGATATCTTTTACGGGGGAGTTCAGAACCAGTAACAAGTGGTATGACTTGTTCGTTAACCCAGAACACCTGTTCCTTAGCATGTATGCTGATAAGTACATTTCTGTTATGATTGCACAAGAAACTCCAAGTTGAAGTCACGACTGCAAATGACTATTAAGGTTTTAAACAGATTCGAAATTTTGTGTTTGGGCGTTCTTTTGAGTATGAAGAGATTAAAATTCTGGCTCGAAATTTTTCAAAAGTACACAAACGTAGAGGTCAATGCATGTTGTTGAAGGTAGCGACCGCGGCGGTTCGACGATGGTTGGTTGGTGTTGCCACTCACGTAAGAAACCTTTTTGAAATTTGGCCATCAAATCTTCACTCGAATGGAGTGAATTTTCACTCTTTGGAATTTAGAGAGTAGTGCTGAGACAAGAATTCTTCAGAAGGAATCGGGCATATTTTTTCTTTAAATGGATAGCCATTTAAGTCACTATGTAAGACGTTTACCCGCTGAATCTTTTGTTCTACGAAAGTTGACTTTTCATCAGTCGGGACAACGCACTCAGAATCTCTCGGATGAATGACAACAACGACATGAAAGGATACTTTCTTCTGAGTGACAACTGCAGAAAACTTTCCTTTGATGGAGATCGATATCAGTTTTTCCTTTAATCTAACCGCGACTCAACTGAGGACTGTCGCTTTCAAAAGCAAATAAACACATTCCTGAGAATCAAACATCGATTTTCGTCTCTTGCAGAATCGAGTTTATACCAACGTTATTGACAAGACGCGCGCCAAATGCGCAGGTGTTACACGTCACAAATAATTGTGTGTCGCAACCACTTGAATCGGTTCGTTTCTCGAACTTGGTTTTCTCCGCGTGCTCAGCGATCAAAATAAGTTTTCTCAAAAAAACAAAACAAAACGAAACATGAAATGTACTTGAGACTGGATGTACACACGTGGTGGCTTTACCTTTCGCCCAATCAAGCCGACCCAAGTCACGATTGCCAATTTGCAATATCGAAAGGCATTGAAAAGGGCTGGAAACTTGGTGATCATACCCTACTCTGCTGGGATAAACATCGTATTCCCAGTCCGTCTTAATAGACAAGGTGAAGTTTTAATGCTGTCTTCACCAGACTTTGAACGCCCCTAGCACAGGATGGGAACATCATGCGGTCGCATATTATTTTATACCACAGCTGTTATTGCCGGGCAAGGGGCACTTAATGAAGGATTTTCATTTTCCGAAGGGGCCAATAATGCAACCGTTTTTGAAGTTACGTTGCTTTTATGCTAACTTTCCTGAAGACTACAATTGTGGTACAGTTTTTAAGTCAAAAGTAAGGTGAACAACACCTGCTACGGCGAAAGTTTGGTGAGATTACAAACGGCCTGGGCAAAAAATGAAAGACAGAACGATAAATTGAACCGTGGGAACATTTCAGGGACCGTGCGATTGACAAACACATGCTGGATCCGTAAATGTCTATGGCAAGAAAATTACAAAGCGGATAATAAGCGCGGCAGCATGGGCGTGACACCTGCCAATCAGCGGACACGCCTACAGATAATGCTCGCTCCCTCACCTTACTTCAGAGTAAAAACCAGTAAGTCACGCACGACATGCTGTCATCAGTCGCTGCCTCGAGGCAATAATAGCGAGAGAATCGAAGCCGATCCATCCACTAACCCTAACAGACTCCGACTGCAAAGCACCCGGCAGAATGAAGCTACAAGTTGTTCAAGTTCTCGTGGTGGTGGCCTTGATGGCCAGCCTCTGCAAGGCTGGCCCGGAGTTGTCCGGAGCCTGCCCACTGAACTGGGAGAAGTTTGGCAGTAGCTGTTACTTCTTCAACACTCACAAGACGTCCTGGGACTGTGCAAACACCATCTGCAAGCAGGTGGGAGGAGACCTGGCCTCGATTGAGAGCGCAGAGGAAAACACGTTCATCCTCGATATCATCAACAAGGAAGGAGGATGTGACAACGGCATGGTCTGGATCGGGTAAAGTGTTTTTTTTTTTTTTTTTTTTTTTTAAGATTCAAGCAATAGATTAATACATGTCTAATTTCATTGAGATGGGGAGGGAGGAGGGTAAATAAGACCCAGTTAAGGTAATCAAGTGATTCATGTCGGCAGGTTTTAAACCGTAACAAGTCTTTGAGACTTTTTCTTGCTAATCGAGACCCACTATATTATATACACACCTCTTTTGTAAGTGTATAGATAAAGCCTACAGAAAGTAAGGCTTGTGATTGTAAGGCCTACGTGTACGGCAGAAATCGTTTTATGACCGCTTATGGAGCATTTATATAAAAACTCCATCAAACTTCCCATAACAAAAAAGACATGTGTTTTTATCCTTCGCCGAATTTAGTTTTTGTGAAATAATTAAGAGGAGATTTAGAAGTACAATTCCTAACATTGATCTCCATTTTAGACCGGAAGTTATTAACGCAACTTGAGTGTTTGTCCAACGGGCGCTAGTAATCAGTGGTGCGCGCGAGTTTATTTCCGCATTCAATATAATAGGGGACGTTGAGCGATAGAGGACGATAGGGTTCCCAATTCCCGAAGGTCCCCAATTTAGAATCGTGTACAAAACATATGGGAGGTCTTCCTAAAAGAGTACAAACAAAAGAGGGACAATAGGGGCAGTGGCGTCGCCAAGGGGGGGGGGGGGGGGGGGGGGGGGGCACGTGCCCCCCCTGGAAAATCTAGTGCCCCCCCGAGTGCCCCCCCCCCCCATCAAATGCTGGTGCCCCCCTATCCTCTGCAAAATTCTGCGCGTTGTTAAAATCATTACCTCAAAAATAGCAATTTCTGGAGATATCTTCAGATCGAATTTAGCATCAAATGTGGCACCATTTTGCATCTAGCCCATCCTCCGTATGCGAAAATTTTCCAAAGGGGAGGGGGGCACCCCTCCCCCAGGACGGCGATCCGTATCCACCTAAGTGCCCCCCCCCATCAAATTCTGGTGCCCCCCTGTGCCCCCCCCCCCCCCCCCCAGACTGAAAAGTCTGGTGACGCCACTGAATAGGGGGTCCCCGATTGCAGGCAAATACACACTTGTGTGCGTGGATGACAAAGTCACCGGTTCGTTAGTAAAAACGTCATGCACGCGCGCGCACCACTGATTACTAGCCCCCATTGGATAAACGCTCGAGTTGCGTTAACTTCCGGTTTTATTCGTGCTATGCTCACGGATATGCTACAACGTGTAAAGTACGCATGGTTGAATTGAGATGACGTCACACTAACGAACCGGATAACGAACCGGATAGCAATAGACCCCACCTCGTCCCCAGGGTGTCGAGCAGTATGCGCCCACCACTACCTGCTCTCTCACCCTGGTATTGGATCATTTGCATGTGCAAGATTTTTGAACACGTATGCAAATGAGGAGTAGTCTGGCATGTGCGTTACTTTGACTTTTCTCGTAACTTTGATTTTTGGTATTCCAGACTGAATGACAAGGAAACGGAAGGTACCTTCATTTGGACATCGTCTAACAAGCCTATCACGTTCAACGGTTGGAATGGAGGGGAACCGAATGGTTCGGGCAATGAGAACTGCGTGGAAATCAAACTCAGTGCCGGTGTCTGGAACGACCTGTCCTGCAATCAACCCTGTTGCTACATCTGCGAAAAGCCGCAGCGCACACACATCTAATGCGTGGCAGATTTTGCCCACCCATTTCAGTGAATGTTGCAAAATTTAATTATTAATAAAAGACTCAATCGAATCTTATAATGCACAGTAAAATCATTTGAAAAAGTAATTTTTCTCAAGAATTGTTCTTATGAAACGGTAAAGGTAATACACAACCAAGTTAGAAATTACAAACGCTTAACATGGAGACATTGTATGTACGTCTTAATGTTTAAGTCAGAAGTAAACAAACAATGCTGCTTCTTTTTTGAAATAAAATATTATTGAAATAGTTACATTGAAAATTGAAACGTAACAGAATAAAGTCTAGCATGTATTGCAGGTTTAAGTCATGGGCTTATGTGAGTCATGTGGTTGCTCTTTTTCTTATTTAAATGGATGATTCCAGCAATTTCAAGTTAAAACAAATTCTACAGGTTTTTTAATAAGAAAACAGGAAATGAAAAATTTTACGGCAACTAATTGAATCTTGGATGTTGCTCCATTGACTGGTCGACGTTGGCAACACTTCATCAGTGTGGGCTGACGTCCAACGATATGCAACACAAGAAGGTTTGCATGGTGGAAAGATACTAAAACAAGATACGTTTGCGGTAGCACCATGTGAATAAATGTTTTGTGTGTGAGTATGTGTGGTTCTGAAAAGAACCGGAGACAGATATGCAACACACAAAGTTATCAGCAAAAAGGGGCTGAGATTGGGAAAGTGCGGAGAGGCTGCGTTTGTAAATGGTGTAAATCGAGGATACACACGTTCAACATCATCGGTGAATCGAGGACAGGAACCAAGTCGAGTACGACCTCGATTAGAAAACGTGTACAAAAACCAATGAGAGCTGTTGAGAAAAAACAAAGGAAAAGGGAAGAGGAACAAAAGAAAATCCTCGATTTACACCATAAACAAACGTGTGTGGCCAGGTCGGTGTGGAATTCTGTCCCCTGGTAAAACTGTCCGGGGGACAGACTTACCTAGGTAAAAGTGTCCTCCCTGGCCCGTTAATTCTGTCCCCTCCAGGTGATTAGAAATCAGGACTACTTCTATTACCAGTCCATGAATCAGCTGCCAATCGACGGTGATTTAAACACCATTATTCCTTGTTATATAAGTTATTCCCAAAAGCCATGGACATCATGAATATGCATAACGCAGACAGAGAGAGAGCGCCCTCTTTTGATATTTTCGGTTCTTGTTTAGGAAAAAAATAATTCACGCACAGGGCGGAGTAGGGCCTACGGAACACTGGCGCCTATGGCCTACGGAACACTGGTGCCCTGGCCCACGGAACACTTGTGCCTAGGGACAACGGAACCCTTAATCCGGCCCTGGACAAAATTACCTTTTACACTGGTTCCCCAAAGCATTTACAACTATTTAAGCATGACAACTTAAGTCCGCTGACCAGTAATTTATACAAGATAAAGAAACAAAGGCTGAATATGTGTACCTTCGCCAACAGAGCATAAATCGATGGTAAGAATAGAGGTGAGGAAACGTTTCATACCAAACTTTTGAACGTCAAGAAATGCGAACTGCATTTTGGGGACAACCCTCTCGTTCATGTCAAAATGGTCTCTTAGGACAAAATGACCTCCCGACAGTATCTAGTCGAGATTTTGTGTGAGGTGATATTGGTTCGACAAATTCCATTGGCTTATTACTAAAAAGAATGACGAAGTATGCAATCTGTGACCGAAGAACCGGATATCGGCATCCGACAAAGGAATAAGTTCCGTCAACACACACAAAAGCACCTTGGTCAAGACCCCCGCCCTTAAAAAAAACTGCCCTTTGAAAAAAAAGGTGAAAATATTACGCCCGACAAGGCAGGATAATATATAGAAGCCTTTAGCAGGGTCACACTAGTAGGCTAAAGAATTAGACGATAACTTTGTCCAGCTTTCTTGGAGGCAACTTTGTGATCAGCACTGGTCGTGGGGTCCTAATAGTACAGGTAGGATAACAGGGTCTGACAGATCTACACACGTTTTTTCTTAAACCGGTTACCAAGCCACAGTAAACATTTCTTTAGGTATCGAAAAGGGTTAAATTTCGTATGGTTAATAGGCTAAAACATAACACAAGAAGTTTCCCATATTCACAATAACTGTTGCCGACTTTATCAAAGGGTTGCTTGGATGGCAACGTTTGTTTTGAGACATTCATAAATTGATCATAATTTTGAGAATAAATCTAACAGCTGGGGGAGTTTTTCCATCACATCATAGCCTTTGGATGCCAACACGTTTTTTTTTTTGGATGAAATAATGGACTTTTTGTGGATAAATAGAAGACAGAACAGCTTGTAAATATGTTGTCGTTCGATGGGGCAAGACAGGGGGCACAATGTTCAGTTGTCGTGGACTGACAGCAACACCGATCCCAACTTCCCAAGCTACCTAGCTGTTGCCCTTAAGTTCCACACGAACAGCTCAATATTGGTTGTAGCCTATCCGCTGACGCTTGAGGGCGCTTAACATTAACCCTCCACAGTGTATATGGAGATCTATGGGTGCAGACCAGTAAATAAACTGCCATAGACCTGCCATCAACCTCGTGCCCCGTGGGTACGATCTTGCAGCGCCATGTTGTTTCCCATCATGCCTTGCGCGATCGTAACCCCTGGAATTGGGTAATTTAAATGTGCTTAAATACGGCACATTATAATTATTGCTGCAGTTTATCCGTTTTTACGCGCGGCGCCATCTTTAAATTGTTAAGAGTTGTGATTTTGAAGAATCAATCCTTTCAAACACAACGATTTGTATTAAATGTACGTACCCCTTTCGTGCCTTTACAACCACAGATACAGGTGTTCTTTTTAGCGAAAAACGCGGCTGACATAATCCATATCGTACAGGCATCGCGTCATTTACGTCATCATCACAGCCAGGGGTTAGTGTAAGGAACGAGCACGCGCCCCTGGAGTCGAGGCTGACCTGCCATAGACCCCAGTGATAATTACCCCCTCTTCCAAAAATTAGCAAAAATACTTTAAACTCTCCAAGGTGTTTGAGACACACATCGAATTAAAGCTGATCATCTTTCGTTTTCTGTGTGGGTAAACTGATGACTTTCAGGAGAAATTTCCATCCAAAGATAAACACCCCTAAAAGTAATTTTATAGCCCATCGTCATATTGAACAAGTGATCCGCGGATCGCATGTGTCGCCTTTTTCTGCGGTCGATCACTATATATGTCTTGTGTCCTTTAAAAAAAAATGTGCATTTTGAGACGACCTCAAAATGACCCTTAGATGACCTTTGACCTCCAATTTCGAAAGAGTTGTAATGAACCCCACCCAAGGATGACTCCATTTTAAAGTGACATTCTAATCAAACAAATTCTGTAGACAAAGAAACGTTTGAAGCATATTTGAACAATGACCTCTAATGACCTCTACATGACCTATGACCTCAGTAATCCGATGAAAAATTGTGTCTTCCCACCCAAGGGTCACTGCATCCAAGTTTCATCAAAATCCAAGAAACCATGTAGGCCTACAATGTTGTAAACTTGCCCCACAAACTGTAAATGACATCATTATTAACCTCAGTTGACCTTTGACCTATGACCTTTGGCCTGAAATATATCCCACACTAACTTTGCTACTAAATGACCCTTGTGTCAGAGTTTTATGGAATTCAGGCCAAAATTTAGGAAATGAGAGCACTTTAACATGCATACGGGTCTACGGTCAATCATACAGAACTTCGGACAGGTCATAGTGTCTCCCAAAACTTCGTTTAGGCGACACAGAAATGAAGCCTATAATTATGTTCGGTCCCAATTTCATACAAATTTCACAGAAATACGAGCTTGCAGTCCTGTTTACGACTTCCAGCATTCTTGTTTATAAACCCTCAAGCTCATGGTCCACAATATGCTGAAATCGCAGGGAATTTGAGAGCATGTAAATCGTGATTTGGCCGGCATGGGCAATTTTTGGCCTATTTACTGATGGTCCTGTCTCTGACATGTCATAATAAATGGTAGGTCGGGCACCCGCTAACAATTACCTTTTCTGCAACCTTGTTACTGACCCTTTGTTGGCACTTTTTACCAACCGCGGTTTGACAAACGATGGAAGGCCAACGGTAAAAAAAATATAGAATAGTTATTAATTGTGTTTCCAAACATATCATTGGATTGTTGAAAATACAAAACAGGCAACAAACGCTGCGAAAAAAACGTAATATTAAATGCCCCTGTGTCAAAAAATATAGGGCCTATAGATATATTCCAATTTTCCGCCCAAAAAATATTTCAGAACAAAAATGTTCATTTTGCATGATGCATTTGCTGTACTACTATTACAAAACTTTTTCCCTGAAGAGAATCTTGTTTTCCATATCCCCAATGCTCAGACAACTTTTGGACCAAACACGTGTTTCATCCAAACACGTTAAAGTACAGGCGACAGCGACAGACTTAATTGTCAATCACAAGGGTTCAACACCTGCTGAACACCTGTTGAACTCAAATTTGTAAGCTTGTTTTAATCAGACCAAAGCAATCGGATGAATGACAGGAAGAAATGACAGATATTATTTGTTTTCTTGAGTGACAACAGAGAAGTTTCTTTGGCGGAGATCGTTATCAATAATTCCCTTTGATCTAAACCCGATCCAAGGCAAGATCGTTTAACGCAAGATCGTCGCTTTTTAAAAACAAAATGAACACATTTTTGTTTTCTGCAGAATCGATTATTGACAAGGCGCCAATGAGCAGGTGGGGCGTGTTGCGATTTTGTGTCACGGTGGTAGGCCTAACTATTCAAACTTCGTTATTCCACGCGGCAACGTCAAAAGTATCAAAATGTACTTATAGTCTGGGCTATATCTTAAAGAAGGGCTCATTTTAGGACAGGAAAAGGACTTTTTTTTTTAAAGTAAAAGTTGGTTACATAGCTATTGTACCTAATTCGGGAGTGCTGAATCCGAAAATGATGGATACCGGTGCCAAGCTATTGACGTGAAATTAAAAAAAAATAATGCCTCTCCATGTTTTGTAAACAAACTTTCTAGACTATTAGAAATGTAGGCCTATACTGCAAGTGCTGTTTAAAGTTGCACCCCGAAATTTGCCCAAAATAGATTGATTTCTTTAACTAACCATTTTTCTAGCAATACAAACGTTATACCAGGGGGTGCAGAGTGGGAGATTGCAACGGGCTCGAGATTTTAAAGGCAAAACTGGCACCTGATAGAAGCAAAATCGGGACGGCGAAAATGGATTATACATGCAAACTCGAGACGAAAACATAAAAGGGACAGATATTCTATTACATATGTAACGGGCAATTAAACAGAACCTTATGCCAACTGTGCAAAGTTTGTCAACTCCTACTAAATCGTTTGCAAAGGTAAGGTTAACGAAAGCGAAAGTTTGTCTAGGTAATCCATAAATTAGTCTTAACAAAAGACTTACAGACAGAACGATAAAATGAACCGTGGGAACATTTCAGGGACCGTGCGATTGACAAACAGATGCTGAATCCGTAAATGTCTATGGCAAGAAAACTGCTGATAACACAAGCATGGGCGTGACACCTGCCAATCAGCAGACACGCCTACATGCTCGCTCCTTCACCTTACTTCACTGAGTAAAAACCAGTAAGTCACGCACGACATGCTGTCATCAGTCGCTGCCTCGAGGCAATAATAGCGAGAGAATCGAAGCCGGCCTATCCACTCACCCTAACAGACTCCGACTGCAAAGCACCTGGCAGAATGAAGCTACAAGTTGTCCAAGTTGTGGTGGTGGCGGCCTTGATGGTCAGCCTCTGCCGGGCCTACACGGCGAAGAGGGAAGAGTGTCCTCTCAGTTGGCAGAGGTTCGAAGACAGCTGCTACTCCCTCATTCAACACACCCAGAACTGGAATTGTGCCGAGATGACCTGCCAACAGTTGGGAGGACATCTGGTTTCGATCGAGAGCGGGAGCGAGAATACCTTCGTGGTACAGATGATAGCATCACAAGGAGGGTGCAAAGCAACTTCTCATGTCTGGAACGGGTGAGATGTTTTTTCAAGCTTTCAATGCATGGATTAAGAAACATGTATTTTTTTATTCAAAGGGCAAAGACGAGGGCAGATGTTCCAACGTTATTCCTTTTTAAAAACTGTATAACGAAGGCCAGTGGACTCGGTGCAAGAACAGTAGATATAGTGTTATGATATGACCACTCACTATACTAGACCTCAACACATTTTATTAATGCCCGAATCGCTGATTGGATAGAATCGCCATAATTGGAACAAACCGGACACTGTAGACGAATCTGGGCACGTGGTCACTGTTCACTCACAACGTCCCCTTAATTTCACAAAGCAACTGCCCGTGATATAATATATATTTGCAAAACAAAGGCCCTTTCACATCGTACCAATATTGGTGGGTGTGTTCGATTAGCTCAGCCGGGTCGACACGGGTTAGCCCCGTGCCGTTCGATTAGCTCTGACGTCATTCTCGGGGCTCACTTGGGTCAACCACCCCAGACCCTGCTCGTGGGGCAGAGTCAGTGGTAGAGATACGTCACACGCATGCGTTGTTCATTCCAAGGAAACGGACAAAATTAATGTGGCGGCCGGACACCGGAAAAGATCAAGTGGATCCTAAATCAACTTTATTTGAGGTCTAAACGTAATATTTATTGAGCTCATTGCGACGGTAGAGGCCGCTATTCCCAGCCCGACTTAGTTACATTTTGCGGTTGACAGAAAAGCAGTAAATCTGAAGGATTAAATATGAATGATGTAGGAAGGAATGGTAAGACTCAGTCCGAAAATGGCGTTTTGTCAATGGTTACCGCCCCGGCTACGGACGTCACGTATAATGATCCTGATAGAGATGCACCAAATATTTTAAAAACATGCTTATTTCTGTATTATCGTGCCGTTCCATCCTATTCCAGACTGAGCGACATAGCGACGGAAGGGACTTTCGTGTGGTCAGAAACTAACCAGCCCTTCGTCTTCAATGGCTTCGGTAGTGGACAACCAGATAACTACAACAACAATGAAGACTGCACTGAGATCCATGGTGGTACCTGGAATGACCTGCCCTGCAGCAAACACGCCTGCTCCGTTTGCGAAATGCCTGTGCAGATTATCACTCAGTATGTCTTATCCAGCTCCGGTGGAGTAACTCAATAGTCACACTGAATCTCACTGGAAAAAAAATTTTCATGGTGATAAAAAAAGAATAATTAAAAACTGAAGATTAAGAACCAAGCATGCTTTTCCAATAGACTTTAAATTACAACCAAGTTCAACCATTGAAAACATTTTAGTCATCTAAAAGTCCTGCAGGTTAAAAGCGCATAATGGCTAAAAAATATAACGTTTAATATTAAATAATAAAATGTCTCCTTAATCCAATTATACTAACAAATAGGTAAGTGTTGCCGGCTTGATCCAAGTGACTTTTTGATGAGCAATTTACGTGAACAGTCAGTACACGAAAATGTATCCTCACTTTTGAATGAACCTACCAACAAGGGAATTGCATTTATCGCACCACTAAATTTAGATAAACAAGTTTTCTTTAAAATTGTATGATTATAAAATAATAATATGATTATTATATATACGATCGGTCGAATCAAGAGCCCATACTGACATTTATTGAAGGGTTATAACGGGAGAGCGATTTGTTGCCCTTCAATTTTCTGAAGAAAGCTCTGGGTCAAACTATATTACCGCTGCGGCGCACCTTACCACGTACATAATCTTCCTACAATAAAAACAACCCAAATTACGATTAACGCACCGGACATTAATGTAAGTTAAACGTGAAATGTATTTCAAATGATTGCGTGTGCCTCAAATAAAGTACACCGTAAACAGAGCTCTCTCAAAGTGCGTCTTTTCTACAGGGAGACCCCCCCCCAAAAAAAAAAGCAAACCTGAAACATTTGCCTTTTTTTCAAAAACGTGATCTGTTCAATTTTATTATGTTTTGGATATCGGAATGAATTATTCTTTGGATGTGTCCCAGTCCGAGGAAATGGATTGTTTAAATCTCAAACGCCGGTCAGAAAGTACAGTTCTTACAATCTAAAAAGTCCGGGTTCAGCCTTTTGACCTGTACTTTTGATTTGCATGAAAAGTGTCATAAGATTTGAGGCTTTGCATGGTGGACTGTCTCCTGACGATGACTAGAGCAGGCTAGTCGAAACGTTGAGACCAAAGACAAGTTCTTTTAGAACTTACAGCAGGACTGTTCTAAACAGAACAAAAACTACTTAGCAAGTTGATAATAAGCAGGACAAGTTCTTCTCAGAACTAATATCTTCTAAGCAGTAGTTATTACCACATGGTGTTACCGCAAAACCGAAACGATGAAAAGTGTCCCAACAACTTCTTTTGAAAAAGGAGACCGTTTGGCTTAAAAAAGGGTGGAATTGTGTATATAGCTCGAGATCAACTCCCTGGTTTTGGGGCTTCCCATCTGAGAGCATATTTGATAAAATCACGGTTGAAAAAATGGGTCCTATTTGCCTGAGGAAGTGGATGGATGCCATTTAAAATGGCTGCATGCTGTCTTGAAGTATCACTTTTTGGGTGGGAATATTTAAAAATGTGATTGGCTAACCCACCCAAAGTGGACCGATCCAGTAAGCCCCGCCCACTGCGCACTGGGCAAATTAACACGTGCTCCTCTCCAATGCCACGCTACATTTTCCTGCCGCGCGCATCATACGCGCGTGCACGCATGTCGGACTTTTGTGCACGCACGTCGGACCTAAATCACGGGGCAAGTTCGCGCAAGAACTATAGTTAACCATTGGTCGACTAACGCTCGCCCGAACTCTGTCTAGTCAACAATGGTTAACTTCGCTAGTCGACTATTTGGAACCAACCTACTTGGGTTGGTTGCTTCGCTGGTAACCATAGCCGCGCGCGTTCATAACGTACAGCAGGGAGCCAGGATCCAGACGTTTTGCAATGACATTTTGACCAGCGTTCGACTAGAGACGTTCGCACTTTGCTATTAGTGCGCAGGCGTAAGGTACGTCACAAATCAACCACTAGTCGACTAATGGTCCTTGCCCGAACTTGGCCACGGCTGTGGTTGGTCTGAACACCATGGGGCTGTGCTTACTGGATCGGTCCATTGAAAAGAGCTAGACATTGAAGGACAATTAAGACAATCATATAATTTTTGTTTTAGCAACCCCAGTGCATGTTAGTTGGCCCTCAACTTTGTTGAGTTTACACTGTTTTGGGGGCTTGAATTAGTTCAGTGCACCCCTAAAAACGGTCTTGATGCCCATCGCCACGTTATGCCTATACACGTTCTATTGCAAAATAGGCAATTCAAGGCCAGAATTCCATCCGAATTTCACAGAAATACGAGTTGTCAGTCCCGTTCCCGGCTTCCACCCTTCTTTATTTACAGATCCTCAAGTTCATGGCACACAAAATAACAGCAGAAAATATTATTTAGCCGGCGTTGGCAAATTATGGCCTATTAACTGGCGCGGCAGCCCAAAATCTGAAATAGCGCGTTGAAATTTCATGTTGGCGCAATAATTTGTTACGTTGAATTTTGTTTGGTTGAATTTAGCAGAAATTCTAACCCAAACAATTGGTTAAAGAACAACCCAAGTTTGGGAAGTTCCAGTTTTCACCCTTTCTTTGGTAAAATTAACCCAGGCAATTTTTCAGTGTAGCCGATTTTTGCGATCATTGTTTACATTTTGACTATTCATTGTTACCATTTTGGCGCGAAGTTTAGTTAGGACTGAAAATTTCGCACAAGTCTTGGATTGTATGTAATATCCAATGCCTGAAATGTAAGAAGACAATTTTCAATGTGGCAAAATATGACGAAAATGTTCACAGCAGTTATATTCTGAAATCACGTTCCCGTCGACGGGATTTCTCGTGATTGTATGAGAGTGCATCCTTGTTCACAAATTTAAACTTAATGCTCATTTTAATTGACGCCAAATTTAATTCGACTGTAATAATCTGGATCCTTAAAAATCAAAACATCATTCAAATAAAATACGTACTTCCTATTCGTCCGTAGCTTAATTTTGCGATCATTGTTAACATTTTTACTATTCATTGCTAACATTTTGACTATTGCGCAACGGAAAAAAATCTTTCTCGTTTTTAATTCAGAAATTGTGCATTTTGAGTAGTGAGACTGTTTCCGCACAGCAATGTGGGCACGTCGAATTACAATTTTTTGCCGTGTTTCAGCCAAGTTTAAAAATGAGGCCAATGTCATATTTATCAGGCCCAATTTTCTATAGTAGTATAAGTCCAGGACAGTGGCTAGACCATCAGGTCACCAGCGCGGGTTCGAATCCAGTAGTGTAGTAGGCCTAGCTAGTTTAGTTGGGTGTAGGGTTAATTCTTAAAGTAATTTATGTAGATATGTAAATTAGCTAATTTAAATGTACATAAGGTAGTATTGTAGTGTAAATGTTGATTGCTTCGCAGATTGGAGTGTGGTTGGAGTAAGATCGTCAGAGAGCAGCTGCATTTCGTCTGCGAAGCATCAACCCCCTGCACCCATTTTGCACTTTTTATAAATGTCAACGCAACTTTTACGCCTTTTACATCTCGTACTGTTTCATATCATGGCGATTCTTCGAAAAGAATACATAATTTTCTACTTTAAAGCTGGCCGCCTCCCGTTAGATTAAATTTCTGGTAGTTGTAGATGAAGGATGTACAACTTCATGTATTATATTAATACATAATGACAAAAACAAAAGTCTGAATAAATTATTGGCCACAGTTTTCAAATTCGAAGCGAAAAAAAACCCACAATATCCTCCAATATTACTATTTAATGAATTCGGTTAGCAGAAATTGGCGGTTTTTTTTAAATATGGGCCTAGTTGACAAAAGTTCACGGCGCCGTGGTTAAAATACGTGTATAATAAAAAAATCTGATATAGAGGTATAAGTCCAGGGTATGTTTGGCATTTTCAGATTACGATACGGAGCGACTGGGAAAATGATACCTTGCATTTTACCCTACTTCGTGAAAGTGAAAAGTCCCAAGATTTACGACTCCAGCCTAACGTCTCCACTTTGGGGGCAATCAGTAGCGGGACCCCCCCCCCCCCCCCCCCGCTGACATGATGTGAAAGATGTTGCCTAAAAAATAAATAGCATGGTAAAATTCCAAAATGAAGTTTTCAAATTGCATGTAATTGCCTTTGAAAGTGGGAAAAAATCGTCATTATGGATTTGCATGAAAATATGTGCCCCCACAATTTTTTTTTACAATGACAACTTTTTATTGGCTTAAAAAAATGTTGGAATTGTGCAAAAATAGCCGAGGATCGACTCTCTGGCTTTTGGGCTTCAGTTCGAGGGCAGAATTGATAAAATTACGCTTGAAAAATGCGTCCCATGATTTGCCTGAGAAAGTGAAGGGATGCCACTGGCTGCCGGCAGGCTTGGGTCTTGGCCGACCATAACTGACACATTGTCGTAAAAGTTGGTATCTAAAAATTTCTAAGCAAAACTCCCTACACCTTTTTCTGAATACAAATGAAAAAAAAATCACAAGGAGAAACAACTTCATTCTATAAGCTGATCGGACCCGCGTTTAAAAAATGATAGACAGGTACACAAAAAATGTTGTCACAAAACAGTGTCATTTATTTATATTGGGAACAATGTTGGGTGGGAAAACAACAAACACATCAAAACAAAGAAGTCATAATATTTTAAACTCTGATGAAAGGAAAGAATTGGTATTTAGGAATGACGGGACTTGGGCGCTTATATACGTGCACGGTAACAAATGATATCAATTGGTTATTCCAAAAACGTTCACATTTTACTGCCATTTCTTACTATAGTAAGCCAATGGGAAGATGCGTCACTGAACATCCGCCCACATGTTTTGGGCGTAATGGTAGTCTCTATGGGCCTCCCTGTTCTCAACATCTTTTTGTGATGACATCAATATCGACGGTTCATCGCAGATAAGTGCATTCCTTAACGAAATAAATATCTGGTATATTCGTTAACCCTTTGTGTCATGGAATCTTTTGGCAATATTGTCAGTCTGTACTGTATCAATCAATAAACGAAATTTCAAGATTATTGCCCGATTCACTTTTTATAAAAGAAAGTACAAAGTTTAAGTTAGTGACAGCGAGTTCAAAGGTAATAAAAACACAGCAAAATTTAAAAATGTGTACAATTAAAGAAAAGAGATGTCGGTTGAAGGGGGCGATGAGGAATGAATGGGGCGATGGAAAATCACAGCTTAAATATGCATTTGTATTTTAAATAAATGTACAGGCCTAAACGTAAGGCAGATTTTAAGCAAACTATACCCCCATTATTTCGTAGTAATTTAGCAAATTGTCCACACATGCCCCCTGCCTCGGCTACAAAGTAAAGCAGGTCCCATAAAAATTTACTGTACAGGTTTTTTTTTTTCAGCCTTTTGCCATCAGGAAAAAAATCATTCAGAAGTAGGGCCTACGCTTGCTCTAAACTAGCTTTTTTTTATAGCAATATTCTTTTAACTATCATTGCTGGTTGTGCCTATTCTAAATAGCAAACCATTATGTTGTCACTGTAAAGTGATCAAAGACGGAAGGCGTAACACAAATCATCTGTTTTCATTATGGAAGACTTAGAGAATGAATCAGCGTGGTTGTTTTGATCTGTTTAGCGCTTTTTGGAGGGAAAGACGTTCTCTTTGTATTTGCCACTGACGTTGCCAGGGGGATCGTAGTTGAACACAGCGTAGACCTCGTTCTGTTTGCGTGGATTGACGGCAACCCCGATCCCAAGCCGCCTGCTGCCCTTCCATACGACTTGAGTGAAATGCCCTGGGGAAGAGAACGGGAACAAATTGATTGTAAACCGTGCGCTGACGCTAGAGGGCGCTTAACCTAGCCACTGCCAAAGAGCGTGTCGGCTGTACAAATTCTCAGCAATGTTTTCAGTGCTGATCTTCAAAACCAAGGGGTTCAACTGTATTGCCTGCCCCCCCCCCCCCCCCACACACACACCCCACCCCAAAAAAACCTCAAACTTCCTCATCCCAAATTTCTGTAATTTATCACAACTTCTTTTTCATTGACAATTCGATGGAGATGTCTTTATACAAAATGAAAGATAACATAATTTGGGTTCAATATTTAAAGAAAATAATTTATTTGTTCTTAAAGACATGGGTAAGCCTAATGTTTACTGTTATTTACCAATGTTATAGATTTCAAGTTCCTCAGTTGAATTAATTGGTACAAAATTGGTAGTTTTCATATTGCCATTTTCATATTTGCCATTGCGAGGACAAAATGATTCGAGAAAGCTTTTTCTGTAAAGTACTAAAATAATCTGATTTTCGTATTTACCTGTGCCCGATGAAAATCCTCCACTGTTGAAATTGTACCTGTTGATTTCATCATAGAATGATTTGACGGACTTATCCCCTGCATTTCGAAAAGAAAAGAAAAGATAATCTTATTTTCCTGGCAGGTTTTTTTTGCATAAGGAAGAGGTTCAAAAAAAATATACAGTTCGTTTGTTGGACAATGAATCTAATACAACTTGGTTTTGGTTTTTAGGAATTTCCTAGTGGTGTAACTGGGGCTACACTTCTAGGTGGATCCAAGGGCTGCACCAATTTTCAATGGGAGCACTGAAGGCAAATGGTATACACTCTTGTTCATTTCAAGATTTACGGAGGGGGGAACCATGGGGACACGAACATCTGATGGGAGGGGGGGGGGGGGGCGCCAAGTACCCCCGTGCAATATAACTTGTTAATTTATATACATAGATATTTAGATATGAATTTTGATTAAATGCTATGTCTTTGTTCGCTTGTAATTTGACTTTGATCTCACTGATCTCGTAATTTTAATTTATGATGCATGCACTTGTGATTTGACTTGTGATTTGGATTGTGATTGGACTTGTGATTTGACCTGTGATTTGACCTGTGATTTGACCTGTGATTTGACTTGTGATTTGACTTGTGATTTGACTTGCGATTCCACTTGCGATTCCACTTGCGATTCCACTTGCGATTTCACTTGCGGTTTCACTTGCGGATTCACTTACGATGTCACCTGTGATTTGACTTGCGATTTCACTTGTGATTTGACTTTTGATTTGACTTTTGATTTGACTTTTGATTTGACTTTTGATTTGACTTTTGATTTGACTTTTGATTTGACTTTTGATTTGACTTTTGATTTGACTTTTGATTTGACTTTTGATTCGACTTGTGATTTCATTTGTGATTTTACTTGTGATTTAACTTGTGATTTCACTTGTGACTTCACTTGTGATTTCACTTGTAATTTTCCTAGTGAATTCACTTGTGATTTCATATGTGATTACACTTGTGATTTCACTTGTGATTTCACTTGTGATTTCACTAGTAATTTTCCTACTGATTTCACTTGTGACTTCACTTGTGAATTCATTTGTGACTTCACTTGTGATTTCATTTGTGACTTTACTAGAGAATTCACCTGTCATCGACTTAACCAAGACCTTTGCATTTTACCTGTTATCTCGTCCACGCCTCTGGAGTCAGCGCCATAGTAGATATTCTCTCCATACTTGTGATCCGTCCGGTGCTGCAGCTGCCCCTCCTTGGCCAACTTATTGGCCCACTCCTGCGCGTATTTGCTGATGTTGCCGTTCATTTTGATGTTGGGGGCGCCATGCATGGACCTGTACTTGTTGTGAGCCTTGAGGGCGTCCCGTTTGAACTTTGACTTGTAGCCTGTTGAGGTGAAGCAAAAGTTAAAGGTCACTGGGAATTCTACTCATGCCTTTGTCGGCTTTAATCTTTAATTAATTAAACTTGGAAGTATTTCACTAACCGGTTGAAAAATTGAAATAGAACCATGTGAACTTATATGCAGTCATAAATCTACCAATATCCACATGACAATGATTCGCTCGACGTATTAGGCCCTAATGTAGGGAAAGTTAGAATTAATGGGATGGAGAATTATTAAAAATTAATTTAAAAATAATTTTGAAAGTGTTTTTATTCCTAACTGAAACTCGATATTCATCCTAAGGAATATTGCACAAAGATCCAGTCAGGGGAAAAAAAAGGGCTGACTGAATTTTAATTTTTTTTACAAAGCCTCTTTTACACATCTGATACATTTTATTTGTCTCGAGATCACGTGGGATGTTGAATTGTAAACAACACAATAACCATTAAAAATATCGTTCTGGTGGAGATTGTAGCACCGAGTGTGTTTTTTTTTCTTTCGAAAAACGTCTGGCATTCTCCGTCCATTACTCATCCAGCCCTATTGACACATGTCTGCCAGCCAGCATAAAAAGGAATTTGACATTACAACTTAACCCTTGTCTAGACGGCGAGTGTATGTCTTCCCGTGTGAATGTTAAAGGAATGTAATATTCATTTTGACAAAGTCACACGCATCTGTCTTCTACATGAGATTAACTATGCCCAGAACATGAAGAGATATACATGAATCATCATCCTACAATTATATGACAGGCGTTTTAAACCAACAACTTGTCAAAAAAGAAGAAATTAACATTTTCATCTTGTGACTTGAGTTGCGAACTTTTCTATTGAAGTAGGCCTACTCGCAGGCTCGCAGTTTTAACTCAAAAGTAGAGAAAATTTCAAAATCAGTGCTTACTAAAGAACTTCGGTAAGCACAGATTTTGAAATTTCCTCCACTGTTTACATCACCAGTGCTACCAGCTTCTCCATCATAACTCGAAAGTAGTTAAAAATTGCCAATAATAAATATTCTTTTCAAGTCTAAAACAAACAAAAAATGAACAAAATTTCCCGGCAGACGCTACCGTGACGATTTTGCTGTTTAAGCCGAAATTATTTGAATAATCACTTCCGCTTGATTACATTCCATGGTGTATGATCAAAATGGGAGTGCTAATTAAGGTCGCACTAACAACAAACAAATAGTCAAACACCCCCACAAATTGAAGTAATCTCGTCCAGGCTTTATGTAAGGTCATAAGAATGCATTCCAGGGATGACATCTTACAAATAAACATATGCTCCAGATTTATAACAAGACGGGACATGCTTATTAGAGTAATCATTACAGTTGTATGAGGAATTCCTCGGATTATGCTCGAAGATCCACATAGCAGAAATACTTGTCGCTGCTTGTTAAAAAAAAACAAATGCAGTAATATATCTGGGAGATTTCTAGTGATGGTTGATGCCTTGGGAATGGGAGTTCAGTTTTAAAGAGGTCGTGAAAACGGAAACGTGTATGCCAGCTTTGTTTCTTTGTTTGTTTGCTTGTTTTGTTTTCGGCCAACATCGAAGGAAAGTTTTTTTCTCTCTGTGTTGCCAACGTTGAAGTAATTTTCTTTTTATTTCTACATATAATGGAAAGTAATTTTAAAGCATTGAGGAGGAGAAGCAATTAATCATTGTGATCTTCTCAATCATTTCTGAGGATGGATGACAAATTAATCAGAAAAAAACAGAATGTTCATCAAAATTAGATTTGAAGGGGAGGGGTGTACGATCTGCATTAGTTCGCTGGGCTGTTTTGGAATTGAACTGTTTGTCACCAATAACTCAAATACACTGAGAATTTATAAAAAAACAAAGGCACGATTTTCTAAACACGTCATAGTTCTGCAGTTTTCGTGCCGTACTTCGAGCTACTGAAATAAGGGCAGATGTGCACGTGATAAGTGACCTGTGGCGATGTTTATTATTGCGTGGGGTGACGATTAAACGTGACATTCCGACGCGTGGCGTGGTCTGACATGACACGAGTCGTAACATCCACACAAATAGGAGCGACCGCTTTAATAACACACGGCAGCGCGAATGTAATAACATACTACGGCAACGGTAAGGCTAGATGAAAACCAAATCGTTCCCAAACTTTTAAAATGCTTTATTAGTACGTGGTTTTAAACCCACCAGTTCCCACAGTCGATTCATTTCTATGAAGGCGAGACTTTCTGTTTACCTGAAAAACAATCATCTGATTGTGGTTTGAAAAAGCAAGTACGGTTTCACTTCTTATAATTGAAAATACAGTATCAGCACATGCACATATTCAATGTATTTCACATTAATTCACACTCTAATAATATGTGGTTGCAGTTGTCTCTTATTCTTTAAAGACAAAATTGAAAATAGGAGAAGGTGCAAATTTTCACCGATTAGCTAAAATCACCGATTCAGAATTGTTTCGGACCGACAAACTACGGAATACCCCTAAAGCCATGTAGTATATCAAAACCACGAAGCGGAGAGGGCCTTTAGTGGACACCGTAAACAATTTGGTGACAGACACTCGTTCGTAGACCGATAACGAATTGGGATATTTTTCTTCCCCCCCCCACGTCTATACGCCCACGAGGCCCCCTTTAATGCACTGTGCTAGCTATTGTACAGATAATCTGCCAGGGGCCAGTAGCTCGCCATTGAAGGGGGCCTCCCTCATATGGCTGGAAATGATCTATATAGTTCTGGATGTCCTAATAAGGAGTGTATGATCACTGTGATTTTGTTTACCCATGAAAAAGAAACTGGAGCACATGCATTTCAACGTGATTCAACAGACGAGCATGTAGATGGTTTCCACATTTTGTCAAAGACTCTTATTTTTCTCTGTTAGCTCCAGACGCGATAATGCTTATTCATACGGCTCGCTTAGTGCCTGCTGGGATTCACATTTAAGGAAAAACAACATTCCAAAATGTAGAAATTAGGACTAGCTTGGGGCCGGGGGAGCTAGGGAGTGCTGAGAGGACCAAAAGATACAATCAATCAGGTTGCAATGTCGAGTCAGCAAAGAACTAAAATAAATGCAGAAGCTTAAATGAGATTGCCAGCTTGATTAATAAACAACCAGATACATCGACAACTAACCTTGAAATATGAATGGCCACTTCACAACAACGCCGATTATTTGTCCTATATTGATTAATTACTGCAAATGGAATAAAAGGCCATGTTTCTCAATCTGTATCAAACGAAGTATATTACACCATTGCATTTCATCTCTGCATAAAAACATCACAGGAAAATTCCCACTGAAAATGTTTGTATTTCACCAACACTTACAATTTTGAGCAATATTTTTTTTCGAAATAATTTCAAAGGACACAGGGCTTGGTATTATGAAAGTTAATTCGGTAATTGGTCCTACTTAATTATAAAAAAAATATTGATTGAAAAGATGTTTAAAAGTGACACGTATACCATTACCAATATAATACTATAAAAATTTAAGAATAAAAATATGCAGCCTCTCTGTTCAAGAGATTAGTGATGTCAGCATAACAACATTTTTTTTTTCAAACAAAAGTATAATCATTAAGAGGCTTTTGTTTCTATATTTTTAGCACAGCCAGGGATCATTTTGAGAGCATCCCTGTTATTTTACGGTCTGCCCCTGGCCGAGGCCATAGCGGGATATTATTGACGTTACCCGTCAGCTGTTGCGGCAGATATGACGGCGGTCCCGAAGGGACGGATAGGGTCCAAGGCTAAAATGTACCACAAGGTGCGGACCCTGCCTGGTATCAACATTAAAGGTGTACATTCGTCCAGATTTCGCCAAAAAAACATGTTGTAGATTGTTTGTTCAATAGTCTGGGTTGCAGGAAATCCGTTCTTGTAATGTGACCGGTCTTACATTAAAGGTACTTAGGAACACTTGCAATTACCGGAAACGCATAGCTACGGTAAGCTACCGCCTTAACGAGAAAATAGGACTAGTACAGTGCCAAAGGGGAATTAAGTTATGCCTTAAAATATGTGGAAAACATTCCAGCGGCAATGTCGAAGAACGGAGTTGAGACAAGCATAAGTGGCATAATGATGTGTATATATGCAGCATGAATATACTGATCTGTACAGTATTTTCATACCACTGATTTTAATTGCAAAGCCGAGAACCGTATCTTTCCATTTCAATTCCTTCAAACACAATTGAATGTCAACCACCACTCTAATAATGCCGCTTTTGAAAAAACTCAGCCGCTTACAATTTTTATCACAAAAAAATGTATGATACACACCACAAGTCAAGCGGGACGCGAAACACTCTTTATGTACCTGAACAAAACAAAACTAAAACCTGAAATGAATATTCGATTGATACTGACAATGATAGTAAAGTGAGGCCATATTTTTACACACAAAAATCCAGTACTGAAAAAAATATATATTGAACCTCTATTTTGATCCAAGTACAGTCACCCTCGAATTAACGAAAGGTCTGACTATAGTTATTTTGATGAAAATACAAGTTTTGAATAACTTTGTCATCATTTCATAAACTGCAAAGATCAGCTGCAAAGATGTGAATTTGCTGCTGGGGATTTATCGAACGATTCATTTAAAAAAATGTAAGGAAAGGCTGGTCAATAAGAAGCCTACGCCATTGAACAGTTTATGACAATTTCCTGTTTTCGTGATGTAAATCACCAGACAACAATATCACAGTAATTAATCCCCAATGTTGCAGGGGAAGTGCCCCCCAAAAATGGTACACCCAAAAAGTGATGCATAGAGACGGTGCAGACTGATCACCGCATTGAAACCAAGGGCGGATCCAGAACAAAATTTTGGGAGGGGCCAAAAAAAATTTTGGTCCCCCAAAAATTGGGTTAAAAAAATTACGGCGTGGGGTTCGGGGCCCGCTTAAGGGCCCCGAAAAAATTTTGGATTCTAGATGCTCTGTGGTGCGATCTGAGGCAATTTCTGACCACTTTAACCAATGTTTTTTTGAGGAAAAGATGGTGATGTACTCATTGCCTGCCTTTATTGCAATGTCACATAAAAAAAAAATTGGTTTCGTTTTGGGGGGGGGGGCCATGGCCCCCTTTGGCCCCCCCTGGATCCGCCCTTGATTGAAACTTGCATACCTGCATTCCTCCGTTTGTTCACTATCGTCTGTCAAAGACGAAGCCTTAAAATAAACCACAGAGCAAGGACATATTCCATTTCTATTTCATGAAAGCTGATAAGAACGAAGTCCAGACAATGGAGAGGTTACAGACTAAAGTACGCACTGTTCAGGTAAAAGTCAACAAATCAATGAAATCGGCCTCACTGCACTGTGAATGGAAACATTTTAGTATAGGAGCACAATAATGAGATGTTTGCTTCGGTTGGATTGCACTACAGCGTGCAAACACAAGTTTATCACACTGTATTTGCTCCAGACATTCCCTAAACTAATTGACGACATTGTTAGCACCTATTGTCTGGTTAAAACAAAGGTAGCTTACCGCTAGGGCCGGACGAGCCTCCGCTAAAACATCCACCCATCTTGTAATCTCAGCCGCCTCGGTAGTACTGTAGTACTGACTGCAATGCTGGCCCACACCGCGCAAGCTGAGAAAACTACTCAAAAACACCAACGCTCACAAGGACAGCAATGCACTGTGCACACGGCGCGTATCCGCGGAATCACACCCCAAACTAGCTGACTCTTTCAACATTGATGGCTAGCCACTTTAAAGCTTTTGACACGATGTCACACAGCCCAACTGGGGGGCAATACCTGGATGCAACTGCACATATTAGTTTCCCTTTGATAGAAAAATAGTAGAGGAACGAATGACACCACAGTTATTGTGGAAGTGGGCGGCCGCAGGGTTTAAGTTACCGTGGTGTTCTTTACGGTCCAACGCGCGGTGACAATCCGTGAATTCTCACACAGAAATTGCGACAGGCGGTCATATTTTTGTCAGATTGAAAAACAAATTACGTCCCGACGATAAACATTGAGCAAGGAACAGTGCGATGAATGAGGACAAAGTCCTGTTCAAAAAGGAACACGTTATATCGAAACAACCCCTCCAAACATTGCTACATGTTTCTCTAGATCATGAACTATGTGTTTTAAAGCTGCATGACTAGATAGTGCATTGTTGACATTGTAGTATAATCACTCGCATAGACGCAGTTCGTTGCGTTACGTAATGTTTTTTTTGGCATAAGCCAGAATAGCGCTAACGCCATACTCAATTGGACCGTTTTAAGTCGGGCAAGTTTAAAACAAAAATATTTTGCAAAACTCAATCACATGTACACGTGCACCCAATAAATAGGATGGATTTTTTTCGGTGGTAATTTTTAATCGCCGCTAGAATATTAGTCTTTCTTCTTATTTGAAGGCATCATCGTTTCAGTCAACGTTTCGGATGGTATTCAATGACCTTCGTCGACTGTTTTTTTTTTTTCTAATGTGATTAATTTCGTCTTGATAAAACAGTGCTTGCTCATTTATCGGTAGTCATTCCGTCAATAAAATCAACTAAGAGAAATAATTAGGCCTAATCATGACATCATTTTTGTTTATTCAAAGAGTAGATACAACATTCAAAATCAGCCGATGCTCGGTTAAATTCACAGAATACACAACCAACACGCAGGGCCGTTTTATACAAAAAGATCGTATACGAAGGGAACTGCGCTGCAAATTGTGGCCCCTTAATTGCTTTTGAATTGAAAGGTTGATCCGTGGTCCCCAAAGCATTTTTGGTGTTTTCGTATATACCGGTATAAAAGGTCCGTGCTTGGATAAATAGAGAGGGTGTACTTAAACGACCAGCGGGTTGCCGAGGGTCAGTCCACCGCGTGCAAGAAAGAAAGAAAGCAAGTAATCAAAACAGTTTACCAGTTTTTGCCAAAGGCTTTGTCGTAAAATGTCCCCGTATAACCTCTCGGCAAAGTGCATTTGCTGAAAAGATTTTCACAACGGGTTTTAGAGGGCCATTACTTTCTCTTGTGTGAGTTTTCACACGTTGATTCCGTGAGAATATTCCTCCATGATCAGATTGCATATAAAGTCCAATTCCTTTCTTGATAGGGAAGTAAAATGCTTTAAACCAAACAATGTGTACGAATTATTGTGGAATAGCCGTTTACAAGAACACAATTCCCCCAATCCCAGCTAAAAAGCGAAGAAAATGACGTCGATTCGCCAAGGGTGAGAGAGGGGGGATCCCACCGATTGACACCCGTGCGATTCGTTAAAGCTACAACGAAAACAGTCGAATTACGCGTGCACCAAAAAAGGTTCTTGACTTTTCAGGGCCTCCGTACATACATCAACCGAATTAAAAAAAGTAGAAAACTTCAAAACAATAGCAGGAAATAGTATTTTGCTCTGAGCTATTACGTTTCACCACAGGGGATGGAAGCGACGGAGACTACGTGGGTTTCACACAGCATCAATTTGGTGTTGTGACCAAGTCCGGTTTGGATAAATGTAATGTCCGCTCGTGTGACTACACAATATATAAAACATAGAAGTACTCTTTGGCTGCCGCAATGGTAATTTTTTTGTATTAGTCCCACAATTTGACCTTGGTGATATGTATGTGGCCTATTTTCGAGTAGTATGAGAGTGGGTAAGTGGCGCCACCAACGTCAAACGCCAAAAAAAAACCACCATGTTTTTCTGCTGCCAAAAATTTTGGGCAAGATTTTTGCAAAATTTTAACTTCTAAAAATTTGAAGAAAAACTAATTGTGAGCCCCTCCCCCCCCCCCCAAGCCAAATCCTGGGTGCGCCACTGAAACAAGCTGCATGTCATACGGGCCATTAAATGATTTCATCAAAATAAATGCAAGGTCCAAAGTGTGGCATTTTTCCTGTCCCCTGTTACCTTGGTACTTTGTAATTTGCTATTGGAGTATCATACAAAAATGACTTCAGCCGATCTTTTTTATTTGTTCGGTAGGTGGTTTGCCGTTCATAATCGCTCTTGGGGGACGACTGCATTAAGGAGTATATCAGAATTATAAATTCATAGATGTCAGATGTAACGGGGCAGGAAAACCCAAAAAGTGGACCCCAAACTTATAGAATGACCCATATACCGCGGTATTGTATGCAAGACAAGCCTACACTCCTGGCCAAATCTCGCTTGGCCCCCAACCCCCCGGCCCCCACTCAATGTTGTCTCTCATTGCGCGGTATGTGCTCCATCAGCTGGAGAGAACAACTTGGATCGGGGAGCGGGGGAGTAGGTGACCGTGGCAGGCTCAGGCCAGGAAGTGTCCCAACCGTTTTGGCTGGGATTGTAGCACGATGGATCACCCAGATATTCTTGCGGGTCGATGGGGGCAGGGGTCGATCGTCCCAAAAGTTGAAGTTTAAAATCCCAGGGAAAGACGAAAAAGAGCAGTCGTAAAGGGTTGTACTATTGCTAAACTCAGAGACGCTGTTTATAAACGTCCATTTTTTTCTCACTTCCGATGTTTAATACCAACTGGGGACATCCATCATTGGTTCTTTTACATTTCATAACATTTGTCAAAATCCCCCCCCCAAAAAAAAATCATAAAACACCTGTACAACACGCGTTTTCGTTTCTCATCATCAGGCCAAGTTTTCTGATGCTCATAAAAAACCGCGTGCAACTTATTATTATAAAAACAAGGTGAAGAACACTTTCTTATAACATCGTAATTTTTCTGACAAAAAAAGGTCAATACAACGACATCTATACTTAACAATGCTGGTGATCAATATCTTTATTGAGATATTTGAGAGATCTTTTTTTTTAAACATGATAAATCGAAGATGGCAAAAAGAATTTGATTACGATGAACTCAATATGTTATAGATTACAGTTTAAACAATTAAATTGATCAGAAGTATATTTACTTGTGTGGGCACGTAAATGAGAAATTAGACATTTCATAATTTGTGCAGACTTTACGTGGACGAATTGAAAACCTGTGAAACAATAGTTTTGCTGGAAACAAAACTCAAATACATTTATAAACAACAAATATTACGTTCATTGCATACAATGGCGACTTTTAAGCAATATAAATACATGGTTAACAACTATTTAACACCAAAATTCTGTGAACAAAATAAATAGCTAACTTGAGTCAAGCATGCACGGTGTACAGTTGCCAGAAATACAATGGGTATTAAAATATGACGTCACGACGGAAGGAAACACATTCAAATAGTAAGAATGTGAACTTCGAACAGGCTTTGTTGTGCATATTAATGAAAACCAGAAAATGTTTTGAAATCGTGGCTAAATCAAATAGGTTTAATCTTCCAGCATTGCATTAGTAATGAGCTTTCCAATGAGACATCGCACGAAAAAAATCGGCCCACGACAAGCAATCAATTAATTAATTCAACTTTTGAATTAAGAGCGGAACGCTCCTCGTTGTGGATAGTGTTATGTGCGAAATTTCTGAAGTGGATCGCGCTTGCTTGCTTGATGAAGGCCTGCGAAAATAAACAGCAAATGTATTTGTCACAGATATTATCTTTCTTTAAATTTCGAATATTTGGTATCGTCATTCTGATGTCACTTCTCATGTACGTTCACAAGCATAAACCGGGCTTCATCGCACTGCTAATACTTTGTGCAGAAACATTACGGATACATTAGCGACCTTTTGTCATACATAACGATCGAATATAACATAGTCCAAACAATTAAACGTTAATATCATTTTTACATTTGGTTTTGCCCTTCGCCGACGATTTTTCTTTTTGGAAACACTGTATACTCGGTGTTGGCCAAGGGCTTGCCATTATAAAGTAAATCACAAACCTACTTACGAGGGAAAACGGACGATTTTAGTTTTTTTCCCCAAATCTGACGAGCCACACTCGCAACTGGCGGTGTGTACAATGTATATGAATATGTTATTTTTTAATTAGATATTAAAATAATGTTATTTATATATACTGCTCTGTTGTGTAAAATTATATTAATTTATTATAAATATATAAATATTCTGTTAGGTTTTTAAAATTACCAATTTTGGTTTATAAAGCTTAATTTTGTGCTAAATGAACAAAAAAAATGACATAATTTTATCTTTCTTCTAATCTTATGTTTTGTCATATTGATTTCTAAGAAAGCACTAAATGATTAAAATAAAAAGATAAAAAATAGTTAATTGTCGATCCGTTATAAGCGTCCTGGCTTTTATTGTGTTTGTATCAAAAGGCGATGGAAATCCGTTTTTAATCAGGTAAAATGGCAAGCAACATTTATCAAGGTGTTTCTTAAAACAATTAAACTAATTAAACTGTTTAAAGACACTGAATTTCATTTTACCAATTCGCATGAGATGTTGTGAATATTCGAATTCATTATACAAAACACACATGGAATTATCTTCAAATCTTACACAGTCTAACGTTTCCTTTTGAATGAGTTACAATACAATTTTAATGAATGCAATCTTCTTTTAAAAGGCAAACACACACAAACGAGAGCCAAAAGATCAGCACTACTTTTTACTTTGAACAAAAATGCTGAGAAACGAACATATTTGTTAATTATGTCTTACATATTATAAACCAGCCAATGTTATTTACAATATCTATATTTTTTTTCAAATTGAGCAATTATGTCTGATACAAGCGCGCCAATTTTCACAGCAATTATTGATTAACACCTACGGACGTTATGCATTATGACAGCGCAGGCTTGTTCGGGGCTGTGATTCCATTTCCCGCATTGTTACAGCACATAGTCTACTTCCCAGACCAAAAGATTCTGACTATTCCTGCTGAATCTTAGGTCAGGTAGCCTCCGGTAATACATTGTATTACAATTTATGTCGCGTGACTAAACCGGGAGGAATTCCTCCTTTTTCCGAAAATGTCCGAAGTTTGCCGAATTCGTTTCGTCGACAATCGGATAGTGTCCGACTATTTCCGAGTATAATATAGGTTTAATTAACTGCTAATTGCTTATTATATTTTTTTAAATGAGTTGATAATTAATATTCATTGCTTTCATTTAGAAAACTTGAAATTCAACAACGATTTTGTGCATCAAATATACTCGGATCGAATGGGTGGACTTTTGCTGCGTCATGTACAATTTTGAATTTGACGACCTTTACCGAGATTTTCCAAAACTCAGTCTTCATTCGGCTCCGCCTGCTAACTGTGCTATTTGGGTGCCTAATTTTGAAGATTCCAGATCAACATTAGTCAATCAAGGGCGGATCCAGGGGGGGGGGGCAAAGGGGGCCATGCCCCCCCCCCCCCCAAAAAAAAAACGAACAAAAAAAAACCGAAACCAATTTTGTTTAATTTTTTTATCCGACATCGCAATAAAGGCAGGCAATGAGTACACCACCATCTTTTCCTCAAAAAACATTGGTTAAAGAACGGTTGTCGTCGAGCTACCACACAGTAGCCTAGTGGATAGCGAGATGAGCTATGGATACAAAGATCCCTGGTTCGAATCCACGTCGTCGCTGCTCATTTTCATCAGCTATTTTTCTTCTCCAAATTTATCACTGAGATAATTTTAAATTAAGGGGAAAATAGAACGAGAACCTAAGTCTTGCAATGATTCAAAGGAAAAACTGAATTATTCATGACATTGCCCCTAACCCTCCTAGGAAAAAAATTACGCTGCCTGACCTACAATTTAGACGTGAGCGTCAACTGTCCGGTCTGGGAACCGGAACCAGACTATACAGCACATTCCTTAGCGGTTTACGTTTCCCATTCATAGTTTCGTCCCAACTAAAGTTGGGACGAAACTGTCCCGACTGCAAACTATAGACCAATCCGGGCACGCTGTCAGTTCAATCACGGAGGCCCCCTGAGATGGCGAAAGGGAGCACTGTGCTAGCTATTGTCCAGCTAATCCGTCACGGGCAGTTGCTTGGTACATTAATGTGCACAGTGGTTTCTCCATTGAAGCGGGCCTCGTGATCGAGTGTTGAGTGAGTACGTGCCCGGATTCGTCTACAGATGGGCCATCACTTCACTTGGGCAGTTGGTGGAATAGAGACAAGGAGACTTTCGTAATAATTTCCCATACTGTATTGTTAACATAGTACATGGATAACTTGCTTCAGAAGCGATAACGTTGGCTGATGGTACAGTCTTCGCCCTCCGCCTTCAGCGACCTCGGACCTACTCCCACCTTGCGCACCCACCGAGTGTTGTGTCAGCCATTACTTTGGCTTCTATTTCAGGATTAAACTTTCAGCGTTTTACCAATAAAAAAAGGGCTAGGCCTACTATAAAATGATTCTGCACTAAATTTGGATATTTTTTTTTTAACAAAAGATTGGAACATCAAAAATCCAGACTGATATTGTTTCAAATCCAACTTACAAATCAAACACGGACGATTCATTTTTGCAAGCCACATCTAGTTTTGTGCTTTTAATAAACAGTTATCGTTGACTGGTTAATATTCACTATATATAGCACCTCAATTCCAGTCGCATTCTTGAACACTGTGGGCCTTTTTCTCACAAAAACCCCTAGATATATGTACCAAAATCACCCAATCCGCAATGTTTATACACTGTCTCCCTGATTTACTTAAAAGTACCGGTACATGTATTGTATTATTTACATTTTAGATTATGTGCTGGGCACAATCAGCCGAGAACTTGTGTTAAACAATAAACATCACATTACAATATTGGTTGTTTAGTGTGCTCCGTACGAGCGAATGTAAACAGTACACACGTATACCTCAACAAAATGACGTCACATGCATGTATACCTGCCCTTTTGTCATTGCCAGGGACCCGTTTCAAAACCTACACGAAGAGCGCCCTCTCGAGGCTCCTCATCACCTTTAAGCAGAGTTGTCGAGTCCAATGAGCTGGTTGGATTCAAGCATCTTTTTCTGTCAGAAAGATAAACAAAAGGAAGTTAATAATGAAAAAACGCAGGTAAATGAACTTTTACTGCATCCACAAAAGTCATTAGTGTTTCAGAAGGCTCGAGGGTGGGTCAGGGAAATATATGGTGAATATGGTATATGTGTCAACTTTCCACCAATAAACAATCAACATCATAAAGACTAATATCGTCAACCCATTTACTGACTGGCTGACTAGCGATCAACGACCATACTTAAAATATTGACTGATCGTGAAACACTGAGCAACCAACCAACCGACAGTGTCGTAACTCGTGTCCAGACTTGAACTGGTGTCCACTCTGACTCAGATATGATGACACGAGTACAATCAGCTGTTCCCCCAATCAACCAACCAACAAACCGATAGACTGACGGACCGACTGACCAACTGACTAACGGACCAACAAACTATCTAATTCTCACCTCTTCTTTGACCGCATCTTCAGAGGCCTTCAGTTCCTCATATCGGTACAACGCTTCTCGGAGAGGCTGAACCATCGATATATCCAGCACCACAAACACCTTTCGTAACAAAATGATGTAAAATACTTTCAGAAACGTCTCTTTTTTTCCCAAGTAAATTGATGATTGGCATCTGCGAACTATAATGTCTCCCTAGTCTGCCACGTAAAAAGCTGCATGGTGGCCTCGATTTGTTGTTAGCGCTGTTTAATCGAGCTTTTTCTGCTCTCGGGTCTCAAACTTGAAAATGTCAGTAAGTACATTAGGAATCGATAGGATAGGAACATTTTGGCTAAATAGGAACGGGAATATGAATATTGGCTGAGGTTTTATTCTTACCTTAGCAACAACCTCGAACATGGGAATCAAGACAAACTTGATAAAACCAATCTGCGAAGTGGGCTTAGTGACTTTGTCCCGGTCCATGAAAGACGCCACCGGAAGTCCCTCCTTCTTCTCTCGGTCACTCTAAAATGGTAAATGGTCTTATGAATATGCATATGATGACACAGCCAAACAAATGTGAATACGCATGTCATGACGCAAAGAGCATTAAATTATTCATGATAAACACTACATGAATATTCATGTTTATTTCTGACCGGCATAAAGTATTGCTACAATAGGCAATCTCTTATGAATATGTATATGATGAAGTACAGCCCTGAATTATTCATGACAAAACACGTCATAAGTTTTCATGACTATGTCTGACAACATTAAGTATTGCTCCAACTAGGCGATCTCTTATGAATATGTATATGATGAAGAACAGACCATAAATTATTCATGATAAAACACGTCATGAATATTCATGACTATGTCTAACCTGCATGAAGTATTCCTCCAAAAGGCAATCACATATGAAAATGTATATGATGAAGTAAAAAGATATAATTATTCATGATAAAACACGTCATGAACATTCATGACTATGTCTGATCAGCATTCAGTATTGCTGCAATGGCCAAGCAAATATGAATATGCATATCTGACCCAAGAACACTTAATTATTCATGATAAAGCACGACATGAATATGTATGCCCAAATCTTACCTGCATGAAGTATTCCTCCAAAAGGCAATCCACCCAGGGTTCGGACACCTCCATTGGTCGAACCTCATTGGATATGTCACAGCATTTGATTAGCAACATCTTCAACTGCCAATGAAACAATGTCAGACGAATCACTCTGGAGTTATAACACTAGAGGAAAACCTACACAAACTTTACAAGCAATACTTTTTGGTAATCTGTGATATCACTAAAACTTCAATATTTAAAGAAAAAGCCCCAATAAAAGTGTATAGGATCTAAAATTGACGATGGAAGTTGATATTGTGATAAGTGATTTGAATAATATGATATATAAATGCTTACATAGTTGAGGTGCTCTTCGTTGGTGAACTCAAAGCCGGTCTCCACGTATTTCTTAAATTGGTCAAGAATCTCGCTATGGCGCGCCATATCGGTAGCCAGGATCAGCATGATGATGCCCTAAACAGAGGTTAAAGGTCAACTTAGGTCAACAACAGTGTATTTGAATTTAAGATCATGGTTTACCGCAATTTCCATTCACTCTCTTTCTTTCTTTCTGTTTTTTAATTTTTTTTGGTTTTCTTTTTGGAAAGATGAGTTGATGCTTGAAGCCCCTGAACTACCGTGAGTCTGAAAGGTCACCACACAATTTCTGGTAGGCCTATTCATTTCCCGCCCATTCCTAAAGTCGCACAGAAATGTTTTGTACATCTGGTCCTCCGTAGAAACTTTGAGTAGGTCTGGTATCGCGCCTTCTCCCTACCTGTCGAATCGCCTTGAACGTGTCCGGATCTGTGTTACCGAAGATATTACAATCAGGGTTGCTGATGATTCTGAAGGCCACTGCGCAGTGGTGGTTTTCCAATGGCGATATATCGTTGTAGCGAATGGCAAGGTCAGTGCGTGCGTTGATCTGGTACCTAAGGCGAATTACGAAAAAGAAAAGGTCAGCAACAGTAATATTTGGTCTGAATAAGTCGAAAAAGCGCCATTTTTCCCCAAATATAATTGCCAAAATCGATCCCACAGGATGAATTTGAAGGTCGTGCAAGGATGTCAAATGCAACAATTTGACTATATCCCATATAAAACTGCAAGAAAGCTCGCCAGACATAATCGTTATTAGTTTGTAATTTATGTTATAAAGCGCAAATCTACCAATATCTGTGCTCGTCTTTATTCTGCCTGCTAATTGGGCCTATAAAACGTCCCGAATACACCTTAGGTCCTCGGGAAATAACTATGCTGCCATTTTGGCGCAAACAGCCGGTTAACATTTGTGGGCTTGGTCAACGTATGGTGAAAGTGTTATTGTGTAAGGGTATTTTTTCGGTCAAATATTTTCGTTTAAAAAAACCCCGAATATCATACTGGTGGGAGAAGTGTTCAAGTTGAGAACAAAATATACATTTGCAAAATTCACGACGAATGAAAGAATTCCTACGTGTTGTTGTATCCCGGGTGATCCAAATCGTGACAGAGGGCTGACGTCAGAAGAATCCCCATCTCCATCCGGGTCAGTATTGACCTGAGGTCACAGAGGTGAATCATCCCATACATCATCTGGGTCACGCAGAAGCAGTGACGGAAGTTGTGAAAGGGATTGTGACGGTAGTTTTCCTGAACGCACAACTGCAAAAAAAAACCAAGGTTTAAAGCCGGAATGGAAATAAAGGTCCCCCACTAAAGAAGGGCATCTTGTCGCTCGGGCTAAATTAAGAAAGTCAATTTTGAATGAAATTTTAGCCAACACGCAGACAAGACATTGGTCAGAAGGGTTTCGTTACATTTTCTTTGACGTCATAAATTTCGCTAAGGAGAAGATCTATGTGCTATTAAAGTTGTATGTATACTATAGTAGGCCAAATCCATCAGAAACCAACCAAGCACTTCTGTCTGAAAGTGGAGGTTCACCGTCGGCTCGAAAGAGTTCAATAAATCACACTCGCTCATTGCATCCCTTGAAGATTCTCTATATTGAAACAAAGGTGAAAAACCTTCTTTTTTTAGGGGGGGGGGGCGGGCGGGGGTTGTCAATGACGACTCTGTCGCATTGTTAAGCCTTGTTGCTATGACGTAGTAAAAAAATGTAAATTATTTGCAAGTACAGCCTCTCTATCACGCCGACCGTGCAAAGGGACCTCATCAAAAACAAGATTACAAGAATCAAAGTGAGGGGAGGAATTTCTGAAAGTGAATTACTTGTCACCTTTATGAGTATCTATATACAGCAGAGTCGTAGTCTAGGTTCTTGCGATGGATCACAATTCATTCAACACAAGCTATTCCAATGAACTGTGGCATTCCTTTGTTATTGCTCGTCACTTGTTACTTGTGACTGGACTTGTGACTGGACTTGTGAAATGGACTTGTGATTTACTTGAATGTGATCACTCTTGTGATGTACTTGTGACCCGTCACAAGAACCTCGACTATAAACATAAGGGTTGCATCCGTACCAGAAATCGTTTGAGCACCAATGAATTAATATTGAACTCCTCCACAAGTCCCAGTTCGTAGTACATATGCTCCAGCAGGCATAACATCTGTGAAACAAAGACAGAAATGAAAAAAAAAAACCGTTTCAACATCGATGTCAACACCTTCTTAGTTACTCAATCATCGGCTTCACGGCGGCGCGGCCGGCGTTTCGAGGAGTACTATGGGTCTGTAGCAAGCTTCGGCTTCAAACACATTTGTCGACAAAGTTTATATAGACCATGTGACCGTTGAAGTCATGCGGAAAAGCAAACGCCGGCCATCCCAAATATTGAAATATCTTTTGCATGTTATTTGGCCCACATTAAACAGCATGTCAACAAATCATTCACATTTCAAGAGATATATACACGCAGTGCATAAGAGAACCAGTTGCTGAACGCTGGCGTCACGTGACCACAGCATGCAATCTGCAAACAAATGTCACATGGTCTGTACTTTCAACCGGAACGACATGAACTCAATGGTTGGTTTATCCCACTGCAACTTTACAGACTTTGTGGAAGAAGTTGCCAAAGTTGCCAAATTGCGCCCTCACTCGGGGAGGTTTTATTTGAATTAAGCGATAATGAAAGTACAAAGTGTGCACTCCTGCTTATCACAGAGGAACAAATACCTGTCCTCGTCGAGGGCGCTCTACGCAAGGGGTCAATTACCTATTTTAGGGTGAAGACATATTCGTCCTTGTGGATAAGGCAATCTTGTGACCTTTATACCACAAGAGTGCCAAGCCGTCTCTCCAACTTCTCATTAGTGGAAGATTTCTTTTTTTTTTTTAATTTTGGCGCCCAGATATTTTGACTAAATCCTGCAACTAACCTCGTTGGATTCCCAATGCCAGATGTCGAAGGCGGGTTTCTTTAGGTACTCAATTGTCTCCTGAGACAGTGTGTACTGTGGAGTAAAAAAAAAACAAGGAAAAAATGTTTTCATTTTTCAAAAACGAAAACACAAAAAGGCATACTGAAAAACAAATTAACGTTCACATCAGCTACATACCCGAAGGCTTTGTTGATCCCTCTCAACCAACGTTTCTCTTTTTAGAGATTACAACAAATTTAGATTTCGAGTCCGAGACCAAAACCCTGCACCGTGGCTCAGGGCACTTACCTTCGGGTACTTGGGCACGTCTCGGCGGGCTACAATCTTCGTGTCGTCTCGCTCGGGAATGGAGCATTTGCAGAACTGCACGTGTCTGCTGCAATATAGAAAGTTGCAACGGTGTTATTTGAAAAGTAGGGTCTGTACCCAAAATGGTGAAAGTTCCTATGTATGCATTAAGTTATCTCCATTTTATAGGGTCCATGAAGCGGATTTTTCTTAGGAACGTATTTTGTGCAACTTTCTACTCCTCTCAAATGTATAAAATATATTTGACATCCCTCTGTGATTAATTTTATTGAAAGTGCACTTCTTCAAACATTTAGAATTTGCCATGTTTTTCCGGACAACTGAGGTTGCTGTTGCTGTGACGTCATTTCAGGAAGACACTGTTCAGTTTAGGGATTTTCTGTTCAAATGGTGGACCCAAAAATTAGCTTATTGAAGATATTTGTAAAAAATAAAGTTTTACCAAAGAAAAGAAAATTTACGATGGCGAAAATATCCAAAATTCTGGAAGCTTTTGGTGCTAAAATGGCTGTATCATGTAGGTTTCTGCCTGAAATGACAACGAAATTTTGCTCACGAATATGGAAATTTGGATAGCATAAAATTTAAAGAAAAACCGCCAAAGTACCCTTGAAATTGGCAAAACGAAAATTGAAAATGGGGTTAAAAGGGACACACAAAGGTGCATATAAAATATATGCATGAGCCCTCTAACAAAAATAACTCATTTGCGATCGTTTTAAATTACTTAAGTATTGCGCATGTCGGACGTGGTTTGTTGCCATAGTGACCATGCAAAATCAAGACGTTCGTTGTTGTCATAGTTACCTCTTGGCACTCAGTAGCTCCTCCTTGAGATTTTTCAGCTCGACCTTGCATTTTTCAATCTCGATTGCCTTCAAACTTTCCACTGTGGTAAAAAGGTTACGTAAAAGCATGTGTGGGACAACTTCTCTAATCGTTAGCTGGCGGAAGATTCACTTTACGACGAGATATACACTACCGTCAAAAATATTTTTGTTGCGTTTTATGATATATCAAGAAAAATCTGGGGATCCGCTGCGATTTCTATGTTACCGGAGTAAACATCGCTTTACTATAAGAAAGTATCGCCATATTCCGAAATAGGGTCAGCAGCTGGAGTATTGGAACTTAGTAGAGCCGCCTTTGTTTCCGATTCCCGTTTATTCATCACTTATGTGACTTGCAATTTGTACCCAGGAAATTTCCCATTATTTTGAATGGCTACAGATCTTGATATCATAAAAATCTTCGATGAATCTCAGGTAAAACAGCAGTAAAAAAAATACCAAAACAATAAAATATTGTCAATCTCTCGACTTTCAGAGGCATCACTTGAACTTTGAATGGGACGGTATGTAGGCCTGCAGTGGGATACAGAAGAGACACGGGTCGAAATTGGAGCTTATCGGGTGTTCCTCTGGTGTCTAAATCGGTGTTCATATCTAGTTTTGGTTAATGTTAAGATCAGCATTTTTTTGTTTTAAATACATGTAATTTTTAATATTAACTTACTTTCCTTTTTCTTTTCCATGAGCGAAATTCGTGACGACAACTCTTCCTTTATTTCACTGACACCCAAAGCCCTGGAAGGCAATTTTATAAAGAAAAGAATCATATTAAAGAAAACATGGCCGTCCATACATAGACTTACCAAACCGTCCGAGGCATAGGAAAGAGATAAAGTTGGGAATATTAAGGCTTCGGGCAAGTTGGGTTGGAATCACAATTAAAAAAGACATTCATTGACGTTCGTGTTATGAAACACCTCAGTGCGTATTTTGTATGTACGAGCGAAGAAAAATAACTGCAACTCTTGAACTGAAAGAACTGTCGGCAATGACGCACTCCGTGATTATAATTATGCTCCCCGTCCCTCGGCCAAAGAATTTGTGCAACTTCGTCATTAGTATTAATGGCGTCTATTGACTTTCCTCAGGATATTCGTTACAAAACGGATTGAATGAAGTGCGGCGTTTTGCTACTACAACGTGACTGATTTATTTGGGGGGCAAGGGCGGATCGGGGGGGGGGGGCCAAAGGGGGCCATGCCCCCCCCCCCCCAAAAAAAAACGATACCAATTTTTTTTTTTATGTGACATCACAATATAGGCAGGCAATGAGTTCACCACCATCTTTTCCTCAAAAAACATTGGTTAAAGTGGTCAGAAATTGCCTCCGATCGCACCACAAAGCACCTGGAATCCAAAAATTTTCGGGGCCCTTAAGCGGGCCCCGAACCCCACGCCGTAATTTTTTGACCCACTTTTTCGGGGGACCAAAATTTTTTTTGGCCCCCCCCCAAATTGTGTTCTGGATCCGCCCTTGTGGGGGGGGGGGGTATGATTTAAGGCCATCATCTTTGGCAGTTTGGGTTGCCACCTACGTTTCTCTGTATGCTCACTTGGAATTATTTATATTCATGAAATGTATATAGGCTCTATTTATTAACATATATTAGAAAAGAGATTCTGCGTTTATCACCTATAACTTTTACAATGGGTCGTTTTTGCCGAGATTCCAGAGAGCAACTCACTTCGCCCAGTTTCTCTGTCCTGTCAGAAAAGGAATTTTTGGTCTAGGAACATTGCGACTGCGTGTTGACCAAACGTTTTACTAACTGCTACCTTTGACCACATAACTGCCCTAGGAAAGTATCCCTCCGCTGCACACGAGGCCTATTCACTCACTTGGTGAATTGATCCGCAACCTGCGTTATCACTCCGCACAGCACAGCATTTTCTTGTCCTGTGGGCGGCAAAGAGGATCAACTTTTGTTATATTTTGTAATAAAAAATGGGGAGGGCCAGGGAGAAGAAAAATTAAAAAGAAGAAGATAGAATTAAATGAAAATGTAAAACAAGATATATGAACATTTATATACGGAGTTAAAAAAAACACATTTTGCTACGTTACTATAACAAAATTCCATTGGAAGCCGAAGAGACTCCATCATTCAGATTTCATTCACAACTAGGAATTCATTATCTTGGCAGTTCCCTTTTTTTATCAATTTTCTGTGTCTCTTCTTTCAATCGAATATTCTTCAACGCGTTCCAGGTAAAGCTAGCTGCCCAATTAATGGTTCTAGACAACTGATGAAAGACTACGATTTGAGGAGACAGGTCATAATTAAGGTGGGTGATATCAGGGTCGTAACTCATAGCAACAGTTGACGTAGGCATCACTGGTGCACGTATAAACATCAGCCGGTGTAATATATAACAATGCTGATCCTATCCAGAAGACATATGACGTGTCGAGGGGCCGGCCTGTGTGCATCAATAACAACCGGCTAACGAAGTCATCAACCCCACTTTCATCTTCATCATCATCAGTTTACATTTCTTCATTTTCCACTATCAAGAAATTTCTCCCTTTTTCGTATTTGGTTGTAGCTACAATTATCTGCATTGTTTTGGATAGGCTCGTGAGCTTTTGAGCTTGTTCGGCCAATTAATTGTCAATGCCATTTATTTTTTTGCTGGGGATAACGAAACTTTTTCTGATGTTTTTGAAAAAGACCGACCTGTTGGCTGAGCTGCGTCATCTGCCACTAACACTTTGTACGCCGTGCTGGGGAAAAAAACACACGAAGACACAGAATTTAACGAACCTTATTGGCTCCCCCCAAAAAAAGACAAATGAATTTAACTTTAAATCCATAATTACTTGGTTTTATACACAGCAGTTGTTCAGCTTCTAACGTTAGAAAATTTGATTGATGGTTATAAATATTCATTTCAAAATAGTTTTTGTTTGCTACACGTATTTAATTTAAAGTTTGATCTAATGTTAATTTTATTTGGTTAGAAAGAATGGTGATCCGTTTCCCCTTTGCCCTTATTTGTCAATCAAATGCAAGCTGTGGCAACTTACACGGCTGTGTTGTGGGGCATTGCAGACGACACGCTGACAAGGGCGCCATCAACGTCCTTCAGTGTGATGGATGCCGTCCTGTTGGACAGAATGAAATTAACGCAGCGAGAATCCAATCAGAACAACCTTGTGGACATTTTTTTGTGTGATTTTGACAATTGACATGTCCCCTGTGACGTCATGCCGACAGGCACCCCCTCCCCCGAAAAAAATAACCAAATCGGCATCCTTCTTGTGTAATTTTGCCCATATAAAAACAGCCAATGTCAACACTACACATGTGCACACACAGTGAAGAATAGAAGCTTTTATGTCTGTATTGAAAATCCACCCCCCCCCTTTCCTCTGAATGCTCTTTATAATACTTTTATATTTAATTATTCACGAAATCACGAAGGAGAATTCAGCCTACCAAGCCCGACACCCGTTCGCGATGTTTTACTGTTTCGAGTCGGTTTGAATAGTCCATTTACAGGATGGGGGGGGGGGGGGGTGTTTTCAGCTGAGGTGCACGACTCAATAGCTCAACTGCAATCAATAGTCCCTCATTCTTTGCCTGATTCCAGACGTGCCAAGTTAACATTTCCCAAAATACAAATCTTTTAGAAATAGAGATATACACGTATTTCTATTAGAAAATAACATATCTGTATTTCGAGAATGAAAGTTAAATTTGCACGCCATAGATATCGCCATATTGAAACGAAAACGAGGCTGCTCTTCCATATTACTTGTTAAGCTTTACCGTCAGAACCCATCCAAATCGGTTAAACAAACGATAGCACGTTTCACTTTTTACAACAACCACACATGTCTATTAATGCTAATACAGATTTGCATATAGGCCTATGCATAATACATTGACATTTGTTGTGTAAGTGCCCCGGTGGTTTTACTGTTTATACTAACAAAGTATAAACACCCAAACAAAGCCAAACCTCCCAAAACCTCCCAAACAAAGCCAAACCTCCCAAATCACTAAAAAAAGGAGCTCAGTAAATTGGCCCTCCTGTCCAGTTATGCCATCTGGAACGCTAGGCAGGAGCCGGCCTGGGGGTCTGAAAACCAGCCCTGCATCAGTTTTCGACGCCCGCCATGATCCCCCCCAGTCAATCCTCACATGTTGTTTTCTTTGGTATTTATTTTGGTAGTAAATTTTGGGTTTTTTTGGTGTTTTTTTTTACTTTGTACAGCCCTGCGTATTACTTGGACCACTTTGTGATTCAGGTGTCGTCCTGAGCTTAAATGTTCCTCGCTTTGTTCTTGCTTTAATGTTTTCTATTCTGCTTGAATAAAGGTTGATATAACAACATGAGTTAACGGATTTTTTCCCCCGAGTCATTTCTCAATTTATGTCCAGGGCCTGCGGCGGCTACACTTTGACGTGAATTGTTTCTAACTCATGGAACATTGTGACTTGCACCATTAATTAAAGTTTAACGGGAAAATATCGAGGCTTTTTTGTGTCACCATAATACCGTCTGCAATGAATCACCATTTTACAAAGCGGGAGAAGTATTCTCCAATCCTTGTTTCTGTCATGCCTTGCTAATGGCTCGTAGTGAGAAACCCACCATTTGCATCAAAACCGCATAGCAACCGTTTTCCCTCGTTACAAGATGATAAATGGGAATATTCCATCACCTAGCAACTGCGTGGTGATTAAGGAGTGCCAGGGATTAAATTGTACTGTCATCCTAATGGATCTCGCCCTCATGCAGTGTCCTGTTTCCAACAAATTCACGTTTTCAAGTTGTTGTTTTTTTCAGAAAGGCATGTACTTGTGTTAGTTTGTGCTGTAGGTATTTTTTTTTTATTATCATGTGAACATTTCATGTAAAGTATTTATGTAGATAGGTTAATATTTACCACCGTAGAAATCTATATTATTTTCTTTTTGTGTCCCAGGCTACGCAGCTCCATACAATAATCGCACGGCAGGTTGGATGGTAACAGATTTACTGAGGAAATAATGTGCTTGGCCCGGCGGTTTTAACCCTAAAAGGGCCGGGTTATTTTGACCATCTCTCAGCCGGGGGGGGGGGGGCGGATTCCGCCCCCAAGATCTCGGCCATCGAATGACGATGAACATACTCATCATGAACATACCCAAAAAATGTCATGACTATAGGTCAAAGGGTTTTGGAATTATAGCTAATTAATTATTCACAGTACGAATGGTAATTGTGCTCTGTGTACACGACGTGGAAAGTTCAGTTTTCACGGCGCATAGCGCCGGAAAATTTTTGGTCCGATATTTATGTGTTTGGTATCAAAGATGCGCAAGGCTCGAGGCTAAAAAGTCATAAAAGCTCGGGTCGCGAGAAAAAAATTAAGGCTATCGCGGAAAAAGTTGAGGGAGGGGGCGGATTCCGCCCGGCCCTTTTAGAGTTAAACAAGTACGCTTAGAACCGGCTTAGGGCCTGGACGCTGAAAATGGCCCGAATCGAAGGCGAGGGTCATTATCCGCGTCACCAGGCCCTTAGCCAAGAAATTCAAAACACGAATTTCCAACGATTTTATGCAACAATGTTACTTTATATTTTGTAAAACACCACTCTTGCCATGTCTATTGCCTTTTGGTCGAGAGCCCGTCGGATGGTTTTAAAGCTATAGTCCATCATTTGCAGCCATCCGAAAAGTAACTGGCGTAATTATTGTTGAAAAACTTACTTGTTTGAAAGATAGTAAGGGGACTAAACTCCCTGTGAAATTATTCTTTCTGGCAAGCTGTCATTTTGAAGTAATCAACGAAAGAAGGCCTTTCCAACGGTGCGTCTGAAGAAAATTTAAATTAGTAGTTCGTTTTGTTATTCGGCGAAGCGCGCGCAAGCATTGGCACGACGCGCGGTTGCTATAATTCGTCGGATCAGTGCGCAACATCGCGTAAAGCTGCAATCGACTCATGATTCAGCAACTTTTGATTTGAAATTGAGATCCTAGAATGCTGTTTTATCTCGGAATATACAGCTGAAGCTGACTGAAACTTCATCAGGTTAGTTGTTCAGTGTATCCTTCATTAGATTTTGAACACTTTTGTTGCTTCAAAAGAACAAAATGCACAAATTACAAATGATGGACTATATCTTTAAAAACTTATCCTATTTCAAAGGTTTTGTTGAAAGGAAACATTTGATAGGCGCATAATGTCCCTTTAATGGGAATGTACAACATTTGCTTTTGCTGTAATTTTCAGAAATAAATGGATTTTGAGGATTAGTACGTTATAGCAAATATTGTTACACTGACTTGTTTCACGTTTTGGGTTCGTAGATGCTGGAAAAACCAAGAAAACCAATCATGTTCTCGTAGTCTGGTTCCCCGACGCCACTTAAGATGAACCGGAGCAATTTATAGACTTCGGGGAATTTTAAGATCATGAGAATCAGTCTAGCAGGCTTGTAGTTTTCACAGGTTTGTAATCAATTGCAAAGAAAACGCAGACGAACTAAATATGAAAAATTAGGAGCACTTTTTGAAAAAAAGCCAGATTTCTCCAACGCTGGTCGGCCGACCAGCGTTGGAAAGATACAATTTCTTCTTGAAAATGTCAGCACACCAGGAGCCGCAACTTTAAAGGATGATTTAGGCTTTCACTGCCTAACAATCCAGTGAGATATTTCGTGATAATTTGATCGTTTCGATTTTTGATGTTTGCAAATGTTGTATCTTCCCTTTAAAGCAGAAAGTCAACTATTCGAGGGTACTTACTTGCTGACCCCTGCCGCAGCTGCCAGCAGATCGTGCACGTCTCTGCTGCTGCAACGTCGTCCAAATTTCACCTGTGAGCATCAATTTAAACCAAATCTTCATACAAATCAATTATACTTATAAATCATGTATGGTGCGCTCGGCAGCACAAAGAACAAAGCGGCTTGGTGAAAAAAGGAGGAAAAACTAAAACAGTTGATAAACGAATATTTGAGTATCGGTACGTCCCCCGGAAGAACGGTAAGAACAGAATCCACGAAAATCCTCGACGGTTTTAGCTTGAAATTAGGGCCTAAGAATAAAGCGTCTTGGTGAAAAAAGGAGGAAAAACAAAAGCAGTTGATTAAAGAATATTTGAGTACCGGTACATCTTCCGGAAGAACGGTTACCACAAAAATCCTCGAAGCTTTTAGTTTGAAATTAGGGCCTATTCTTTTTTTTTTCCAAGAAGCGGGCAGGATTATCGTCAAAGGACGTATGGCGCGGGGCCAAGCCGTTTCACATCACGCAAGAACATCCACGCAACCCCCCCCCCCCCCGATACATGCTTCGTTTCGTAAAGGGACTAGGTTGCCTTGACAACGAGATGTGATCTTTGTGTAGGACACTCGACCCTGTTGATGCCACTCAGTACCTATTAACCCTCCTCCTTCACAATTTAATAAAAAGATGTGCTGAGTTTCTTCCCTAAGGGTTCAAACGAGATGCGCGTCTTAGCTTTTTGCACGAATTGTCTTACTTCATCTCCATCGGCCAACCGTGTAAACCACTAAGGCCGCAATTCCTCCTCCGAGGATTGCGCCAGAATCCATCCTGTTAAAGCGCATCGGAACAAGCCTGGCTGCTCGGAAGCAGAGGACGTGTATTTCCTCCCGTTAACGGATGTCATTAACCGTTTCAATGATGTTTCCGCCCAAGCGGGAGCAGACATTTTCATCAATAATGACTATAGCTAGCCAGCATCATCATCATGCAAAAGCATGGTGTGCAGTAATTGGTTTTTTTTTTTTTTTGCTGAATAATTAATGTTGATAAACTGCAATTTGCAGATAGATTAAAAATGCATTTTTAAAGTTGCTTTGATTTATATATGATTTTTTATGTAATTACTATTTTTTACGAAAATCAACATAACCTTGATGATCATGGGTATATTACAGGAAATGAATCCTCCTAATGAAGGAAAGCATTAGATTAAAATATTCTTTAAAATATCAAAGCAAGACAAATCTTTCTAATCAATTTTCAGAAAATATGAATCTGACCTGTTGGAATATTATCCAGTACAGACAATTATGTTTATAAATAGAGATCACGCTTTTGCAGAAATTTGCAAACAGTTTCCCAAACTGGGCACAAATAACTCCCTGTTTTTCAATTAAAAACATTCTCTGTTGTTTTGACTTTTTTGTCTATAGTCTAGTGTCTTTTGATTATATACACTAAAACAAATGGTGTTCGCATTTTGTTTTAACTTCGATTCTTGTACCCATTTCCCCAAACGATTGCATCAATAAGACATGTTCAGATCTTTTTGCACACTGGTATACGAAAGCCTGTTTATATTGTAAAAAAAGAGCATATCTTTTTGAGTTCGGTTTTGCTGGCGTACACAATATGTTCCCAAAAAGTATCCGTCTGACTATTTTTGAAATAATTATAAAAATATGAAGCAAATTTTGAAAATTTCCGATTGTGCAGATACTCCTTACCCTTGGCCTCAACCCCTATGTGTTTCATTTAATTTCAGTCACGCCTCACTGCACAATGGTCCATTATTGATCACAACAAAAGTGTGACCAAGTTCCTTGCCTTAATCAATTTCAGTGCTGTGTTATGCAAGCTGCGTAAAATCCTTCACAAGTGTCCAAAAATGTTGTTGCAATCAATTGACCATTGTGTAGTGAGGCGTGATGGAAATGAAATGAAACTCGTAGGAGATTTGAGCAAGGATCAGGAGTATCTGCACAATTAAACATTTTCAAAATTGACTTTATGGTTCTGTAGTTATTTTAAAAATAGCCAGACGGACACTTTTTGTGGGGACACCGGCCTCGTGCAAAAAGAGGGTAAAGTTTTATTTGTCTTGTGATTTATTACGGGCTTCCGTACACTATATGTCTATAGCTCTATACCTGTTATGGTCGTCCACAACTCTAAAACTAGATGGATAGATTCGAACGTGTTGTTTTAATGGGTACAAGGAAGTGTTTACAATTGTGTTTAAACCCTGAACACAGTTTGTATAGTGTACTCAACTCATTAACCGGCTTCATTTGGGAGACAAATTTCATTTGGGAGACAGATTTCATTTGGGAGACAAATTTCATTTGGGAGAAAAAAATACTGACGGAGGTTACACGGGGAAGGTCGGTGACTCGGCCAGAAATTCAGGGGAAGAATCAGTTATTAAAACAGCGAACAACCGTCTGCCGACGAATTTCCCAAGAGCGGACGTGAGTTAGTTTAATCCCCTCGAATCAAGAACGAACGCTGACGTTGATACACTACAAATAAACATGGCAAGAAATGTAAGGAATATATACGGGTACAGAATGGAGAGAAGAAGATACCGTTGCTACGGCAACGAAGGAGTAATCCTCTTGCGCTGCCGGAAGGCTGAGTACAATGTTTTCTGCTAAAACCTTGAAACTGAGGAGTCCTATCCTGTATTTTTTTTTCAATAATTCAAAAAATTCCTGGCAGTTTCCTTTGCTTAACATAATATATTGTGTATTGTTATTATTTGGTCTCTATAGAAACAGCATATGTCCTCCTTTCAAATCTTCGCTGCAATATTCACCCGGTACCGTCAGAGTTAAAACAGACATTAAATTCAAGCAAGATTAATTTTGTCCCATTTTAAATTCGATTACAGTGACACGCGCTGACTCTTTTCAATATACCACACTGTTTCAATCATTTCAATGGAAAATACAAAATGAACGAAATTATCAAATGTACAATACAGGCCCAGCCAGCTTGCGATATTTCTTTTCAGTCATCGGGCTGTTTAAAAACATGAAATGTTTATGAAATAATATATGGGGTGAAGATCGAAAACCAATTAGTTAAATGTGTACATGTATATGCTGTTCGTGGTTTATTTTTCTAATCTTGTCAAAATCTACGTCCCAAATTGCGACAGAATCTGTCCTAATAAAGTTAGCAGACGAGTCACTTAGAATAAATGAAATCAATTTTTTTCCCCCAGAAAGAACAGAATTCTTCTATCAGATGGAATTGTGCAAGTAGCACTGCTCCGGTCCCGGAGGCCGAATATTAAATGTCCACCTTGCAAACCATTTCGTGGAATTGCTGGGCAATATGGTAAGCTCAAAATTCGAAAGACAAAAATAAAAGGCTCAGCACTTGAAACCCAAAGGCCGTGCGATAAACGGTACTATGGCTCTGAGCCGACTGTTGCTCAATTCACAGAGCAAGAGTGCTTGTGCTTATTTGAGCTAAAAACATTAATGGATCACGAGTGGCTTTTTAGAAACGCGGTCGCGTCATTGACTCCTACTTGCTCACGCGATCTCGATCTGTGATGTACTTACAAGAAACTGACTTGTATGTTTACTTAAAAAAACCCGCTTCTCCTCAATGAGTTTTCTCTGGGATAAATTCACGTCAGTTCATCACAAGACGTTATTGACGGATTGATCTTTATTTGTTCTCTTTATATTATGTTTTTGAGGTTGTATATATTGCAGGTTGGTCCGTTTTGTCGTTGTGGATTGTCGAAAAGGGCTTGTTTTTAATATTTTTTAAGGGCAAGTAATGAGATCTCCAATGATGAATTCAGTGCATCACGGGACAAGAATTGAGTGAATCTGTGAAAATGTTAACCCTAAAAGGGCCGGGTTATTTTGACCATCTCTCAGCCGGAAAGATCTCGGCCATCGAGTGACGAAATTTTTTGAAACTTGGTACATGCAAAGAGCAACTCATTTTGAATATACCCAAGAAATGTCAAGACTATAGGTCAAAGGGTTTTGGAATTATGGCTAAATAATTATTCATGTACAAATGTACAAATTGTAATTCTGCTCTGTGGACACGACGTATATTGGAGAATTCAGTTTTCACGGCGCATAGCGCCGGATTTTTATATTTTTTTTTACGTTTTTGGTATCAAAAGATGCGCAAGGCTCGAGGCTAAAAAGTCATAACAGCTCGGGTCGCGAATTCCGATATTTCTTATAAACATACCTTTTAGGGTTAAACCGTGCATAAAAAGTTGTCGCCCACATGAAGTGCGGTTTTTTGAGTTAGATAATGTATTGTTTATTCGGTATCTCCTTCTTGATAATCTAAATATTTAAGATGACTGCATAGATTCGATTAAAAGTTTCATTTTGTCGCGAATAATTTCTTTGAATAGAAGCACTGCTTACACTTCAGCAGGGAGCTTATTTGCTATCGCCCAAAGCGCGGAGGAGGCCTGAAATGACGTGGCAACGTATTACCCCTAACAATTTCTTCTGCATTGCCATCACGTTGAGAAAAAAACCTGTTATTTTGTTTGCCATGAAGGTGGGAATGCAGTGAAAAGTTGATTGATTTTGTTGCATTTGACGTGCCACGGCTCTTTCAATGTCAATATCATTCATACCTCGCATATTAAATTACCACTGGCGGCTATGGGTAATTCTTTCATTCTTTACACTAGTATACACTGAACACTGAGGGAATTATGGAATTTTACGTCTGGGTGATGTAATTTTTTTATTAGTGTCATGCGTGTAATTTGTTTTACTCTTGAACACATCGTTGGAGGACAAACCCCGGTATTAAAATGACATGTTGTTTTTATCAATAGTGGCAGCGGACAATGATAATAAAAAATAATAGATGATGTGGAAAAGCATAAAGGTTGAAAAGTGTACGTTCGCTTGACTCGTTTGTGTTTGTATGTTTGTCGATTGTTGTTTGTTGGGGTTGTTTGTTTGCTTGTTTGTTGCTACCTTCTCATCACTGGAAGAAGCAAGAGGGATTTGACGCTGGTTTTTGGGGAAAAGACGACAAAATGTCCACCGGAAAATTCACATTATAAGGAAAAAACAACATTCAATTTGTTGATTCCTAGAGGTGTTTTTGTGTGGTTTATGTAACGATGCGTACCTGCGGCGCGACCCCAAAACAGGTGTGCGGTATCTAGCCCCAAATCACGATATACAATATATTTTTCCAATTAAATCAAAGGGTTGTTTAACTATATAAAAAAAACCAAAATTATTGGGAAACATATTTTATATTTTTTCCAATTTAGTTTTCCTATGGAGAGAAGAAAATATTCATATCGAAATACTTGTTGTTTACTCCTTTTTGCATCTTTCTCGTTATCGAAACAAAATGTGAATGTGCAGAATATTCTCAGGCTGCGGCGAAATGGTTTAACAAAGAGCTAAAAATAACTTTTCTCTAAAAATCGTGAACTATAATTTGCGGCATTGGCGCAAAGGGTTCCTTAGAAATCATTTCAAAATTGTCCACCCGGTAATTTGATAAGAAAGTCTTAAATTTGTTATCGGACAGAAATTTAGGTCACTTGATTGCGCCGGCGGTGCAGTGCTATATTGCGAGGTTTTTTTCTTGAGTTTTTTTTTGTCCAGTTACGGCCTTAACAAGACGCATGCACCCCGGCTAGCCATAAAGAATAGCATAAATTCATAGAGCACTCTTGAAACCGTTGTGAAATCTTTGTAAAAAAATGCCAGGATTTCATTAGACTATAAAAAGGGAATATGATAATGAATCACGTGATGTATTAGATTTATCACGTGATATTGTCATGTTAAATGGGAATGATAAATGAACAAACAAATAGGCCTATACGGCAAAAAAATACAACGGAGAACATCCAGTATATTGCAAAAGATTTACTACAAAAATTATCCTGAGTAATTAAACTTATATAAATTACACGACACTTTTTTTCCCTGAGGCGATCATCAAGAGAAAATATTTCTAAAAAGAAATACAAATTGTAAGATCAACAACCCAATATCAATATTTAAAAAAAGGACAAAAAGAACCAAACGATAGCCCTTAACGGGACCACTATAAAACAAAACAATCTGGGATAGAACTGCGGTGTCTCGAGAAATACAAACGGTGAAATGAAATTATAGTGCCCCCATCCATTGAACTATACATTGACACTGGTTCGAGACCTTCTTGTAAATTCAAATACTTGACTTGAAACCAATTTCATTACCGAAGAGAATTGAATATACACAAACCTATATGTTGTTAATTATTAAAATTTCAATCCAGACACTCTTACCTTTTGCTTGGTTCCGTTAATATCGAGGTGAATACAAGCCGGGACGTTGCTTTCCCGGGATGCGGCTCCGTTACCCATGGTTATCTCCGCCACACGGTGCTGCTGGGCTGTCGGTGAATTGGACTGAAGACAGCTCGATGGAGTCGGTCATTCTACAGGTGAACAAAAACACACGAGGGTAAGCAATCTCCGCGGCCAGGCAGCAGTATTCAAAAACATGGATCGAATCATGAACTGTAATAAAGGAAGGCCTTTAAAATACGGGTACAATTTTACAAGTGGCGAGCACTTTATTTACGGGATGCTGACATGACACTCACCGTTGGAAAATGTTACAAGGCGTCCGTACGTCGGGCCGTTCGATCAAGTTGTTCCGTCGAGTATAGCGCGAAGAGCTCCAGCACATCAACACCCGAGCTATAGTGTTACTGTTAGACCACTTTGTTGCGTTCTATACTCCTTGCGTCCCGTGCCGCAAGACAGGCAGCAAACCTGGAACCTGCAATGCATCACCCGCATCATCGGTCTGCCTGTAGTTACCATGACAACAGTGCCAGAATGGACAATTCTGACACGGGGGAGGAGCAAAGGAGGGACGATGTATCTGCAGTGGGCCGTTGATATTTCCATCCCCCCTGCAACTGGAGGGGAAAAAAACAAAACAACGTGTAATTACATGCGGTTTTTTTTTCTTGTCTGTTGCCATGGCACCCTTCCTCTGATTTCTAGCCGGGGATGATCTGCTGCGGAGGATATAATGAGCACGAGAAGCGATACAAGTGAAATTTCGCGTATTTAATGTGCATGTGGAGACTAGAGTGCATTCGCATTTACTTCGGCCTATAACGACTACTCAGCGTGCATGCTGCTTATCTGTAGGCCTAGGCTTCTTTTTTTTTTAGTCAGATGAGGTGTTTCCTTTTGATGGCGTTTTGCCGATGTAAACTGTGATTCTGTCCCCTAGTAAATCTGTCCGGGGGGGGGGCAGATTTACCAGGGGGGCATAAAATTTTACTTTGGGGGAACATAAAAATCGCGTATAGGCCGACTTGTTACGATCTGATTTTGTCTAACTCCAGCCCATTCGCTGGAAATGACTTGCACGACGTGAGTGATCATCATTAGCGCACCGATGTACGTCATTAAGGTGCAGCGTCTAATGATCAGAGTCAAAGGTCAAGGTATTGACTTATAGGACAATAACAAGACGCAAACATCCGTTTAAAAATATCTGAAAAAACCCTCATTTTTTGCCCTAATTGGCTTGATAGCCACCACTGAGGTATCTGTGAACGTGCTTCTCTTAATTTACATTAATTGAACTTTAAAAGAGGTTAATGAAACCAACTTGCGGCAAATTGTGTTTGTTTTTCGTCCGCCGCTTGAACAAATTGTGGCGCTTTAATTGTAACTCCTTCCGAGTTGAAAGTCATGGTGTGGCAAACCGTGGTTCTCAGGTTGTATGAAGTCCCCGTTTTACGCGTAAAAAGTAATTGCATCCGCGTTTCCCTTCCACTTCGCAAGTCAAAAATAAAACAATACAAAAACAAAACAAAAGTGAGAGGGCTGCTATATCGATGTTTACAAGATCATTTTGAGGGGCAAGTGACTTTTGTTATTGGGTCATTTTTCTCTAATTTGTATATTTGAGGTCAATCCAGATCATCCAGTCGGTACGCGGTTTGCAGCAGTTTAATTCGTTTTTAAGTTTAAAAATTAATGTGGCCTGACGTTGCGAACTTAGCAAGTTCTTCTTCAGAGGCTAAAACAGAAAGGACAGAGGCACATACATTAACAAGGGGGCGCACACAAACATGCAGGGGTGAAAGAAGAAACACAAAAGGAGGATTAGGTGGGAAAGGTGTGGAAAGATGCGGGGGAGGGTGGATGAGAGAACAAAGAAACAAAGGGAGATGGCAAACCACAAGGGGTCTGGTATGAACAGGGGAGGGACCAGAAAGGGGAAGGATCAAAGGTCACAGGGAGTGGGAACGGACAAAAGAGTGTGGGAGTGAAGGGGGATTATGCGGGGGGGGGGGGGGGGGGGGAGGGGGAACAGTATGGAGGTGGAAAGGGATGAAAGATGGGGGAAGATGGGTAAACACAAACAATGAAGACCAGGTGGATTATCTGTAACGGAAGAGAATGGAGGAAGAAAAAGATTAATCATTTCCAAGTTGGATGTTGAGACCATGTGGTTGAATAGTTCGAAGACGATTCATCCACACTTTCTCTCTGCTGAGGCGAACTGAGTCCTTGCGATGGCCAAGAGATTCAATGCCCTGCAAAATCATATCAGAAATGGAGTGGTTGGGCAGGTTGAAGTGGTGACCAACAGGGGTGTCTAGTTTCTTGGTGTTGACCGTTGACCGGTGGGCTTAGAAACGCTTCTTGAGCGTATTCTTAGTCTCACCTACATACTGTACTCCACAGACCCTGCAAGAAATGAGATATATGACATTAGGGGTGTTACAAGTGATGTTACCAATGGTTCTGTGGGTAGTGACAGAAGAGTGGCCAGAAAAGGAGTCGTTTTTAAGTTTTCAACTACGTAGCATGAAAGTGCGCCCTCTACCAAAGTATTTGGGGAAAAAACACACTGACACAATTTCACAATTATTATTATTATTTTTTTTTAATAAACCTTCAATGGACCAAACTGACTTGTTTCATGCCGGGATCATAGAAAAGAAACTCCGTGTAACTGTCTCAAGTTGAACACACAAAACAACAATTCAAAGAAGTTTAGTTTATAATGTGGTTCCTCTTTGACTTGTTCCTAAACTTGGCTCAAGTCGGCCCCCCCTGAAGTGAGATGAATCAATGAAGAACTCAGAGGAGATTATTCTCAGGTTCTGTGCCACTGCAGCTTTATTCATCAGACATAATGTAAGAGTGAGCGCGGGCGAACTGTTCACCTAATGTGCTTGCGCGCATACAAAGTAGTGCTCATGAAGTATCACAACATCCCTCCCCTTTTGAAAGTACAATTTCAGGAATAATTATTGGTGTACACATAAAACTGGAATTTACTTAATTAGCAAGCATTTACATGAAATGTGTAGTGATGGCTTTTCAATTGACAGACATATGAAACATTGGTGGTCATATCTTACTGACAACTACAACTTTTGTTTCTCTGCAATAGTTTCTCTGCAATATGTGGCACACAGTCTTAGTACCTTCTTTTCGAACGGTAACAAATTTAACTTTAACAGTAACAAAGTTAACTTGAACAGTAACAAAGTGAACTTTAGTACTTTCTTTCTTTTGAAATTTGACTTTGGTACTTTCTTGCTTTCTTCCTTTTTGAACTGTTAACAAATTTAACTTTAAACAACAATAAATGTACTGAAACGGGTTTAATAAACATATGAAACTTTGAGTTCTGTTTCAAATCGTGTTGGTTATTTGTTTGTTTCCATATGAAATTAAATGTGAAATATCGTTTCTGAACCAATTGTTTGAAGTATCTGCTATGTATAATCTGGGTGTGCGATATTATTCAGTGTATCTGGCTGGTTTTCGGATTGTGTGTCCAGATTTTGTTTTGCGAGTGACAGTCGGAGACTTGTTTCGATCTGTGTTGTTTCGGTCTGTTTTGTTTTGGTCTGTTTGTTTCACAGCTTCTGTGTCTAGCTTCTTGTTGGACAGTGGAAGTGATTCATCAGCGAATCGAACTCGTTTGGGCGTAGCCAGGGATTTCATCTGGCTGGGCATCTCACGTAGGTGCGAACGGTTGCGACGTAGTCTGTGTCCATTGGGTGTGGTGACTTCATATGATCTAGGTTCCTTACAGACTGTTGTGACTTCACCAGGCAACCAAGTGTGGTTCTGCTGGTCCAGGATTCGCACTCGTTGGCCAACATAGAGTTGTGGGAGTTCTTTTACTGCTTGTTTGGCATCATGGTCGGTCTTCATCTTTTGTCGTCTTGCCTCTAGCTGGTCTCTGATATCCTCAGCTTTCTGGGGGTTTGCTTGCAGGCGGTTGTTTGGCAAGGTAGTTTGTATCGGTCTGCCGAAGAGAATTTCAGCTGGTGACGGTAGTTTGGAGTCCACAGGGGTTGCACGGAGGTTCAAGAGTGCTATGTCGACATTTTGTCCAGACTTCTGGCATTTCTTGATCACTGACTTGACGGTTCTGACTGAACGTTCCACGAAACCGTTTGAACGTGGATAACGTGGAGACGAAGTTGTGTGCTTGATGCCCCATGTGTTACACATGTCTTCGTAGTGTTTGCCTACGAATTGGGGGCCGTTGTCTGACATAACCTCAGCTGGTGCTCCAAGGAGGCTGAATGTGTGTGAAGTGATGCCAGCAACTGCTGCACTGGTAGTGCTGTTCAACTTGTGAACGACAGGGTACTTCGAATGATAGTCAACTATCAGTAGATAGTTGTCTCCGTGGATTTCAAACAGATCAGTGCCAAGTTTGGTCCAGGGGGTCGAAGGTACTTGATGTGGCTCCAATGGTTCCTTTTGCTGTTTGGGTTGGGATTCCTGGCAGTAGGAACACGCTTTGACAAGTTCATCAATATGGCGATTGATGTTGGGCCAGTAGACCGACTCTCTGGCTAGACGTCTTGTCTTCTCTATACCCATATGGCCTGTATGGAGCTGTTGTAAGATATCCGTCTGAAGTGAGTCTGGAATGATGACCTGTCTTCCTTTGAAGATTATTCCCCAGGAGATACCAAGCTCATCCCTGTATGGCCAGTAGACCCGTAGGTCTCGAGGTAGTTCCTTGACGGAGTCTGGCCAGCCACTGTATATTATCTGACACAGTGCACTTAGTACAGGGTCTCTTGCTGTTTCTCTCTGCAGTTGCTCTTGCTTAGACTGCCCAAAATGCACAAGGTCCATGCACATGGCGTCTTGGCCTTCATAGACATCAAAACTGCCGACCAGTCTGTCTAGGGGTATGTCATCACTCTTTGTCGGGTTTGGCAATCTGCTCAGGGCATCTGATAGCGTCATTGTTTTCCCTGGTCTGTACTGTACGTCAAAGTTGTATCCTTGCACCTTAATTAGCAAGCGTTGCAGACGAGGTGGTGCACTCGAGAGGGGTTTCTTCCAGATCATCTCAAGTGGCTTGTGATCAGTGTGGAGTGTAAACTCTTTCCCGAAGAGATAGCTATGGAACCTGGTGATGCCGAACACTAGGGCTAGTGTTTCTCTCTCTATGTTAGAGTAGTTGGCTTGTGCCGGGGAAAGACTCTTCGACGCAAATGCTATCGGCCTGTTGTTTTGAAGGAGGCAGGCTCCCAGACCCTTCTGTGATGCGTCGACTTCCAGCACAGTGTGTATCTCTGGGTTGTAGTACTGGAGACACGCTTCAGTGGTGATGGAATATTTCAAGGCTTCGAATGCTGCTTGATGGTCATCCTGCCACAGATATGGCACATTCTTCTTCAGAAGATCCCTGAGGGTCGCCGCTTTGTCTGCTAGGTTAGGGATATATGCAGAGACGTATGTGATCAGGCCTAGGAATTTTTGCAGGTCTTCCTTGTCCTGAGGTGTTGGAATGCTGTGGATGTCCTCAATTCTGCCTGGGTCCGGCCGGATGCCGGTGTCGGAGTACAGTGACCCAAAGAAGTTGATTTGGTTGGTCTTGATGTGGCATTTGTTGCTGTTGAAAACTAAGCCTTCACGGCTGGCTGTTTGAAGTAGATTCAGGAGGTTGGCATCGTGTTCTTCCTCAGTACGGCCGTATACAGCAACATCGTCAGCAATGCCGACGCATCCTGGGACCTGTTCTATGATGTCGTCCATGCACTGCTGGAAGATGTCTTGGCTGATGGAGAGACCAAATGGAAGGCGCTGGAAACAGTACCGGCCAAATGGCGTTCGAAAGGTGGTCAGCTCTTGGGATTCTTCCTCGAGCTTGACGGCCCAATACCCAGCTTTAGCATCAAGCTTCGAGAAGAATTTGGCTTGAGAAAATGCTGGGTTGAGTTCCTCCAGTGTGGGTATTTTGTGCGGACATCTCTTGAGGCTCTGGTTCAGCCGCTTAGGATCCAGACAGACCCTAAGTGTCCCATCTTGTTTCAAGCTCGTGGTTATCGAACTACACCAGTCGGTGTGATGGGTGACCTTTCTAATTACACCTTGCTGTTCCATCTTGTCGATCTCTATTTTGAGCTTCGGCTTCAGGTGTATGCTACACTTCCTGGGTGCGTCAATGCTCGGTTTAGCATCCTCCTTTAGATGAAGAGTTGCTCTGGCTTTGAAGTTTCCAATTGTGTCAAATTGGTTGGGGTACAACCTCACGAGGTCGTGGACCGACTTGATGGTGTCATGTGACAGATTTTGGGGTTCACCCACTCCTGGTTCTTTGGGTGATGCAGGGGGTTGAGGTGACGATTCAGTGGAGTGGATGGTGACCACTTCAAGCTCGCTGCACATGGGCAGGCCGGCTATGGCTGGTCCGGGTACATCTACGACGTAGAATCTGTTCTTTGTCCACTTCGGTGTCTTGTAGCGGCATAAAAGCTCAATGCACCCTAGGCATACAATCTCTGTACCGTTGTATGCCGTCAGCTTGGTCTTCACAGGCTGGACGAAAGACTTCCATCGACTTCCATACATCTGTTTGATCGTACGGAGTGGCAACGTGTTTCCTCCGGCTCCAGTGTCAACTTTTGTGATTAGTCGGTGTTTGCCGATGAGGTCGGGGCAGATAACGTCAAGCGTTGTGTATGCCTCCCTGTTGTTGTCTATCGAGCTCATGCAGAGGTTCGAGACAGTAACTGTGTGGAATACTGTTTCATATTCCTCTGAAGCTTCTGCTGAATGGATGGGTTGTTCATCTCTGTTGGTGTCATTTGGCTTCTGCTTGCCGGCATTGGATCGACTTTTGGATCTTGGTCTGCGAGTTGTATTTCCTCGCGATGGGCTGCGGCCACGTCTGGACGGAGATTTGCCCTTGCGTTTACCCTGGCTTCGGGTCTTTCTGCAGAATTTGGCCCAATGGCCCTTGGAACCACATGATTTACATGTGTCCCGGTAGGCAGGACACCGTCTTGGTGGGTGGGATAGACCACAGTTGCCACAGGTTCTGCCAGTGGGTCGGAAAGCATGGACAGCTGTATGTGACGCCTCCAACGTCTCAAGGCACTTTTTGCCAGCAAGGATGGCTTCGTACTTCCGTCCCTCTTGTAGCATGTCATCGATGCTAAAACCAATGGGTTTGTCTAGAAGATCTTTCTGGAAAGATTCAGATGTGGTAGACGCAATAACTAATTCGATGATGCGTTCCGTCATTTCCTCTGGTCCGAAGTTACATTCGTGTGCCTTTGCTCGGCATCTGTTGACGAAGTTGTCCAGGGATTCATCTGGTTTCTGGCGATACCGCATAAGCTCCAGGCGATGTATGCGGAAGTTCACTTTGATGTGTAGCTGCTTCTCGAACAACTCCCATAACTGGTTGGGGATCAGTTGTTCTTCTGCTGACAGGCTTGAAGAATTTATCATTTTGAGGCCTCCAGTTCCGACTGCTATTTGTATCTTAACAGCACGCTTGGCAGGATCGGTGATTTCCTGGTCCCTGAAGCTCAGGTCCATCCGTTGTTTAAAAAGCTTAAACTCTTCTGCGATGTCTGTGGCACCCCAGTTCATTTCTGGGAACTTGGCCATGATGCAGGGCTGTGGGATAGAAATCTCTGGGATACAATTCAATATGCTACAGCAAACGAAATTGTAAACAGTAGCAACTGCAATGTAGCTTAAAGGTAAGTGCTACGATTAGTGATCACAATAAATCACAACAATATAATTATTTCAATAATAATTTTGACTATTCAACAATATATTTGTCAAAACACATATTATTGTTCATATATGAAATGTCCAGTGTTCTTTTGGTGAGCAGTCCTTTCTCCAAGAATGTCCAAACACAGTTTGTCCTGCTTTTCCACAGAAATGAGCGATGTACTGTCAGTTTTCCAACTTGACTTGATGTCCCGTACAGGCCTCCGTAGATATGATTGATGCACAGTTCCGGCACTGGCGGATGAATACGGCGAATGTTCACTGGGATGAGTGGGAAGCGCACAGTTCCGGCGATGATGCGGAGTGATAGGGTCAAAGGTCACACTTGACGTAAAGATGCGTGAAGCGGTTCACAGGGCTTGTGATGTTCACGGAACTATTTGTTCATACGCACAGCTACAAGAATGTGTGCACGATAGCGAAACAATGTTTAACAATATGAAGGTGATTCAAAGGTGTACATTGTTACGTGAACTGGCTGGGGGGGGGGGGGCTGATGATCACTCCCGTAGATCAAACTTTTGACAAAGTTATTGTAGTGACTTGCCTTGGTCACGCGATGGTGCGACGGGCTGGTCCCTGACCGGTCAACCGTGTGTACGGGTCGAGTAAGCTCGGTCGAGTCCCGGTGCGGTCGCGTCAAATCGGAGCTCGATCAGCTTTCACTCAGCTCCACGAAAAAGACGAAAAAAGTCCTCTGTCGCTATGATGCCGATGGTCGACTCGGGGCGAGGGGTTTTCTCTTGTCCGTGCTGTCCACAGCACGGTGTAGCGGTCCGCCTCAGCGCTGGCTCGGTGATGGCTTAGGCTTGGCCTCAGTCCGGCGATGACTCCGGGCTAGGCTACGCACGCAGCTGAGTTTCAGTTACGTTGCGTGCGGTGTGCAGTGGGCTTGGCGACGGTGGGTGTGCGGCATACAGTGTGTGATGTGGTGCGCTGAATCTACGCACGCGGCGAGTACACATATGGATATGTACAGTTCACACTGGCGATCACAGCGGAAACGTTGTTGTCGCGGAGACAATTTCTGCTGCTTTCCGGTAGTTTTCAGTTACTCTGCTTAGTTGAGAGTGATGGGTGTTCTCTGGCCTTTTTCACCACCGCTGCCACCATGAAGTGAGATGAATCAATGAAGAACTCAGAGGAGATTATTCTCAGGTTCTGTGCCACTGCAGCTTTATTCATCAGACATAATGTAAGAGTGAGCGCGGGCGAACTGTTCACCTAATGTGCTTGCGCGCATACAAAGTAGTGCTCATGAAGTATCACAACACCCCCCTTCATCTGCACACCATCGCATAGCGCGCAATATCAGTTTCTGTCCATCTATATTAGAAAACATGTTGAGCTATTTTGATGTTGTTGTGGATGATGGACATGTGTACCTAACATAGAGCTGTATAATGCTCTAAGGTACCTAATTAACCTCTCATTTTGTGTGAGCTAATGTGTTAAGGATTTCAGACTGGACTCAAGTCTATGGACTTATTTTATTATCCTTGCGTAACTTGGTTTACGATAATGCACGTGACATGTCATGCATGTGATGAACGTGAAATGCTCGCCACAAGCTGACACAGGAGCGTTGGCCATCTTTGACCTGTCCGCACTGTCCGCAATTGCTGCTGGGCTGAGTGTTCACACCGTCGCCTAATTCTCAAGGTAATGTTGGATTGTTATCAAATGTCACTGAAACGGTAGAGGAATTAGCATACTATGCCTAGCTCTACTGAGTGGAGCGTTGAACGGTTGTACCATGGAGAAATAAAACACATAATCTCGATCAAAATCTGTAGCAAAATCGCTACATCAGAGTGAAAAAAAATTCAGTCTGTGGGGAAGCATTGAGCGTCTGGCGTACTACAGAGCTTGCGATAGTAGTAGGCTAGTCCGAAAATTTGGGACTCTCAATACTGTGTATGAGAGTCCCAAAGCTTAAGGTATTGAAAACATGCAAAACAAGAAAATAGACTGGCACCTAAAACAACCAGTCCAACACAGCTTCAGTACTGCATCAATCAACCATGCCAAAAGAATTTAAGAAACATGTGGCATGAAGCGGGAACTAGTCTCAATTTACTACACATTTCTCCATAGTGAAGCCACCAGACTATTGACACTGAATGAAGAGGTCAGTCTTTTCAAATAGTTGGACCATGGTTGAATGTGCCAGTCTAGTATTTAGCCCCATTTTGAAATCAGTTGACTTCCCTCTCATGTGTAAAATATTGAAGAAAGTCTCCTTTAAAAATTGAATATGGTCTGCAAACTTGGTTGGTGAAATACTGAGGACATTTTCTTTGCCCCAGTGGAATTTTTGGAGAAATTTGCTGGCTAAACTGTGAGTAAAGTGGGCCTGATTTAGTTTTGCACGTTTCAGAGCACTCCAGAGCCCTGTCTGGTAGTAGGCCTACTGTACGGCCAGACGCAGTCGGGTTACGCCCCAACTATGGTATCGGTCCCAACTATAGTTGGGATCGTCCCAACTATAGTTAGGACGGTCCCAACTGTAGTTCCACAGTTTGGCTGGCCCAACTATAGTTGGGAGTCATCAAGGGGGCCCATCTATAGTTGGGCCACTCCTAGTCCGAGTAACTTGGACCCAACTTATCGCCTTTTTTAACATTTTGGACATGGTCTGGCGATCGCCAGACCATGTCCAAAATGTTAAAAAAGGCGATAAGTTGGGTCCAAGTTACTCGGACTAGGCCACTCCAATCTTTTTATTTTGCGGTGTCCCAACTATAGTTTACATTGATGTACAACTATAAAACGTTCCCTACAGCTCTGATACACGTCTGACTTTACTTGGGACCATTGAAATTAGCTATTGATGGGGCCAATCTATAGTTGGGCCACAGTGCAATATTTTAATTTTGCGGTCCCAACTATAGTTTACATTGATGTACAACTATAAAACATTCCCTACAGCTCTGAATGATACATGTCCGACTTTACTTGGGACCATTGACTTTAGCTATGGGTGGGGCCCATCTATAGCTGGGCCACAGCGTCCGGCGCAACTCCAGTCCTAACTATAGTTGGGCCGACCCAACTGCCGCACTATAGTTGGGACAGTCCCAACTATAGTTGGGACCGGTGCGATAGTTGGGGCGTAACAGTACCATGGAGGTAGCGGAGGGTACCGTAGTTCAACGCTCCACTCAGTAGAGCTAACTATGCCTAGGCTAGCCCAGGTTGGACTCCATCAGTCGTAATGCAATAAAGACGTCGTCCAACCTGGGCTAGCGCAGGCCTATATACACAGTACAATTTGGAGTAATTGCAGAATACCCCACCACTCGGAAATACACCCCTAAAATCCCCGGCTACGCGGTTGGAATCACTGGAATGTCAGACAAGTCGACCGTTGAGACAACTCGACCGTTGAGACAACTCGACCGTTGAGACAACTCGACTCGGGACAACTCGACCATTGAGACAGCTCGACTTAATGGAAATGTATACACGTGGAGCAGAAAAAGTTGCATGGCAGCACCGATCCCGGGCGCGGCGCGGCGCGGGCATACTCGATGTACAGAGGGTGCTCCGATCCGGTGGCCCTCGCGTCGGTATTACTCCTTATACTCCTGTTTAAAACACTATGAAACTTCACAAGTAAAACTTGGCACTGCCACAATTTGAATGAGTCTTGTGCTTAAAGAAAGCTTATTAAATTCGTATCCTAGATTTTGAAAGTGCTATACATGTAGAACTTCATTAAAAAAAATGATCTTGACATTTGGGTTTCCTTTTTTGACTCGCCCTGTATTACTATTAGTAATTTTTTCTCTAATGAATACAGAAGTTGCAGGAGTTGGACCGGCCAGCGTTATGGGAAGCCCAGAGGAGGCCAAGCCACTACTTAGTGACGAGTCCCAAGCAACATGCTACTTCCATAGCAGTGACGCTTCATCCGCAAACGGTGATGGCGTTCACCCCTGCACTATGGACATTGCGCTACAAGGCAATGATGAAGACACATCCAACCCAGGAACGATCGATATTCCGGAGACTGAAGGGGTATGAATGTTCACACAACATATTAAAGGAAATGTGTACATGTACAAGTTTACAACATTTGCTTTTGCTGCAAATTTCGAAAATAAATGGATTTGGAAGATTAGTATGTAATACTGAGCAAATATTGTTAAAATGACATGTTTCACGTTTTGGGTTTGTAGATGCTGGAAAAACCAAGAAAACTATTCATGTTCTTGTATGTAGTCTGGTTCCCTGACCCCACTTAAGATGAAACTGAGAATTTATAGACTTTTGGGAATTGTAAGGTCAGAGCATCAGTCTAGTAGGCTTGTAGTACCCCTTCACAGGTGTGTAATCAATTGCAAAGAAAACGCGGAATAACTAATTATGAAAAATTAGGAGCAGCTTTTGAAAAAAGCCACCTTTCTCCAACGCTGGTCAGCTGACCAGCATTGGAAAAATACACTTTTTCTTGAAAATGAAAGCACACCAGGAGCCACGAATTTACAGGATGCTTTAGACTGTCATTCCCTAGCAATCCAGTAAGGTATTTCGTGATAATTTGATCATTTCGTTTTGTGATGTTTGCAAATGTTGTATCTTCCCTTTAACCATATGTTAATGATGACTAACGATTATTGTCAATCAATCAATCAATCAATCAAAAGAAATTTATAAAGCGCCAAAATCAAAAAAAGTTTGCTGTAAGGCGCTGATGGAGCACCAAAAAGAAGAAAAATTATTGATGGTACGCCTCCTGAAAACAGATGAGCTTTCAGGAGTGTCTTTCAGGAGCAAAACTATCGTGACATTTCGGACAGTCCGATTTCAAAATTTAATAACAAAGCGGCATGTGAAAGAGCAAGGTCTATATTTCATTAACCCTCCTGCTATCTGAACAGTCACAGACAGTCAAAAAACAATTAATCCTCTTCCCCTGCCATGCCTTTTACACAAGCTAGTCACCAACAGTCAGATCATATTTCAAGCAAACACTGTGACCAGTCAAATTCAGTCAACAGACAAAAAAACAGGCAAGTGGTAGGCACAGCCGGCTTATCAATCACCTACAGTCAAAGCATATCAAGTTACATAAACAGTCACAGCTAGTCAATCTTTAACTGTCGAAAACAGTCACTTGATTGATTTTGACTGGCACAGATGTATGTTTTTATTGGAGGGTTAGTTATTGCACTGACTTCTTACCCAAAAGTGTTTGATTTTGACATACCAAGTTACATTTTAAAGTGCCCAGTTGTAATCATCATGGCCCAATTTCTTGTTGCAGCTAAGCCACAATCTTGCCTTAGCACATTGCCAAGTAAACCCTTACTCTCTGAGGGTAGTTTACTGCATGTCAGTTGGTTATGCCAATGCCCTCCAGCTGCAGTTTTTTGGCAGATAACAAGTCTTAACAGTGAAGGCTCCAATTGGCAGGAGTTGGAGGCCCTGGAGGGTGCCTGATACTGACCAGCTGGGGGCACTCACTTTGTTATCAGAGGACTCTCATTGTTCTCTGTGGCATGTATTGGAGTGCCTGTCCAGTTACCCTTGAAATGACATGGCAGATATTGGAGGGCCATGCAAAAAACATAGGAGATTTTCTTGAGGCACATATTGGCATGCATTGGAGGGTCAAGTAGGGTAAGGGTTAAGCCGTGTCCTAATTACTTGGTTACGGCTATAAATAACACACATGTCTATGGGAAGTGGCTGCATAGACCTGTGTGTAATTTCAAGCCGCAGCCAAGTAATTCGGACACGGCCTAAGAATCAGCTTGGATCCAGTCATAAGTCAGTTCAGATCACATGACATTTTGGCTAGAAACCCGTGCTTGGCCAATTTAGCAATGCCTGTGAATTAGGCCCAGAACTCCAGGCCTTGACACTTTATTAGGGTCCCGAACTTTATCTGGCGGTTTACCAAAAAAAAATTGGCAAATTGCAAAACAACCTCATCTGTCATTGAAGTTGACGCCATTGTTAACATTTAAGTCCTGAAACTCTGTTTGTTGATTGATGACTTGAAAACTGCAGCAAATACATTTTGTGGTGTGTGTAATCAATAAGCCCACAGTGTGTAGTTTTGAAAGGTATTCTCAATGCAAATTTGCAGATATTTCTGATCAGAATACAAAGTAAAAATTGTAAGGTAAAAGTTCTCACGGAACACATCCTTCGTAAGCCTGCAAATGCTGTGGTCGAATGCCATGGTCCAGTGGTTACGGTGTTGTGACTCATATATGAGGGTGTGTGGGTTCGAAGTCCAACCCTGCCAGGAACAGGGTGTTTGTGCCCTTGGGCAAGACACTTGTTCGACAATTGCCTCTCTCCACCCAGGAGGAGTACAAATGGGTTCCTGTGAGGGTAGAGGACCGAGTTTGTGCTGATATCGGCTGCCGCGTGGTCTGGTGGCCTGATGAACGGGGGAATAAAAGTGCCTTGAGATTGTTGATACGCTGGAGAGCGCTTAAGCATTACAATTTATTTTATTTATTACTTCCTCTAAAAGAGTTGTAAATTAATCACTTAGAACCTCAAAATTTCTGAAATTTCCATCTTTTGAGCTGAAATGTCTGAAATTCACGTTGTAATAACTAAAAAAACCCAAAATTAATGGGCACTTTCATGCATATAACAGATGGGCCTATTTAATCCCCATAAAAACGATATCAGATAGTGTGGGGTTCGCAGTTTCTTTAAAAAAATCTCTCCAGACCCGTTTCAGTGACTTTTTTTTCACTATATTTGCAGACTAAATTCAGCTTCCGTAAGTTGTGGGCCTTCACTGGGCCAGGGTTTCTGATGAGTATAGCCTATCTGGATCCTGGTAACATTGAGTCGGATCTGCAGTCTGGTGCAATTGCAGAATACAAAGTGAGTCCAGAAATAAATGATTTTTTTAATTGAAACTGTGCACATACATTTCACTGGTATTTTTGAGGGAGCTTGTGTTAAAGATAGGGTGGGCAGGGAGATTAGTAGTAGGTGATTTTGTTAAAGTCATCACAAGTTAAGAAAATGGCAGGAAAATTATAGAAAGGAAATTCAGTTGGAAGTATTAATAGAGGAGAAAACAAAATGTAGAACAAAAACACAGCTTGTTGAGTATAGAAAAGCTATCTGTAGACAAAAATGGGCCATTGTGTCTTGCCTTGGTACAATTCTGTCTGTAAAGAAACCAGTGGACTTGCTAATCACAGTGTTAAAGTTAAAAAAAATCAAGATTCAAATGCCTTTTATCACCAAAAAAAATTGCTACTCGCTAAGAGTAGAAACTCAAGCCAGGAACGAGTAGATGAAATACCACAAGTAGAACACCGAGTAGCAAACACTACTCACGAGTGCTCAAGTACTCGGGTTACTCGCCTAGCACTAGTCTTAATACTTGAGATTTCCCAAGTGTGACACCATGAATGTTTGGCCATTCTTAGTTTGTTTTAGTTTTCAGATATTTGTAATTTCACTAATATTTCTGATTATATTTGATTGCGTTCAGCTTCTGTGGGTGTTGTGGTGGTCTACAGTTCTTGGTCTGGTCCTGCAGCTGTTAGCAGCAAGATTAGGCAATGCAACGGGTGAGTCAAAAAATGATTAAATAAAAACAAAAAGTGCATTGTCCCTTTAACAATGAGTCAAAGTTTACTACGACATATTTTCCAGGGACGGGTGGACATTTTGATTGTGTTCTTGATTGCTCGGCATTCAGATATGAGGGTCAAAGGGCGAAGTCAGTCAAGCGGGTCAAGTGATTGTAACTCGTGATGTATGGCATGATTAGCTTGATGCAGATCTGTTATATTTTGGCTATTTGTGCATCTAACCCTGAAGCCTGTCAGAGATGGTCCTTTTTCAGTTGCTTTAGCATAAAGTGCTTGAAAGTCACAGTGGGCAATATAGAATATCATAAATCTCTTTGATTTACGATATTGATGTAGAGGGAATGCTTGAAATTGGCACATTAGTGCCCGCGTATTACTGCTTCAGAAATTCTACAAACCATTGTGCCAATTAAAGATATTTTATTGCAAACAGAGAGATTTCACACGTTTGTTGCGTGGATGTTGCGAACACGACTCACAACTTACTTGTACAATGTAGGTCGATTTGTAATTTACTTCAGTTCAGTTCAAAAGCGAAGTTAGCTGGGTAGGTTTTGTTTTCATGTGTTTGTTATTTGTGGTACGCCAGTGAATTGTAGAAAACTCTACAACTTAATTTACAGCAACGGGCATAGGAGTAAGGTTTTGTGACAGTTTTTAAAGCTTTATGGAAGCATTCATACTTAAGCTTAAAATGTTGCACTCTAAAAATGTTTCACCAAAAATGAAATAAAAGAAAATTCCAGGACACATTTGAATGTCAATAGATTGTGTAATTCTATGAAACCAGGATGTGTAATTTTGATATCGATTTTACATTTACATTCCCCTTTTCCCTTGTCATGCTTTTTTAATGGTCTCAACTGAGAATAGGCAATGTAAGTTGACTCCCTCATTTTTACAAACAGTTTGAGAGTAGAAAATCTTTTCTTCTCCCTTTATGCTCATACAGTACACAAATAGTTTGTTTCTTTGGCAATTTCCAAATACATATTTATTTTAAGGGAAGTCATTTAATAAAAAACAAGAAACGGGTTGTGTGGGACTCACTGTGCACACACAAAGATCAAATATAGTCAGTTATCGAAACCAATTGACAGCAATAACCTTTGTACTAAAGCAAGGATTAAAATAAACCACAACGCCCAAAGTTAAATGTTTTTGTGCAAAGTGAATAGTGCATAAACAGCTGTGAGAAATAATTCAAAGTCAGTCTTGTCAATACATGTACAAAGAAATTTTGGTAAAAGTGTAAACCGAGGAATACAAATTAGTTACAACATATTTGTTTTTGCCACAATAAAATTACAGGTTTTGGTTAAAAAAAAGGTTAGCTTGGAAAAAAAATGAATACATGTGCATGGCCTTTGCTTTTTTTGCGTAAGTTTGACTCTCTCAAAAATATGACAATGTACAAGTGAAGAGAATTCAGTAAAAAACACACACCAGGTTTTTGTTAAAAAAAATTATCTTGGAAGACAAATGCTTACATGAAGTCTTGTCTTTGGTTTGTTTTGTGCTATTGTAACTCTCTCCAAAAATGCCAATGTAGAAGTAAAATCAGTAAACTAGGCTATGGGATGATTTCATGAACATTTTTCCAGCAATTTGTGTCTAAACAAAGTTTGAGGAGTAGGTACCGGTACTTTCACAAAGTTACTAGTATTTTTACATAATTTTACATAAATCTTTGGTTTGTTTTATGCTATTTTAACTCTCTCCAAAAACGCCAATGTAGAAGTAAAATCAGTAAACTTTTGGATGATTTCATGAACATTTTTCCAGCAATTTGTGTCTAAACAAAGTTTGAGGAGTAGGTACTTTCACACAGTTACTAGCATTTTATTACATAATTTTTCTGGTTTTGTAACAGTTACACAAAAGGCAAGGTCAAACAGGAAGCCATGTGACCATCCTTAGATAAGTTTTCAGTAGTACACTGTGCACGTAAGCTGTAAACAAGGCCACATTCATCCAGGATGTTACGTTGCATAAATGTACATTTTGTTTTGGTGAGACACGATATCAACATCTGATCACATGCACATATTCATCATTTCCGTCGTGATTGGGATCATGATTAATTTTGTTTGTTATGATGTTTGGCATTGTTTCATTTCAACATGCAAAATACATGTTCATGAGTACTGTATGGCAATTAAAGCTGGCAATATTTTTTTATAAAAAAAAAAAATAAAAAAAATAATAAATTTGAAAAATAATTAAGCTGCTGCAAACTGACTGGACTAACCTGAAATATAAAAATCAAAAAGTCAGAGAGGCCTGATATATTTGGTCTTTAGCAAAGACTTCTTCAGAGGCAAATGACAACAAACATGCAGGGGTCATGCACGTAGACAGCGTTGTAAGAACAAACACAAAGGAGTGATGGGGGGGCAGACAGTGGATGAAAGGGGATTAGGGAACAAAGGAGTGTGGTGGGAGTGGGGAACATTCATACATTTCTAATTTCCTATTTATTAAATCCTGTTTTTCTTTTTCTAAGCAGAAAAAGGAACTATGACTTCACGTAGTGTAGGTTTTAATCATGCCTATACTCTGTGTGCTTTTTGCATTTTATATTTTGTGAGATCAGGATTCAGGAATAAAAAATGGAATGGTTACAAAAATGGTGTTACAAATTTTGTATATTTTTTTTCTATTTGGTGGCAAAATGTTATATAGGTATAGTTACAGATGTACACTTCTCATGAAAATGGACACTACACATGGGCATAGTCTTTGGGATTGGGACTACAGTAATTCTAAGTTGTGTATGTGTTATTTGTTTTCAAATTCACAGAATTATGTTTTCAAGCAATTATAATTTCATCACAGCGGAAAAAAAAACAGAAAAATACCCAAATACGACAGAATTAAAATGTCAGTGGAAAGTCTTGTTTTGCGAATAAAAAAAATTAAAAAAAATACAAATAGTTTTGTCTGCTACCTTTAACAAATTGTAGTCAATTCAACCACTCTCTTTTGAATTATGCAACAAGTCATCATACGACAGGAAGATACACCATTGAGAATATCTTGCACCTTCTGTATTCTGTTATTCAGCGGCAGATCCAGGCGATTTAATTCAAGGGCAAATTTTTTTCTCGGTAATCATTCGACAGGTCGTCACATGGCAGAGATATGCTATCAGGAATATCCCACCTTCCCTCGTGTCCTACTATGGATCATGATGGAGATTGCTATCATAGGATCGGACATTCAAGAAGTGATTGGTTCAGCGATAGCGATCAATCTCCTCTCCAACAACTTGTGAGTCCTGCCGGTCCCCTTAACAGCCTGATGGGTGTCTAGATCACCCTGTCCCTAGACCCTTGGCTATTTAAGCACCCCATTTTCTTACATGCTAAAATGCAGAAAATGTGAGCAATTAATCTTGGATGTCCTATTTTTCAACTCGGGGCAAATTTGGACTATCAATTTTGCAAATGCAGATGAGGTCCTCCCTGTACAATGCAAAACAAACATCCGAAAAATAAATTCTGCCGAATATTTCAGTCTGGGGAAATTTCCATGATGAGTTCAGGATGAACTTTTGGAATTTTTTTTTTTTTACATTAGATCGACAAGTGGCTATCATTTCCCCAAAGGAATAGAAGGAGAAAGCAACCCATTGCTATAGGTGCCGTTAGTAAGCTCAAAAGAGTAGAAAAAAACCTGTGTAATTACCTACATTGTAATTCAGAAGTCGGCACGTGTTCAAAGTCGTCTTTCAGTAACTGCTTAAGGGCGTGCAGGGTGCAGTTCTGAAGGGTGCTATTTATTGAAAAGTGAGTACTTGAGCACCGGCAGCTGCTTGAAATCGCTATACCGAACGATTGTTATTACGAACAATTTCTATGGATCCCGCGATGTTCATTATAGCGACTGCCGCTGTATAGAATTGCATCCATGAGTATTTTTTGATTGACAAACACAGAGTATCGGTTGTGGAGAAAATCACCCAAAAAAAAAAAAATTCAAACCAGATGTAACTTTGGCATCACATACGTTTTTTTGGGTCAAAATTATATATAGCTTTCTATATTTTTCTCAATTGCATCTTATTCTCATTCCTACTTGGTCAGGATTCCTATTTGGGCAGGTTGTCTGATCACCGGTGTTGACACGTTCACATTCCTGCTTCTTGAGAACGCTGGTAAGAATATTTTAAGAAATAATCTGAATAATAAAGGGAAGAAAATAACCCAGTAAAAGGAGTTAATATACTATTAATATGACTACTATATAAGTTTTTTGTTTTATTAGATTTTTTGTAATATTTTATTTTTCGAAGTGATTTTCATGTACTTGTACAGGGTTTATTCCTGGTATTGATCAAAATATGATTTCTATTTTCAAAATCGTCACAAAATTTGAAAAGTCGTTGTTTTTCTTTTGTCAGGTCTGAGGAAGTTGGAAGCGTTCTTTGGAGTTCTTTTGATGACCATGGGAATCTCGTTTCTCTATATGGTATGTCGGTAATAATAATAATCTTAGAATATTTCAAGAAAGCCAACCCGTACATTTCACTGCAATCAGAGGTTGAATCATAACTGATATCTGTGGTGAGGAGTGGTCTCACATGAAATTACTTGTCCAAATATTGGGGCGTATAATGTTAAGATTTCAAATCAGAAATCTGCTGAGGCAGAATTGTGATTCATTTGACAAGTTTGCTACATTGAAAAAGGTTTAAAAAGTTATTACAGAAAAATATACAACCTCAACATAAGTTACAATTCTTATCACCTGAGAAACTACTAGACCATTATCATGTTGCGGCCATTTGGACGTTTCCCATTCAAATCAAGGTAACCAAAGCGAGGCTGGGAGGAAAAATAGTCTGGTTCCGTTTTGCACAGAAAAACTTTCATTCAGTGCTGTTAATGGATGCCAGGAACATGACTGAAATGGTGGCAGCATGATAAACGGCCCTTGCTCACGGCAAGGGTCCCTAATAGTGTATCATTATGTTTCCAATATAAAACCCCTTTTTTTTTTTTTGCAGTACATCACGGTGAAGCCAGACCAAGTGGCTATCCTAGAAGGCATAGCTATCCCATGGTGCTCCAATTGTAGCTCGGCGGCCATACAGCAAGCTGTGGGCATTGTGGGAGCTGTCATTATGCCTCACAATATCTACCTGCATTCTGCTCTAGTATTGGTAAGCCAGGCTAGGTGGACTAAAATGTTCAAAGATTTTGCTACACCTCTGACTGTCACTTGTGCATTAGACTTGCTTTAAGCCTCCCTTGGGCACAAAAAGTCAACTTTGCAAGAATCAGGGGGCTAGTCTAAATGTTTTGTACTTATCTCACTGATTTGCTCACTGACGCAATGACTAATGTTCACTTGCGAATTAGACTTGTTTAGGCCTCACCTTGACCCCCTAAAAATAGACTCAGCTTGAGTGGCTAGTGCTAAAAGGTCGCCTCTCACCACTTTGGCCCGGGTTCGATTCCCAGCTCGGACCACATATGAGTAGAGTTATTCTTTGATTCTCATGCTGTGCCACAAGGGTTTTTCTCCGGGTTTTTCGCAAAATTTAACACTTGCGATCTCTGGCTGTGCTCCGTGGTCAGATATGCGTTGTATGGCTTCTGCCAAAGGTGCCTTTACATGCCTTCTGCTCGACCTCGTTGCAGCCACGTCCTTTGCAATTCTGCTTCTCGGCTGCGAGTAAGGATGATTAGCCCCCCCCCCCAATATCTCTATTGTGATTACTAGACACCCTTAGACCAATTTCACTTGCTGACTAGGACGTTTGTCAAAAAAAGGCCAAATTTTGTGATGGATGTACTCGTACAGCTCCAGTTGTTATAAAAATCACGGGGCAAACTTTTGTTTATATTGTCAAAGCTTCGTCATTTTACATCTGAAGGATATTTCCCCAAAACTGCATCACATATTTTGTTTTTATGAACACTATTAACAACTCGGAGATGTTGACTCTCTCTGTTTGGCACAACTATATGTCTGTAACTGGTACATTGTTGCACAGTCATTGATGAGTCTCAATTTCTGTAATACTCTTCCCATTTTAGACTTTTCATCCCAAAGAAAGAGATTTCAGACATTTTGGGGTTCCTACTGGGAAATCAGTTGAAATAAATTCAAAATCTATTTTTTACACAGAAATTGTACGGCGTTTCCAAGACTTCTCATTAAAATGACCAAAGACTGTTTTATTTTTTTCCGACAGTCCCGCAAAGTGCTCCACAAAAGGAAAGACAAAGTGAGAGAGGCGAATAAGTACTACTCCATTGAATCAGGTCGGTGCGGTGGTTCTTTACTCGTCTTTCACTACTCAAGGGCAGATCCAGAACACAATTGGGGGGGGGGGGCCCCCAAAAAATATTTTGTGTCTCCCAAAAAGTGGGTCAAAAAATTACGGCATTTTTTGGATTCTCGATGCTCTTTGGTGTGATCTGAGGCAATTTCTGACCACTTTAGCCATTGTTTTTTGAGGAAAAGATGGTGGTGTACTCATTGCCTGCCTTTATTGCGACGTCACTTAAAAAAAAAACCAATTGGTTTCATTTTTTTTGGGGGGGGGGGGGGGGCCCATGGCCCCCTTTGGCCCCCCCCGGATCCGCCCTTGTCACTACTGATAACCCAGGTTCGATTCCTGCTCGGGCCAATGTGTGGATTGGTAAAATATGTTGACGACTACGGAGGGCTGCCACTTGAAAACTAGAGGGGGGGGGGGGACTGAATACAGTTTGACATTAGGTAGCGTTCTTAATAGAATCTTGTATAAATGCCAATGTTTATAAGGTACATACTCCCTTTTTACAATTAACTTAAAACTAAACTTACATCCAATGGATCCAGTGGCCTCCTCCTGTGGTCATAAAGAGTTCTTTTATGGGTGGGGGGCGGGCTTTATTCTCCCCCTCCTCTTTCTCCAGGAAATTTCGACTTGTGAAATTTGATAATTGAAATTTTTATATTTATTTCAAAGTATTACTTAATTTTGAAGTTATTTTTTATGCTAATGACCTTTTACCGAGAACTCCCCCCTGCCTTTGTGCTTCTTGAAGCGGCATGTCAAATCGTAACGTTCTTTTGCCGGGAATAAACTTGGCTTTACCTACTCACTTCAGTGGGACGTTAACGTCGTTTGGCTGGGGGAAAAAACTATGAAAAGCCTCATTCCATCTGTCTCATCCTTGAGACAAAATATATATCAAATGAAAGATATTTCCATGCTCTATCAATTACCCGAAAAATCTGAATTTGACCTTTTGACCCATGTTTTGCCCACAGAACCTTCTTCCAAGCACCCAACGGTTTTGTTGGATTGTATCCTGACTGTCTTTTTCCGCCACTTTTTAAGCAAAATTTTCTTCCTTCAACCCGCATAGTAAAGGTTAAAACCAGAGTGAAAACAGCTTCTTTTATTCAGTCAGGATAGAAAGGAAATGTGAGGAAGCATAACAAATTTCATCGTGTTGAAATTCACATTTTTTTATTCTTTCAATAATTTGTTTGCTTGACAGCCATCGCGTTGTTCATGTCGTTCCTGATCAACCTGTTTGTGGTAGCGGTGTTTGCGTCCGCATTCTACGGCAAACCTAACCCCAGTCTCAAAGCTGCTGTAAGTATTTTAGACAGCACAGAACCGTACTGACACTGAAAAATATAAAAAAAAATAGTCCTAGAGTGTTTCTGAAATTATACTTTATTTTTAAATGAACTGCCAATGACGGGCTGGGTAGCTCAGTTGGTAGAGCACTGGAACGGTAATCTGGAGGTCGTTCCAAAGTAATTTCTTTGTTCAACTTTTAAAAAAACTTTATTTTAAATGAATTAAAATGGGTGCCCAAACTCTATTAATGTTTTAACAAGTTATTGTTTTTCTATTTTCTTTTTTTCTTCCCGAAAGGGTGGTTGGATTCAAGACAGATATGGTGAAGTCTTGAAAATTATCTGGGGTGTCGGCTTGCTAGCTGCAGGTCAAAGTTCAACTATGACGGTAAGGACGGATTTACCTGTATCAAGGTTTTATCATTTGTTTTCACTGAATTTAATGTTTTTTTGGCGGTGGTTTGGGTCAAGCACGAGACAGACTACTTGACCAGCACACCTGCACACAGATTCTTGTTTAATAATGGGTTTGGGGAAACCATGCTTGAATGATAGTTATCACAAGAGCCAAAAATGTCTGCTTGCAAAGCTTATTTGTTTGTGCCTAAAACAAAAAATCCTTTTTGGCAGAAAGTTGCAGACGTCCAGGAAAGGACAAAAGTAAGGTGTTTTTTTTGGATTAAACATACAATTTACAAATTTATTGACAAAAAAAGGACAATTTGTTTAAGAGCAGGGGGAACTCCACTTTAATATCGGACAATTTCTAAAATGTTCTTATTTGCTGGGTTTTTTTTCTTCTCTCCTTTGTTTTCTGCAGGGAACTTATGCTGGACAATTTGTTATGGAGGTAAGTGAACATTATTTGCTTTATTTGCATTCCTGGTTGTTTTGTTGAGCAGTGCCAGACAAAATAAGCTTCAAGGTTTCAAATCGATCAAATATCAATCTCCCAATTTTCAGTGAGAATTAACTGCTACATATTTGAACTTGAGATTGAAGCTGATTTCGGAGTTGAAGGCCCATACAATCCTCGATTTCATGTTTTTGAAAGAATTCAAAAGGTGGCCATCACTTGACACCCTGAGCACAAACCTACGGGACTGGTCTGAAAAATTCGAAGTGTTTTCTCAGTAAAAATGCGTCAATATTGTCCCTGCTCAATTTGACTTTTCAGGAAATGTTATCGCTTTGTGATGGCTGATGGGTAATTGCAGGGAAAACTTAGTAATGCCCATGTTTGGAATGCTTTCCCGTGTTTTTTTGCACTACGGCACTCAAAATAAACATGTTTATGAAGATGGTGGGCAATTCCACGGTTACTCACATTACATTTGCGTAACGTGAGTAACTGATTTTGTGCGTCTTGTTTATCATACATAACACATTTTTCTGGTTGTCATCTTTGGTGCTTAGGTAGGTCTAGGTCTACGCTATCTACCATGGGGATGATGGGGATAACAGTTATTAAACCTTATCAGTAAGGTAATTGCAGCCCAAGGAAACTCAAAAGTACATCAAAAATGTAATGTGAGTAACCCTGGAATTGCTCTGCTGATTTATCAGCTCAGTTGATGTTTCACTTTTGAGAAAAGAGCGAAAAACTTTGTATGATTTCTTCGTGTGAAATCTGAACAGTTTTAAAGTTAAACTTTGTGTACATGTAGTTCGATGATTGAACGTTAATTCTGTTAAGAAGTTTATTTCTTGTCATTTCAGGGCTTTTTGAAGATTCGTTGGCCCAAATGGCGTCGCGTCTTACTGACCCGTTCCATCGCCATCGTGCCCACTATATTTGTGTCGGTGTTTGCCGTGGGGACGCTGGACGTCTTGGATAACCTCCTGAATGTCCTCCAGAGTATACAGCTGCCGTTTGCGTTGATTCCTGTCCTTCATTTCACCAGCAGCACACGAATCATGGGAGACTTCAAGAACGGCAGGTAAAGGAATAAACAAAACTTGCTGTGATTCATTCAGTTCAGTTTTAGTTCAATTCAGTGGTGGTTTATTGATTAAAAATCCACATTTCATGAGACAACACCCAATCACAGGTGGATTACAATTGTTTGTGCTTGTGTTTTTTTTCCTCCACAGAATCACCAAATTTGTTGTATGGTGTTTGGGCATTTCTGTCATGGGCATCAATTTTTATCTGGTTTATCAAGTAAGTTTCGAAGTAATGTTTGTGTACAGGGTGAGTCAATAAAATCGGAACCCAAATGTCGGGACCATTGTTTTAGTGAAGTTCTGCATGTAGCACTTTCAAAATCTAGGATATGAAAGTCAAATTCATAAGCTTTCTTTTAGTACAAGAATCATTCAAATCACTCATGTAATTTTCAAGTTACAGAATTTTAAACACAATCACCATTTTAAAGTTCTGTCCATGGATAACAAAAAGGTAAGTGTTCTTTCAGCAAAATGAAACAAATCACATAAGGATGTGTGTGCATTGATTTCGTTTTGCTGAAAGAACGCACGCCTTTTTTGTGATCCGTGGACAGAACTCTAAAATGGTAGTTGTGTTTAAAATTCCGTAACTTGAAAAGTACATGATTGATTTGAATGATTCTTGTACTAAAACAAAGCTTAGGAATTGGGCCTTTATATCCTAGATATTTAAAGTGCTACATGCAGAACTTCACTAAAACAATGGTCCCGATATTAGGGTTTTGCTTTTTGACTCGCCCTGTATAATAGTGTTTCATGGTAGTTATTTTGAATTTTTTTTTTCTTTTCTTATATATATCACCAAAGGGGAAGATGTGCTGAAACGCCAGCAAGATTCACAAAAACGTGAGCTCTGATTGGCAATTCAAACGGTTCACTGTTGCTCAGGTTATAAGACGAACAAAAGAGTAAATTCGATACAGGGTCTTAAGTTTGCACATTTCAGATGACGTCATGTGACCCATGATGACGTAATCATGACGTCACTCTTCGGGACACAAACTCACTAGAGGGTCTTTACATAAGTTAAGTTTTATTAGAATACGACTTTGTTTTAAGTTCAAAACGGCAGGCCGAATAAACGTGTAAAAAGAAGAAAAAAGAAAAAAAAAAATCTGATCAAAAACAAAGCTTTTCCGCTTTCAAGCGCAAAAGCAAAAAAGGAAATAGAGACGAGTGCAAATGTGAGAGAAGCTATCACAAGGAAGGACCAATAAAAACGAAGTGCTTGAGCATCTGAGATTTAACGAAAACTAAAAAGTTTTAGTGCTAAAAAACCCCCAAGCATTCCAGTGGATTTGGCACGTTTTGGAAAAAGTTGTCATGATGAAGACATGTAGAATTGTAGGAGGGGGCGTTGTGAAATTTATGGAGACTATTGAAAACTCACCTGTTTTTTTTTAAATGTCGGATATATTTTCAGGAGATAGAGGATACCCCAGCCTGGGTTTACGTGGTCGTCAGTCTGGTTGGTGCCGTGTATGCATTCTTTGTTGGCTATTTGGTGAGCTTATCTATGATCTGTCTTTTTTTTCTGTTGATTCTTGTTTAAACTGCCTTGGTGCTTTGGAATAAAATGGTCAATTTTGTCAGCACTGTTCAAAGACAACATGGACTGGGGGGGGGGGGGGGAAGTGGAAAAAATCTAGCGGCAACAAAATATTAGGTTTTGCCCATCACCAACTCGGTGTAGAGGAAGTGGCAAAGTATCTTTTCATGTCATTTTAGATCAGTGCTTGTGATTGGAATCGGTGAAAAAAAAATAGAAAAACATCCAAAATGCAAATTGTCGCACAGGGTTACAAGTCTTCTTTTGTGGATTTGAAAACAAATTTTTAGGGAAATTTATGAGCAAATTCCATGCTCGTAATGCTTTTCATGTATCACTTTCAGATAACAGAATAACAACATAAAAATAATTTTAATTCCCGCCTTTATTTTGTTCGTACAGGCAATTGGGACTAAAAATGTCTACAGAATAAAGGTAAGGCCAATCTTGTTGGGTTTTTTTGGTTTCAAATCACGGCATTTAACCATTTTTTTAATCATTACACGCTGAGGTTATCTGCGCTATTGAGAAATTATTGAGGCATTGTACTTTTTTCCTGTTTATGTATAGGTGGTTTGTATCATCAGTATCCATAAATTCAAATTTGTGTCCAAGCGTGTTTGAATTTCCTCCCCATTGTTTCTATGTTTTCAATCTCTTCATTTTTAGTTCAATTCAGGAAGCAATCTTTCCTTGGATCAGCTGATTTCCATTTTTCACTTCACACTTTAAGGGAATATACAACATTTGAAAACATAAAAAAAACTTTTCCAAATTAGCATGAAATACTTTACTGGACTGTTAGTGAATGACAGTCTAAAGCATCCTGTAAAATCATGGCTCCTGGTGTGCTGGTGTTTTCAAGAAAAGTTGTATTTTAGTATCAAAGCTGGTCGGCCGGCCAGCGTTTGACAAAAAGAGGCTTTTTTCAAATACTACTCCGAATTGATTATATTGATCCACTTTTTCTTTGCAATCGATAACAAACCTTGGAATGGGTGCAAGCCAGCTAGACAGTTCAGTGACCTTCCCTGACGTCAACAAATTGCTCCGTTTCATCGTAAGTGGGGTCAGGGAACCAGACTACAATAACGTGATTATTTTTTCTTGTTTTTTTCCAGCATCTACGAACACAAAACTTCCAAAAAGTCAATGAAACAATATTTGCTGTGCAATACTACCCCCCCCCCCCATCCATCCATTTCTGAAAATTACGGCAAAAAAATGTTGTATATTCCCTTGTAAGCCATTAAAAATTAAACGAAAAAAAAAACACTGCGTAAAGTCTTTTAAAGCTTTGAATTTCGTCCTTTTTTTTGGGGGGGGGGGTACTTTCCTGTTACATTGCCTGTCATTTTTGTTGCGTCTGATCTACAGTACCGTCTACTAAGTTGGCTGAAGCGTACGCCAGAGGTCAGCGTTGGTGAATGGACGTCAAGCAGGCCAATATATGCACAGACACTGGCTGTTGAAGGCTGCTGTGAAGGTAAGCTCTGGAAAATAACAAAATATATGTCTTTTTTTTCTCCATTTATTTTGCCTTTGAGTAAGACTGCTAGGGTTGATACCACAAGCCTTGTAACTTGTACAATTGTCTTCTTCAGTGTTTTTTTTTAATTTTATACGACAAATTGTAAAGCACAGTTGTAGTACGTTTTTGTCAATTTTGTGGACATTTCGTGAATTGCACAAATACAAATAAAGACTGGGGGGAGGGGGTGGAACACTTCCAGAAAATGCTCAAGCAAAATCTCATGCGAACTGTGGCATTTCCTAATCTTTAATATTTGCTAAGACAATCTTGAAGGAATAATTAAGCTCACTTTCAATACCAAGGGGGGGGGGAATGTTGTTTTTTTTCTTCCAGTTTACAAAAACTTTTGTCTATTTTACTGTGAAATGTGGTAGCATTGTTCATGATAAAATCGGCCTAAGGTAACCTCTCCATTTTCAAAACAAGAGTCAGAATCTTTTAATATTATCCCAATGTTCCTTTTATCTTTACTACAGCGACAGTAGAAACCTATACCCCTATCACCCAACCCTCCGCTCCGCCGCTCTACATGATCTAAGCCATGATGGCCTTGGCACAAGGCTACCGTTACTGGGACGCTACAAAGCTTGCTTCACCTTTCGTGACCCGTTCGGAGCTCTTACTAACCGATGGGCGATGAGCGCTCAGGCATGGAAGCATGCCAGTAATAGCTACCACAATTGTCACCTTGATCTCAAAATGGGATTGGTGTGTACCGGTATATGTTAAGCAGTTGCTGCTGCTTTGCACATGTTCATGAAGAATTTGTTAAAGGGAAGATACAACATTTGCAAACATCAACAAAACGAAATGATCAAATTATTACGAAATACCGTACTAGATTGTTAGGGAATGACAGTCTAAATAATCCTGTAAAATCGTGGCTCCTGGTGTACTGTCATTTTCAAGGAAAATGGTATTTTGGCAATGCTGGTCGGCCGACCAGCGTTGGAGATTACTGGCTTGTTTCAAAAACTGCTCCTAATTGTTCATGATAAGTTATTGCGCGTTTTCTTTGCAGTTGATTACACACCTGTGAAGGGGTACAAGCCTGCTAGACTGATTCTCTGACCTTACAGTTCTCCAAAGTCTATAAATTGCTCTGTTTCATCTACAAGCCCAAAACGTGAAACAAGTCATTTCAACAATTTTTGCTATAACATACTAATCCTCCAAATCCATTAATTTTTGAAAATTGCAGCAAAAGCAAATGTTGTACATTCCCTTTAAGTTTACTGGTTTGTATTGATAGGAAGACATTTGTTTTATTTTCCTAAACTTCACTCATATCCTTGTATTTTAAAATTGAATTATGGGCATTGTGACAAAGTATTTTTGGGGTGGGGTGGGGTGGGGGGAAGTATCGAATAAGCCGTGCTTTGCCCTGGTATTCATGGGTTAAATCATGGATTCTGAAGCTAATTTGAATATTTATTCACATTTTTGAAAGTGTCTTATTTCACCAGCTAAAGAACCAAAAAAAAGTGAATCAAATTATTTGAAAAATTATACAGCATTTCATATAGTTTATGGTTTTACTATCTTGTAATTAAACCTATTTTAATAGATAGTTATTCAATCAGTATATTTTCAAGGTGTAATTATTTACATTTTAACTTTGGCAATTGGACTTTTCCCAATAAATGTTATTCTGCCTATGAACATGTGCGAAATCCGTTGGTCGCACCACAAACCAACAAATCTTGTTTGTCTGGTCAAATACCAATTGGCATATCTTGCGTATTAACCAGATACGACATATGCTGGGTTTTTTTTTTAGGTGCGACCAACGATTTGTAACTTTGCAGGCTGAATTCTATGTGTTTTTTGGGATGTTTGAGATGGTTGAGGGCAGCATACATCCTGTCCAGTATTGTATTTGAAGTTTAGCGATTCTGCAAATATGCTGCAGAAAATTTTAGAAAACACAATTGGAGGGGGGGGGATGGGATAGTTACTACCAGTCTCAGAAAACTTTCCCTTAAAGCTGAAGAACCAGGAACACATTTGAGGCCGAGTTCTAAAATTTCCATTCCAATAATGCATTTTTTATTTGTCTTGTCAAAGTTTCGCTTGTTAACATGACTGCAGAATAAGTCACAGGAGCTTATTTTTGTAAGATGATAGAAAAAGTTACTTTCAGTAACCATCTTAAAATCTGCACAATTTGTTTTTGAATTTACCAAGTCCAGACAAAGAAAAGAAAGAAATAATACAGCTTTTGCAGTCTGTTGAATGTTTTGTTGGGGCGATAGGTTTTATCCTAGGTTAAGTATTTGGAATATCATTATGCATTTTATGAGGTACAGGGTTGCCTATAAGGTGCAATTGTTTTTATTGTCACAGTTTTGTATTTTTGTAATTTTTGCGTGGTAATGTCATGACTTGTGATTGGCTTGTTGACTTGGTATATGACTTGACTAAAACTCTTACTACAGGTATGTTCATGTAAACAAAAATGGTGTTCTGTCGCAAAAAAAAATCAATAAAAAGCACAATACAAGTCCATCAGAAGTCTATACTGTCTAAAAGTCAAGTCGCAACCTAATCATATGAAGCGTGACGGAAGTATTCCATTGTTATTGTTCATATCACTCCACGGTGGTTGTCACTGCATTTTTATGAGGTACAGGGTTGCCTATAATGTGCAATTTTTTTTGTTATTTAGCTTACGTTTGTTTTACGGCTTATTTTAAGCATGGTATGAGGCAGAGAGTTGTCTATCAATGCAAGATTTTATTTACTTACTCATTCCAGTGTGGATTTTTTTAAACCGTTTTCATATGCTTGCTTAATTGTGTGTTTATATATAAAAGAAAACAAATTTCTAATCAAAGCAGTTCAGGTCAGGTCATTTGGGATAAAATCGCTGACGTGATGTTATGTTATGCGGACGCACATTCTGCTTGTAGTAATATGTGAGCGTCATGCGCCCTGCGGTTCGTGTGCCTTCGATGACCACCGTTTGATTATCCCAAATGACCTGTTGGCAGTTGAAGTACTGAACTGGCTTACTTACTTGAGGGAACATTGAGGCATTAATACTGTGCTATTGTGCTTCCGATATAAAATAATCTAGCATATTATGTATGAAATATTCACGTGAAGGTTTTTTGTATTGTAGTTGCATGATTATATTTTCCCTGTAAATCTTGATAAATTTTTCACAAAATTTTCAAAGTGCATTTTTTTAATGGTAAAGGTGAATGAAATGTCACAATTGACGACATCATAATTCTTTGTTACTTCCACTTTTGCATGAAATCTGAAACAGGCATATAGCCGAATACTGTAACTTTTTATACATTTTGTAACTGCCTACCACAAAAGGGATATTTATAATTTGGAGAGCCCTTTTTTAGATTTACAGTTTATCTATATTTGAGAAGAGCATCTTTATAATAAACACTGGATATGAATTTTATCTAATATGAAAATTACCTACATTTTTATTATAATAATGTACCAAATGATTTTCGGCATTTTAAATGAAAACTGCCAAATTGTATTTTGCGATAATATGGATATTGTGGATTTTAACTGACTGTGAATAAACCTGATTAAAGGATGACCGTTGCTTCCAAGCCTACTAAGGCCAAAAAAAATAATAAGTCGGTCTCTGGTCAGATTTTAATCATGCGCGTCAATCTTTTTTTTGCCAAAAATGTTCCGCGGTAGCTCCAACAGCGCCTCCTCAATTTATTTTACCAAAGAGCAACAAGGAATGGCAAATTGCACCAAGGCAAATGATCGAGAGCACCAAGGCAAATTATGGAGGACACCAATGTACATGAGGACACCAAAACAGCAAAATAGTACCCCACCTTGTCTGTCCAATCCAAGCTTGAAGGAAAAAAAAAAGCATCAATTCCGGAACTTTGGTCTGACCAGAGACCGAATTTTTTTTTTTTGGCCTAATAGGGCATTCTTTGTTAATTATTGAACTTTTTATTCCAGTAAGTCTAATTATTTTTATACAACGCCTGAATAAATCCCCTTCATCTGATAGGTAGGCCGTTGATCATGTGTCATCGAGTTATTCGACTCAATGCACAGTGCAGCCGCATGACAAAAATGGAAGTTCTAATCCACGGTACATAGAAGTTCCATTGCTTGGTCACACCATTGGTGACTCGGACCAATCAGATGAGGAGGATTTATTCAGGTGTTGTAAATAAAACAAATAACGAATGTTTCAAATTTGTGCAATGGAAAGAATAATTTCATGAGGTGAGTGGAACGTTCCATTCCACTCGGCTTTGCTGCCTCGTGAAATGGAACATTCCATGTCACCTCATGAAATTATTCTTACCATTGCATTCACAAACATTCTTTATGTGTTTACTATACTTTTTGTATTTCTTTTTGTTTCTAATACACACAGAAAAGAATACTATTGAATAATAAATGTATGTATCTGAAACTAAATATTTTTTATAAGGAAGGCCTTTGATGCTCAAATAAGTGATATATTCATGTGGATATGAGAGAGTAGAAACTACGCACACAATTTGTTTTTATAAAAATAACTGCAAACAAATCAACAATGAAGTATTTGTCAAACACTTTATTGCTTTCAAATATACAATGCATCACACTGAAAGTTAAAAAATATATCCAATACTTAGTTATTTTCAAAATTATAACAGTCACTTTTTTATATCACTATCAAATGGATGGAAAATGAAGACAATTTTTATTGTAAAAATTAATTTGCTGTGTAATACAAAACCAATCACTATGCTTTTTTTTTCTTGGAAATTAAGGCACTGTACTCTCATGAAATAACATGGCCAATCAAAACTAAAATTCATAACAAAATTCAACAAGGAACAAAAATTTGTTTGCGAATGGACGGAATGTTACTGCCTGAAATTTCATTGGAATAAAGACAAATTGATTATAGAGAAACAATTGTGTCTTGTGTATTATTTTTATTATAAATATAGTAGAAATTAAAGGGAAAGTAATGCTTTTCAATAAGTTTAGAACATTAAGAATAGTAATATCAAGGTTTTGACGATCATTTCTACTTTTATAATTGAAAAATTTGGAAAGGCATGTGTTCTCTAAAAATTATTTATGTATTTATTTACAGTTTCAAGTTCTTTCCTACATAACTTTATATGCATATACGTTTAGATGGACCCAACCCAACTATCTAAAACTATATACAATAAATCCACACAGGAAACTATTTACAAAAGCATTATAATTTACCTGTTTATGCAAAACACAAATTAGGTCATCAACTCAAATCACAAATCATTAGTTTTTGCCACTCTTTTTTTAGCCACACAAACTTGGAATGAAATATACAAGTAATAATTCGATAATTTCGCAAGAAGCAAACAAAACATTTACGGTGTATTTTAATACGTAAAACGGTGGATTAAATTCAATCTGTCAAATACAAAATTATATGCCTTTAAAAAGAACACCACTTTTTACATCAAGTAACAAAACTTTTAAATATACCGAATATCCTTTTGGAATGAATTGTAAATGGTTTGGAGACATTCATTTGTAACTCAACTTAATTTTTGTATAAGTTTTAAATCCACCAATAGCACGCCAGCTAATACATAAACTTGTGAAGGTGAATATGGTAGGCTGGTTCCTATTCGTTGAGCTGGCAGAGCAGGGCGGAGCCTTTGGAAATCCAGTAATCCTGAGGTTGATTGGACGGAAGGTGGACAGCCACGACAAAGTTGGTGGAATGACCTACAGTGCAGAAATGAAAATAAAGGTTGATGACATGTTTTCTTAACCAAATGAGGGTCAAGACACGCGGTCAAGACCCCAGGTCGAAATTCAACGTCCAAGTCTAAATAACAAAAGTTTGATTCCCAGAAAGGGGCTAGCAATTATTTTTTTGGGGGGGAGCATCTTTTTGAAATCAGTCTTTGTCTTCTTGTAGATATGGAGGGGGGGGGGGGGGGGGGAGGGATGGCAAAGTTTCCTGGAAAAAAAACCCCAGAAAATATCGCAAATCTATGCTTTGATTCAATATGTCAGCCCACCCCCCCCCCCCCCCCCCCAAGGAAAAAGCTTGACCTTAGAAAACTTCAGCCACTCCTTTTAAAAAATTCCGATCCGTCACTGACTTGGCCTTGTTAGCAAGTTTTAAGAACTCTGAAATCTACACGTTAAAACTTCTTAAAATGGCTCGCTCTTTGTACACCTATTATAGCTTTGAGTGACGTCACCCGGCTGGCTTTAGGGAAAGGGAGACTGAGAAAACAGGAATGAGAAAAGAGAATGACACATTTTAAGCACAGTCTGACCCACCTGTTGTGGAGAGTGTGCCTGCCCTCAGCCCAGTCTTGTACAGTGGGCTGATGTAATTGATGGGATCGGGGCTGAAGTTCATCTCTGGTTCCATCAGCATGACAGGCAGCGTTGGGTTCATCTCACCAGGGCGGGAGTCGGCCAGTTTCATGGTCTCATCGTCCCAACGACAGGCGTCCATGAACAGACCGTGAACCAACACGCCGTTCTCGGGTGAAGGAAGCTAGCGTAACACAAGCAGGTATTAGAAGAAAATTTATGATCAAAGGAAATGGTACATATAGAATGAGTGACCATATACTGCATTCCGGTCACACTGTGTTAACGTCATACCACACATGTACGTCATATGCAAGTCACATGTGCACTCCGTGTGTACCTCGTGTGCACCTCATGCGAGCCTCATACCTTGTGTGTACCTCGTGTGTACCTCATGTGTGCCTCATGTGCGCCTCAAGTGCGCCTCATGTGCGCCTCATGTGCGCCTCATGTGCGCCTCATGTGAGCCTCATGTGAGCCTCACACCTTGTGTGTACCTTGTGTGTACCTCGTGTGCACCTCATGTGCGCCTCATGTGCGCCTCATGCGAGCCTCATGTGAGCCTTATGTGTATCTCCTGTGTACTTCTTGTAAAGTGACTTGTTGCTACATGAATCCAGTTTTTGTTAGTAATATTTCTTTTTAACGTGCAGTTATTAAAGTGTGCTGTCAAAAACAAAAAAAGGGAACTGGGGTTTGAAATTCTTGTTAAAAAGAAAACCATGCACATGAAACTGGCAAAAAAACATGCTTGTTTGCCAGTGACAATTTGGTTTCGTGAAGAGGTAGTGAGGGACTGGTTGAGTCTACATGAAGTTGTCTTTTTCCAATGGCGGAGCTGTGTAACTTCTTGAGCAAACTGAAGACACACTCACAATTGCTTACAATCAAACTCACTCTGTGTGCACGTCCTCTTTATTTTGAAGGAACGTCTTAATTTTTGAAGTCTGTTACCTCCTATTGAGTTTGAGGTTGAGTATTTGAGTATCAGTAAAAGTGTACTAAAGTTTTTGAGTTTGAAAGTGTACTTTCAAAATGCTTTTATTTTAACCAGAATTAATTTCCTGGGCTGAAATTTGGGCTTAATATCCCTTTCCGACGGATCAACACACCTCGGAAATTCCCAGTTTTTGAGTAAAATCCACATATCTATTTCGTGATAACCTTGTGGAGACTTATTCACCTATAGAAATTGCTCTGTGGAGACGTATACAATCTTTTGTTCCCTATTGTGCACATGTCTCCACAGGGTACCGTGTACCAGATCACGAGAACAAAGAAATGACTTGATGTGTTGGTTCATCAGTTCATTATTTACTCCCTGATTAGGAGTTTTTGTTCAATAAATTCAATTTTGTGACAGGTATGAGGACACTAGGTCTATTGGGAAACCCTGCCAATAAAGACTTTCATGCTTTGATCAATTTTTAAATCTTTTTTTTTTTCTGTAGTCCTCAGTTGTAAAGAGGCACAAACGCACTCATAACGGAAAAACACATCACACTATGAAGCTGAACAGTATGGATGATGGACTGTGTTCAAAACCACACTTTTTCCCTTCTGTATATTCACTTAAGGTTAATTGATATTTATTTTAAATAATTAAAGACATGTCACGAGATGCTGAATTAGTAAAACAATACCACCAAATAAAGAGGAAAATATTCAGATTTTGAATTAGTGATTTCAGCGCAAAGAAAAGATCTTGGAAGTGCATTTGCAACAAATTGACTTGTTCTTAGGGTGGCACTTAAGATTCCCTTTCCGATTGGGTTAGTGTTTCAAAATTGTGCGTTGCCCTTCGATCCAGTAGCCTTAGCACGAACAATGCGCAGTTCGTATAAGATTACGTCAATGAAGGGCAAACACTTTTACCGAAAACATTAATATTTGTTTGTAGATTGTGTCTACCAAGTTGACCATAACCGTTTAGCAAACTCATGTTAATGTGCAAAATAAAGTATGTTTTGTCCATCAAAAATTGAGGTCATGTGACTGATGAAAAGGATGTTTCCATAATGTTGAATGGGACACTGCATTTCTATCACTCACATGACAAAACAAAAAAATACACCAATGATACTGATATGAAAAAATTTTGGTCAGAAAGTCGGTTCCCGCTTATGGCTCTGCGTACAGTGAAGAATTACCTTGCTTACTCTATAGGAAAGAGTGCACGACATTTTGAGGTTAGTGTATTCCGCCAGTTAGTAAGAATTTGTGGCCTTTTGTGAATCCTGTCTCTTAGGATTCTGTGCTTACAGGATTAGTGCAGAATTTGTGTGCTAAAACTCTAAAGTAAAGTTTTGACACTGTAGGCGAAATATTCCGTGCTTAAACGGGCCAGGAAATTGGACTTAATTTTACATACCACACTTGCCAAATCATACAGGTTTGTTTATGGTGTAAATCGAGGATTTTCTATTGCTCCTCTTCCGTTTTCCTTTGTTTATACACTAACTTTTTTGCAACAGCTCTCATTGGTTTTGTACACGTTTTCTAATCCAGGTCGTCCTTAATTTGGTTCCTGTCCTCAATTCATCGATGATGTTGCATGTGTGTGTCCTCGATTTACACCATAAGTACGCACACTGTATTTGTGTCTTGACTTTAAAAAGTTGAAGGGTATTATTTATCGAATTACATTACAATGTTGGATATAAAGGGAAAAAAAGTCTACATCTGTGCACAGAAGACCATTTCATTCCTGTGTTCATTAACATTATTAAAGGCCCGTTCATTAATGCATGCCACCAGCGGTCAATGTTCCCCAACCCATTGTCTCATAGTGGATATTCCATGCACATAGTAGCAGACACGGCAAACCCATGGACCTGAGTTTGGCTTTCAATGTGACACCGCCATGAACCCAACGATGTCGGATATTTCTCTGTTTGAGACCAAACAATGTTGCGGTTGAGGCAGTTGTGATGGTTCAAAAGTAAATCACAAGTAAATCACAAATCAATTCACAATTCCGGTCAACAGAATCAGTGGATGAACCACGACAAAATGTTACATGTGAGTTGACTTGGGAATTAATAACTTGGGATATGACTAGTGATTTGTGACTCATCACAGAAAACATTGACAAAAACATTGGGACAAAATGTGATGCGATCAAGCTAAATGAGTCGTTTGTCGGGAACTTTCACTTGGAGATTTAGGCCAGAATAGGGCCACTTCATCACATCACTTCATCACATCTCTTGGTGTTCTGACTTCTATAATTTTTGAACTAAAGATGGTATCAGCATGCGGTTTTCACAGCAGTAATGCTGAGATTGTGCTCTTTTCCAAACTGTAAAAAAAAAGAAAAAACTGACCAGGGTCGACAAACGACTCATTTAGCTTGATCGCATCACAAATGTCTGAAATTCTACCAAACATTAGATGAATTTATTATTTTTTTTTCATTTTTCGATACTATAAGCAGAGATAGTTGTCCACACAGCCCATTCCGTGCCTTTGGATACTGTGCATGGAACTGCCACAACGAAAAACGATTTGTAACATTGATATATTTTTATTATGTGTCACACTGCAAATCGAAAGTGCTGCAATGCCACTTTACCGGTGAAGACATAAAACACACACACGCACACACGATACTCACTTCTGAATCTACACTAGGCTCGTTCGGCTATTTTTTTTTCAGGGGAAAAGGGGAATTATCCATAATATTGGATGGAGGATGGGGTGGGGGAATGGAGGTTTTGGGGAAGAATGAAATCAAAATGTAAAGTTAGCCGATGTAGGTACACATGCTTGAATGAAACAAAACAGGATTACATGCAAGTTGAATAGGAAAACTAAAATCACGGCCAATTAATTTTGAAAATGATGCTTTACATAGAACGTCCGTTATGCATTTGGTTATCGCATGTAGTACAGCTGGGTTTTTTTTCTTCAGAAAAATAGATTGAAAATTTACTGCGACTTGAGAAATTTAAAAAAAATTAAGAAACAGGTTTTGGTCATTTGCATGAAATGTTACAAAGCTGAGCATGTAAAAATTAAGTTACGATGAGACTAGCCTATTATGAATTAGGCTATATAGTTTCAGATTATTGCAAGCCTATGCATACTACAGCTGCAATAAACTTTCCGCAAGAATAGACAAAGAATTAGAAGAAAATAAACAAATCTGTTTAAACTTCAGCACTTCAAAAATTTGGAATAAAAATTCTCAAATTCAAACAGAAATTAAAAAAAAAGAATCAACGAAATAATAATAATTAAAAAACAAAACAAAACAAAAACACAGGGGAAAACACTTAAAAAGTAGTGGAATGATGTGAAATGAAACAGAAAAGAAAATAATTCAATCCTTGGGGATCTATTTAAAACATAACTAAACTGAATTAGAAGAGGAAAAATAATGACAAATGTAGGAGACCTCAATATCCTGAACTGAAAACTAAGAATTAATTAAACAGGAATTAATGGAACGGAGCTAAGTTTTCCGATACTAACCTTGTCTGCTTCCAACAGATTTTTTAAAACAGTTTCAGTAGTCTAGACACGTCTGTCCTCTGATCTGTCCAATTTCTACAAGTCTTTTCCTGACTAATTTCTGTCCTTTTCAAATCACTGTTTTCATTTTCCTTTACAACAATTGGAGCCATTGATCACTGGACAATGGGACAAGGCAGTTTTAGCTGTAGCACTGTGGTGGCTATTGCTCCAAATTGCAGCCGCAATGTTACAGGACGATCTGCAATGTCCAGTGCGCGCATTGAAGCAGGCTCTCGCATTTTTGTCTAAAAAAATCTTCTGTTCCTACCACTGTCTGCAAATTTTCAAGCCTGTCCGCCCTGGTTAACTAAAATTCTTTCAAAAATAAAGACAACAAATTTCCTTTCTTTTCATGAGAATCTACCTAGCCTGAAATGTCTAAGCTGTCTTTCTGTTAGCATGCATGCTGGTCTTCCCTAGCACAATACTGCACTTAACCTCACGAGAACTAAAAACCCTGCATGAAAATCCTTTCGGCTTTTTCTACGCTCGCTATTTGTGCACAACCTCCCTCGCGAAATCTCTAATTTTAGAACTCAATGAATCATGTCTGCCTGTCCCATATTGTCTATTTGTCAGTCTGTTTGTCCGATGTACTATCCTGTCTAACCCTAGCTAGCTTACATCATTCTTAACACAGACGCAGGTAATTTCCACCTCATCCTCTCCACCTTCTGCCTGCTCCCTATCCTTTGAGGGTGGATCTCCTTTTCCCTTACTACCTAAGCCCTGAGATGTTGAATGGGAAAATACGTGAGTCAGGTGAATACAATACACTGATTCTTATATCAACTGCAATATTATGTGACATATTTAAGTGTGATTATATTGCCTTCTAATCCTTCATTTCTCTAAACTCAAAAATGGTGATTAACATTTCTGTGTGTGTTGATGTACCTAATCAGGATAACACAAAAGTATATTTTCTGTGAAATTTTTGCTAGATTTATAAAATGATACAACAAAAGGCTAAATTGAAGTGTCAATCTAACTATTTTTTAAAAAAAATATCCTATCAAATTCTGTTTTCTCATCAATACTATAGTAATATATTCCAAAGCTCTTGGACTGCTTTCAAAGTTTGTATTAAAAACCTTCCTTGGACTACCAATGCATAAATCTAATTGTGAACACTAATCCTGTCAAAGATAGTTCACTAAAAACAAGAACAGAAAATTTGCGGGTTTTCTGATGTAATCTAAAAAGCTAGCAGCAACTGTCAACAGTTTACATGAATGGGAGACGAAGATCGCTACCCTCCTTGCACATACCTCTTTGTCAGAGTCTGTCACCTGACCGAAGGCCAGTTTCTCCTGTTGCGCGTCGACTTCGGCTTGGTCTCGGTAGTTGGGCAGGACGGTGAACCTGAAGTTGAGCTGATCGATCGGGTAGTCGTACTTACGAGCGTGGTTCTGCAGCGTGCCAGTCAGGAAACCTTCATTGGAATACACAATGTTGTTGTCATTGATGATTGGGAGACAGACTCAAGAGGTGGTGTAGCACAGCCAATTGTTATTGTCTGGAGAGGTGTGTAATATTCACCCTGCATAAAACACTAAAAAGCCACCATAGCCAGTCAGTCAATGGACACAAATTGGACACACAGCAGGAAGACGCACGTACAAAAACTGGTGAAAACCTTTCCCTTCTGGGTCACTTACAAATTTCTTGCATTGTCCCTGATTTTTTTGTGTTTTTCCCAAATTCCCTAAGTTTTGCCCGACTGGAAAAATGGAAACTCATTTTCACGGTTTTCCCAGATTTCCAACCCTGTTCAAATTGGTTAAGCAAAGATACTATGTGCTTCGCCGGTAAAATTACAGGTTACCAACCAAAAATCATGTGTGGCATTTAATACTTTTCACTGGTTCCCAGCAGATTTTGGCTTAGCACATATATTGGGTAAGTGGTATTTCTGCTTTCTAGAAGCTCCGTGAAATTGACCCCAGAATAAGTTTTTTTTCTTCGGCAGGATGAAGTTACAGATTGTTACCTTGTGGGAAGAAGAAACCTGACAGCCAGTATGACTTGGGTTGGCCGTGGACGATCCAATGCTGCATGGTAAAACAGTCGGAGGAGACAAGAATAAACAACGATCCAAAGAAAATGAATACAAATATAACGGACGAGCCTTAACGGGCTCTGTGCGCAAAACAAGAGAGAGCGCTTTTTTAACCGCTTTCGAGAGCCCTGTGGGCGGGACACACCAATGGCGGTACTGGTTCATGCATGTCTGGCGCGAAGTATGCACGACTTATTTTATTCTGAATGTACACAACGCCATAGCATCTTCGCGTGAGCATCAGGCGTCATCGGCAATGCTTTGGAAAGCCTGTTTTAAACCAGTTATACCAGTTCAAAACCAGTTTATACCAGTTCTAAACCAGTTTGTACCAGTTCAAAACCAGTTTGTACCAGTTCAAAACCAGTTTATACCAGTTCAAAACCAGTTATACCAGTTCAAAACCAGTTTGTACCAGTTCAAAACCAGTTTGTACCAGTTCAAAACCAGTTATACCAGTTCAAAACCAGTTATACGTTCAAAACCAGATTATACCAGTTCAAAACCAGTTTGTACCAGTTCAAAACCAGTTCAAAATTAGTAAAACCAGTTGACAACACTTCAAAAGCAGTCACCAAGTTACATTTCAGTCACCAAGTACAGTTCAACTGGTACCAGTTGAAACCAGTTGATACCAGTTGAACTGGTTTCAACTGGAATTTCCACCAGCGGGACAATTTGGAAAACCATTGAGCCTCTCATGAGTGTGCCAGGAGACTATCTACAGTTCCCGCATGGAATTCACACATCTGAGAGTAACTCACCCCAATGAAGGACACCCTGAGCTGCAGGTCTTTGACCCAGGAGGCTAGCGGCTTGAGGGATGGGTAGGCCGCGTTGCTCCACATCTCAGGGACTTGGTTGTTGATGAAGCTGTGGTAGACGCTCTCCAGTTCCTCAGACATGACTACCAGACCCTTGATGGCCTTCTGAATGGTCCGCATGGAGCTCTGCATCAGGGAGAAATTGGTGTCGATTAAATCCGACGACCACAATTTGAAGTCCTTTTTGAGGTCACACCATGTTTGCGCACAGGTGGTATATGCATACTCAATGTTCCTTTGGCCAATAGGGTTTTCTCAAGTTTTTGAAAAGTGAAAGGTTTTTAATTCTTTGAATGGCTCAAACCAGTTCTTTTCAGAACAACACTTCTTCAAAGAAGAGATTAATGTCTGCTGCAGGGTGTTACCATATAGCCTTATTACAAAATAAAAACTATCAATAGGATGGAATTAGCATTGGTGAGAGGTAAATTTCATATTAGGCATTCGAACCAGCCAGCCGACCCTGGCAAGCTCAGTGGTAGAGTGGTGAGATGTCTGCGCTAGTAAGCAGGAGGTCATGGGTTCGAGTCCCACCCGAGCATTGCTTGTGAACATTTTTCTCGCAACCCCTCAAACACTAAGTATACAGTGTTTATGAAATACATGTACATGTATATACGTCAGTGAAGGGCAAAACCCAATCTTATTAAGATTGGGTTTTGATAATTTGATTAATTTGGAGTCCATACCTTGATGACTTTCAAGAGAATATTGAAGCGATCAACCTCTTGGCAGAGTACAGTTGTCAGTGAGTTGATGCGTCCCTTGTCGTCAGCCTGTGAAATTGATAAATTATCCACAAATAAATCTCCGTAGTCAATATGCTAAAATACTTATGACCTACCAGACCCATAACAGTTTGGGTGTGAGTTCTTTGGTTGAAAGCTCGAATACTGCGTGTAGGTTCTTCTCAATCGTATTGAGGAATTTCTCCTCTTAATTATTTTCAAGAGAGCTATAAATATATTCCTTGCATTGAGTACTTCAGGCGGAAACATACAAAGCAACTTTACAACATTCTGCAATATTTTCCCTTGTTCTTTGTTTCTCGATATTAAATTATCTTTACATTTGCATTGAAGAGAAATGTCTAATAATGGGGACTTACTTAGCAAAGAATGTTTTCGAAAAAAAATCATTATAGCTAGAAATCTCAGAAGATTTCAAGCTTGAAATCTACAGACGTAGATTTCAAATCTTAAAATCTGGAAACTGCTAGAGACCCTGCGTCAATCTAGCATTCCAGAGGCCACAACACCCTGATTTTGTTTCCAAGTGAAGTTTTGATTAGTGCGTCCGACTTGTTTACCTTGAACATTTCTTGATAAGCCTCATCGATATCCAAGTTATCCGGCAGTTTGGCCAAGATACTCTCAGCTAGCTCGTAGACGATGTCGTCGTTGCTCATACCGCTACCGCCGGATGCCATGCGAGGCTGGACCTCCAGGATGGTGTTGATCAATTGCTGGGTCTCTTGACGCTGAGCGGTGAAGAACAAGAATGAGTTATAGTCGGAAGAAAAGTATAGTTTTAGAGTAACGAGCAGAAATTGGGGCAGGGTGACCATAAGGTTATGGCCAAATTCTGCTAAATGCACTTCAAAAATCTGTCGGATTTATCAAAAATCAGCCAAATTCCCTAGAATTACTCAAAATACACTATAAACATTTAAAATTACATGCAGATTTGTAGTATTGCCTTAATTAAGGTTCAAATTACATTATAAACAATCTATAGTCCCATAAAGATGTTATGAAATGATTGCGTAAATTTCAGGCCAAATGCGGTTGCGTCACAACGAAGTCTTAGACCAGCCAACCTGTCCCATTATGCAAGGGTTTGTTTGAAAAGATTAGAGCTTTTTTAAACAAATGTACCATTTTCTTCAAATTTTCTATGTTTTTTTCTGTCAAATAACCATTTTTTGCAGAATTCTGCCAGAAATCTGCCAAAAAAATCCATTCTGTCACATTTTCTGTCAAAGTCGTTTTGTAACAAAAAATATGTCAAAGTTAGCCGAAAATTGGCTAAAACGGTCACCCTGAATAGGGGGATGAAGCTAGAAGTTTCATTTTAGGGTAATAATAATAATTACGGGAAATAGTGCCTCAGGAGACATTCCCATAGGGTTATGCAAGTTTGTCCAACTTAAATGACCCTAACCCCCATTTTACCTTATCCTCCCCCACAAATTTTGGTATATTTACGTTTTGGACCATGAGCAATCGATCTAGCCTATTTGTGATATAACTAACCTATAAATTCCCATAGGGTTGTGCAAATGTTTCCAACCATAATGACCCCAACCCCCGTTTTACCTTATCCTCCCCACAAATTTTGGTATATTTACGTTTTGGACCATGAGCAATCGATCTAGCCTATTTGCGACAATAACATTTTGCCTCTATAAAATAGGAGCTGTGACATTAGGGAGACACTGAAATGCCTCCCTAATGTCCGGTGTGTCCCTAAGGTATATCTTATCATGAAAAAAAATGTCTCCTTATAATAATGATAATAATAATTTGGGAGGCTAATCATCCTTACTCGCAGCTGGGATGCTGAATTGCGAAGGACGCGGCTACAACGTGGTCGGGCCGCTGGCACGTAAAGGCGCCTATGGCTGCCGGCCACATCGACCCATATATGACCACGGAGCACAGCCTGAGATCGAAAGTGTTTGATTTTTCCGGAGGGAGGAAAACCGGAGGGCCTGGAGAAAAACCCTTGTGGCACAGGAGAGAACCAACGCACAACTCTACTCACATGTGATCCGCTGCCAGGATTCGAACCGTGGTCACCTTGGTGAGAGGCGAGCGCTTTTACGCACAAGCCAACCATGCCACCCATAAGTCCCACATAATATTCGTTTCACCCTTAAGGGCACATTAACAGGAATACAACGTTTTCGAAATGTCATGATACTGAGATCACAAAACGATATTTTCATAATAAGATTTATCGTTAAGTATTTATAGTAGTTATGTCCACACAGTGAATTTACTGGCAGACTCCTTACCTGGAATGCGATGTTGGCGTTGTCAAACATAGCAAAGATCTCTGGTTCGTCAATGATGGGTAGATTCTCCACGTAATTACGGTACTCGCTCAGGGTGTCCAGATCAGGACAGTAGTAAATTCCTGCGCGCCAGGGGGACAAAAAAATAACAACTTAACCCTGAAAGACCCCTTTTGTGTTTTGGCCATCTTATAGCTGTGGGGGTGGGTGGGTGGGTGGGCGGTTGATCTTCGCCCTCCCCCTTATCTCGAAAATCCAATGACTGAATTATGTGAAAGTTTTCGTCATGGTGCGCGTGCCCTTGGGCAAGGCACTTTGTCACTCATTGCTTCTCTCCACTTAGAATTAAATGGGTACCTGTGAGGGCAGTGATGGTTATTGTGATTGAGTTAGCTTACTTGCGCCTAACAGGCTGCATCGAGCTGTATACTCCCCAGGGAGCTGAAACGGTATTTGGAATGTTTAATTGATTTAAGGGGTAATAATAATGTAAAGCGCTTTGATCTTAGTTAAAAGCACTACATAAGAACCTGTTATTATCATTATTAAATAGAAACATTCATGCTTGGTGAACATGTAACAGTTAGTTACATTTTGTCATTGTTATCCTTCAAATTTTATGCTCCATTCATGAATAAGCATGTTATTCTGAACAAAGTCCACGGAAAACAAAAGTTTTTTTTCCGCCAGGGCGCGGTTGGGGTAGGGGGAATTGCAGTTTTAGAAAAAAAAAACCAGTTTAATTGAAATCTCAAGATTTGAATATCGACTACCCAAAGTCACAGACCAATCAACATCTCTGATTGTCTTTACCTGACTCAGAGTACTTGTAGTCTTGGTCTAGAGTTACCGGAGAGAAGAATCGTCTCAAGACGGTTCGCAGACATCGCTGATCCCAAGCATCTGTCACGCGACCACCGTAGGTAATCTAGGGGGGGGGGGAAGTCAAGAGAGTATGATATTATGTGACAAACTTTAAGTCCTGTGAAAAAAAACAACTTAAAAATAAGTTTTACCAAAACAGTGAAACGCCACTATAACAAACATCTCGGGATCCACAGAAATTGTTCGCAATAGCGATCGTTCGGTATAGCGATTTTAAGTCGATACTTACAAGCTTGTGGTTCTTCACACATTAGTGGCGCCCTCTTTTGACCATTGTTAGAGTGAAGTGGCATTTACAAACGGTGCGCTGATTCGCCAAACTTGTCCATTCATCTTTTCAATTCCGTAAGCAAAACTTAACCCTGTATGCCCCGGTAGTTACTGAAAGATGACTTTGAACACGTGCGACTATTAAATCAGGTAATTTAGCCTACATGGGTGGCTTTTTCCTTCTATTCCTTGGGGAAAGTGAGAGTTTTGTTTAGCCTACATGGGTGGCTTTTCCTTCTATTCCTTGGGGAAAGTGAGAGTTTTGTTTAGCCTACATGGGTGGCTTTTCCTTCTATTCCTTGGGGAAAGTGACATTTTTCAACAACAATGTTTGGTACGTTTTGCACACAAAAACTGGGAGCCGAGGATGATGTTCGGTATAGCCTGATGTTCGGTATAGCTGTGTTCGGTATAGCGACCTTCCACTGTACTGTTTTAGGCAAATACTTGGTGGCATATTGTACTGTGAATATTTCAAATAGCTAGTTTCTTAAAAAGTGTAGAAGTCAAGTCCATAATAAGTCTAGTCACAAGTCCTGTAAAAGGTAACACAAGAGGAATAATAACAAAGGAATGCTGTCGTCACAGTTCATTTGAATAGCTTGCGACTTGACTTGGGACTGCTTACGGGTAATATACAACATTTGCTTTTGATGTCATTTTCAGAAAAAGATGGATTTTGGGTAAAGTTTTCATAGCAAATATTGTTACACTGACCTGTTTAAAGTTTTGTGTTCATAGATGCTGGAAAAAACCAAGAAAAAACAATGCTGTTCTGGTAGTCGGGTTCCCAGACCCTACTTCAGACGAAATGAGCAATTTACGTTGGTGAATTGTCAGGTCGGAAAACCAGACTAGCTGGCTTGCACCCATTCTCGGATGTGTTACTGATTGCAAACAAATGGTGGACTAACTAAAATTGGTAAATTGGGGGCAGTATTTGGAAAAAAAAGTCAGTTTTTTCCAACGATGATCGGCCAACCAGCGTTGGAAATTGATACCAAAATTCCACTTTTCTTGAAAATGACAGCACACCAGGTGCCATGATTTCACAGGATGCTTGAGACTATTATTCACTTACAGCCCAGTAAGATATTTCAAAATAATTAGGTAGTTTGTTTTTTTGATGTTTGCAAATTTTGTTTATTACCCTTATTACTTGGGAGTAATCTGAGGAGTACAACACTGTCACAAAAGGACTTGACAAAGAACACTTTTCGAAGTGATGAGACGGTTGATTCGGGACAGGAAATTGCTCAAGGAGCAGACAGATCGACAGTTTTTTTTACCTCTCCCGTGATGTAGACGAGGGCATCCCAAGGTATTTCTCCGTCGGCAAGGAACATGCGAAGATTCTCCAAGGCACACTCACGATCACTGTCATTGAACTCATACTGAAAATCACAAAAAGAGGGTAACAAATTGTCAAAGTATGAATTTAACATGGTGTTTTTCTTAAAACGTCACTTTCAAATAAGCATTCAAGTATTTTGTGTACTCCCAAAAAACAACATATTTTTTTATTCAAATTTGTATTTTATTTTTTATTGACGGCTAAATATTTCTCCTAAAATATTTCTTCTAACATCAAATCAAAATAGTTTTTTTTGGGGGGGGGGCTTTTGCACTTTGACAATGTATTTTTATAAACACTATGTTCTCAGTGTTGTCCGAGGGCTTACCTGAAAAATTCACAAGCTTACTCGGGTGGGACTCGAACCCACAACCTCCAACATCGGCGAAGGGCAAAACCCAAATATAAAAATGTACATCTCTTTCATGCAAATTCCATCTCATAACAAAATCAGAATCAGTTCAGAAGTCTAATATAAATTATCATCCAAAATAGCTGTTAAATAGCTGTTAAATAAGCTACTCAAGCTAAAGTCTAGTGGAGCCCCCCCCCAAAAAAAACCCCAAAACACCACCACCAATTAATTACATTAAGACTGTGTTAGACACCACGTACATGTATATGGATTTTTGTTCCTGATGCTTAGGCCAAAAAAAAAAAGTCTCCGGTTTCTGGTATGGAGCTTGCCCAAAAAGTGGTTCGGCGAAGCGGCTTTTTTTTTTTTTTTTACCTGTTTTTTTTGCTTCAAATGTCGGCTGATGACTGCAAATGGTGCCCGACTAAAGTTAGTGCAAATATATGGGAGTCCAGAGAGGCCACATAAAGCTTATTCTCGACCATAACCCAATCTAAAAACACGTTAAAAGTGTGCAGCAGCAGGATTCCAGTCAAACCAGTGAGTTTGGCGGTTTTGAGACATCATCTTTCATTGAAAAAAAAACCTTTTTCTTTTTGCCGACGCGCATGGCTACGGCGACGCGCATACCAGAAACCGGAGACTTTTTTTTTTTGGCCTTACCTTAATGTTCCAGCCTAGAGGGCCAAACTTCTTGCGTTCTTGAATGATGGCGTGGAACAGGCAGATGCCAAAGTTGAGCTTCCGCCACTTGATGCCAAGAACTGTTATCAAGAATAAGAATAAATGATCATTCAGTGACAAAAGAAAATCAATGTGGCAAAAGTGAACTTCAGAAAAAGGTCAAATGTTTCCTAATGTTTCCTTTATTATTTATAGCAGGCACAAAGTGTCATCTACATTTCTTCAAGTATTCCTCCTACATCTTGAACTTTATCTCTTCTTTGTGAGATCTTCTCCTTACTTAATCAATTCTCCTAAGAATCCTGCCTTTGTATGTTCTCAAGGCATGCTTAGCTCAAGGACCCAAAATTTGATGATTGTGGTGTTTCGAGTAAAGTTGTGTCCATCAGAGGTCAAATCACAAGTCAATCACAAGTCAAATCAAAAGTCAATTACAAGTCAATCACAAGTCAATCACAAGTCAATCACAAAAAAATGTCATAAGTAAAATCTCAAGTCATGTCGAAAGTCAAGTTACAAGTCAATCACAATTCAATTATCAAATCAATCACAAGTCAAATCACAAGTCAATCATAAGTCAAATCACAAGTCAATTCACAAGTCAATCACAAGTCAATCACAAGTCTTGTCATAAGTCAAATCACAGGTCATGACGAAAGTCAATTTACAAGTCAAATCACAAGTCAAATCACAAATCAATCACAAGTCAATTCACAAGTCAATCACAATTTATCAATCACAAGTCAATCACAAGTCATGTCATAATTAAAATCACAAGTCATGTTGAAAGTCAAGTTACAAATCAATCACAAGTCGATCTTAAGTCAAATCACAAGTCAATTCACAAGTCAATCACAAGTCAATCACAAGTCATGTCATAAGTCAAATCACAGGTCATGACGACAGTCAAGTTACAAGTCAAATCACAAGTCAATCACAAATCAATCACAAGTCAATCACAAGTCAATTCACAAGTCAAATCACGCGAAACCACTAGTAAAATCATCAGTCAAGTCACACGTAACACCAATGTAATGAACAACATTACAAAAATACTTTGTCACAATTCATCTGAAAAGCTTGTGATTTAAGACAGAAGGAGCTTGCGATTGACTTGTGATTGACTTGTGATTGACTTGACTACAGACTCTTGTGACTGTTTTCTCAGGACTTACTGTGCTCCTCAAACTGCTGTTGCGTGATCTCAGAGAAGGCCCGGCGTACGTTAGCCCGGAGTCCCTTGGGCGGCTCGTTGGTGACTTTGACGCTGTTCTGCAGGACGGACACGGGGAACTTGGTGGTAGGCATGGAGCTCAGGAACAGACGAAAGTCCTCGTGCATGTCATAGCTCGGTTCTCCTAGCTCCTTGATCTTCTCCTCCATGGACAACATCCAAGATGCGGCCAGATGACAATTCTGTCGATAAAGAGGTGAAACACGGCTTTAAAATTTGATTTGCTGTAGCTATTCGGTTTTCAAACTTAACCCTAAGGCTATTCTGAGTAGAAACCATGCCGAATGCAGCAATATGCAACACTTGTTAAAATGACAAGCCTGCTCAGTGTTAGCAAGATCCATCAGGTCAAAAGTCTCAAGGCCAAACTGCCTCAGAGTCTGTGGTCACCAACTGCAGCAGGATACAACTGTGGCATTGTTCAATGGGACTAGTTCCAAGGTTTCAGAATTAGCTGTTTATGCACTGGTGTGGATGGCTCAGTGCAGCAAGGCCCCACAGACTTGTACACCTGATGGACTGTGTTGCGTCTGGCAGGGTTCGGGTAATAAGTTTTGTTATCTCTGACTCTGAACAGGGTTTATATTTGAGATTCTAATCATGCAGTTAATGTATGCTTCTTGTTTTTGATACTATTTCCACTTTAAAGAAAAGCAAGTCAAAGAATTTGTCTCATATTGAAAATGGTAGGGCGTACAGCCTACACACCAGAGATTACGGAACAAAAGTGTTCCCCATCACTTTATTCGAAACAAAGTTGGGGAAATTCTTGATTTTTTTTCCCAGCACGGTTTTGGGAGCGATTCAAAAAGTTCTATTAAACGGGCTCTTATCTCTCATTATGTGACATAGTTTCTTTCTCTTCTCTCATCTTTTCATTCTTTAACAGTATTTGTCTTGAATTGATTGTTTCATCTTAAGTTATACTACTTTGTTTTGTTGTCGGAATCCATTCAGTGTTTTTGCCCGTCCTAGTATATCTGTCTGTGGTGTTTTGGTTTTGCCCTAGTCATCCTGTTTTGTGTCTTGTCTGTTGTTCGTGTTTAAAATGTAAATTCCTACTTTTCTTACACAAAATGCATTTCTGTACAAGCCTTGGCTTCTTGAAAGTGCCTCCATGCTTTCATCTTGTACATATTATGCACTTTATATTTATTTATTTCTATATTTATTTTTCCTCTATTTTTATTCTTCTTCAGTTAGCATTTTATAAGTGTTTACACAATTGTATTTTCCTTTTATCTTCTTTCACTGTGGAAGGTATGGAAATAAATGCTTTTGTTGAATTGTTAAGGTAAACCTTGATGAGCCAGCTACTTAGCACAGTAGATCCTTTTCACTGCAGCCATCTCGGATGTCTGTGCTTTTGTTCAACAGGGTACGCATGAGTGGACATCTTGTGCATTCATTGTTACCGAATTCAAACAAAAACCCTCAAAGATGGCGGCTGAATGGATAGGGTCTATATGACCACATCTGCCCCTACCTGCAGGAAGACCCAGTCTCCAATCTTAGCGGCAGCATCCATCATCTTCTCAGCCACGGGGCCCTGCCCCTGGCCCAGCGAGATGGCCTGAATGCGCTCCATGAAGCCTCTCTCCTTGGCGAACCGCTGGAACGCCCCCATGGGATCGGAGCCCGTGCTCAGGACGAAGACCAGCGGCGTGGTGGGGGTCATGTCCTCGTACAGGGTGGCTAGGTCTACCGCTGGGCTCTCCACAAAGACCTTGCCCAGGTTCTCGTGGACGAAGTCCGTCACGGCAAAGACAACCTGTTGAAATATGAATATAAACACAAATTAAAACTTGCAACGAATGATAATGGATTGTCCAGGTTTGGAAGACTGCCAACATAGAGCTGGATGGCTTAGTCTGAGTGCTGTTTCAGTGTTCCAGAGGGCATAGGTTCAAGTCCCACTGAAGTCAATTTCTTAGTTCTACTAAGAGTTGTTTCAAATGAACCAATTTGGTTTTCATCTATGGTTTATTTGACCATAAGACTTGATATCTTAATGAGTAGAGCAGCTGTAAATTGTTACGGAGGTGGCAGGCTCGAATCCAACTTTTTTTGTCACAGAGCAGTTCAAACTTTGTTTTCCATCTTAGGGCTAAATAGCTCACTGGGTAAAGCACTGGTGAAGTAATTCAGAGGTCATGCAGGTTCGAATTCCACTTCAGTGAAATTTTCTTTGATGAACCAAGAATTCTTTACAGTCAAAGCAGTAAAACAACTCAAACCATTGTCCAAGCATAGGGCTGAATGGCTCAGTGGGTAGAGCACCCGTACAGTAATCTGCAGGTCAAGGTTCAAACCCCACTTCAATCACCTTTCTTTTCAGTTGATAATTAAAGGGGCATTACGGCCTGAAATCCCTGAAAATTGTATGTTTTGGATTTGTTCACTTATCCTATTTCAAAGGTCTGGTTGAAAGGAAACCAACCTAATGTCTTACCATTCCTGGGAATAGACGGAAAAACCTGGTTGTTTACAATGGACGCAGTGGACATTTTGTGGCATACGCATACATATTTCCCGCCGTGTCCACACAATGTAGGAAACACATTGTGCACGTGCCGCATGATACACACAGTATCAATACACAAATGCTGTTTCTCGCACGTCTGCAGAATGCGATTCACTGTGCGGCAGGATTCACAACTAGCACTCAACAGCTCGATTTTTGAGAGTCAAAATTTTGATCCCCGAAATTCGTTCTCGCATTGTTCTTGTAAGAATAACACAAAAACGCCCAGTTTTTAAAGAATGGTTGTGTGGATGTTTATATCCTACTTTTAAATGTTCGTTCCAATTAGCATTAATTTGTCTTAAACGCATTTTGTAGCCCAATTAGACGCATTCCATGACGTAGTGTCCCTTCAAGTACCCTACACAGAAAACTACTCACCTTTTCTTCCATGTAGCACTTGACCATCATGAGTTTCTGGAAGCTGCTGAGGCGCTGTTCCCAGTGACCCTTGACCTTGCCATCGTCCTCTATGGGCGGGGCCTCTTCTCCCTCTGGAGGGGGCGGGGGAGGTTCGTAGGCCGGTGGGGGCGGGCCGTAGCCTTCCCAGGAGGCAGGATTAGGAGCCACCTGTGAGTCAGAAGACAGAATACGTTCATCACCAAATCACAAAAGGATGGTATAAAATTGCATGTTTTTTAACCCCCCCCCCAAAAAAAAAAACATTTTGAAGCTTTGAGATGCCCAAACAAGCACAAAAATACACAATATACAAAAATGGAAAATATTCTGCCGAAATTTTCACATGCTATGCTCATTTCTGGATTCTTTCATCTCCAAAACCTAGAGACCAATTTTGCTGTTTAAACTGACGCTGACTTCAATGAATGACAACAGTCAAGAAACTACACACCAAAAATTTTTCGAAAATGTTGTACCGAGATTTTAACACGATATGCTCATTTTTTTCCGGACTCTTTTCTTCTCAAAAACCCCAATAGACCAATTTTGAAATTAATCTGAAGTTGACATTAATGAATGACAACAGCCAAGAAACACTGAAGTCTTGTTGATGTAGGCCAATCGTTTCTGTTTTAATCTTCAAGAGAAATTTAAGAGTTGCATTAGCAGTGCATCTACCTCCAGACGTCCTATCTTGCAGTGGACAGGGGTAGCCTGGATGTCTCTCAATAAACCCTTGCAGGCAGGGACTGTGTCATCTAGATCAACAGTGGTGTTCCACACTTGATCTGACAGCCAGGGTATGTCTGGTTTGGGTGGTCGCTCCTAAAGATGAACAGAACACAGAATATTTCTTGTTAATGATTTATTTCCCCTTTTCTTTCTCAGTGACAGCCTATATGGCCAAACCATTGTGATTCTGCAAAAACAAGTTACAAATTCTATTTTGCTAATTTGAAATTATAAAAAGCTATTTTGAGGTCTATTTAATGTCATAAACACTTTCAAAAATCAATATAAGGCTTTGCCCTTCACCGACGTATAAACAATGTATACTCAGTGTGTTACCTTCCGAGTGAAAGTTGGAAAAATCACTCGGGTGGGACTCGAACCCACGACCTCCTGCTTTCTAGTGCAGATGTCTTACCACTCGACCACCGAGCAACGGGATCGGTTGGCTGGATCGAATCTGATCTACATAGCAGCGGGTACCGCATTAAGCTATTCATAAGATGGAATTTTGCCAACTTTAAAGAAACCATGAATAAACATGTATAAAACCACAATGCCAATATATACACCATCATAAAACAATACATGTATAAGGTTTGGTCATAATACGTGAATAAGAAGATGCATTCAATGGCAAATATTTACCGGTTTACAGGGATTTCAAAAACGTCATCCCATCTTTTCTGAAAATGTAGCTTTCAACACATACAAAAATATTGTAGAAACAAACAGAGCAAACACAGGGTTTTAGTCAATCTGTAAAAAAACTGAGTAAGGCCAAACAAAAAAAATACTCGGTCTCTGGTCAGCGCGCGCGTCGATTTTAATCATGCGCGTCAATTTTTTTTTTTCAAATTAACACGGAAGCGCCCTCTATTGCAGCGCCCTCTATTGCCGCGCCTCCTCAAATTTTTGTACCAAGGAGCACCAAGGAATGGGGAAATTGCACCAAGGCAAATGATAAAGGGCACCAAGGCAAATTATGGAGGACACCAATGTATAATGAGGACACAAAAAAGCAAAATAGTACCCACCTTGTCTGTACACTACAAGCTTGGAAAAAAAAAAGCCACCAAAAAACCCCCCAAAAAAAACGCGTTGCCGCATCAATTCCTGAACTTCGGTCTGACCAGAGACCGACTATTTTTTTTTTTGGCCTGATTGTGAGTTATTATTTTGTTTACCTTATCCATTCCGGCCGTGCCACGCAGGAAGAAGTTCCATTCTGTCGGTCCGATCTTCTCCTCCTGTCTCATGATGTCGGCACACAGCATAAAGGAATACACCAACTTGTGAACCTCAAACAGACCCCTGAAAAAAAGAAGGAAAAGAATTGTAAAATGTTCAAGGTTTATTTAACTTTTAAATAAACAACAGGACAAGACACAATTCATTTTCAATTGAACTTTGGGTTTTTCAAAACCAGAGCTACCAAATCAGTATTAAATTAGATAAAATAACATCTTAATTTCTTCATAAATTGTGGAATTTTTTTCGGTGTACCACAGGGAGGTCCTGTTACGCCCCAATTTTAGCAACAGCCCAACTATAGTTGGGGCAGTCCTAACTATAGTTGGGACAGTCCCAACTATAGTTCGGACTGTCCCATTTATAGTTAGGACTGTCCGAACTATAGTTGAGTTAGGACTGTCCCAACTATAGCTAGGACTGTCCCAACTATAGCTAGGACTGTCCCATTTATAGTTAGGACTGTCCCAACTATAGTTAGGACTGTCCCAACTATATAGTTAGGACTGTCCCAACTATAGTTAGGACAGTCCCATTTATAGTTAGGACTGTCCCAACTATAGTTAGGACTGTCCCAACTATAGTTAGGACTGTCCCAACTATAGTTAGGACTGTCCAACTATAGTTAGGACTGTCCCAACTATAGTTAGGACTGTCCCATTTATAGTTAGGACTGTCCCAACTATAGTTAGGACTGTCCCAACTATATAGTTAGGACTGTCCCAACTATAGTTAGGACTGTCCCATTTATAGTTAGGACTGTCCCAACTATAGTTAGGACTGTCCAAACTATAGTTGGGGTGCAGTTGGGGCCATTGCTATGATTGGGACACAAAAGTATCACTGCAATTCCAAAATCCGGCATGAAATGCCTTAAACTTTTAAGAATTTTGGATGTACAGTGGGTAATGATATAACCTGGTCGGTTTCAGCAGGTGCATCGATTGACGGGGCTAATTAATGGCTTGTACCTGGAAACGTTAGTGTAGACTGCTATAGTAGTCTGGCGCAGGAGAATCTTAAGTCTGGTGTCCAGATTGTCGCTCTTCTCACTGCTCTCAATGCACTGGTTGAACAACTGTAGGCGAGAAACGGTAAAGAATTAACAGTGAACTCCGTTGGGGTCAGTGAAAGGTGGAGAACGTAGTGACTCTTCAATTTACATGAAGTAAAACATTGTTTCGATTGTTGTTTTATGCTCTGCCTGTCATCAGAGAGGATATAGACTTACATTTTTGAAGTACTTGAGTGAATACTGGTACATGGGATCAATCTCGGCCAACGAAGCAACTACAAAGTACATGACAGAGCCTCGGGCAGCCACGGGACGGTACTTCTCACGAGCTAAGGTAATCTTCTCTTCTGTCTGCTCTGCCTCCTTGAGACGGGTTGAGATCACTCCAGACGTCACCTGGATTAAAAAAGAATGGCATGGACTGTTCAAACAAACAAAACTGACTCCAGCTGGGATCGAACCCTAACCCCTACGGTACACTGTCTTGAGATTGGTCTGTGATTGACTTGTGAGGATTGTCATTGGTCTGTGATTGACTTGTGATTAAATTGTGATTGGTCTGTGATTGACTTGTGATTGGATTGTGAATGGTCTGTGATTAACTTGTGATTGGACTGTGATTGGTCTGTGATTGATTTGTGATTGGATTGTGATTGGTCTGTAATTGGTCTGTGATTGACTTGCAATTGACTCTACTACTACTCTGCTTGAAAAGTCCCTTTTGGTAAAAAGGAGCAAGTGGAGAGAATTCAAAGGGTTTAGGGGGACAAAAACTAAAGCTGTGTCAAACCTTGGACTTGTTGAGGGTGTCAATCAGTTCTTCGTTATCCAGGATGTTTCCCTCAGATTCAAAGAGCAGTTTCAAGATGCGATCTTCGATAGCTTTCAGTTGGTTCTTGTCAGCGTTGATGCGGACGATCAGCTGGTTACGCTGCTCCTCGAGATCCGGTCGCTCCAGACGCACCACGTCACTGCGAGACAATAAAAAATACTTATCATGATACTTCACTGGAGAAAAACTTCTGAAATCCTGGAAGACGTGTTCAGTCACAAGAACTTACATGACTATTGGTTGGTAAACAGGGAAAAGTTCCGTTTGAAAATTGAACAAGGTTGGTAAATCGATCACTTGTCTAACCTGAGTAGCTGATCCTCCAGACCAGACTTGGTGACAGTGAAGTTAATGATAGTGACCTTGATGCAGACCTCTGGCAGATAGTGAGGGTTAGACATCTTAGTGGTCATGTAGAATCGGAAGTTCTTGTCGTAATCGATGTCGCTGTCTCCGAGACGAATCAGCAATCGCCCGCCCTGATTGGAATATAGAAATACCAAGTGTTGAGTCTAATACTGGTACTTGCCCATCATTGACGTTTTTTCGTTGGACGGGAAAGGCCACCGCCTTTGTCCTAAGAGTCACAGGCTGACCGACTGTCCGAGTACAATGTGCTCAACGGAGAATTTTGGCGTCAGTGTAAAAGTGCAAACTTCTGCAACTTTGACGCCCTGTTTTATTTCAATAAAAGGCAAATTCACACACCCAGTTTTCAAATACTGACTAAATCCACCCTTTCCACGTGGTCTTAATTTCGATATAAACTGGTGTGCTGAGCCAAATTGAAGGAGCTGATCCAGAAGTTGATGGTGTAAATTTAAGTTCCAGTAAAAAAGAAAATCTGACAAGATGAGAATTAAACCACACAGGGAAACCGACTATAATAATTTCAAAGTTGAACAAAAAATTGACTGGAGCGGGATTGGAATTGACGTAGGGCGTGATCCCTGGCTTCATGGCATATATACAGGTTTAAAGATTCTGACTAGCGTCTCTTTAAAAAAAAGACAAAAATTGCAAAAACCAACATATGGCTGGATGGTTCAGTTAATAGAGCCCCGGAACTGTAATTCGGAGGTGGCAGGTCCAACCCGCTCCAGTCAATATCTTTGTGCAACTTAGGAATTCAGATGAGAATTACCTGGGAAAATGTCTGTTTGAGTAGGATGGGTTCCAATGCCGGATCCAACGTCTCGCCCACCTCCTCCAGTAATACCGGCATACCGATACGGATGGCATTCTCCAAGGTTCTCAGGAAGTTGGCGTCAGTCAGCTTGATCACCTTCAAGCCGTTCTTGGCTTCACGGCTGCGGATCCATCGGTTGGCCTGGGGGGAAGATGTTAATAAATTTAAGATGTCAGCAATACAGAAAAGATGAAGATTAGGATGTGTGCATCTTGTGGCCAGCCAGGAATGGTAGGGGACTACCGACAGATTCTATGTATAGTCCCATGTAAAGTAACTACGGCTGGGATGTACCTTCCTCACTCCCACAAAATCCTCCAAAAGTACTCCTTCGTGCTGAACTAAATGAAACATTTGCTGTATCTAAAGTTCCTCTCCCTGTGCTATTTTCAAGTTTTAACCCCCCAAAAATACATTTTATATTTAAATTGCTGATTTTTTTCTATGAGGCACCATACACAAACTTCACTGAAGTTTAATTACTGGACTAATTTCTTTAAAAATAATTCAATTATCTGCAGCCAAACAATAACTCAGATAACGACAACAAAAATAAAGGCCTTTTTCAGCAGGTTACTGATACCCAAAATAGGAAACAAAAGGAGTTTGTTTGTTAAAAGGAATCATACCAAGTTGAAAAAAACTGTTGAGAAAATTGAATTTGTTGAAGTACGAAGAGAGCAATTCTAGGAATCATGTGAGGTAATAGTCGCCAGGCTCAATCCTGCCAAATCCCGCCGAAAAGGGATGGTCAACCTCACCTGGTCTTGGGGGTCAATCATCAGTGGCCAGCGCCGTCCTCGAGTCACCAAGATGGCGTTCTCTGTAGACACGTTATCCCTGGGTAAGCCGTCTGCGTTCCACTGACGGATCTCAAACGGGTCAGCTAAGACCTAGAATATGAAAGATATGATTTCGATGTTTTTAATGCAAGATTTTACCAAAGAAAATTACTGCCAATTTCAAAAAAGGTGTTTTTTATAGATAACAATTGTCACGTAAAGACTTTATGACATCCAACAGCAGAAAAATAAAAGATGAATAAAAGCAAATACAGCACAACTTTCTAAGAAATTCTAGAAAATGGTCTACATAAACAAGAATATCAGCCATCACAATTTCTAAGAATAAAGAATTTGCCAATTCCAACATAAAACTGACAGAAACATAATTTGTGGAAAAGAAGGAATAAAAGACGAGAACAAATCTTTACAAAGGCTCACAGCAGTCATCGTGGGGAGGGGGAGGGGGGGAGAGAGGGGGAAGGGGGTGGAGAATATCCCACAATTTACCTTGAGTAGTGTCAACTCATCAGTCACGGGTATCTCCAGTTCCTTACAGCAATCAGTCCAGCGTTTGACTAGCTCCACACGGTAAGAGCTGGTGAACGCTCCGAAATAAGCTACGCAGGCTGCTGCCACAAACACGTTGCCCACTACATTGCCAATTTCCTTCTCAAATTCCTGTACAACAGAACAAAAAATTCAAACTTTTTCTTTCACATCAACCAATGAATTTCATCTTTTTTATTAAGTGATTCTATTTAAAAAATATTCAAAATTTGAAGGGATGGTCGACTTTTATATTTTCAGGAGAACCTTAATCTGAAGTCCTGTGCTACCTTTCTCCAAATTTCTGTTCTGTCAAACGTTTTTAAACCTATCTCATCCCGTTTATATAAATTGACCGTTCATTCACTGTAACACAACTGCAAGATTTTTAAGTGCCATCTTCTCAAGAATCAGTTTTGCAACTTGAAGATAGTTGGTGGTCTATATTTCCATTACTGAACTCAGTACCCCTTAATGTTGTATACCATTGGAAAGCTCTTGTTCTGCAGAATTCAAATATATAAATATCCCAATTCTTCAAAAGTCTGACTTTGTGATGACAGGTCAAATATGCGAGAAAATATCTTCAATGTTAGGGTCTGATTTTTCTTGCCACCCACCAGAACACTCTCTTGCCAGCGTCCCTGCTCATCCCCCAGCGCCGTGGTCAGCTTGCCGGCCCTCTTGAGTCGCCCGGCCGTCTGAGCCATCGTCTTGACCAACGTTTCCTTCTCATTGACGCTGGCGTCGTAAGACGCCTGCAGCTCGGCGATCTGGGCTTCCACGGCCGCTAGCTTGTCTTGTTTCTCCTTGAGGACGCTCATGGTGGCTGCTAGCTCGTCTTCTGCCTCTTTCAGCCTGTTAGTGAGGGTAAAAAAGATGTTCGAAGTAAAAGATGAGTTCCCCTTGCTCTACAACAAATTCTATTTTTGTCTATTAACCAGTTGCGTCGGAGGCTGTGATAACAACCACTGCCTGTTTATGTGAACAGGCACGACTGACGGGTTAAGATGTCAAGATTGCCTCGACTCGCCTCCCGGTGACGTCTAAACACGCTAATCCCTCATGCCTTTTTGTACGCACCCACGAAGTCTGTGAAGTCTATGGAGAGGGACCGTGTGCTGACCTTTGTGTGGGTCATTGCGCAATGCCTATTGTTGTACAATTAACGCTCCAGTGCACCCCCCGAGTATTGAAACATAGGAGGTATCGGCAAGAAATATCGTACAAATACTGTTGAAATCACTCTTGCGAATCAGTATTTGTGGCGTTTGGCTGTATATCAGAAGTTGGCTGGGAAATTTTGCCTTTTGAAAATTTTGAAATTCTCGGCAAAAATAAGCCCGGCGCGAAGTGGTTAATAAATTTTCAACGTGTATGTTTTATTCCAACCAAAAGCCTCTTTTTTTCCCCGTTTCTGAAAATTTCGAAATTCTCGGCTAAAATAAGCCCGGCGCGAAGTGGTTAATTAACTTTTAACGGGCATGTTTTATTTCAACCAAAAGCCCCGCTTTTTTTCCCCGTTTCTGCAACCTTCTAAATTTGTGTTTCGTTTCGGCAATAAAAAGATCTGCTCCCGGTCCGTTCGTTATCAATACTGATTGTGGGGCGGGAACCAGCCTACTTTAAAAAAATAAAAGTATTGTCTGGCAGCCAATAATTCACAATTTTGATGTAATAATTCAATAACTTAACATGGGACGATTTTGTCAGTCGATGTCTCATTCAAAACTTTAACTCATTCAACTTTAAGACCGATTTAAAAAAAGAAGCAGTGGCATCGGGAATATTGAAAGCTTACTACAGATCTGTGCTTTGGGCAAGACTTATTTGAGGGATCAGGTTGACATAGTGGGACTTTCCTTGCCTTCGACCGCTGTGACCCTAGTTCGAATCCCGTCTGAGCCAACATGTGGATGGATTTTCAGTCCCTACTTGTTTCCCTGGCTTTTCCTTGGAATGTAATTCCAGATTTTCCTCCCACCTCTACAACTGTAATTTCATTCTTCATTTTCTACCAAGGAACCCCACTGGAAATAAGTCAAAAAGTCTTTCATGGGCTATTCCGGCCGACTGCCAAATAAAAATGAACCTCAAACAAATTGATCAGCAGGGTGTATCAAGAAAGAAGTTTCTATAAAAAAATAATGGGTTTTTGAGTGTAACTTACTTTTTCTTCTTGGGTTCCACGGTGCGGAACACTTTGGAGTAGAGATCCACGGCTCTTACCCACATGCACATGGACTTGCAAGCCTATAGGAGAGATAGAAAATTCATCAGATATGGCTTCATGCACGTGACAAACAATTATGCCTCACTAGTGTTGAAAACGATTCGCGTATTAGTCTGAAAGCTCAAGTACACCCAAAGCCTACCTAGGCAAGCCCCGAGTTGACTCAGTGGAGGCGAGAAACATGAAAATATGAAAAAGGCAACAGGCAACTCTGTGAGTAATTTTGAGCACTTTGAGTATACTTTGAAAACTTTTACAATCTTTAGCTCTGAGAAAGCAAACTTGTGGTGATAGTAGGTATCTCTTTTTCAGGTTTTTGAGTTGTACTCCAAGAAGAACCTGTAAACAGGAGAATTTTATAGACAAACAGAGTACATTGCACTAAAAGATTTAGCGAAACTGTTCTCAGAAACACACAAAAAAGGAAAAGAACTCAGAAAACAGGTAAATGATACCATCACAAAAACATCTTGAAAATGAAGTTTCTTACTTTTGAAGTTTTCTCGACAACCTCTGGTACAAACTTGGGGTTCTCAATGTACTTCTTGAGCTTCTTGAGATAGGAATCCGGGACGTTGTCCTTATCATAGTCCATCAATCTCTTCAGGAAGTTGGGGTCGCTCAGAAGACCCTTGGCACTGGGCCAGTCAGGCCTGATGAGAAGAAAATGACATGAAAATACCAGGTTTTTAAAAAATCTATAGAATTTAGAAACAAAAAAAATCCAAGCTCAGAACAAATTTTTTGAGCATATGTGACGGGGATTGCAAAGTGCTCAGAGTAGGATCTTTTCCATGTATAAGTTACAGAGCCCAGAAAATACCATGTGTGGATTCAAGGAAGCTCTTTGTATCGGCAATAATGTACAGGTTCGAACCACATGTTGGCCGAAATGGAGTTTGGCTTTCCTTGTTCACACGTGCACAAAGGGAAAATCAATTTGGCTCACAACGGTTACAAGCACTATTAAAGGCAAGTTGCAGTTCTATGTTATGGTGAAAGCTGTGGGTCTCACAAAGTACCCCCTCACTCAGTTACAAAGAGACAGTTGAGAGGGACTTGAAGAATGCTTAACCACTGTACAGCTGATGCTCATGCATAGACAATAAAAGTTGGTGAAGATACTTCAGGCCATATGCACGTAAACTAAGGGTGTGTATTTACGGATAGAATGGGAACCAGGTACCCGACTGAAGAAAAAAAACACGGGTACCCGTTAAAGAAACCCAACCCCAAAAAATTGAATCCTGGCAGTTGCCGTTCAGATTGTTCATAAAGGTCCGTACAATAATACTACCACATCTGTGCATCGATACAGCAAGATACAAGCGTCTACAGTGAGCTTACAGCTTTACGGGGTAAAATGCAACTTTCATGAACGCCATAAACATGAAATATGTTTTGTTTTACCATGTAGCCTGGTTTTCATTTTTTTTAAATATCCACAAATGACATTCAAACCTTTCTTTTTCTTTGTCTAAGAAGGTACTCGGTAATTTGTCAAGTTGGTTACTGGTACCCGATCCCATAATTTGGAATCGGCTCCTGACATTGACGGTCGGGTACTAGGGTGCCCGGTTCCGATGCACAGCCCTAACGTAAACCAGTGCCAAGCAGCAATGTTTTCCTCTCACAGGTAATCACAAAGCTTCACTTACTGTTTATGCAGAGAGTTCATAGCACAAGGGAGAAGCATAAATAATGAGAAGCAAAAGGGTCAAGATATGTTTCTGACAAGACTGGGAACTCACTTGACACCGAGAAGGATACAGATGGTCTCCATGACAGTCAACACCATGTCCGGCGGCTTGTTGAACACCTTGATCTCAGAGATGTCATTCTTATCCAAGGCATCCAGGGCCTTCTGAGCCGACTCCAGGGCCGGTAGAGCTTCGTCTAGATCCCGCTGGGCATCGTCAGCGATGGCCTGGGTCTCCTCCGCCTTGACCTTGGCTGTGGCCTCGTCGTCAAGAACGACTTTACGCACCTGTTGCGAGCAGTATCAAAAGGTTATATTCAACTGATTGACTTTCTGACCAACAGGGTTAGGGTTTATGAAACCTCGGATTTGTTTCCAGCTTTGCCTCCAGGCTTCGGCTTGATTTTAGTCCTCTGCATTAACAGTCTCCAATGCAACATTGGTGCATTTTCTGCTTTCGATACACAGAATGTTGTCACATATGGCCAATTGTTGGTGAGAATGTTGCAGGATTCTTATAAATCTTGTGGTAGAAACAAAACCAAACTTGAGTTGAAGCCAGGAACTTCCAGAGTTCGGTAAACACCGCAAGTCTCTCCATCAAAATCAAGACTACCCTCTCTGACATTACGACCTGTGACCTTTGACCTTCGGACCTACCTGATCAGCAGCCTCCTGATCCACAGCCAGCCTCTCCATCAGCTTGTCCGTGTCGATGGACTTCTGTTTCAAGACCGGCTCCAGGGCCGTCAGAGAGACCTCCATGTCAGCTACCAGCTGGTTGGTCTCAAGTAGCTTGGTCAGGCCATTCTTGACACGGTCGCGGGCATTCACCAATTGCCTGGGGGGGGGGGGGGGGTTGCAGGAAAAGCAGTGTTAAATGAATAAAAGGACTGAGTGATGTTGTGGTCAAGGTACTTGAGACTGATCAGAAATCATCACAAGTCCATCATAAGTCAATCACAAGTCTTAAGAGGTCCATCATAAGTCATCCAGTCCTAAGTCAAGTCACAAGCTATTCAAATGACCTATGACTAAGGCACTCCTTGGTTGTTATGCATCTCCTGTTACTTGTGACTGGACTTGTGATTCACTTACGATCCATCACAAATATCTCAACTACAACTGAAAATATTTCTCCCTTTCATGAAATGTCAGTCTATCACAAAGTATGGGCTCCATGCGCCGACAAAAGAGGGCGCCCTTTTACCTAGCAACGACATCCCATGGGTGGGACATTTTGCTGGTTGACGCGCACCGTTCCTTGTGTGTGGACGCACGTACACCAGGGGATTCGTACTATGTACACGCAGTAATAAATGAATTGCAGTCAGGCAAGATGGCATTGGTCGGTCACTCCCAACTGTATTTTCTTTGCCGGTGAGGGGGTACTTGTGAACGGAGCGTATACTCCCTAGCCAATGCCAGTGCCTAGCCTTGAGGAAGAGACACACAAGGGTTCGAACCCCTGACCCTCCAATGAAGGGTCGCAAGCCCTACCCATAAGAACAAGCTCCTTAGGTCAGATAAAATGTCAGCTTTTATGCTGCACGACTCACTTTCTCTTCTCAGACAGCATAGAGAGATACAAGTTGATCAGTTCCAGGTAGCTGGTGGGTGTGGTGTAGTATCGGCGGCGCAGCTCGGAGTAGAAACGTTCTGCCATGGTGCTGACGCTGGTGTGGATCTCCACGCACATCTCAGCAATCTTACCCTGAAAATACGACAGGAATATAGGAAAATCACCAAAATGATGTCCATAATTCCATCTTCAATCGCACGGTGAAATTTGGAAGCTACACAATGGTTGTAAAAAAGAACTCTGTTTAAAAAAAAAAAAACACCACTGATTATACAAAATTTATCATGTTAACAGTGATCTAAAGTAGCAAAGGATCCTTAGAAATTTTACATATCTTGAGTTGTACCAACTTGAAAGTCTGATCAGGAAACAAATTTCAGAAAAAAAACAGCAAAATTTTGAGAAAAGAGTTACAGGAATTTGTCAGATTTTTTTTTCTGAAAAGGGAGAAAATTTCATTTCAAAGAAAATGAGAAATGGACTCCAGTGTCAAATTCTGACATAATTTCAGCGCCTGTAGGCACAGGATGCTTCGTTACATTAGGAACACATGGACAAAAGACAACATTTCTTGCTAACCTGTGTAATAATCTAAACCATAAGTTTGTTTTCTCGTACAGTTAGCAGTGATTCCCAGCTTAGAGATGGGAAATTGAAAGGGGAATAGTATCTAACTTCCATACCTTCATGCCTTCAGCACCCAGATCAACGTTCTCAAAGAACGTCTCAGAGACGGACAGCAACGCCTCGCGCGGCCACTCAGTGAACCAGTCGATGGTGCAGCAGTTGACCAACGAAGGGAACATGCGGCAGCGAGAGCGGAAGGCGTCGCCCACGGGGCTCATGCACAGCACGATGTGAAGGTTCTGCCGGACACGGTTGATGAAGAAGTTGAAGATCTCGTCTCGGTTGCCCTCGGGGATGCCCGCTTCCTTGGCGGCCGGCCGGCAACCGATGACGACGCGCTCGTACTCGTCCGCCTCGAAGAGGTTGGGCACCTCGCCGGAGTTCAGGATGTTGTTGATGTCCTCGAGGAACCCCTCAACTACAATCTAGGGGTGCAGAGCAAAGCAAATCATGACTTATCTGGTGAGATTGGTAAATAATCTAATCTTTCATATTCATTCTAATGCTTTAACTTGTCACAATTTTGACACACACAAAAAACATCTCAGTACGAACTGTGTATTAAAACCTTGAGAACCTCGGCCGCTCCAAAACCCCAAGGATCATACAAAACAATATCTTATAAGTAGAACAATGATGAAGCAACTTTATGTAACATATTGTATAAATAAAAGAACAGCCTAAATCGACTTTCTTACTCTTTCATTATTGCCGTTTTGCTTCCTCGTTGTTTTTAGCTAAAGACAATTCAAAGATCTTCCTTACATAGAACAAAAAGTGCCACAACCGTTAAATTAAAGACTTTCTAAAAACTTTTAGTTTTTGGTCCTCCAAAGTTTATTTATCTATTTATTTTTTTGTCTGAAACTTTTTCAGTCTAGAATCTTTTTGCTACTTATGTGTTTTGTTTTCTTGTTTGTTCTGTGTGGGGAATACATTCTGTACAGAATATGACAACCAAATCATAAAAAAGAAGATGTAATTACTTCTTAACTTACATACGACACTACCCTCTTAAAATGTCTTACAAAAGGTGTTTCTTTGGAACATTTTCCCAAAGGAAACCAACCTGTGTATCGGTGAACAGGAAGACGGTGTTCAGGTTCTGGACACCGGCTAACTCGTACAGCTTCTTGAGATCATCATGGAAGGAGGAGTAGTCATAGCCACGAGACAGTTCAATCTGGAAGCATTTGTAGTTGCAGATGTGAGCGGCTAGCCTGGTCAGAGACTGCTTGCCGGTCCCGCCGACGCCTACCAGCAGAGCGTTACCACGCTGCTGTCGTATGATGCGGATAATCCTGTCATTGTCACAAACAAATGAGTTTAGAGTCAACATTTTGAGCCATAGTAATCACAGGGGTGTGAGTGACCACTGATAGAAATAGCTGAAAACAGCTGGAAAAGGTATTTTAAAAAAGCTGAACTTTGGAAATCTCCTATACTTTTGTACACAGCAAGTGAGGGAAAAATCTGAAATCCAAAACAAAAAAACCTGAAATCAGCTTTAAAGCTGAGATTTCACAACCCTGTAATCACCGCTAAATTTTAATACAAGGATTTGCCTTTCAACAACGCAACATCTTTGTGCTCTGTGATTCTGAGAACTAGTGAGAAAAATCTTCACAGGGAGGACTGAAATCTAGACCTTATACTTAAATTTACTTAATTCTTCTAATTTTTTTTTTGAATTTCAATCTCCTGCTTGTATCATGCATTTGACTTTCATAAGCACAGCAGTGAGAGCCTGTTTCAATTCACATCCTGACAAGTTCTGGACACGTTGCGGGTAGATTTCACTTTGTCTGGAAGAAGCTCATTTTTCATTAGAAGATTTTCATTAGCAACCGCTTGACTCAACAAAACTGATAACTTCATTGCGGGAAGATTGCGGGGAAGTTGTTCAGACTCCTGCGACTTATACCCGATACAATGTTCGCAACTGGTCCGGAACTTCTCCTGAATATGAATGGAATTGGGCCCTAAGGTGTTGACCGGACATTTTTTAAGTGCTTAGAAAGAGGAGTAGTCTGACCTACCTTGCAACATGCTGGATTGCATCCACAAAGAACACCAGCTTCATCTCTTTGGAGGATGCCAAGTTGCAGTCGTCCAGGTACTGTGGACAAAAGAAGATGACTCGCAATATTAACCTTACTGAATGAGAAAGTTAATGATTACTCCAAAACAAGGTCGATTATGGTCAACGATTATGTATTGCTCTATCAGTGGAAGGTCAGAGTTTTTCAGTAGCTCTATTCAAAAAAATTTCCAAGCAAGTTCATTTTTCGTTTGACAATTGGAAAAAAGGTAAGAAAATCTACCCACATCTTGCAAGACGTTCTTGAGTTTATTCAAGTCCATGATGTCCTCATACAATCTGTCGTTCTCCTCAGCACCCATCTTCATGAAATCCCCGAAGATGATCGGTTTCTTGACAAAGGTCTCCGGTTCAATGTTCTGACTGAAGTGCTTGCTAGCCATCTCGGCCATGATCTCGTTGAAGTAGGCCTTGTCCTCCAGGTTGATCAGACGGTCGTGGAAGACGCGCTGGCACTCGTGGCAGAAAAGACGGAACATGCCCACGCCGTCACGGATCACGCCCGGGTCGGCCTGCAGTACACCTGCACAATAAGAGGATACGAGTTTGAAAACATCAACACAATTGTGACCTGTTCTGTCAAAATCAGACTTTTCTGGGCATAAGGTCAAAAATGAGATTTTTGCATATTGTTAAAATATGTTCTTTTCCCTTTTAATAGGTGGTTTAATTTTTGAAACCGGTCATTCCTGGGCAGAGTTATGCTATTTTGAAGTTCATTGTGTCGAAAAGTAGAAAACGGAGAAAATGGCCACGAACGTCACAAAACAGTAATTTCTTTATAAACTGATATACCTTATCAAATCATCAAAAAATACTATATTTAGAGTTCAAATTAGGGTTTCAAACTTTTATAGTATATTTTAGACATGTTCAGGATTACAAATATGCAAAAATTTGAAAATCGAAAAAAAATACGGCCAACATTAATTTTTTTTGGCCATATCTCAATTTCAACCTCTGCCCAGAAGTATTGTCATCATCATCATTGTCATCATCATCATTATCACCATCAATGGCCTCATTGTCAAAGATCTAGACTACAGCTCTAGTCAAGACATTCAGATGCAAATATCTGGATCATTTGCTCCTTCTGCATTTTTTTCAATTGATTGTCTGCAATCTACTGTTAAACTGCTAACGTCAACACATTCAGAAGCTTGTACTGGAAGGGAGACGGGGACTATTTATTTTACTTCAAATTAATTCTAATTTACCTGTCACCTTTTTATGCTATCTTATAATCTAATAAAATTTCTAATCTCTTTGTATTTTTGTCAAGTTGTTTTACTGTAATTTTTAACTTCTATTTTAGATTGTGTTTATTTTTCTTGTAGTTTGTTGTTTTTAAGTTTACTTAATTCCAGGGAGAACAGTTCTTTGAAAGCTGATTGGGTTACCCTGGTTAAATAAAACAAAAATAAATAAATAAATTTGTAGCCACAAAATTGCTCAAAATCCTAAGAAGGGTACATAACTAACCTGCAGACGTTAATAGCTCAGCGGATATTATACATTTGGAGAAAACAGAAAACTCATATGCACAAAATTCTGGGTCCTGTAACTGAATTCCGTTGTTAACACACATACATAAGCACACTTTTTTTTACAGCAGCCTGCAATGACTGTTTTCATTGGATCAGAACCATTTCTGGTGAACTAATTTCACAGGGTGTGTGGTACCATCCCTAGCTTCACTTTGACCAAGGTGTTTTCATATCAACTCCGACAGGTGCTTTTCCGATTAATTACCGATGTTCCTAGCCACCTTTAACTTCCAGTTTGGACTTGGAAGTACCCGACACTGAATCATAATTGTTTACCTTGCACGCATTTGGAGAGATCTCTGAGGTTGAAGACGTAGTGAGACTTGGCCGGCGTTGGCAGCAGGTCGGTACTCATGCGACCGTAGATCTCCACGGCCGCGCCCACGATGGCTTCGGCCGTGCCCTTGACGGCTGGTGGGAAGTCGTGCAGGAATCCGTTGATGATAGACTGAAAAAAACAACACACCCAAATTTACCCATTAGAGCCTGTACTGCATTGTATTACATTGTACTTATTCTCGATGAATTCCTGAAACCATAGAGTGGTGGGACAGTTTGGGGCGGTACAGGGAGTAGCAAGCAGATGGTGGGGGGAGGGAGGAAGGATCTTTTGGGTTAACAAATCAATGTGGGATTCTTCAGGGTTTGCAAAGTACAGAAATTGGCCTAGAAACAAACAAACAAATTATTGAGCAAGAATGTTTCGTGATGTGGAATTCACCTCACATTAAACCATCAGCATCTTTAGTACATTGTTTGGAAAGAATGTATTATGCAGACGCCACTTAAGCGGTTGTGCATAAAGTCCATAGAGAATCAAGAAAATTGTCTTAGTATTTCCTAACTAAATTGGAAACGTTTCTAAGTCCCAGATTCTTGTCTTATCATCATTTTTGCAATGACTGACCTTTATTGAGATGATAGGTAAAAGAAAAAAGTGGCGTCAGGTTGCAACACTCTTTCCCATCGTTTTATTGCCTGATGACTCCACAAAGTGCTCAAGCAATTTGGGATAGAACGGCGGTTTTAAATTGGGTGATACGGGGAATAATACCCAAACATTTGAATGATGTATGGGACGGCTTAAAGACAGTCTACTTTGCCATATTCCTTTTATCCCTGTCGTGGACTTACCATGAATATATGCTTAAGGCTGTGGTCCGATGCAGTGGGCACACACAGCATACTGAAATGTCTCATGAGTCGAGGGGTGACCGGGTTACGCCCACCGCCGGGGGGAGCACAAGCTGCCGATAATGTCACATCCTGGGGCCAAAGAAAGTACACAGAGCAATTTGTTTAAAGAGAAGGGATTCACAACATAGTATATCACTTTGCAACTTCATAGCCAATTTATGGAATACAGTTTTCCTGCAGTTAGTCATCTGTCTTTTATCATGTGTGTATGGTGCCAGAAATTCATTTGAGACACCTTAAAAAAAATCATTAGTCTTGGAAGAAATTCATACTTCGAAGTCTCACGTGCTGCCAATGTACTATCTTGGAAATATCTGTTTTAAGTAATTAAATCTGTATAATCTATGACAACCTGACCTCTTTGAGTGTTTTTTTTTCTCAGTATTGTCGTCTCAGGGATTGTGATGTATCAAGAGTCAATCACAAGTCCAGTCACAAGTAAATTGCAAGTCCAGTCACAAGTAAATCACAAGTAAATTGCAAGTCCAGTCACAAGTAAATCGCAAGTCAATCACAAGTCAATCGCAAGTCCTGTCACAAGTCAATCGCAAGTCCAGTCACATGTAAATCGCAAGTCAATCACATGTAAATCGCAAGTCAATCACAAGTCAATCGCAAGTCCAGACAAAATAAATCGCAAGTCAATCACAAGTCCAGTCACAAGTCCAGTAACGGGGGATGAACAAGAACAGAGGAATGCTTTTGTTGCAAAATAGGAAAAGCTTATGAGTCGACTTGGGACTGGACAAACTTGTGAGGACTGGTAGGGAACCTGTTAGGACTTGCGATCCATCCGAAGAACCTCGACTACAACGGCGTCTTTTCATCAAAACTTACATGAATCTCTTTCCAGAAGAGTTTTTCCCGGTCATAGACCCCCCGGAAGTCCTGGTACTGTCTGAGAAGCTCAATGGGTGGCTGGGAGCCGTAGGTGTCCAGCTTAGGCATGTTCAGATCGTCAACGAAAATGATGATACGTTTGCCGGCCGGGGCACCTTGGTTAAAGAAAAAAAGGACAAAATTCAAACTTAATTGGAATACCGACATTTGATTATATTTCGTGTTTAGAGTAACTAGTGCAGTGCCCGTCTAAAATATGCATGTTCGGGAAACGCAAATTGCTTTGCCGCTGGTATAGGTTGCATACTTGCAGAGTTTTGGAGAACTGCTCGTGCAAACAACGCACGCGATTCAATGGTGTTGTTTTCACAGGTTGAACGCACACTTACGTCAAAATTTTTGCCAAGTTTGAAGTTCGACCACCTACAATGGTCGCTCAGTCGACTGCAAAAATAATGTGCCCGTGTACATACGAAAACATGGTATGCAGTGCTATTCACCCATTGATCCATTAGTATTCACCCATACTGGACAGTGTATCGCCCTGCAGTGCACGTGCGCGTGCCCGTCCTTTTTGCATTGTTTGCGTCATATTGAGCACGCGCGCTTTAGCTTAAACATGACGTAAACAATTGAAAAGAACGGCAGTGCGTGCGGGTGTTATGTTCTAAGCTATATACTGCCACGTTTGCCTCAGAAAATACTGCTGTTTGCAGCTTTTGCGAGAACCGCTGGTCCAAACAACTTCAAACTTTGCACTGCACATTCTGTTGTCCCGAAAAATATACCCGCCGATTTTCAACTTCATACGGTGCCCGGTTCTGGAGATAATCGACGGACAGACAGACAGACAGAGATTCCTGGAATTATAGTAAGATGTAAAATGTTGTGACCCTGAACAAGTTGGTCAGTTGTTAAGACCTCTGCACTCAAAAGCAGAGGGTCACAGGTTCGAGTGTCACCCAAGCAATTAATGAATTTTTTTATTTCTAAACTGCAGAAATATTTTGTGTGCTGAATTGCTCAAAATTGCTAAAAACTCATAGTAATTTATCAAGTGCACAATATTGTAAGATAGGCTAGTATTACCCACGAAGTAATTTTTTTAAATCAATATTAGGATTTGGTTGAACAGGGATATGAACCCCCAATGTCCAAAACATTGTGAGGGTGCTCTACCCAGTGAGAATTATTTAATTTTGGGAAGAATGTCTGACTCACCCAAGATGGTCTTGCGTTTCTTCTCCAGTTTCCCCTCGATGATCTCCTGCGTACGGATGCTGGTCGTCTGGGCTGAGAAGTTGATGTAGACAGGGACGTAGTTTACCTTCTCGCTGATACCATCCAACAATCCCCTCGCAATCACAGACTGGAAGTATAGAGGAAAAGAAGAACATGGATTTTGCGACTGTTTTTTTTTCTTTTCTAAAGTCATTTTTTCTTGAAAATCTGTTCTGCTGATTCCAGTACCGAGGCATGTAACAGTCAGGCCACACACAAAAAAAGAGGGAATTTCCAAGACTTCAAAAGACTTTGTGCAATATTTTTTTTCAATTTTTAATGGCAGACATGGCAATTTAACAAAGAGCAATAATCAGTTGATCCGAGGAAAAGTTTATGAATTATGCGTTTCGTGATCACAATTCTGGGTATTTAGTACCGACAGAGAATTTTTGTACTAGCCCTAAGAAACTTTTGTTGCTGGATCTACCATGCAAAAACACCCTCAAAAGTCCCTGCATACTTCAGAAATAAACAACCCTTTTTCTACGAATGTTTCTGCTGTACAGAGTGAAGCTGTTCATTTAGGGTAAACATAGCCTTGATATTTGACCCGGGGTTATGATAAAACCTTTCATATTAAGAGCAGTCAATGTAACAGCCCCAGGAACGTGCATCTCTTTGGCTACGGCTTGCAATTACAGGTGAGCCTTTGAAAGCAGCCACAGCCACAGCCACAGCCACAGCCACTTCCCATAGACACATGTGTTACTGTCAACAATAGCAACAGTAAAAAAAACGATTGTAGCACTTTAATGACTAGCTAAAGAAAAATGTGTGCATAGGCTTTTGTAGCAACAACTACTTCATCAGATGCAATGAAGAAAAACAACTTCAACCAAGGTTTATATACAGTCCAGTGCAATCTAAACAAAGGATGGTAACAAGTCAGTGCTGTAGTGTGACAACAAGCCACGATCTCTATTCAGCCCTCTGCCAACACAGTCCAGTGTAAGGATGATCCTTTGTTCTGCTGCTTCTCTGTCCATCCTAGTTTTGAATACCCTTTGTTGGAGTACACAACTCTTAACTGGCTTAAATTGTGACCAGGGAGATTCAAATGTTCAGCAACAGGTTTCTCTGTGTTTTTATTCCTGATGTCAAACTTGTGGTTATTCATGCGTTGTCTTAGTGTCTGTTCAGTTTGTCCAATGTGTACAGCTGGAGGGCATAGTTGGCAAGTGATGGCATAAATCACTTTGCTCGAGGTGCAACTGAATGAGCCTTTGATGGTATATGTGGCATTGTTAGGTCCAATAATGCTGGTGTTGGAGTCTATGTGCTGGCAAAGTTGGCACCTGGGTTTGTTGCAGGGGGTGGTTCCATTGTTGGTAGGGAGGGTGAGGGCACCTCTGACAATAGCAACGTAATTTGCCACAGCTTTAGCATAAACAATAAGACTTCAGCTCGCCCACTACGCACTACAGTAGTAGGCAGGGTGACCACAAATTCGTATCCTTGTGGAGACTCACACACAATAGGGAACAAAACATTGTAAAGGTCTCCACAGGGCAATTTCTATAGATGAATAGGTCTCCACAAGGTTTTCACGAAATAGATATATGGGTTTTACTCAAAAACTAGGAATTTCCAAGGTGGGTTGATCTGTCGCAAATGGAAGAGTTTTAGAAAAGGGATATTAAGTCCAAATTTCAGCCAAGGAAACTAATTCTGGTTAAAATAAGAGCATTTTGAAACTTCACTTTAAAAATTGAACACTTTACTACACGAGAACAAAGGAATGTCTCCACAAGGATACAAATTTGAGAATGGGTGGTTCTAGGCGTTTCAGTGACCAAAGGGTTAATACACAAATGACACTGCAATAACATGAAGAGAGATATTTCACTAACCTTTCCTACGCCTGTAGTACCGGTGAACAGCACCGACCGGTTCACACTCAGTAGTTTCTCCATGAGGTAGCCAAAACGCACGGTGTCCATGGTGGGTACCAGCATGTCAAAGAACGGCTGCTCCGGGTCGTACTTGAAGGTGGGGATAATCTTCTCCCACATGTCCATGCGCTTGGTGTCAAAGTCAATGTAGCAGCTCCACAGGTCACCGCTGGTATTCAGCTGCGGAAGGTACGGTTACCAGGGAACGAAATGTGATTTCAGGCTTGGCATGTTTGAGAGTAGATATTTGAAGAAGTTTGTAAAATCTTTTAGATGCAGTTTTTTTTTTGGTTTGCTGGTGCTGTTGTACTTTTGACAGATCACAAATTATCACAAGTCCATCACACATCAATAAAAAGTTGTCCAATCCCAAATTAAATCTCAAGCTTTCCAAATGAACTGTGACAAAAGTATACCTTTGTCTTTGTTCATACCCTGTTACTTGTGAACAGACTTGTGATGTACTTGTGACCAGACTTGTGATGTACTTGTGACCAGCCTTGTGAATTACTTGTGACCAGACTTGTGATGTACTTGTGATTGACTTGTGACCGGACTTGTGATTTACATCTGATCAGACTTGTGATTAACTTGTGACCAGACATGTGATTGACTTGTGATGTACTTGTGACCGGACTTGTGATGTACTTGTGACCAGACTTGTGATGTACTTGTGACCAGACTTGTGATGTACTTGTGACCTGCCTTGTGATGTACTTGTGACAGCACTTGTGATGTACTTGTGACCAGACTTGTGATGTACTTGTGACCAGACTTGTGATTTACTTGTGACTAGCCTTATGATGTACTTGTGACCAGACTTGTGATGTACTTGTGATTGACTTGTGACCAGACTTGTGATTTACATCTGACCAGACTTGTGATTGACTTGTGACCAGACTTGTGATTGACTTGTGATGTACTTGTGACCGGACTTGTGATGTACTTGTGACCAAACTTGTGATGTACTTGTGACCAGACTTAACATTGAAATTCTTGTGATCCACTACAAATACCTCGCTTCAACACTTGTCTTTACCTTAGCGTCTCCGTTGTCCTCAAACTGGTTTCTGACGAAGGTGTCGAACAGATCCCAGCAGCCCTCGACTAGGTTCCCACCGATCGACCACAGATAGCAGAAGACGAAGGTGGTGCAGATCAAGGAGTGGAGACGGTTGGTCTCCATCTTGAGGTCAATGCTTCCCTTGAAGACGAGGGCTTCTAGGAGGCAGCAGAGGGTGTTGACCTTGCTGATGTCAACCTAAGAGGGGGCGGAGGAAATAGACACCATAAGAAATTGGACATAAGATATCAGACTGGAAATGCCTGTTGTTGTTTATGCAAAATGTAGAAGTAATGATTCCACTTTATTCTGTCCTAACACAACTTGTGTTTCATTTATCTCTCTGTATAATTATGCATATGATACGATCAGGCTACATGAGTTGTTTGTCGACCCTGGTCAATTTTTTTTATTACAGATTTGAAAAGAGCACAATCTCAGCATTAATGCTGTGAAAACCGCATGCTGATACCATCTTTAGTTCAAAAATTATGGAAGTTGGAACACCAAGAGATATGATGAAGTGATGTGATGAAGTGGCCCTATTTTGGCCTGCATCTCCAAATAAAATAAAAATTCCCAACAAATGACTCATTTAGCTTGATCGCATTACATATGATGGATTCTTGCCGAATTCCAAAGAACACAGCATGTACTGTGACCCAGACAAATTATTTAAAAAAACTCACTGGCTTAATTTTTTTAAGAAAATTACATTTCAAATTTACAATCTTTATCATGTTTGAAATATTAATTATTGAAACAGCTTCAAATTTCATCTGCCTTCAATATTAAACACATGCTTCAGTCTGTCTGTTCTTTGTTGCATGTTAAGACTTACCAAAACACGTAACAAACTAAAAACGCCAATGTGTTAATGTAGTTTACTCAAGAACAGTCTCTTCTTGTGTGAACAACATCATTTATTGCTATCAATTTATAAAAGGAATGACCCAAATGACACAGTTATTCAACTTCAATCACAACTTCTTAACACTACTGTCCCTTTTCTAGATGAAAACCTAGCGCCTACCTGGTTGATGGCCTGGATGCATTTCTTAGTGACAAACTTCAGTCCGTCCTCAACGTAAGTCTGAAACAACTCCAGGATGTAGTTGAAGGTCTCCTCCTTGACTTTTCCCTTGAATTGGGTGATCCAGGTCTGGACGTAAGGCATCCATTTCAGCTCACCGGGATCGATGTACACCATACCGCATCTGGGAAAAACGGAATAAAAGAAGCAAAAATTTAAGACAGAGATCGCAGAACTCAGCTCATTTTTGGACTACGGATTTTATGTTCTTTGATAGACTGTACATACACAATAGGTCTCTCTCAAATGCATCACTTCCTACAGTTTGCCAAGTGCATTGGAATTTTGGGCATCAAATTTTCATGACGCACATCAGCTGTGCTGTATTTTGAAGAAATTTTGCGCATATTTAGAACACTTTTAGCACACTGCGCGTACTCACACCTGATGGCGTTAAACATGCATTTGTAATTTACCTACGAAAAAGGCTATCTATGAGAGGGGTCAAAAGACGGCGCGTCGTGACCACTCATAAGAGGTCCATATATGCGAAACACATTGAGTGAGAGAACTGGTTCAAGCACACAAGGCACAAAGTATCGTCTTCACCTCAACACCAGACCTACCGCAGTTATGTGTTTGAGTCCTGCCCACCCCCATCCAAATGATAACTTCATTTCTCAAAGATTCTGGAAATGAAATGAATTCCTGATACCACGGATACCTGACGCCAAGGATTTTCTAACTTTTATCCCTGCATTCTGAGGTAGAATTCTTGGGTCATACCTGCTGACGGTAGCCGGGGAGGCCACGGCCAGATCCTGGACCTCAAAGACCATGTGGATGGAATTGGACAGCTTGATACGTTCACTGTTGGCCAGGCACAACATCTTGTTGTCGTCAAGTACGGTGTTCATGTTCTCGATCCACAGAGCGTCGACGGGACCGTCGCATATGATCCACTTGTGGTCGTCGGTAGTTTCCTTCAGAACAAAATTGTCAAGTTTTTTTATAATCCATGCCCTCCCAGGTTTTCAACATTTATACGGGAGGTGTTGAAAGATTTTGTAGGATTGAGGAAGGTAGAGTTTAGCCACTATTACTTTACATGGGGCTTGATGCACCTTGAAACTTGGTAGGTACAAAGAGTGTGCCATTGGGTTCCTGAACAGTGGAGGATTTTGTAGGATTTAGAAATGTAGAGTTTAGCCACTATTCTGTACATGGGCTTAATGCACCTTGAAACTTGGTAGGTACAAAGAGTGTGACATTGGGTGCCTGCAAAGTGGAGGATTTTGTAGGATTGAGAAAGGTAGAGTTCAGCTACTATTACTTTGCATGGGGCTTGATGCACCTGAAACTTGGTAGGTACAAAGAGTGTGCCGCATGGTTCCTGCACAGTGGAGGATTTTGTGGGATTGAAGAAGGTAGAGCCCAGCCACTATTAATCTACATAGCTCTTGATACCTCTTGAAAGTTGAAGTGCAAAGAATTTGTCATTGGGCACTTGCACAGTTGTGGATTTTTTACACTTCGGTTATGCTCCTGACCAGAAAAATTCTTCAGAGTTAATTTTCTTTTGTTGGTATTCGGAGTGCAACAAGGCACCAAGGATTTCCTTAAAGAGGTTTACACACTAATAAATGGATTAAAAAAATGTGTGTAGAAAAAAAATGCAAAGGAAATTTTGAACTCTTTTCTTCTGTGTGGCTTGCCATGTAGGTAAAAATATACCATTACAGCATTTGTAGCTCTAAATCGATAGTCGAATGAAGCTAGCATGTAAGCAGTAGAGTAAGGCATCAGAATAACACGGCTATGGCTTGCGACTACACATGCGGCTATGGGAAGCCACTGAAGCCACTTCCCATAGCCACGTGTGCTACTGCTAGCCCTAGCCAAGTCATTCACACACAGCTTAAGAGGCAACCGTTTATCGTTATAACTGCATTCGCACAAGGGCACTCAGGAATATATATATAAGCGTGATACTTTGTAACAAAAGGTTTTACAGATGCAATTTTTTTTTTTGAAAAATGGAAATTTGTATAAATTGACTTACGGCTGAGGTAACACGGACGATGGTAGCCATCAACCCATCTTGCCATTCCAAGGTCAGTTTGTTGACCTCTCCGTACAGCTCGCCCATGGACACGGCCTTGGGGTTCAATACGTAGGTCTTAACTGGCTGGTAGTATGGGCTGTCCTCGCCAGCCTTGTGAAGCTCAGTTAAAGCTTGCTGCAAAATCTGGAAAATAGAATAATATTGAATATTATTTATTGAATCTACTACTCCCAATACCGCCCCAAAGTGCCCTGCCTGTTACTCCTTGTACTGCCCCAAACTGCCCAAGCACTGTCGGGTGAGGAGTAAATACAATGTAATAAAATGCAATTATGGGCCAAGGACCGCCTCCTATACTGTTTTTTTGGGTAGCATTTTGGAAATAATGAATATGTATGAATGAATACATTAAGTGGAAAGTCATTATACCAAACACCGCTGTACCCAAAATTTGGGTAATGTCAGCAGAAGAGCGACACGTGGCTATTATTTCCCCATCGAATAGAAGGGGAAAGCCACCCATTGCTGTAGTAAGCTAAAAAATGTGTAACTACATAATTCAATAGTTGGCACATGTTCAAAGTCGTCTTTCAGTAACTACCAGGGCATGCAGGGTGAAGTTCTGAAGGGCGTTGTTTATTAAAAAGTGAGTACTGGAGCACCGGCAGCTTCAAATCGCTACACTGTACAATCGCTGTTATGAACAATTTCTGTGGATCCCACGATGTTCGTTATAGCGGCGTTCCACTGTACATTTGACAAGCAGTAACCTGTATTCGCCAGACCAAACTTGTCGGTGCTTTTATTCTAAATTTCTGTGCCTAGAAGATCTATAAAATAAGTCCTCAAAAGCTACGCAGTCTGGGTAACCTACCTCATACGTGGTCGTCTTTCCACCACCGGTCGGCCCCACCAACATGACGCCATGACGTACAATCATCGTCTCGTATAACTGGATGACTTTCTTGACGATACAGTCCTCGGGTTGTAGGCCCTTATCTATCAAGGCTTGAACGATGAAGGTCTGCAAGGTGCCGTAGTCGTGCTCCGGGAGGACACAGCCGGGGAAGAGATCCGACAAGATGCCCTGGTGAGATAAAGTCAAACATCGTTACTTACTCTTGGGATATTATGAGATGTGAATCAAGAACAATATTGAGTAAACTCAGTAAATTTATTTTAGAAGACAACTGGAAACAAGCAAGGTAAAAACCAACTTTGGAAGGCATCGAAAGGCCGGTTCATTTTCGGCACAAAAGCGAACGTGCCTGCGTGTGGTACATGGCTCAGATGTGCCCCCAAACAGCCAAAAGTAACATCTTTCTAAACCAAACTTTTAAATGGTATTCTACTGTCAACAATTTGAAAGATTTAAAAACTCGCAAGCGCCCTTCAACGTAGAGCTACAATCACATCAAATAAAAAAAAACAGCATTCCTTACTAAGGCCTTCAAATTGCAATAGTGCTATATTTGTTAATTCAACATTAAAGGGATAGTTCAAAAAAATTAATTTTAAATCTATTTGAGTTACTTCAGAATGGTTTCCAATATTCAAGCACTGTCTCCATTTTGTAAGTTTCTAATCTTCTCTTTCAAGCTTTAATCCAGCATTAAATTTACCACAGAATTACCAGACTTTAAACTAAACATGTTATTTCCTCTCCCCAGAAAAGATTCAATCCAACCCTGGATCATATCCCTCAGAAGCTTACCCCAAACAGAACAGCATCATCAGCCAGAAACTTGGGCAGGTTGCTGTCCCGAAGAGCCCTGATCAGCACAATGTCTTCCCCTAGATCCGGGTTGCCTCGTTTCAAGGCCCCGGCCATCACCAGGACAGACTTGACGGCACGCATGCCAAAGTCGTAGTGATCCTGCTGGGACAGCTGCTCGCTGCACAGCTTGTACATCTGGGTCATCTTGCGGGCTAGGTTCTTGGAGGACTCGAAACCCTCCGAGTACAGGATGACCTCGGCGATCAAGGCTGCAGGAAGAATTTTTGAATTTTACTTGGTTTCTCTTTCAATTGTGACCTCACAAACAGTCATTTTATTTTTTTCACGCTTTGAAAGAATCATAAGAAAGTAACAATGTTTTTGCCTTGTTAAAAAAAACGGGCTAATTCTACTCATGTTTCGTAAACATTATAATGTAATGTTCATTGTGAAAAATTAAGTTTGAGTTTGTTTCTATCATTTATAAGTACAGATCACTGAAGCTAAGGTCCCGTTTATACTGCATGTATATTTAAGTGCAAAGTGAATTCATTCGAGAAAAAAAGGAACCCAGCAATGTCCTAAAAGTTATTGACATCTTAAAAATTGCTAAGATTTGCTTCTAGTTACAAACTGACCCTTAAAAACTCAGTCATAATTTGCTGTTATTCTAACATTTCAACTGCACGTCCTGTTACTTTTCCCACAATTATTTTTGAAGATTGGGGACACAATATTATTTTTCAGCAACATAGACAACAAGCAGTTTTACTCATTTGAAAACAATATTTTAATGGCCTGCACAAAAAAGTATTTCATTTCTGTTCATCCTCTCTAATTGCTTATATGATGGCGCCCTCTAGCGGTTGTGCACAGGTCCAATGAACACTCTCCCGATTGATAAGAACTCACCGTAATCAGGCACCATCATGGCAATGGGTCTAAACAGAGCTTTCAGGTTATCGGGGAGTTCGGTACGGCCGGCGTAGCCAGGATTCATGGTGATGAAGGCTGCACAGGATGACACTAGCTTGATCTCGCGCCCCTCAAACATGAACCGGGACAGCTGAAAGAGAAGAATAGGTTTCGGAATACTAGTTAGTTTTTTGTTTTAAATAAGTTGAGAGCCATGTCAGTGATTCCGAGAGCAGCCTGGTTTTGTCATTGGACATCACATATAAAAAGTGACAGTGTTAAATGTTTTTAACTAAATCGTCAACAAGATGAAAATTATACTGACACAACTATCTGACTTTTTTAATATTACTCCCAGCAATGTAGTAATCATACTGGAACTCAAGACCTTTGTTTCTAAGCTCAAGTACAGCAGTTTGGTTGTAGACACACTGGAGTACATGCATACTGAAATTTGTATTCTTGTGGAGACATTTCTTTGTTCTCGTGTAGTAAAGTTTTCGAGTTTGAAAGAGAAGTTTGAAAATGCTCTTATTTTAACCAGAATTAATTTCCTTGGCTGAAATTCGGACTTAATATCCCTTTTCTAAAACTCTTCCATTTGCGACGGATTAACCCACCTTGGAAATTCCTAGTTTTTGAGTAAAATCCATATATCTATTTCGTGAAAATCTTGTGGAGACGTATTCATCTATAGAAATTGCCCTGTGAAGACGTATACAATCTTTTGTTCCCTATTGTGTGCACGTCTCCAGAGGGCACGGTGTATATTTTCATAAACACTTACATGTAATTACTTTGATTTTGTGTGGAATTGGTTGGTCTAGTGCTTTAAGACCCTTAGAGAAAGACACAAAACAATGTCTGGTAAAGGGCAAGTCCAAGAAACGGTCCCCTTTTTGTCCCAAACGTAACGCCATGTTTTCTTTAATTACATAATCATCGCAAAGACTATAAATGATATAAACATTCTTCATAGCGTGCGCAAATTCTTGGACTTGCCCTCAACACACCACAGGATCAGCATTCAAGTTTACAAAAAAAGGGAACAAAATCTTTCCATTGTGCAAATTTCCAATAGTAAAATGAAAAGAATATAAGAATTATAATAGTAAAATGAGAAGTCATTCATTCTTTTCATTTCACTATTACAAATTTACAGAATGAAAAGATTTAATTGGTGGTAAAACAAGCCTATACACATTTGAAGAAAAAAAGTTTAATAAAATGAATCTTGTGTTAGCAGAAATAGTTTTAAAAATAGTGATAGACTACAGTAATTACCTTCGCAGCCTTTGCGTTTCTGATTGTAATCAGCTGCTGCGCGATGACAGACAACACCTCAATATCGATACGATTGAACTCATCAAAGCAACACCAGGCGCCGGATTGCGCCAGACCAGAGAAGAACCGTCCCATCATCTTGTAGTCCAGGCCGTCGGAGCAGTTGAAGACCACGCACTGCTTGGCCAGACCCTTGGCCAGATCCTTAGTGGTCTCGGTCTTGCCGGTACCCGCCGGGCCGGCCGGTGCCCCGCCTAGGTCGAGCTGGAGGGCTCCCATCAGGCATAGGTAACAACGATCCTGGAATAAAGGTTAAGGATTGACTTCAGGACATAACATGACAAATCGTGGGAGGTATCAAGAATATATTTGTCAATATCTTTGTTCAAGGGGCGCTAGTCAGAGAGGAAACGGCTTTTTATTAAACAAAGATATTGAACAAAGAATTGGGGAGCTGCCAACACAGGGCTGGATAGCTCAGTTGGTAGAGCACCGGAACGGCAATCTTGTTCAACTTTTCAAAATTATTTATAAGTAAGATTTGAGGCTTTGCATGAAACACCATGTGTGAATAATTTCTCAACTAAGAGAATGGTTCTGAAAAAAAACCAGAAGTGTAAACTCCACGTTCCGGTCAGCATGCTCTGACCATCTTCAGGAAAATTATTTGCGTTAGATCCTCGGTATAGTTTCAGTGAAAGTCATTTCTGAGGTCTTATCCAAAGAGTGAAGGCTCTCTCCTCGACTTACTGTCAGTGGCGTGATGACCAGACGTGCTGACGCTCCCAGGTACTCATAGCCGTACACGTACTGCGACGTGGACATGCGCACCACGCAGTTATCCAGCTCCAAGTCCCAGTAGTAACGCATCTGTTTCACCCACTCGAAGCTGTTGGAGGTGTCTACGCCATTCTTGACCATGCTGGTGATGATGTCACGGGCGTGGACGCTGACGGTGATCAGAGCGCACAGGATGTTGCGGACCAGTTTGGTCAGGTTGCCACGCACCATGGCTGCGAGTCGGTTCAGGCTCTGGGGGAATGAAATCATAAAAGGGTGAAGTTTGATTATGTAACGGAGGGATGTGTATTTGTTTCTTGTGCGGATGTCTGTGTGACAGGACTCTTAAAGTTGGTATATACGTGCTTTTTCAAAATTTCAATTTTCTTTTCCAAACAAAATTTAAAGGATTATAACGTCCTGCAACAAATGAGTTTGCTTTTTTATTTTTGCAGGCCTTTATACAGCTTTAAAAACTGGTTTTAAATGGCGCACTCCAGTTCAGAAATTGCGCACACTATTTAGAACGAATTAGGAGCTCTCAATTCAAAAGTTGAAATTAATTAATTGATTACTTGTTGCGGGCTGATTTTTTCGTGCCATGTCTCATTGGAAAGCTCATTACTAATGTAATACTAGAAAATTATCAATTCAATTTAAAAAACTATTTTTCAGGGTGCCACACCCAAAAAGCACGTATACGCAAACTTTAAAATTTGATTTGGGGGGGGGGGGGTCTTAATTCCGGACTTGTTAGACGAAGAACAAAAAGAGGCCTTTATTCCACCTAAAGTGACCAAGTGCCCAATTACTGGGCAAGCTATGAAATGACTTCTTTAAAAATAAGATAAACTCATATTTTTTAAAGTAATTTGATTCTTTGCATTTTTGTACATATTCAATATTAACTTAACAGTATGCGTTATTGTTAACAGAAACAAATGGTTTCTCCGGGTTTATTCTCTGAGCTTTTCCTTCCAGTGAAAAAAACCTGACACTGTTCCCCAAAGTTTAAAGGATTCCTAGCCACATTGTTCAGAAGCTTATGTTTTACTTTACACTGATAAGGGAAAAGGCAAAACTGCAATTCCTCTTAGAAGCAATGGACTGATCAGGAATTGGTCATAAGCCCCTCCCACCTGTGTACATTTCTGTGTTTGACTGAGCTACCATGGTCAGCTGACCAAAAGACCGTGACCTAATTGGTTAATGCCACTGCTTGATTGACAGACAAGAAGTTCTGTTCCTGTTAACACACCTCAAAGTTCTTGACTTCAAACTCCTTCATGGTCTCGATCCGGTCGCAGTCCCCGTCCAGAATCTCAATCACGTCCCGACACCACATGGTCTGGGCCACCGTCAGCACCACCTGGGAGGCGTGCTGGGTCACCCACTCCTCCAGGGGGCGCTGTTCAAAGTCGGACAACGCCGCTTTGGTCAGCCGGCGCAGTGAGCTGACCATGGCTTCCTCCACCTTGCCCAGCCAGTCTTCCACGTTGCCTCGGGCCTTCAGGCCCTTGCCCAGGATGACCTTCTCGTCTTCGGGGGAGATCATCGCGATGATGTCGTTGGTGGACGTCTTCACGGCCTCGGCTTCTGCATTATGCAAATATATGCAAAACTATTCATGAATATTCAGTGTGTAGAAATCTATTGATCCATCTTTTATCTATTTAAGACTCCCCTCATTAGACTTTAGGCATCTGATGTTTGTAAGATAATAATAATGGAAACTTCAGGTTAACACCTCGGATTCTTCTAAAAACTACATTTTCTACAACTTCTTCAACAAGTCAGTTTTGTCTTCTTCAAGTTTATAATGATACAGGATTTTCTCCACCCAATGAACCAATGTTGACCCAAAGTCCAAAAAAAAATGACTGGAGCTTTAAGAAGAATGACAGAAATGAAATACTTCTACATTCATGCTTAACCCTAAAAGGGCCGGGGGGGGGGCGGAATCCGCCCCCCCCCTCAACATTTTCCGCGATAGCTTCTAAAAAAATTTTTTTCGCGACCCGAGCTGTTATGACTTTTTAGCCTCGAGCTTTGCGCATCTTTTGATACCAAAAACATAAAAATCGGACCACGGGTTAGCCTGTAGCGAAAAATTTTCCGGCGCTACGCGCCGTAAAAACTGAATTTTCGCATATATGTCGTGTACACCGAGCAGAATTGCCATTCATACATATGAATAATTAATTAGCCATAACTCCAAAACCCTTTGACCTATAGTCATGAAATTTCTTGGGCATGTTTAGGAAGAGTTGCTCTATGCATGTGCTGAGTTTCAAAATTTTTCGTCGCTCGATGGCCGAGATCTTAGGGGGGGGCGGAATCCGCCCCCCCCCGGCTGAGAGATGGTCAAAATAACCCGGCCCCTTTAGGGTTAAGCATTCTTGAATATAACTACTAAAGGAATATTAGTTGACAAATCAACAGATACCACAATCCATAGAAAGAGGTGTGGCGCAAATTTCACAATGATTTATGTGGAAATTGTTTTCAGGTTAATGTGAATGTATGTGAATGTTTAAGAGGTATGTCAAACTTATTAAAGTAAATATCAGCACCAGTGTCTATAAGGCCCAAAAAAAAGTCTCCGGTTTCTGGTATGGAGCTTGCCCAAAAAGTGGTGCGGCAACGCGGCTTTTTTTTTTTTTTACCTGTTTTTTTTTTGCTTCAAATGTCGGCTGATGACTGTAAATGGTGCTCGACTAAACTTAGTGCAAATATATGGGAGTCCAGAGAGGCCACACAAAGCTTATTCTCGATCATAACCCCATCTAAAAACACGTTAAAACTGTGCAGCAGCAGGATTCCAGTCAAACCAGTGAGTTTGGCGGTTTTGAGACATCATCTTTTATTGAAAAAAAAACTTTTTCATTTTGCCGACGCACATGGCTACGGCGACGCGCGCGCATACCAGAAACCAGAGACTTTTTTTTTTGGCCTAAGATGCTAAAAAGCAAGCCAACCCTTACCCTTGTCTCCTGAGGGTGATGTTTTTCCGTCGGTAGCGCCCACCGTTCCAAACTCCAGTTTTGCGATGGCGTCAAAGCACTTCCTGAGATGAGGCTGGACGGCGTGAGGATTGCGCGTCTGTGACAAGATCTCCAGCAACTCATCATTAGACAAGAAGTAAAACCTGCCCATGGAGAGAAAAATCGTTACTGTTAAGACAGTCCACACACTCGGTAACAGGCATTCTGATTTTTTCCACTGGCATTCCTGGTTAAGACCATTAATTTCTTTATTTGGGGAGGGGGGCGTTAATTTTTTTTTTAAAGGGAATGTACAACATTTGCTTTTGCTGCAATTTTCAGAAATAAATGGATTTGGAGGATTAGCATGTTATAGCAAATATTGTTAAAATGACTTTTTTTTTCACATTTTGGGCTGGTAGCTGCTGGAAAAACCAAGAAAACCAATCACGTTCTTGCAGTCTGGTTCCCTGACCCACTCACGATGAAACAGAGCAATTTATAGACTTTGGGAAATTGTAAGGTCAGAGAATCAGTCTAGCAGGCTTGTACCCCTTCACATGTGTGTAATCAATTGCAAAGAAAATGCAGAATAACTAATTATGAAAAGTCAGAGCAGTTTGTTAAAAATAGCCAGTTTTCTTGAAAATGTCAGCACACCAGAAGCCACGATATTACAGGATGCTTTAGACTGTCATTCTCTAACAATCAAGTAAGGTATTTCGTGATAATTTGATAATTTCGTTTCGTGATGTTTACAAATGTTGTATCTTCCCTTTAAGGTGACGTAGTTTTTATGACAAATTGGAAAGTAAAACATCTGAAGAGAAATCCATGTGTTGGGTTTAAGTTCTATTTTGACTACAAGAAACTTAACAATAGAAGCGATTAGAAAAAAAAATGGAAAAGAAGTTGGAATTCTTATGGATGAGAATTGCTTACGTGAAATATTTCAGAATTCACGTGTAACCATTCGACAGTATAAGAAAAATGTTCTTTTTTTTTTTGCTGTAATCTGGTCCGTTTACAAGTACCCCCTCACCAGCAAAGAAAGTACAGTTGGGGGTGACCGACCGACACCATCTTGCCTGACTGCAATTTTGCCGTGACGTGCGGCCGTACCACTGCTTGTACATAGTACAAATCCCCTGGTGTATGTGCATCATGCACAAGGAACGCGAAAAACGGTGAGCGTCAACCAGCTACATGTCCCGCCCATGGGACATCGTTGCTAAGTAAAAGGGCGCCCTCTTTCGTTGGCCCACGGAGCCCATATGGTCCATGAGTTATTGACACCATCAGGTTGCACATGGTACTCCAGGGTACACAAAAAATTTCATGGACCACAGTTGCAAACTCACCTGGGGAAGATGCATCTCTTAGACTCCAGGTAAGCCTCCAGACATTTCTGGATCTGGTCCAACAGGGCGTTGTTATTCTTGAAGGTCTCCAGGAGGCCAGGCTGAGTGGCAGCCCGCATGGCTAGTGGGAGGCGGTTGGCCTTACGCATGATCTCCTTCCAAGACTTGTCAACCTACAGCGGGAATAGAATTGGACGTAAGCAAACGATCGCAAGGATTGGAATTGCTTACAAACACCAACTGATTATCCTCTGATCATCATCAAGCACCTGTAAGGAGATTAAACAAACTATATTGAGCATTGGTCAAATTTCATGGGTCTACTTACCAAAAGTTGGAAAATTCTTGCCATCTTGTGATTTTGTGGTAATGGTTAGCACAAATCACATGTTAGTAAAAAAAAAAGGCTTGTCCACACATGAGGATTTTGTGCTTGCATATTTAGTACTGTAAGCACAGAAAAATAAAAAAACGTAGAAATTCCCCCCAAATCAACAAAATTAGAACCTATTCTCAAGCTAGTCACCTTCCCCCTTCCCACTTTAATCCACATCATAGAGGTTTTCTCTCTTGACAAATTGGTCCAAGAGTCTACCATCCCCCACCCACACTAACCACTCCCACATCCAACCAGAGCTCAAAAGCCCCATACCTGCATGAACATCTTGGCTTCGGCCGGCAGCTGACGCTGGATATCCGGAGCACTGAAGATGCTCTCCAGGTACAGCCAGTTGCGTTGGCAGGTCAGCCACTCCTCCAGCGTCTCGCTGAAGAGGTTCAGGTTGCGCACCCACTCCTCCACCCTGGGCTTGATGGGCCCCACGTGGCGGGAGCTTGCGATGGTGGAGATGTTGACCTGGCTGTCATCCAGGAGGACCTGGATCTCGTCGGTGCCGCCCAGGATGAAGACGTCCTTGGAGTCACGGTGGGCTAAGACCACAAACTCTGTGGTCTTCCAGGCATCTTCAACCTGCACAAATTGGGTCCAGAGGTACATGACATTTAAGCAAATATTTCATATCCCCGGCAAGGTAAACGATTTAGGGCAAGATCCCTCAAACAAATTTTGAGATTATCAAATCTGACTTTAGAATCTGAAACTAAATATGTTACATGTTCTGTCAAAACCAGATGCATTCGGGCACAGCTTGAAATAGGGATATGTCCACAGAGTTGCTGTGATGTGAAGCTATTCTTTCGACAATTTTCTTGTTTTTGCCACTTTGTAATCCTACATGTGTCTGTAGTATACTGGAAAAGTTGAAGAGCATAATTGTTCCTCTGAAGGAACTTTTTGATTATCTAAAGAGGCGTGTCAGTTCAGGAAATGCACAACTCAAAAAAGTTTGCAGGTCACTTCTCCGTTTTCTTTTGTGACAACAAGAACTTCAAATGAGCATAATCTTAATACGGAAAAAAACTGTTTTTAACACTTGTTCAAAAGCTGCACAGAAGAGTTTGATTTCGACAGAACATTTCACATTTTTCAATAGTTAAGAAATCTTTGGCAAAACAAGAAGTTGAACATTTTTTTTCTTTCAACATTGTTTCTTCAGGATGTTGAATGCAACCCATCCAAGGAAAAAAACCTTGAAGGTCATCATTAAGGGGCTGTTATGGTTATTCACGGATATCCATATTGGAATAGTTAAGGTTCAGTTAAATTTTCTTTTACAGTGATGTACCTTTTTGAGGAGGGTTTCCAGTGCAGCCTCGCTAGACGCTTGGCCCGATACCTCCTCAATCTCTTCAGTATGGCTGAAGGCATCCAAGTTGGTCAGGAGACCCAGGGAGATGGGTTCCTCCGACTTGAGGAGATTGAAGTCTAAGATGTTCTCGATGGCTTCCCAGTGACGCTGCTTCAGGGAGGGGTTGCGCAGGTTGGTGATCACTGGCAACTGTAAGAACAAAAAGGCAACAACTGTTGAAATATTGGTTCCGTTGGTAATTAAACCCAACTTCTTCAAAATATACAGGCACTGTAGCTTGGAAGCCTGAAGAAACTTAGAGGGAGGAGAAATGTCAGGGAAACCAAATAGAACAGGTAGGGACTGAAAACCCAATCTAGATTCTGGATGGGATTCGAACCCAGGTCACAGAGGTGGAAGGTGAGAAAAATATTCCTGCGCCAACATGACCCCCTTGAACTACTAAGCAAGTTGCTTGGATGCAGTTTTGTGTCAGAGATATGAGGACTTTCGTCCTTTCGCAGAGATAAGCAGGAGGTTGTGGGTTCATGTCTTATTTGAGTTAGCTTGTGAAGTTTCTTCTCACAAGCTTTTACGAAAGGCTAGAGTACGTATACAGTGCTTAGTACTATTGACCTATCGCCATTTGTGAGTTAGCCACGCCCCTTAGACAACCCTTTGGAATTTTTGTACACCAAGTTTTGTTTGTCTCAGATGTTGCGCGTTCCCCGTCCATTTGTATATCATGTAAATTGGACAATATTTCACAACCTACGTTGACGCGATTCTACCACGATAGGTCAATTATGTCTGGAAAGGACAAGCCATTTTTCAGTTTCAGTCCATTATGAATCTAAGAAGAGATCAATTATTTACGAATCCATAACTTGCCTTGTAGTAAACTCAGGGCCATATTTGTTGGAGCTGCTCAGCAAAGAAAGTTTGCTAAGCACGGAAATGATTTGCTTAGCAAAAATGGGTTACCAGCCTAAAAGGCATGCAACATATATACCCTGTGACTGGTTCCCTGCTGATTTTGGCTAAGCAGATAAATTTGGTAAGCAATAATATCTTAGGCCACATCTGAAATATTTGGCTATGGTTAGCAATTACACACATGTCTATGGGAAGTGGGTTCAGCCACTCCCATAGGCACATGTGTAATTGTTAGCCGTTGCCACATATTGGGACACAGTCTTACCTTCTCTCTCATTCCTTCTACTCTCTCCTTCAGTTTAGGAACCACGTGATTGGGCGGTAGTCCCTTCTCCAGCTGATGCACGGACTTGGCGTAGCGTGCCACAGTACCCGACAACTCCTCAGGATCCAGATTGTCAAATTCACACTGTGAGTATTAAACCAAAAACAAAACGGCTCCATCAGAAACACTCAAACAACTGTAACTTTCTGTCTTTCACAAGATGATAACCATAACATTGTTTCAAAATCTCAGTGATACAAACTAGTTAATACTAGTATGTATTAATTTCTTTTTGCACCAGACATCGTTTGACCAAATAGACGGTTTTAGTTTAGCGTTTTTTGTCAACAAAGCTTCAGAGTACAGGTGCATGTTCAGCACCACACTTGATATTTCTCAAAATCATGAAATGCAAGTGACGATTGTTCAAATCTGTTTGAATGAAAATTTATTATTGCTTTTATTTCCTAAGCATTTTTGGTACAAACCTCTGTCCACTGTACAGCAATTTTGTCCCATTCCTCCAGTGACTCCCACAGTAGCTGTTTCAGTTTCAACTCAGCGTGGGTTTCCTCCAACTCTTCATACTTGAACACTTCCACCTAAAGTTTAAATTGCAAAAAAAGTGTAAAAAAAACCCCACATGTTAAATATGTACTGGTCTCTGTAAGGCCAAAAAAAAAAAATATTCGGTCTCTGGTCAGACCAAAGTTCCGGAATTGACGCGGCCACGCGGCTGTTTTTTTTTTTTTTTGCTTTTTTTTTTTTTCTTCAAGCTTGGATTGTACAGACAAGGTGGGGTACTATTTTGCTTTTTTGGTGTCCTCATGTACATTGGTGTCCTCCATAATTTGCCTTGGTGCTTTCAATCATTTGCCTTGGTGCAATTTCCCATTCCTTGGTGCTCTTTGGTAAAAAAAATTGAGAAGGTGCGGAAATAGAGGGCGCTGTTGGAGCTACCGCAGAACATTTTTGAAAAAAAAAAGATCGACGCGCATGATTAAAATCGACGCGCGCGCTGACCAGAGACCGACTTATTTTTTTTGTTGGCCTAATCAGTGCAAATTAATGGCAACAAACGCTTCTCAAAATAAAAACCCAAAACAGTTAAGCCCCCAATGACAAATTATTGAAAAGTTGAAAGTGAAGATTATCTGTGGTAAAACTTGGAGCCTTTTAAAAATTTCATTTGCAACTAAAACATTTAAAAATTCTGAAGCAAATTTTTAAACAAATTTTAATGTTGCTTTATTGTTTACTTAAAAGAAAAAATATGTATTCTTTATGTGTGTTTTTACATTGCTATTTTATTTGACATTTGATATTCATTTGTTCTTATTTGGTAGCTATTAATTCATGATGAATCATTATTGCATGAAGTAATTCAAATGTTTTGTTATATTTGTACTGTATTGTAAATCGTTCACAATTCAGCCCTTGGGCTGTGATGAATAGACAATAAAATCCTTGAATTGAATTAAATTGATGAGTAAATTACTTGAATGGGCTCTTTCCCCTTTACAAATCTTTTAAAATAGAAAAGGACTCTACCTTAAAGTTCTTCTGGTAGGACTTGTACAAGAACGCAGTCTTCTGGAGCATTTCGAGTCTGCCTCCTAGCTTGTTGAGTAGAGCCATGACCTTGGGTTGCTCAGCGTTGGAATCTAAGATCATTGGGTTCTGGTAAAGAAAAAAATGACAAGTACATTAGGACTATTTGCAATAAGTGCGGTGGCGTGGCGTGGTCTGCAGAATTGAACTCAAAATCGTTTAACAGTATTTCTAGGGATTAAGGGTTCGCGTCCAGCCTGTGGGGTTGAGGTGTATGTGTCCTCTGGCAGGACACTTTACTCTGAAGAAAGCTGCTTGTACCCACTCAGGAGTACAGGGGTACCTGAATAAGAGCAGAGACTAGCAGGAACATGATTTTCATGATGACCTCTCCGTTTTCGAAATATTTAGTATTTGATTATTCAAAACTGCACTTGACCAAATATTTGAATATTCAAAACTTGTCGATCAAGTCTTACACATGTCATCTAAAGCTGCCTTCCTCGCTGGTCAAAAGTAGCATACAAAGCGCGCCGGTTACAAATTGTATGCGAAGATGGCTATTATGGGACCAATAAATAGGTGTGGACAAGAAACTTAACGTCGACAAAAAGTATCATCTGACAACAAAATCACAAATTTACGATTAAAATGACACAACAGTCAAGTGCGCATGTGCACAATTTTCTATTTCCGAATATTCAAACTGGCAAAAGTTATTCCAATATTCAGTTAAAGATTGAATATTTGAATATTCGGGACAGCACTAATGACCTGCGATATGGGTCTCTTAATTCAAATATTTCCAGGGCACACTTTTCACATCTCAGGCCTAACATGTTACAGTGAAGGTAAAATCATCTTATTCCCCCCAAAAAACCAACGAAATATCAGAAGCTTTGAGGGTATTGCCTGAGCCTGATTTTATGAAGCTGCTGAAGAAAATATTGCTTGGCAAATTTATGAGCTAAGGAGAAATCTGCTGAGAACCAGTTACAGGTTGTATACACCACATGGTATCTTGGCTGGTAACCTGCTTCGGCTTAGCAAATATTGTTTATGCTTAGCAAATTTGAGTGCTGTCCTTGTTATGCGTGGTCATTTCCACTCCACACTTGAATATCTAGCTCTGTAAGAATAAATTCTAAGCATGTAAAACCTGCTTACCTCCTACCACAATTACTGTAATATAACTGCTTACCAACCACCCAATAGTGCTTACCTGTGATTCCTGCTTGATACTCTTGACATCCTTATTCAGCTCCGCAATGTCCTTGTCAAGATGGTTGCAGAATTTGTCCACATTGGCGTCGCGTTCACCCACGGCCTTGTCAATGGCGTTGCGTACGGCAGTGACCGACGGAGCCAGGGTTTGGTAGACGGCGAAGTCCTCTGGTGGGGTAGGGACGTGGTACTGATCCACGAGGTCATACATGTCCTTGATGATGATGGCTTCGGCCTCCAAGGGATCAATCTAGGGTAGGGAAAGAAATGGGACTTGGTTTGAGATACCGAGGCTGCAAAGATATGGCTATGGCTGGCAGTAGCACTGTATCTATGGGAAATGGCTTAAGCCGCTTCCATAGGCGCGTGTGTAATCGCAAGCCGTAGCCCCATAATTCTGACACGGCTTAAAAGTCTGTTTGTGCGGTGGACAGAGTGGTGTCAAATATTGTCTAGTGACCCACACTTCAAATCAGGACACCAAAATCACCACCTTTCACACGGGTCGTTCTTAATATTTGGGGTCCAAAGTGTGCCATTTTTCCTGTCCCTGTTACCTTGGTACTTTGTAATTTGCCATTCAAATATCATCAAGAATGACTTCAAATGTTTTTTTATTATTTGTTGGTAGTTTGCTTTTCACAATCACTCTTGGAGGACGACTGTATTAAGAAGTGCCCAGAATTACATAATCATAGATGTCAGATGTATTAACGGGGACAAGAAAATAAGTGGATCCCAAATTTTATAGAATGACCATAAATCTTTAAAAAAATTGCTGAACAGGTGTGACATTTCCAGAAGTCTGAATGTAAATGTAAAAAAAAAAATGGGATGAGATTAAATTGGAGGGGAGGGGTTGGTAGTCAGCTGATGAGGCACATGACCACCGATGGCACCTAACTTACCCTTTCTTGTATCTCATCCAGGAAGGTCAGAGCTTCCACAAACTCGTTGGTGGTGCTGGGGATGATCTCCAGCTTGTACTGGGCGTCTTGGGCCTCCGCAATCAACTTATCAACACGTCGCTTGGATAGCTTAGGCAGGATGTCGTTGATGACCTGAGAAAAAAATGGTCCGTAAACAAATTGATGCAAAATTCCATTGTTGCTTCACCAGCAGAGACTTGAAAAACATATAAGTTGCTTTGTACATCTTTCCATCTTTTCTGGTGTTGTTATCAGTACTCACATCAAGACATCTGAGCGGTGACGGGATGAGCTTATTTCTCATCTTCACCGCGTCCACCATCAACATCCCGATGGGTCGTCTCAGGACGATGGCCTCAACCCCGGCATGCTGTCTGTTGTATCGCTCCAGGGCCTCTGAGAAAAACTCCACATCTGACGACAAAGGTAAGTAACAATTTCGTGAACTTTTTTTCAAAAAAAAAAATTGCCAAAGTGAATTTTGAACCTGCAACATATGGAATACCACACCAAAGCTTTACCAACTGAGATGTGTGGTTACATATTGGCTGCTTTTATATTTTTTAATATTATCAATGAAATAATAAGTTCTAAAATTCTATAATCTTGCTACTAGCAATGGTGTGTAAAATCGCAGATGGTTTTTGATTTCATAGCATGAAATTGTTCAAATTAGTCAGGATGGAGCACATAAGGAGTATATTAAACAGGGCTCAAGGTTTGTATTCAAAATACTTTAGAGAGTAACTGCAGAAAATATTTTGTGTAAAGCTGACGGAAAAAAATAACAGAAAAATAGGGGATTTGAAATTGGGACCTCCAGAGTAACAGTGCTCCACTGACTACTCAAAAAAAATATTGTCAAATGACACAAATATGTGATGTGATCAAGCTAAATGAGTCGTGTGTCTGGAATTTTCATATGGAGATACAGGCCAAAATAGGGCCACTTCATCACATCACTTCATCACATCTCTTGGTGTTCCAACTTCCATAATTTTTGACCTAAAAATGGTGTCAGCATGCGGTTTTCACAGCAGAAATGCTGAGATTGTGCTCGTTTCAAATCTGTAATATACTTTTTTTGACCAGGGTCGACAAACAACTCATTTAGCTTGATCGCATCACATATATTTAGTTTCCAACAGGCAAATTGTATGTATTATTTTTGCTTTACAGGACTCTGGATTCATTTTGGATGGCTGTAGCAGTTGATCTTCCACGGTCTTGTGGCTGATTTTGGACGGCAGGGTTTTTCACGGGTCAGTAACAGTTCCGCTTACCGTGTTCCTGTTCCCTCATGGCCTCCACGTCCAAGCTCTCATTCTCACGGTAGAACTCTCTGAAGGGCTCAAAGGTGTCTGCGTACTGGTTGGCCGCATCAAAGGCTTTCGTGATGCAGTCCTGTAAAAAAAAAACAGAAGAGAATATTATACATATAATGGATGATTAGGCCAAAAAAAAAGTCTCCGGTTTTGGTATGGAGCTTGCCCAAAAAGTGGTGCGGCGACGCGGCTTTTTTTTTTTTTTACCTTTTTTTTTGCTTCAAATGTCGGCTGATGACTGCAACTGGTGCCCGACTAAACTTAGTGCAAATATATGGGAGTCCAGAGAGGCCACATAAAGCTTATTCCGGGATCATAACCCCATATTAAAACACGTTAAAATTGTGCAGCAGCAGGATTCCAGTCAAACCAGTGAGTTTGGTGGGTTTGAGACATCATCTTTCATTGAAAATTTTTTTTAAATTTTGCCGACGCGCAAAACCGGAGACTTTTTTTTTTGGCCTTATGATATCACCGACTGAATTTATTCTTTCCATTTGCACGAATGTGAAAAATTCATGATTTGCTTTATACAACACCTGAATAAATCCTTGTCATTTGATTGGTCAAATCCACGAATCATGTGACCGTGCAATGGCACTTCTATGTACCGTGGAATAGAACTTCTATTTTGGCGGTGCAGCCGGGACGTGCGTTGGGATGAATACTAAAGACTCACCAATCAGTTGAAGGAGATTTATTCAGGTGTTGTATAAATGATAATATGATTTAATATTTAAGGCAGTTACTATTGATTTTTGATTATTGATTACTATTGACATTTTGAGAGTTCACATCAAAATTTAAAATTTTTTAGTCATATCTTGGAAAATTGGTAATACTAAAATAAGATGAAGAAAACAAAAAAAACGACATGTTCTGGGTTGCCTGATATGTAACACTCAGAAAATATTCTGGCACCATGCCTTCACGCAGATAATGATCAATGCTGGAGGGGGAATTCGTAAAGATCGAAGTAGATAAGTCTACTTTAAACTCCATTTGTACAGAGATATCATCAACAATTATACTAATGGTGTTAAAGAGGGACAACCAAATTCTAATACACTATGCTTTTAGGGTTTGCGATTAAATTGATTCTTTCAAAATGCACCTGTGACCCAGTTTATAATGGCATTGCATGAAACAGCATTCATGGCTATAGGATCACTTGCTTCCACTAATAACATCACTCAAAATCCAAAGAACAATGTTCAAAACCTAATCTGTTGAAGTTTCAGCTCTGTGGATATTGCACTTTTCAAGAAAACAGTGAAAAACCATTTGACTATAAAACACAATTTCTTCTATAGAACTCTTTATTTACAAAAATCAGTCAATTGACTGATCGTTGGAAATAACGAACATTACTTGATTTCTTCTTAAGGATGGCAAGTCAGACAGAATAATTTACCGGGGTGTTTAGTACCAGTGCGATCTTCAACCAAGTATAGCTTTTTGATAATAATTTGGTAGGTTATTTGTGATGCGATCAAGCTACATGAGTCGTTTGTCGGGAATTTCCATTTGGAGATACAGGCCAAAATAGGGCCACTTCATCACATCACTTCATCACATCTCTTGGTGTTCCGACTTCCATAATTTTTAAACTAAAGTAAGTATCAGCATGTGGTTTTCACAGAAGAAATGCTGAGATTGTGTTCTTTTCAAATCTGTAATAAATTTTTTTTTACCGAAGTCGACAAACGACTCATTTAGCTTGATCACATCACATTTTTGGGATAAATGCTTTAACCCTAACCCACCTCACTCCTCCAAAATCCTCCTGGCGGTTTTGGAGGATTCTAGAGGATTGAGGATGAATGGTGATTGAATCAAATGAGGATTCTGGAGGATTGAGGATGAATGGTGATTGAAGCACATGAGGATTTTGGAGGATTGAGGATGAATGGTGAATGAAGCACAAGAGGATTTTGGAGGATTGAGGATGAATGCATTTTGAGGCAGGACTGTCTGATGATTTTGAAGGATTTGGCGTTGGTTATCCTTCATTTAAACACGAGTGCAAAGTTTTGGGATGAGGAGGATTTTGGAGGATTGAGGATGAATGCATTTTGAGGCAGGACTGTCTGACAATTTTGAAAAATTTAGGCGGAGTTGAAAAATTTTGGAGGATTTTGGAGGATTGAGGATGGTTGTAAGCAACAAGGGCCTAGGGGGTTAGGGTTAAGACAATTATTTGTTTAGGTAAATAGTTTCATAACTGACCTTGAGACTCTGTATGACGCCGTGTAGATGCTTGTCGTCTTCAAACATGGCTGTCAGACTGGGTCCATCTCCCGCTGTCTTCTCCTCAAACTTGCCATTGATAATCGGTCTGGTAGAGAAAAATACAAGTCCTTGTAGCCAGCTATCACAAACTTTGTTTATTTTACTTGTATTTCTGATAGGAGCGTATCGTAAGAGCTTTAAATACCAAAAGGTTTTGTTATTGAGTTTCATATATATTTCGAATTGTTTTGCTTTTCACACTGTTTTGGATTCTTGGATTTTAAAAATTGTTTCGGGTTTTTGTTTTTCCTGAAAAAGAAACTTGGACAAAATATTTTTTAAAAGTGGACACATTTTCAAACTTGAAAAGACAAAGACTTTTGAAAGAAATCTGTATCAGGGAGAAACCAATTTTAATAAAGAGTTTTACCCTTCACAGATATACTTTTTATAAGCACTTTTTGTAAGCGCCATGGGCTAAGTGCTAAGCAAGTGCTTTCCACATTGGAGAAGAGCCAAAAAATAAAAAAAGGATTACAGTTCTTTGGCTTGATAAATATAAAAATTAACTGAACCCTTTCATTACCACATTGTTTATTGACTTGGCTCTCCCCAGGACTAAATTGTTTGCTTAGTCATGCGGAAATCACTAGAGCGTGAAAAAAAGACCACAAATTGAAAACTCACTTTTTTCAACCCAGATTTTCACTGCCAAGGAGTGATTCAAATCATAGGTGTTGTGTGTAAAGTTTGTTCCTTGAACCTTACTCTTTTATGTGATGTAAAAATGAAGTCCATATGTGCAAATATAAGAAAGTTATACTTTTTTGTTCATCTGGTCCCAATTATCATACTTCTGAAGTGGATACTTCTGAAGCTCTTTTCTCAATTTTTAGTAATGGTAGCACTATGAATAAACTACACCATTAGAACGATCCAAAAACACTCTTTTAGCTGGTATATAGTTGATGTATGGGCGGCCAAACATATCAACATGCCTCCTTTCTGAAAAGTAGTGAATATATCTGTGTTGAGGGTGTTCTGTGTGTGGTTTCCTGGTCGACTAAAGTCACCCATGGGAATCAGCAGGGGGGTAGTTCTTGTCAACAAAAGTCGCCCATGGTAAGGAAAGGGCTCACCTGATCCAACGTTTGCTCAACTCGTCATCAGACCTACCTGGTGAACGCATCAAAGTAGTTGTCAGGCACCAAGTTGATGACACCTAACACACAGTTCTGGAACTCAGTGATGACCTCAGCTATTCCATCCTGATACTCGTCCAGGTCCGGAGCGAAGAGGATCTGAATGGGCTCCAGGATAAACTCCGTCAGGAAGAGGGGCGTCAGGGAGTGGTCGATGGTGTCCTCCTGGAAGCCTAAGGTGTTGGTGCCGGCTAAGGAGGCGGCGGTTAGGTCAGAGGTACCCTGTTGGAGAAAGGTGCAGACCATGAACTTGGATGAATCGGGTGAGATTGGTGGAAAATGAAAAAAAAAAAACGAAAAAATCGGCAGAGAGTTTGAGGGTCTCCGAGGGCCCAGAGCAATGTAGGGGCTACGGCATTTGTTGGTATTTGTTTATAGACACCCCTTTACAATAAGCATTTCATTTATAAGATGGGATTTTGCGTCGGGGTGATATAAATCAAATTAGGTTTTGCCCTTCACCAACGTTTTTTAAACACTGTATACTCAGTGTGCTACCTCCCGAGTGAAAGTTGGAAAAAAATCACTCGGGTGGGTCTCGAACCCACGACCTCCTGCTTTCTAGTGCAGATGTCTCACCACTCGACCACCGAGCTATCGGGATCGGTTGGCCGGTTCGAATCTGATGTACATAGCAGCGGGTACCGCATAAACTATTATAAGATGGGATTTTGCGTCGGGGTGATATAAATCAAATTAGGTTTTGCCCTTCACCGACGTTTTTCAAAAGCATTTCATTTGTTCTAGATTTCCTTTCATGAGTTAAAAAACCTATACGGTTAAACCTCATGAATTCCAGAATTCAAAGGGAAATCTAAAAAATCTGAAATTTAGAAAAAATCCTGACACAAAAAATTGGAAAATCAGGAAAAATCCTGACAAAAAATCCTGAAATCGGCAAAAATCCAGAAAAAAAATCACGAAATCAGGAAAAATCATGTCAATAAATCCTAAAATTGGGAAAAGTCCTGAGAAAAAAAATCACAAAATCAGGAAAAATCCTGACAAAAAATCCTGAAATCATGAAGAATCCAGACAAAAAGTCTTGAGAAAAAAAATCACAAAATCAGGAATAATTCTGACAAAAAATCCTGAAATCAGTAAAATCCTGACAATTTGCCATTCTCTCCTAACATTAGTCAATGAGAAGAAAGGGTACGCCTACATGTATATATATGTGAACTGTCTACTACCCCCCCCAAACAAAATACATAAATGCCCCGAAAGACTGACCCCCCTGATATTTGAGGGCAAACACAACAATTTTTTGTTTTTGGCCTAATGGATAAGTCTATCTGGTCGGTGAAGGGCAAAACCTAATTTGATTTATATCACCCCAGCGCAAAAATTCCATCTAATAATAGTTTATGCGGTACCCGCTGCTATGTACATCAGATTCAAACCGGCCAACCGATCCCGTTAGCTCGGTGGTCGAGTGGTAAGACGTCTGCACTAGAAAGCAGGAGGTTGTGGGTTCGAGTCCCACCCGAGTGTTTTTTTTCCAACTTTCACTCGGGAGGCAACACACTAAGTATACAGTGTTAAAAACGTCGGTGAAGGGCAAAACCTAATTTGATTTCTATCTGGTTCATTAGTAAAAACGCCATACACAGGCGCGCACCACAGATTTCTAGCGCCCATTGGATAAATGCTTGAGGTGCGTTAACTTCCGGTTCCATTCATGCTATGCTACACCATGTGAAGTACGCATGGTTGAATTGAGATGACATCACACTAACACACCAGATTCACAAGCTATTCAAACTTAGCATTCTCTCTGTTATTGTTCATCCCTTTTACTTGCAACTGGACATGTGGCCGGACGCAACGGAGAACCAGTCACTTGCAATATACACTGCATGATAATTTGGCTGGTAACCCGTTTTTGCTAAGCAAATATTTTTTTCGTGCTTAGCGTTTACCTTGTCTTCAGGCTCCTCTGCTTTCTCCTCCTTGCCTTGTATCTGGGCTAGGGAGGGCGTATTCTGCAGCTGTTCCTTCAGGTAGTTCAGCAAGGTGGTGACCGAGTTGACTGCCAACACGTGCATGGTGTTGACTATCAGGTAGTCGGCCAGCCGAATGAAACTGAGCAAAAAAAGACAAATTGCCTTAGAGGAGCAGAAATACTGGCATCCTCAAAAAAAATTCAAAAAACAAAAAAATGCAACAAAAAACCTCGGCCAATGCACGGTGAGGCGTGATTGTATTAGTGTTTCTTGTCATTTTCCTGCATTATAGTAAATTGTCCTTCTTTGTTTGCATGTAGTATCACATACACATAATGCATTCAGAAATCTCTTTGAGCCGTGCGTTTCCAAAAAGAGGACACTGCAGAGTCCCAGTGCATCACGAATACAGCTATGTTTATAAATCAATGTTGACTTTTGCCAAGACACATGTCTATAAAAACAGTGTAAGAGTGAATTGAATGCGTTGTCTAACTGTGTTAGACTCGCAGTGAAGGGCAATTCTAGCGTTATGAAAGGAAGTATAATGTCCGTGACAGAGCCAAATAACGCAACATCTTATCAAAGACTCAGGGAAACAAACCAAAACCCCTAGTCTGTAGTCTCCTTGACCATTACTAAATGATGGATGCATAAGAATGGAAAAATACGTTTTCAGGTTTCTTCACTAAGCTCTGTCACCGACATTACATAATGCTGAATTGCCCCGAACCGGTGTTGATTTCAACACGGGCAGGTGCAACGACAGTGTGCAAAGGCCCCTACTTACCATGTCAGTCGTCTACAGTGACTGCGTTTATTAGCTTGCTCTGTGTAGGTCATCTTATCCGGTGCGTCTCCATAGATGTCCATGTCAAAGTTGCTCTGCATTAGGTAACTGGATGCTGCCGTGCCTGGTGGGCCTCCTTCCTCTAAAAATCACAACAACAAAAAATGGGAAATTTAATCCCGGTCAGATAAGGCTATCTGAGAATAGTGCGATGGCATTTCTTGGGGTGTGAGCTGCTACGCAACAGTCTTGGGACTAGACGGAAGTTTTTTTTTTTAATTTTCACTTTTTTCCACGGCGAAATCTGCTGTAGGTTTTGACATTTTCACCATCAGAAATATCTGGTGTCATTATATTTGTTTCCATTTCAAAAGAGTAGCCATTTTGAGGTTAAAAAGCTGGTCTTAAAAAAAAATGATGGCAATTCTGAGAAAAGCAGCATCCGCCATCTTGGATCCATCTTTGGGGGAAAAAAAGTGCCCACGTCCTCCTTTTTTCAACAATTTGGACAGGAAACTAGTTTTTTTTTTTGACATTCAATGTTGGAGCTATACATTGCTTGGGCTTGTGCATCTGTCTGTCCACTAGTGAGTCTGTTTGTTTGTTTGTTCATTTACCTCCTCCAGGACTCTCAGCATCCAGGAAGTAGTCATCCGGAGTGAAGCCGGCTTCAAGCAGGGCAGTGCGGCAGGCGCTACGGACGACCTCTTTCACTAACTCACGGAATTCTGCCAACCGGCCAGCAACCTGAAAAAAAATCATTTCAGCATGTAATTTAAAAAATGTATTCTTGTCAACAATGTTTGCACGATCCACATCTGCACTAGTCAGCAGAAGGTCGTGGGTTCAAATGTCAGTGTTAACTTAGGACAGTGTTAAAAAAAATACACTTCATCATATTCCATCTCACTGCCACATCACTCAAATGAAAGGCCTTGTTGTCCCCTTTAATTTGACACCAGATTTGAGGTTGTGATGCTTGCAGTTTTGAAGATATCATATTTTCCATTTTTTTTTTCAGCCATGGCCAATTTCTCACAGAATTGCCCAAGTAATGCAAATGTACGTATACGTACTCGGAAGGTAGAAAGCTGTGTAATATCCACTTCATGTTTGTGACAATTAAGTTTGTTTTTCAAGGGGCAAGGTAGAAAGCCATGCAATGTCCACTTCATGTTTGTGACAAGTTTGTTTTTCAAAGGGGCAAGGTAGAAAATCTATTGAGAATTAATTGGGAAAAAATCTTGTTATTTTCCCTCGAGTGATTATTAGCCGCACATATCTTACCTCGTGATTGTTTAATAAACAATCATAAAATCTCTACAGGGATATATTTCGGCAACTCACGTTATAGTAACTCACATTACAGTTTGCCTATCTTTGGTACAAGTTGAAACATATAAGAAGCAAATAATAAACAAAATCTCAGATTCCCATAAAATGTGAACCTTTCTCTCTGCCTCAAAAAAAAAAAAAAAAAAAATTCACAATAAGGCCAAAAAAAAAAAAAGTCGGTCTCTGGTCAGCGCGCACGTCGATTTTAATCATGCGCGTCGATCTTTTTTTTTCCAAAATGTTCCGCGGTAGCTCCAACAGCGCCCTCTATTTCCGCACCTCCTCAATTTCTTTTTACCAAAGAGCACCAAGGAATGGGAAATTGCACCAAGGCAAATGATCGAAAGCACCAAGGCAAATTATGGAGGACACCAATGTACATGAGGACACCAAAAAAGCAAAATAGTACCCACCTTGTCTGTACAATCCAAGCTTGAAGAAAAGAAAAAAAAAAAAAAAAAAAAAAAAGCCGCTTGGCCGCGTCAATTCCGGAACTTTGGTCTGACCAGAGACCGACTATTTTTTTTGTTTGGCCTAACACTTGTATTTTGCATGTAAACACAAGGTGCAAAAATTACTCCCAAAAATTCATAATTTTAGCAACCAACACCCCCCCCCCTAAAAAAAAAACCAGCAGTTTTCTGGGCAATAAATACTCTTAACCAGTTTTGAAGACACACACGTATCCCTGTATAAATTTTCCATTTTTTTTTCAGCCTTGTCCAATTTCTCATGGAATTGCCCAAGTAATGCAAATGTACGTATATATACTCAAAAGGTAGAAAGCTATGTAATATCTCCTTCATGTTTGTGACAAGTTTGTTTTTCAAAGGGGCAAGGTAGAAAGCCATGCAATGTCCACTTCATGTTTGTGACAAGGTTGTTTTTCAAGGGGCAAGGTAGAATCAATTGGAAAAAAATCTTGTTATTTTCCCTCGAGTGATTATTAGCCGCGCATGTCTTACCTCGTTAAGCTGTGCAAACTGTGCTATAGTGAAGTCGGCCAGCGTGTACGTGTTTCCCTTCTCTACCTTACACAGACCCATGTCGCTGATGCGGTAGCACATCTCACGCACATTCAGGAGAGCTGGTCGCAAAGACTGCAAAAAATATTAACAAAAAAAAAATTCAAGACTAAGGGTTTAATGATTTCCTCAAAACATTGGAAATATAAAGTTATGTAGAATTAATGTATCATATAAATCAGCAAGAAGGATGTAGCAAGTGTGGAAGGTTTCAAACGGGAAAGTTAGATGGGAGAACAAAAAAAAATTTTAAAAAATTGTCCATTTGGTTTACATCTGATGAAAAAGCCACTGACGATAAACTCAGCAAATATCATTTGTTTGATAATTTAAATGTACCCATATACACAAATGGAGTTTAAATTTTAATGAAAGACCAAACATGTTTTTTTTATGCAGTGTTTCAAATTTCTTGATATCAATCAAATGCATTTTCAAAATTAACACACAGGAACTAAACAAGTGTCAACGACTGATCCGGTGTCAATCACTTTTTCCAATAATATAAGTGAACCAAGTATCAAACCTAAGACTTTCTGCAAGAGTTTACAAGTTATCTCAAAAATAAAATAAAACAAGTTTTTCAGGAATCTGCAAATGATGCTTTGAAAGTAATCTGCTTTCAACTTTTCTAATTTCTCATTTCTCAATTTCTCAAGGCGAAACTAAGGAAAACTGTTCTAGACAAATGAGTCATCGCTTACCGGGTTCACAATGAACAGATTCTCCTGCAGTTGCTTCTTACAGTTTGCGATCTTGCGCGAACAGACGTTCTTGCGCCACGTGGTGAAGGCCTTCCACTTGCGGAAGAGGGCAAATGTCGGGATCTTGACGAGGCGCGTGTAGAACATGTACTCCTGCTCCCATCGGTCCAAGTCAGTGAAGACGGTCTCGTTGGGCTGCATGTGGGTGACGCCTTTACGACTGATGGTGTAGTAATCGCTGTGGTTGATGCCGTTGTGGTCGACAATTCTGTGAGGCAACACCAATGGAAAAGTAAATATGGAATGCAATCTCTGGGGAGATGAAACCCCCCCCCCCCCCCTTAGACAAACGAAATATAGCTGATTTAACGTACATCCTGAAACATTCATTTTCATCCAATGCTTTGACATCTTAATGCATGTTGATAGCCCTTGAAAGAGAACTTATGACATTGTTATAAGTATTATTCAAAATTGAGATTTGCTATTTTTGGCAAGCCATATTCTTGCAGCTTCCTAATAAGACAGTGTTCAAGATGCTGTATTATTTTTTCTCATTATTAGCTCTATGTTTTTCCGATCAATAAATGATCAAGCCAAGAGAATTGGTTCAGTACTGCAAGGTTCTTAACCCTTTAGCACTTGTATAAAATTGTATTACATTACATTTTCTCCTCCATATATCAATAAAACCATAGATTGCTGGGGTTGTATGAGGAGCAGCAGGCAGGGCGGTTTGGGCGGTATGAGGGCTAAGAGGTGAGAAGAAAACTTGCCGACTGAAAAAACTATAAACTACAAATATTTCACGTAAGCATAAACTGACTTTCCATTATTTGCTTTCAATTTTTTTTTGAACTTCACCTAAGTTTTGCTGTTTCCAACCAATATGAAATTTCATACTGTTGTCAATAAGGCCATTTCAGCACAATTTTTCAAGCAATTATATATTAGTACTAAACTGTCAAACTGTTGGGAAACTATTTCAACTTTATTATAAAAAAAGTTCTGACTTTGGAACTTCAACCTCTTTCGGATCATTGTAATTTTTCAATATGCCGAATTTTACCCACCTTTTCTATCTGTAATTAGGCTTTCCTAAAACCTATCTATTTAGCATTTCAGATACTTACTTGAGATTGTATGGATGGTACAACACAGAGGCCTTGGGCACGGCAGGGGACATGTACAGAAATCCTAGTTTAGGCTTCTCCCTCATGATACGAATGATCTCACTGATGTCACGGACTCCCTCCAACTCTTCCGGACCCTGTTGGACCGGTATGTTGACCGTGGCGCCCCGGGTGTGCCCCGGACGGGGGCTAGGGGGCTTGGGTTCCTTGGGTGGGGTCGGGGACCGTAGTGCACCTCCCACAAAGGAATTCTGCAAATAAATCAGCATTCATGAATTTTTGGGGGCTTGAAAACTTCAAAATTATTTTCTTTTTAAAAACTATTAAAAACACCTATTAACTCCACAAAATGCATGAAGAACCCCAACAAAAAATCTAAATTTTCTCAGTATTGCTCAACACAAACCTTACGCTTCAGCCAACTAATTTGCCATCCTTGTCAGATTTTTGTTAGTAAATATCGTAGAAAAGTGACTAAAAAATGTCGGCCAATAGCCACGTTTTCAATATTACTTTAAATTATGGTTATGGGAATCTCAACACTGTGTATGAGAGTCCCAATATTGAAGGTAGTGAAAATATGCTATACATGAAAATAGACTGGCACAGGAAACCACCAGTCCAACACCCCTTTAGTACTGCATCAACCATTTCAAAAGAAACATCTGGTACCTAGTCTCTATTTCTACACATTCTCTCCTTAGTCATCAGGTCATGCCACCAGACTACTGAAGGGTCAATCTTTTCAAAAAGTTGGACATGTACCAGTCTAGTCTTAGGCTTCAAATTGAAATCACTTGGCTTCACTCTTAGATGCAAAACGTTCAGAAAATGTCCCTTTAAAAATTGAATTGAGACCTCAAACTTGGTTGGTGAAATACTGAGGACCTTGTCTTTGCGTCATGAAAATTTTGGAGAATTTTGTCAGCTACAGAGTGAGTGAAGTTGGCCTGATTTTATTTTTCTGCACTCAAGATCCCAGTCTTGGGAATGACCATCCCTGGGCCAGTAGCGCACCAAAGATTTGGTTGGGGGGGGGCACAATTTTTTTTAGAAAATTGAATTTTTTCAAAAATGTTACCCAAAATTTTTGGCCGCAGCAAAAATTTTGGATTTTTTGAAAAAAAAATTGGGGGACAGACTATTTTGATGTTGGTGGCACTTTTTACACCCCTATTATACTACTGGGTGCACTGTCCCTGGGCCAGTAGCTACTTCCCTAAACATAGATACTGACACTAGTAGACAAAATTTTCATCACATCACAATCATTATGACTTGAATTACTGCGCGGTCAGCAAAAAGTAATAACGCTAGCAATTGTTCACATTTTGCAAATAAAACACGGGATCTTATAACAGCACCTGTTTCTGTTTGAGTTCATCAGGAAGCTCTGGTAAAGGGGTCGCACTTGGAGGTCGCTCCAGCGGCTCCACGGACCCGGGCCTGCATGGCTTCTTAGCGTCAGGCTCCCCCTGTGATTGACCAATCACCAACCCTCTGGCTGCCTGCTCCTCGGCAGCCTTGCGTCGGATGTACTCGGGCTGATTATGTTCTTGGAATTTCGCCAGGCCCGGCTGCAAAACACATCAAAATTTTAAAAATTACCAAAAACACCAAAACAAAAAAGGTGAAAAATACTTGGCCAATTCAATATTCAAAAATTAACTCTGCACACATTGTTGAAAAAAATTTGTCAAAAAAATTCAGCCAAAAATCCGCTTTTCATTAACTTTTCTATCAAGTGTGCCAATGCATTGCTCTTATATTTGCAGAATCAAAATTTCAAAATGGCTTGGCATCAAACAAATATGTGAAATTGGCCGTGTGGTCTTTTTGAAAACGAATAATTATTAAACAGATTCATAAATCGGTTACAGAGATGGGGATTGAAAGAAAAACCCTTAAAACTCACCAGTGGCTCCAACTTTGTGGATGTGGGTTTGGATCTAGTGATTTTCTGTGCTGGAGTTATCCTCTTGAACTTCAGAGCCTTTGTATTTTCTGAGACCTGGTTGGGAGCATAGGAATACAGCCGGCTCTTGAGCTGTTCTTGGTCGACTCCTGGAAGACCGAAGGAATGGCCGTTCATGCTGCCGTTCAGGCTTGTGTTGGCACTGCGCTGATGGGCCGCCGTGCCATTCATGTGCTGCGACATGGCTCCTTAACTTGGACGGATCTGAAAAGAATGGCAATGCTTGGAATAGGATTTCAAATCAAACAACCAAGAGAATTTGTCACCGTAGGGATGGGCTTAACCTCAATGATGTTTTGACCATGCAAATAGGCCTATCAAGTATCATGTAATGAAATCTAAAATAAAATTTGCTGTTCACTTCAACAATTTTACACAGTTATAAACTTATACTCAAGTAAGTGGCTATCGTTACAGCAGCTGTAACACAATTTTAACTGCTATCTTTATGGGGCTTTTCATGGTACGCCAATTGCAAAATCACCATTTGTCCATTGCCAATCTATAACTAGGGGCCTACATATTAATGTCCTTCTAACGCTTTGTTAGTTTGATTGGTACACCTTCGACTCCTTTTTTTATTTTATTTATTTCTAGGGCCTATAGGCCTAGTTTTCTTTTATGTTTCAGTTTCATGTTCTTTTTTTTTTACTTTCATGTTTGTAATTCATTATTTGTATTAATTATCATATCACTCTTTAATTTTGTTTAATTAAGTAGGCTAGGCCTAGATTTCTTTTTCTTCTTCATAATACGTGGCTTTGCCTTTGGGTGATATTTTTTTAAAAAGGACAATTTTTTCCGAAAATCATTCCGTTGAACAATTGTCTAGTTCGTACTGCCAATGCATTACGCATTGGCCCGTGCACAGCACAGTCAACGCAATAAACTTGAATGACCGGGACGATCATAACACAACAAAACCTCGTAAATTCGCCACATCTGTGACGAAACTTCTTACCCAAAATGTATAATATAAACAAACTGGACTTACTTTTGATATTCCAAACGGTGTATAAGGTTTCACTATTACATAATTTAACTATTTGCCAGTTGACATCGGTGTACGAAATCTTATTTTCACTTGTCAAGCGATGGCCGCCATGTTGATTTACCTCTGCAGCTCCCAGGCAACGGAGCTTCGTTGGTAATCCGCAACCGCTTCCTATAGAAAGAGCAGAAAAAGCTTCGCTGATGCCCTGCACAGATTACAATACGCATCACAGTGCAGTGATAGGATACCCACTTGTTGAAGTCGGCTAGCCAGTAGCCACAACTTCTGAGATGTGGGAAATACCCCCCCCCCCCCCGCCCACAAAAAAACAACCGATTTATAATATAAATCTATTCACTCATCTCATACACGTGACCTGACCTGAAATGGTAATTTATTTCAAGTTTCATTTATTTAGATTTATTTCAATTAACCCCAGGATCAGACATGGCAGTGGGGGAAGGGGGGGGGGGGGAGCACGGTCGTACCAGAGTTACAAAAATTATAAAGAATAATAATAAGACATACCTTTTTTTTCAGACTTCCTAGTGACTTTTAAGGGGAGAAGGCTGATTAGGCCTATCTGTTTGACCAGCAAGGTAATGTATCCAGGTTTGGGGGCGTGGCAATTAATGGATATTTTTTTTTTCTGACAAAAAAGACTTGCGTCATTTTTTTCGTATTATATATAAACATTGTTCAGTAGGAGGGGTGGATCTGTTACTTTGTAAGAAAAAAAAATGGCAAATGACTGTTACTAGTTCTATTATAAGTACCAAAAAATTAAACAAATGAAAAAGTCCCATTGTTTATCACGGTTACTCATACCTCCATTTTCACGCGGGATTAACAACTTGCCTTTCCAGGCGCGGATCCAGGCGGGGGGGGGGGGGGGTTCGAAAAAAAAAAAACCCGAAACCGCCCCTGCTTTCAAACTTTATTCAAATTGTTCACGACTTTTTTTCGTAATTGCTTTTCAATTTGTTTTGATATACTGAAAGTACAATAATTTTCGCAAAATATGATAAGGGCATGGGCGTCGCGAGGGGGCGGGGGGGGGGCGCTCCCCCCCCCCCCCCGACAGGCCAAAAAAAAAAGAGGGAAAAAAGGAGGGGAAAAGGGGAAGGAAAAGAGGCGCGAAGTCATATTATTGTTAATTGAATGGGTTGGGGGAGGGGAGCAAATGTCCCTGCCCAGCCTCGAAAAAATGATAAATCGGAAAAATGCTGGAAAATATGGGGATTTTTTTGGGAAAATGTGCTTTGCCCCCCCCCCCTTTAGAAAAAATTCTGGCGACGCCCATGGAAAAAGGTAGGCCTGTGTAAAGGTATCGCTCCTTTATTTTTAAACACCCATAATTATATCAATAATTTCTGATCGATAATTTCTTGACTTTGTCTATGGACCTGAATGCATGCGGCTCGTGATATGCTCTTTATTGCTGAAAAAAAATGACAAAACTAACGGCTTTTAACAAATATTTTCTTGAAGATGTTATTTTCGACACTGAATCCACGAGGCCACGTTGAAATTAGTTTCTTACACGACAGAGTGGAAACGATAACTCACGATCCCTTAACGACAAAGAAAAAAATGAGGTTGGTTTTCTAATATCATGCCAGCCCACATTTTGTTGTCTCCAAGCATCGTGTTATCAGAAGCAGCGATTTTGACCGGTGTGCCAGTATAATATGCAGGTGACTTATGCGTAATAATAAATGGGCATGGGTAGGCATTACCGGAAAGTACAGTTGTACAGGGTTTATAACGGAATAAGCTGATCAGGACCTTGGGAATATAGGCAAGCCTCCACGAAAAAAACGCTTGCTTCTCAGTGCTGTGCAACTGCCAAGTTAGATTTCTTATGTACACACATCGACCTGGTACGTAGGTCTACACACGTCCGCCGCATCAGTGATCTCCGACCGGCCGCGCGCTCGTCTCATTATTCAAATCTAATCAGTGGGGTCGTATGGAAGACGATCCGTAGGATGCAGGGGAAGATTCGTATTAACAAACCGATGCGATCACTTGAGAGACTCATGCTGTACGGAAAACAGACACATCGGATGAAGAAAGCCTCGCACAATGACGAGGGTTTGCCGTAGCAATATTGTCGTCGACGTGTGGGACAAAATGTTGAATCTATGAATCTATTTGCCCATGCAGTGTGTCTGCGTGAGAAGTGATTTTGTAGTCGTTCTTCTTCAGACTACTTGCTGATGTCCGTTATAACGCATCAACCATGCCTCGTGCCGTGGCAAGGAAACATACGCCCGTCGCATACTCACCGTCCTCCTATGTCAAACAGAAAGGTAGGCTTCGTAATTGTCATCCATTTATACCTACATGATTTTGTTATCATAATTGCGAATCAAAATCATCTATTTCTTTATAATGCTTCATGCACTAATGTTGTTCATCAATGATTAAATCTGTGTAGGTACGGTCCGTGTGAAAAAATGTATACGCACAAAACTGTGCGTTATTATGTGGTGATGAAATAATTTTTTAATGAAAAATTGAACAATGCCGAAGGCAATATAATCATTTATTTCATTTGCTGTGGCCTTCCCGTTTATTCGTCTCTATTAAGTATGACGATGACTTGGTTTGCACCAAATGATTACGAGGTTTTGATTTTTGCTTGCGTCTGTCAGATTTCTTTATTGCAAAAACACCCGATTAAAATATGAAATAAATACATTTGGAAGATGATTTCGACATAATAATAGTGCGTTAAAGAAATAACTCTTTTTAAATTTTGAACTTTAAAGTGGCTTTCAATTTTCTGCATAGGCAAACATACTCCAAAGGCAGTTATATTTCAACATAAAATGTACTTTTTTTCAAATTTAGACGTTCGTATTACACCTTTTCGCAAGATTTAATGGAGATGATATCACTCTCACGTATACATGACATATTAAGAGGTAAATAATGGTCCTTATTCATGCGTATTTTATTCGAAATTGGAATTGAAATCTAACGATATAAAAAAATGAACAATAATAATAATTCTTAGATGAGTGATGAAGATAAATGATGAAATGTCTACGACATTTTTACACTGATCGCGATGTGACTAATGATTACAATATAGATTACCACGGCGTCATGACGTATTTCATGTCATTGGCCTTAGGCCATTGTACTTATCAGACTTCGGTGGAACCTCTAACACTTTATAAGCTTAATATGAAAAAAAGCTAATATTGAGAAATGCAAACTGTAAGGGTGGGTTTAATAATCAAAGCAAACGCAATGAGTGGAAATTATCTTTGCCGGGATTGTTTGTTTACCGTGTTTTCCAGGGCACCTATAACCACCCCCTCCCGACGCCTACACGTCGAGTTTCCAAAAACCTGCACGAATACACCTTGCTGTCCACCATGTTATAATTAAGTTGCTTTCAAATTCTCGGTATCCTTTAAATTCAAAAATTTGTTCACAGTCCGTTTTCAACTGATATCATTTAAGTCTGAGCCACGTTAATTTCTTCCTAGAAGAAAAGATAACCGAAGGCCCGAGCCGATGCGGGTTTTCCGGTAAATTTACGATGCACAAAATTAGACGCCCATGCATCGATTGAACCGGAATGCAATCGTCATTCATCAACAGAAAAAAAGTATACATCACTAAACAAATAATGTTCGCATGTCATATATACCGTAGGCCTTACAATAATATTTTGTGTTTTTTTCCTACACACAAAATGCAGAATAAACCAACTCATTATAATGCAATATGTATTTCGTTTTACCAGATGACAGGAAAATGACAACGGATTATTTTTTTTGGTGGGGGAGGACCTATTGTGATTTTTTTTATTGGAAAAAAATCTGAAAATATAAGCATAAATTTCGCTCAGTTGGCCAATTAACCACGAGGTCCATAAGCACGAAGCGCTTTTGTAACAGATTTAACCCATTGCCCACAACTATCTTCGTGAATTTGGCGCTTCGTGAGTGACTAAAAAAATACACGTTTTGTACCAATGGTTCAGCTCCCTTTAGATGATTGACAGGCAGCTTGTTAGCCAATCGATTTAGGGAGCATTCTCTTCGGTTATTCAGGCATTTACTGCAGCTGCCGCGGCAGATGTCTTTCTTTCACTACGGCTCCTGCATAAAATTACCAATTTCAGATTCAAACCAGCGGAAGTGCAGTACATCTTATGCGGTCGATGGAATGCAGGTCCACAATCCGAATCCCAATTTGAAATAATTACTGTCTGATCTTCAAGGGGATGAACAGTACGAAATGGAAATCAAACTAAATCAATATAGTATTTGTAGTTGAACATGATTGTTATCAGAAATGCAGAAGCCATTATTTTACATGATGAGAAATTCGCATATACGAGGGTGAGTCATTGTAAACTGTGGGCCTAAGTTCAAAAGTAAGCACAAGTTCAGACAGTAATTATCTCGATTGCTCAGTCTTTCTTTAAACTAGTGAGATTTCCCCCCAAAAAATTATGTAAACAATATTCTGTGCCATTGCAAAAGGATATCTTCTGCCTTAACTCAAACAGGTTTTTTTTTTGTCAATCAGTTTTAAAAAACAAACAAACATATAGTAGCCTATAGAAAAAATTCTTCCAAAGGTACATTGTAAAATGCTTAATAATGAATCAAGACTATGACAATATTGAGCAACTGTAATCAAAATGAAAAGATCACGATTTTAAATCAACCTAACCATTTTTTTCTAGCATTGCCATAGCAACACTACGTGGCTTTTAGGCATGTGCGACTGCAGTTGGTCAACTCGACTGCGTCACTAGGTAAACTTTCCGATCGCGGAAAAAAAAAATCACAATGTTGACTCGCGCAGATTGAATGTGCAAATAGCTGTCTTGCCAATGCCAAGTCGGAGGATTGTTAAAGGGACTCGCAGCAATTTTTTGTTGATAACTTCGACCACTATAGCAGGTTTCTTCAACTATTTCCGAACTATTTATGGAGCCGAAACGGACACGAACCACGCATCATGCTTCACGAAGATCGCAGATATTGTCAATCTTTTTTTCTTCTTCTCGCGTTTGCGTATTGTTTGTGAATTACCGTTTTTAGTTTGTGGCTCAAAAACACAATTACATTGCAAAATTACGAATCCCGAAAGACGTTCGTAATTGCAATGTGTATAGCGAATTTTCTTCGTGTGGCTCTAAAATTCAATTTAATTTCTGCATTGCCATTTTATCCATCTCAACTTGTGACGCACATCACTGTTGTTAGACCCAATAGGCTAATAATCACCGTTACATCTTTGAGAATGAAATCTTTGAGATGATGTAATTGTCATGCAGACGCATCAGCTCATGTTTGGGGATCTGTTTTATCAATGTTATTATTATTATTTATTTATTGTAATGAAACCAAGGATTACTCAAAAGCGCCACAGGCACTGTAGCTCGCAAGCCTGAAGAAACCTGTAGAGAGGAGACAGTGAGAAGAAATAACAGTTCAAGCGGTGGGAGGAAAACCCCAGAAGAATTTCTGGGGAAACCCACGGAATCAGGTAGGGACTGAAAACCCAATCCACATGTTGGCCCGGGCGGGATTCGAACCCGGGTCACAGTGGTGGAAGGCGAGGAAAGTACCGCTACGCCAACCTGACTCTCCGGACCTGATCAGGCTGTCTATCTCTCAAACAAAGTCCACTTTCAGGAAAAAAAGTAGACCAGGCACACCGAGTAAAGCTGGACCCAGAGCTCACAAAATTCCATTCAATTGATTCAGATTCACTGGTAGCCTCTTTTCATTCGTCTGGTCTACACAATATAAATAGACCGTGTTCCTCATGCCGGCAGGCAATTGCCGGGCATGCCAAACATTTAAGCATTGTTTGCATGTTGTTTGGCCCACTAATAAAAAGTTGATTTCAACACTTTTAAACCATTCAAATTCCAAGAAAAAAGCAGTGCAGAAGAGACCCGTTCGCTGAAAGATGGCATCACACGACCACAGCATCCATTTTTGTAAACAAACGTCTCAAGGTCTTACAAGTACGCATAATAGTGAATCAGTCAATCACGTCGGGGAGAACACTACTCTGGATCTCTGTGACCAGCAGAATAAATGGCTGTATCTGTGTATTAAGGTAATTAATTATTGTACCCTCTTCTTCCACGTTTGTGGCCAAAAATGAGTTGAATGACGTGAAAGTTGGGATTTCCGAGATGAATTGGCAGATACGTCCTAGCGCCAGCTGAGACTATAATTATAGGAATCACTTCACGGACCAATCTCCCGCCATCACGTGTGGTGGTGAACAGGCCTAGCCACGTGCTCTTCCGCACGAGTTACTGCGACATTGCTTGTTTTTTTTTTTTTTTTTAATAAAAGGAGAACCAACCAATATTCAGAAAAAAATTAATAGCTCGGAAATGATTAGATATGACCCCTTGCCCCCTCGCATGCATAGCCAAACAGACGTGTCATTTTCATACAACTCCTTTGCCCCTTCGACAATGTACGTATACGTACTATTATGTACTATATATTATTTTGTATATGCACGTTGTGCTAACTATTATGTTGAAACGGGCGCACGATCTTAATGGCCAATATATCTACCATTTGCTGCAATATCCCACCAAGATGTGCCTCTTGAATGATGTTTAAAACCCCGGTCATTGACCGACTCTAGTTTTAAATTATGTCAGATTGCTCCCTTTGTGAATTTTGATTTTGTTGATTTTCTTGATAACTATTTCTTTACGATACCAGGGTCGGCAGTAAGTTGACCGGAAATTCAATCTGTGTATACATTCGCATAAGTAGCATATGCAATATTCATTCCAAGTTGCGCAAGTCATACTTGCATTACAGAAGAAAACAGTGGCAAAATAGACACATGAGACACTTCAGATAATCATCTTCCCCCGTAGCTATGTCAAGTACGCAGTTATATCTTCGCCCGAGAGGCCCGATGAGTCTCATGCGAGGAGACCAACGTGACTTCTTGGTCACGTTGAATTCCCAATCCCAATCAAGTAAATCTGTCATCGTTAACACGCGCAGATGGTCAAAAAACAGTAAGAGATTTTTATCGCAGTCCTTAAAAAGGGGATAAATTTGGATGATGAGCCTCAGAGGTGGTTTTGAGTGCCGAATCAGTGGGAAGTGTAGAGACGCCGAAACTGCTCACAGTGTTTAATCCGTGATTGGGCTAGCCGCTTTTGTCTCGACCTATAGTATAGGCAAGATGGGCAGGAAAAGGTTTATTGCGTCATATGCAAGGTACAGGGATACACCCGAAGACTTCAGGACAAACGGTGAGAGTTATGAAAAATTAATTAGGTTTTATTTTCCTGACGTTTTTAACTGTTCTTTTTCTCTCTCAATTGTTCCCGGATCCACGAAAGTTCTTTGTGAACTTTAAGTTCTTGCCGATGTGTTTCGAGTGTGAGTTTACCGTGACGCGTTGTTGTTTGTGTTCTCTTTTATATAGGGAGAAAAATATAGCGGATAGCTTAGCAATGTCTTTTAGACTGTTTAGGAAATCGGAATTGCGTTTGCGTAACATTGCGCTCGCCTGGCTCAACTTTTTAATGTTGTCAAGTCGGATGTGAATTTAGGGGTAGTTTGATACCGACGTCTGTCTGCACTGGATACGAGTTTGCCCTTATGTGCATTTTGAGCATACGGATTCCATGGCTTTGCGAACCACCATCTCCCAGACTACAGCACGGATTCTTTCCCTTTTTTTTTGAAAAAAAAATAAATTAAAGTAAATAAACAAAACAAATTAAAGAGTTAAAATAAACGTTATACAAGGTGTCTCTCCCTGCATCCATTTTCAGTGACGCAGCACTCAAGAGAACACAACTTTTATTACCATGATAATAACAGTTGTGTTCTCTCGAGCGCTGCGTCACACGGCCGTACACGTACCGGTCTTGATATTTTTTTCTTAGATAATGATTCGCCATTTCGTAAAGCGATTACACATCCTGTGGGTGGCAAAGTGTCTCCAAGGACATAATTATTGCGCCAATGTTTGTAGGTCACGTTCAACCTTCGTATATGAATACCGCCTGATGACTTAAGGCCAACATGATAATTGACTCTTGTTTGACGAAACAGGTGTTTGTCTGTTGTTTCACCTTATACAGTTTCCAGAGCAGTCAGGTCTGTCTTCACGCTGCTACGCCGGGCCTCGATTGCACTAGGAGCATTCATCGTCTGGCTCCTCAGTCTGGTCACCTATCTCAATGTCTTACCGACCATCTCACGATGCCTGAAGCCTCGCCGACAACTCAGGAAGAAACAGTACGAGGTCAATGACAGCGTGACATACGTGTCTGGCTTCCGAGATAGACTTCTTCAGTTCGTCAGCACAGGTATAACCATAATTATACGAAAATTGGTCAGGAAAGTCAGTTTAAAAGACGAGAAGTTAGTTTTATAAGCCCCTATTATTTTGTTTCATGTTGTCGCGCAGTTTCTGACACGTACAACGCTATTTGTATTCGCCAGAATTTTTACTCCCAATTTGTTGGCATTAGTTGCATTATACAGCTGCAACAGCCGCTCATGATATCTATTTTGTTCTACTTTTTGTTTTTGTGCGGTTATGTTATGCCTCATCTTGCTCCTTTCAAAAGACTTAAAACCTGACGAAACTTTTTTTTCTCGATCAGAATCAGCCAATAGGAAACGTCTGCTGCGATGGGTCAAAGAGCAAGCGCCAAGTCTCCAACACGTGACCGACCTGTCCAGCCAATGGTGTGACGGTAGGTCACTCTGTGTGCTCATCAATGCAGTTGTGCCCGGCACGTGTCCCGGCCATGACTTGCTACGGCGGGAACACGCCGTCAACAACTGCAGACTGGCCATGCGACTGGTGCAACGAAACCTGGGAATTAAAGAGGTAGGAGAACTTTCCATGTCATAAATTTCACTTCTTCAAATGTCAATAACACGTATTTGAAATTTACAATTTACCAATCGAAAAAATAACAGTAGATCGCTAAAAAAAAACCACCCAGAATAAAACATTATAGGCCTATTACGAATGAACAGTCTATTACTAGTTAACCAAATGAAACAAAATAAAAACAAACAATATATTTGAATCATTTTTAGTAAAAGAGAGCTGTCAGCTTAAATGAATTTCAATAATTCAAAATCCGTGTTCACAAAACATAAAGCGACAGGAATCACAGGATTCTCCCAAGAAAGGTTGCATCTGGTTCCTACGATTAATGTGCTGTCATATCATTTCACGAGGTCACTTCAATTTCCTTTTTTGTTTGTTTTTACCTTTCAGCCTATGACACCGGACGAGATGGCAGATGCTAAGCGTATCAACGAGCGGAAGATGACGCAGTACATCATCAGTATGCAGAACGCCAGCTTCATCCCTATAGAGGAACCGGAGACCCCCATCAAACTTGTGGAGGGTGGTGGCGGTCCAATAGAACCGGCCATCGAGAAGGAATGCAGCGCGAGCGGCAGCGGCCTGGTCGTGGCTGTGGTCGACAAGAGAGCCCGGTTTACTATTACCACCCAGACGTACAAGTACAAGAACCTGTACGTAGAGATCACCGGGCCCAACAGAGAGAAAGTCCGCAGGAAGATTGTGACTACCAAGGTGACTCGAGGAGTTTTGATGAATGGTGAGTCTAGCCAGTCCAGCAAGGATGAACAACACCCTGAAGATGACGGTCCACCGGAGCCCATACCTCTGGATTATCAAGTTATCAAACCGGGGTCGTATCAGGTTAACTACATACCGAGGAGCTTAGGGATGTACCAAGTGGCAATCACATGGGGCGGGGAGCACATCAAGAACAGCCCGTTCAAAGTGCGGTCCACCACGGCTAAGAACATCGAGCAGACTGCCGTGCGAGCCAGCCCAGGCATTGTCAAAGCAGTGTCGTTCCAGGATGATCATGACGTAGCGGCGGAGCAGGAGGGAGGGTCCGAGCAAACACCCCCCTCGGACACTGAGAGTAACTCGACCAGGTCCCGTCGACAGTCCCTGGTCAGACAAGCACATATCTCCCAGCTGCGAGACTCCTACGAGAGTACGAGTACATCCCCCTTCAGCAGCATGTGTAGCAGTATGGTCAGCAGCATGGATCACAGTATGGATAACGCTTCTGATGTGTTCTTGCCCAATCACCACGGTCATCCAGCCGGGACTCACCCGTTCCTGTCTCGCCACAACTCTTCGGTGAGTACAGGGTCTTCACGCAGCGGCTCCATACTTAGCAGAAGTAGCTCCATCATGTACAGCACCGAACGGCCACCCACTGTGAAGACTCGAAGGAAAGTCATTCGGAGAATCATTAAAGGTGCTGGAGGCACGGAGGAGGTGACCTATCCTAACATTCGAAGCTCCTCCATTTTATCCTCATCTCAGATGTCTAGCATGACCAGCACTCCTTCCATATCCACCTCCATGAGTATTGATGACCGATCTCCCAAGTTCAGCACATCTTCTTCCTCGTCTGCGGCTAGTGCCTCCTTCGCACGTTCACAAAGCGCCAAGAACGTCGACCATTCTGAGAAATACGCCGACCACATGTCCAAGATCCTCATCGGTAGTGCGCTCAACGAAATTTCGAGGCAGGTGGCCACGAATCTGATGGCCAAGCGCCAGGCTAAAGACGAGAGTGACAAGAGAGATGCCCACCTTCAGACGGACAAGAAACCGCCTTGTGGACACAGTCCGAGCAGTTCCAGGGAAGTTATTCCATCCAGAACAAAGCCGAGTGCCGTCGATCACAAGCCACATTCAATTCCGCAAGAGTTAGCTTCAGACGCAAACACAACCCGTGGCGCTGAAGCTGAGAAGCCACACAATGTTTCAGAGCAATCCGGACAACCATCGAAGCAAACTGAGAACCCTGCAAGTCTTGATCAGTATCTGAAGTACCGAAATGAGTTCTTACGAAGCTTCGATAAAGACACTCATCCAACCGATCCGACACCTCAAAAGACAAACGAGGACAAATCAGAAGGGACACAAACAGTTGCAAGACCACGGCAGGTGCCAAGCAATGTAAAACCCACCCACACGCCAGCAGGACATATCCGAAAAACACACAAAAAGAGGAAGGAGGATAAGGCGACACAGTGCACCGCCCAGGACATCAAGACAGCCACGGGGTGGATAAGCAGACGCAACGTGTACAGAAACGCCCACGTCAACAGCAGGCAGAAAGACAGCAACGGTGACAGCGCCCTGGGGGAGAGCGAAGGGTCTGTTGTCAACTCATCCAGCGACAAAGACAACGCGCATCCTGCAACCAACAAGGTTGTTCGCAGACCGACTGACCAACCACCAGTGCCAGGACCGACCCAGCCACGGGGATCTGAGAGCAGCACACGGCAGGCTGATCTTGACCCAGGCGGAAGGACCATCGGTGCCCCGGTGCAACACAGGAGAGGCCGATCTGGAACACAGAGCTCCAGCCAAGGTCGACAGTCGACTTTCGACAGTGGCTTCTCTGATGAAAACGGACACATCGTCGGGCAGGAGCACAGGCGAAATGCAGACGATATCAGAGGTCGACGCCTAGGACCACTGGTGAACGGTAAACCGGACAGAGGCAATCGATCATCTACTCCGGACAACCAGATCGGTCTAGATCGCGATGAGAACATGAGAAGCACGGCAACAAACTCAAATGTTGTTGCGATCCAAAAAGACAGCAACGAACAAAGTGCGGAGGAACAAACTGACGTCCGAAACATTCCCATACAGATAGTGCCAGCGTCACCCATCACCCCCCTGAATGACCATTTCAAAAATGAATCAAGTAATCAGGGAACCATCGCTGAGGATGTCTTGAGATTTTCGTCGGACAATGACAGTGACAAGGAAGAGTTTGTGTCCGGTCAGCATCTGAGCGTTGAGCCACTTTGCCTTGACAGCTCGACTGCCCCAACGCCTGGTGACTCCTCCGTTGGAAACATCTCAACACCCGAGGAAGACGTTACGTTCACGGACTGTAAGTCAAACACCAGCAGCGGCATACCCGGCGGGAAATCCCCCTCGGCGCTTTTCGACAACTTTGCCGGCGGTGTCTCAGCGGGTGAAGCCCTGGAAGACACCGAGACACTGAGGGAGATGTCCCTGGACGTCATGCTTCAGAGCCTTGAGAACGATCCCGATTACTCGACAAGGGAGTTTCTGCGCAAGTACCGGCCGATGATGGAGGACGAATTGGGAATACTGTCCCAACTGCCGACTACGGAGCCCGACGGAGACCATCAGGAGTACCAGAAAGAGAAAGCTGATGTGTCCAGTTTCCAAGACAACAGGACAGCATCCAAGGAGGAGAGTTTGGCAGCATTGAGTCAACCCATACCGGAAAGATGCCATGCCTCAGGAGTGGGACTGTATAATGGTATCGTCGGGGAAAAGAACAATTTTCAGGTGAGTTTTGACAGCCCAACAAACAAACAACCCAACAAACAAACAAACATCAGAATTCCGTAAACCCATGTATAAATAAAAACCCTATTTCGACAAGAACATCTCAAAAATAAACGACCACTAGCAACGCGATGGTTGATGGTTGGGAAGTGGAAGGTGAAATACGGTTCGGTCAGAAGATAACACTCCGCGATAATCCAATCATTATATGTCAGAGCCGGGGCGTACTCAGCCCCACAATAATCCGACATCACCGCCAGGCAATGCTCCTGTCGAGGCTAGGTTTATCTTGTGCACGTTTTGGACGTCATATTTATTAAACTGGGACGCGCCTTTCTCCTATGATGCATTTTTTCAATAAGAAAAGGTACCGTTAATATTAACACACTTTTTTTTTTAACATGCATTATGAAAACGTGCTCAATCACAAAGTATTTTTTTATAGTGAGAAAGATTACAAAACGTTTCAATCGGTTGAAGACATATACACTAGTGCATTTCGCACTGAAATCAAGACATTCGTAACATTTTAAAAATAACAACCCTTCAATGTAGCCGGGGTCTTACAGAGTGGGGGCGAAATCCAACCCCCGGCTATACGAAAAAGGCGCAAACACCTCGGCTACATTACGGTACAAATTGGTTTTCCGAAATACGTTCGCCGCCTTCCCAATGAACGTCGAACCTCGTCCCATAGTGGACGATGAATACATTGTGTGGGCTATCGTAATGAAGTTTTTTTTTTCCGGACCGGGGTGCTGTTTTGCTGTAGGCCTATTTCCGGGTATTATCTTTACACTAAAACAACAGATCCCATCAAAAGTCATCATCTCGAATGACTTTGTTCTCTTTGGAATAGCAAGCCAGTCCTGATACAGGACTGTTGTGAATTATGTAAAAAAAAAAACACATTGCATTCAGATAATTCATTCTGTCGCTCCATTAATGCTACACAGGAAAGATACAGAAAAATGCGATTATTACCATTTTGTTTTTACACTCTACTGAGCATCCATCACTTCAGTTAATATTTACACGGAAAAAAATTCAGCTTTTAAGCAAGATGAGTGTGATTGAGGAGTTGTGTTGCTGCGTTTAAATATTACTCGTTCTATTGCTGTGGGGTGATAAACACACACTGCATTCAATACATGCTGCATGCTTTATTATATTACCAGTCTATATGGGAGTGCACGCATAATGCGTAGCGGTATGACTTCTTGAACACTGATTAAATTGGCTGAAATGCAAGGCGTTGCTATGGCTACCGAAAGGAAGGGATCTACATCGCCATTGGCGACGGCAGCCGATGACAATATTATCTCATTAATGCCTCGTCTTGCAGGCGAAAAATACAACCTTGAGCTATTGTTTAACTGCATGCACTTAGGGGTCTCCAAATGCCAACGTAAAACTAAAAGTTGTCTCTCTTCTTAATAATATTACACATGATTCTCGATAAAAGAAATGTGTGATGTCAGCAGTGTTGCGTTTGCGTCGTTTTTGTTTTGTGTGCAACAATATTAATTGGCTACAGATACGTAGCCTTCATAACTTTACCGACTTACTGTTTTATAATAACAATGGGTGTAATACGCGTATGCTAGATTGCGTTATTACGTGTAGCTGAAAGCATTATCCAGCCTAGCTATACGAGTTTAAGGGGCGACTTAGACTCATACCAGGGTTAGTTATTTTCTTGTTGACAAAGTCAAAAAAAAAAAAAAAAATTCAAACAAACATCGCCCTCTGCAATTCTCACGAGACATAGCGAGAAAATGACGATCGTTAACGAGCTCGCATAAACAAGTGTATGTAATGTCATTAGGGATCATGATGATCGCTAGAAATGAAGTGAGTAGGGGAGATATTCTCGGTTTAGAAAAAAAAAAGTTTCCGATAAATACATTCGCATTTTGTGTGCGGTTCTTTTATCGGGCTGATTCTGGCACAATATCGGCAGTGTGAATCTCTTCTAAAAAATGGTGAGATGCATAAATAAAGACCAATGACAAGATACCAGCATTCCGTAAAATAAAAAGATGACCTCTTTTTGTGTGGACACGATGTAATAAAAAAAATCATACAAGTTCTCAAAATTATTCATGATAATGTGTGGCCTTGGACATCAAGTCCAAATCGATCTATTGTATTCTCAAACATCGCTGCTTATTTCTTTGACGAAGTGCCTCTGTGCATTTCAGACTCATTCTCAGTGCTTCTTCATATTGATTTTGCACTGTTTTCCCACCAGGTTCGAACGCTGTCGGCTGGAGACGGCTCCCTCAGCGTCACTATCCGTGGACCGCGCCCTCACACGGTCAACGAGACCAATGTGGTCTACACAGGAGACGATCTGTATGAGATCATCTATGACGTCAGTCTGGCCGGCTTCTACGTCATTTCCGTTAAGTGGGGCGACAAGCATGTCCCCGACAGTCCCTTTATCGTCAAGGTCACATTCTAGGAATGACAGGGGGGGGGGGGGGGGCGATGGAACTATCTCCGTGTCAGGGTCATATTCTAGGGAAGATGACATTCTAGCATTGAGGTTGGATGGGGCAGAAGCCATGGGGACTGTCGCCATGGTCACATTCCAGAAAACCTTGGGCTGAATGATCGAGGTACAAGGTGGGCAGGGTCAGAGCAGGATGAAATTTAATATCTGAGGTTATGACAGCTTTTATTACGAAGTGAACAAAAACAATGACTGCTTTGACTACATAAGATTTTATAATCGATGTCACAGAACAAAGGCACAAGTATTGCATGAAAAAAAATCCCTTAACATGCACCGTTCTACAAGGATGGTTGATGTATGAATATGCTTACTTTGAGAAATATTTATTTAAATAATGTTATTACTTGAATTTTAATACAATGTAATGCTATTTTTTTTTTTTGCACATTTGAATGTGTGGTCTTTCTTTCACAATCTTCAGTCTTTCAGGATCACTCCATATATTTCGACATTCCAGAGTCAACCCCAACTATTATGCAAATTCATATTTTTGGGGAAAAAGACATCGTCAATATGAACAAAAAGCAGCAACGGTTGGAATGAGATAAAGAAACAATGCAATCAAGATATAGGTATGCATGTAAACGACTAATTAGGTTAGGAAGCATAAATAATGTCAAGGTGGGCAGTATAGGACTCAATAGATTATTTCTTTTCTTTTTTCTTTTTTCATTCAGTTAACTAACATTCAAAGAAAGCATACTTCTACAAGACCTGAATCATAAAAAAAAAGCTTTGTTTGCAAAAATGTGTGTTCATGCAAATCCGTCCATAACCAATTCGATGAAAACATAACCTCCCTGGCGGAGGGTTATTAATGTTCAGGCACTGATTGTCATGCTGAAACGATCATTCAAAAAGAAATTCTGTAAAAATCTGAATTTTATGTTTATAAAAGCTGATTATTTTCGAATTTATTCACAGAAAACACTAAGATTTACCATTTCATAACGAAATTGTTATTTGATTGTTATCGGTGTTTTGATAGCACAGGCGTTACGAGCCAGACTTTATTGTCTTCAAGGCGAATTTTGTCACAAGTCGAAATGCAAGTTGAGTACTACATGACTTGTGAAATCTTTAAAATCATCAGCCTGTGATGGATAAAGTCTTCAATTGTTTTCATTTTTTTGGTGTTGATATTCTGTAAACTAATGTGCACCAATTCTGTAAATTTAAATGCATCAGAAAAGCACAAAACTGTGAACAAAATAATTATATTTTTAGTAGTGTGTTAAGACTTAAAAGGACATAATGCTATATTTGGTATATGTATGTAAATGATTTACATAAATCATAAATAATCTTTCGGAATATTTTGTATTACCAAGTTGATCAAACTGTTAGCAACCAATTTTGGTACATGCCGACTCAATTTCATTTTTGAAATTAGACGTGCTAAAAGTATATTTCAGTGAGCGTTTTAACGGATTAGTGTGTCATTGTGAAAATGTACTTGTTTATTTGGGACTGTTATTGCGTAGCACATTTTATGCACGGGTTATGAATTGATTACACACTTTATAATACTGTTAATATGAAATTGTTGTGTTTTTTATTAATAATTTGATCAAGTAAAGCTTTTTTTCAAGTATAGGGATCACAAAAATTAACGCGAGCTTTTGAACAAATGTTTAAAAATTAGGAAAAATTGATGGAAAAATTTCAAATATATATTTGTTGTACAACTTACAATGACGTTTGCGTCTGTGTTTATTTGAAATTGTTTGATTAATTTGGTTGTTTTGATTAAATGTATTTATTTATTTATTGAAGTATTAGTTGGAAATACCCACATATAGTCCGCGGTGGTCATGCGCGGACTATAATTCATTTATTTGGGGTGAGCAGAGGCGTATCCAGCGCAAGTGTGTGTGTGTGTGGGGGGGGGGGGGTCGACGTTTTGTCAATTTTTTTTGTTGATTTTTGTGGGTGTGTTCGTTTTTGTTGTTTTTTAAATATTTTTTTCAGGAAAAAAAAACACCTTTACAACCGACACCCACCCCGTTTTGACAAATTGTATGAACGAAACCAAATAAAGGTCAAAATCGTTTTTAGAAAAAAAGGATTTATTTTACACCCACCCCGGACCCAAACCTGGAGTGAGTGAAGAATCCCGAAATATGAAATCTGAACATTAATAATTTTGTGTCGATGCGAATTATTTGGCTGCTATTGATGTATGACAGAAGCAACCGACTGAGGGCGCTATGACCAATTTGTAGGTACCGCGGACATAAAACGTAAATAGCAGCAGCAGAAATGACCTGGCCAAAAGTCATTTTGTTTGGCGATTCCATAACTCAGGTAGAGTACGTTACATGAGTTATTTGTGTCATTATTTAATTTACATACCGTAGCTATTTGAACACTCAAAATAATGGCTTACAATTTATGTAAAAATGAAATCTTGCGAGTTAAAAAAGCCGAACGAGGAAAGTTGAAAACTTGAAAAAAAGTTGGAAGTGGAGGGAAGGGGGCGGAGTGCTATGCAATGGAACGGGGAGGAGGGGGGGGGGTGGGTGTTAAGACTGGGTAGTGGCACCGTCGCCAGTTCCGGGTGAGCAGTAACTCTGTCCATTATGGTAATTAGTGGTGTTTTTTTTTACAGGAAAAAGCCTGCTCTATTCACCGGCGCGGCAGAAGTTTTTGGGGGTGTGGTGGGTTGACGTGGGGGAGAGAAGAAGAGGAGAGGGATTTATGCGCCTATCAATTGTTTCCCCCACCCCTCCCCTCCCGGGCTGCCTCACCCAAGACGTGGGGATTGTCACTTTTGAAGTGACAAAATCCCCACCCCTTGGGCAAAATTTAAGTGACAATCCCCGACCATGCCCCGACTTACATATGTGGGGCGCACTAGTGATTGCCTTTCCATGTAGTATGCCAATGTTATCAATGTAATTTGAGTGACCAAAATCCCCACCTTAGGGCATGAAAAATGTGACCAAATCCCAACATCGGACCTGGGGCAGCGCGGAGAGGGTGGGGGGGGGGGGGGGGGACATTTGATAGGCACATTATAAACCTTTGGGGGGGGGGGAAAGACTGTATAACCTTAGTTTTGGATACATTTGGATGATATGTGCTGGTGATGTATGGAATGGCTTCATTTCCAGAGAATTTTACAAAGATCATTTTTTTTATCATCTGGAAACAGTATTCATTCAGTGACGGGGGATGGGGTGCTGCTGTGGCAGATTCACTTAGAAGGTGAGAGACTTCAACAAACATTTCTCCAAACATCTTGTGTGTTTTTTTCATTGTGATTTTTAATGATTTTAAATTGTTCATGTTATTTATTATTTTTCAATATATGCTTTGTAATTCAATTCACATAATTGTCATATTCACCCACCAGCCTCGGAAACCTATCTGGCATATTTGGTCGAATGGTTTGTCTGCAATTAATTCCACTAGAAAGGTTACCAAAACTAAGCAATGGGATTTTTTTTAGTAAAGCAGACCAATGACCATGAAAAGTAATCATTGAAATTGTTTCCAGAGGCCATGCTTTACGGATAGAGCGAAAAGTTCAATTTATCCTAGAATTAGAAACATGTTTAAGAAAGAGTGAACTTTCAATTGATTTTTTTTTTCAGGAAGTGTGACGTTTTCAACCGCGGTTTTTCCGGCTACAATTCATCCTGGGCCAGACTCATCCTGAGTAAATGCATTCCCAAGGAGATGCTGACCGAGGTTGCCTTGGTAACCGTCTTCCTTGGAGCCAATGATGCGAGCCTTAAGGAAGTCAACAGCACCCAGTATGTGTCGTTGGAGGACTACAGAAATAATATGAAGGTGCACGTTTGCTTTTGTCCTCGGACGATATTTAATTTAATGAGTGGATGGCTATTGAGGTTTCTTTACTAGAATTGGCTTGAACAATTGGAAGAATTATTGGAAGAATTGAATTTCTCTTCTGAAGAGGAACATGTGGGGATAAAAAAAATTTTCCCTACAAATATTGTTTTTGTTTCTCTATGAATTTATTGCATTGTTTGTTATTGTTTTTATAAGTTTTTATTTCTGGTAATGAAACCAAGGATTCGTCCAAAGCACCATAGGCACTGAAGCTCACAACTTGATCACGTTAACTTGGTCAAACAGTCTCAAGCACAGGCCTTGAGAAATGAACACTTACAAAAAATGTGGGCGGGGCTAATGGATTATCTGAAATTGTTAATTTCAGTTGTGTTGTTAGGACACCAATCCCAGTTCTTCTCTTTTTTAATACCCGCAGGCAATATTGAAGTATTTAATTGACGGGGGTCTCCAAGCCAGCCAGATAATAGTGATCACACCCCCACCACTAGGTGAAGAGAAATGGGCTGCGGCATGCATGGAGAAATATGGTCAGTCATCAGTCAATCATAAACGCTTTCCTTAAACCCCCCTCCCCCTCCAAAGATAACAAATAAACAAATACTGGTAATTCGATGTATACATTAAGAAGTTCTGAAATGTCTGTAGAGTTTCCAAAGTTGTACGTTCTGACAACAACCTTGTGGAAACTTTGGCAGGTCACAAATCTGCTTTTTTTTCTTTAAATTTTTTGATCCTGGGGGATCAGTTTGGCGTAGCGGTACTTTTCTGGCCTTCCACCGCTGAGACTCGGGTTCGAATCCCGCCTGGGCCAATATGTGGATTGGGTTTTGAAGTCCCTGCCGGATTCTGTGGGTTTCCCTAGAATATCATTCTGGGGTTTTCCTCCCACCACTACAATTGTAATTTCCTTCCACGTCTTCTACCAAGTCTTATCCATCCTGTTCTGGCCCTTGGGCTGTTGGATGTTGTCAAAATAAATAAATAAATAGATGCTAGGAACTAAATGAGCCTTCCTGAGAAAATATGACCCCTAAGAAAACCCCAAATCCCCTTCATGAATTTGCTCTATTGTCGGGATCCATGGCACCTCTGCTTAGAACCCTCGAAAGGGAGTTTGACTTAAATTTGGTTTATTATTTATCGTGCAGGTTGTCCACTCAACCGAACCAACTCCAACACGGGCCTGTACGCCAAGGCATGTTGCTCCATCGCGAGTGAGTGTGGCACAGGTCTCCTGGATCTGTGGACGCTGATGCAGGAAGACAAGGTGTGGTTATACTTACAAGCTGGGGCGGATTTCTGCTAAGCACTGAAAATATTTGCTTAGCAAAAAAAACCAGGTTTTTAGTGTAAATGACAAGAGATGACTGGTTCTTGGTTTAATTTTGCTCAGCTCTAAAAGTAGCTACATGTAAGCAGCATTTTTGGCTCAGCAGTCGTTCGATCAGTCACAGTCAAAAATTCAATCCTGTTCCCCTGCCATGCCTGTTACACAGGCTAGTCACCAACAGTCAGATCATATTTCTTGTAGGCACTGTGACAGTCAAATTCCATCAACAGACAAAAGCAGGTCACTGGTAGGCACAGCTGGCTTATCAATCTCCAACACTCAAAGCATAACAATCACAGCCAGTCGACCATGCTTTATGAAGGCAGGGAGCACTCAATTGTTGAAAAGTCACCTGATTTATTTTTGACTGCTGGGCTGGCCTTGTTGAAATTGCTAGCCAGAGAGGGAGGGTTAAACTAGGCCGAAGAGTAAGGTTGTGGATATTTTAGTGTTGGGGGCGGGAGAGGGGGCAGTGGAGGGGGGGGGGGTGTTGCTAGTGTTTTGTCGGGGAAAACGTCTATCTGGGGATAGATCATTATTATAGAGGGGGTTAGTGGAAACAAAACGTGGACATTTGGGACACGCTCAAGCGATTATGTTACCGGATGATTAACTCCCAAATAAGGGTCTGTATTAGCCCTGTCAGATTTTGATTAACTCTAGAGAAGTACTCTAAGCACCATCTTGACTTTCAAATTTCTTGGGCAAAGGAATGTTTTAAAGTTAAACATTTCCTTTGTAATTGGCAAATGTGGAATGACTTTTATTTACCGACCGGAGGTTTTAACCATAATCGCAATAAGGCTTGGTAGCTCGTCGATAGAAAAAAGTATTAATACTCTGGAGATTTCATGGTTGAATAAACCAATCATTTTCGAGTGAATTTAAGTCGGTCTACCTCACGTTTCTTTTAATGTATTAAAATTCCTTCTTCTTTTTTTGTCTGCAGAACTGGCCTAGGTTTTTCTATGATGGACTTCACGTCTCTCAAGATGGTTCTAGAGTGATAGCCAAGCATCTTGTTAAGATGGTGGAGGAAAGGACGAGGCATTTACCCATGATGCTACCGGACTGGAAAGACATTGATGTTACTTGCCCAGAAAAGTCTCTCCTACAATGACAACTTTCTGTTATTTCTTTTTCTCAGATGCACACATTTTGTTTCTTCAAAATACTGGGTATTTGATGCTTTTGGCAGCAAAATGTTGCAAACATTAAAGGGAATATACATCATTTGCTTTTGCTGTATGTTTTTTTTTATGTTTTGGGTTCGTAGATGCTATAAAACCAAGCAAAACAATAATTTTCCTGTAGTCTAGTTCCCCGACTCCATTTAAGATGAAACGGAGCAATTTATATACATTGAGGAAGGTCAAGGAACCAGTCTAGCTGGCTCGTACCGGTTCATAGGTGTGTAATCAATTGTAAACAAATGCGGACTAACTAAATATGGTCAATTGGGGCCAGTATTTAAAGAAAAAGCCATGGTATTTTTGTATTAATTTCCAACGCTGGTCGGCCGACCAGCGTTGGAAATTAATACAAAAATACCATTTTTAAAAAAAATGACAGCATACCAGGTGCCATGATTTTGCAGGATGCTTTAGACTGTCATTTGCTAACAGTCCAGCAAGGTATTTCAAAACAATTTTGTAGTTTTATTTTTTGATATTTGCAATATTTTCCCTTTAAGAATCTAGTTATTCCATAAAAGTTTGCATTTCTGGAAAATGCATATTTTAGAGAGCTTAATTTTTATGACATTTTGTTTTTTTTAACCATGGCAAAATCTTTTCAAATTTCAGTCATAAAATATACATATCTTTCATTTATTTTTGTACTCAACTCAAAGGATTAAGAAATAAACTGAAAGGACAAAGAGTAAAGGTTTTTTTTGTTTTCGTTTTATTCCAATATTGTGAAGTTTCCTTACTTAACATTTTGTGTTTTAACACTTTCTGAAGACTTGCTTACTCCAACAGCTATTTTTCTGCAAATAATGAAACTTTTTCCTACACAGTACCATATGAACTCCCCTGGCAGCGTGGTATTGCTACGTTGTTGCCCAGTTTGATTGTTCATTTTTCAAATAACGCTTCATAACTTCGCCTCAAAGATACATATTCCTGGACCATTTTAAGTTTCCATTAAAATAGAAAATAAACATGACAAAAAGGAACAAATGTGTTATAACACTTCTTAATCCCAGAAATTAATGCAATGACAAGATATCATTTTTTCGCTTTATGTGTGAAAAACCCAAGTTCATATAAATAATGTCAAGAGAATAACCAGGTGAATAAATGATACATGTATTGTTTTAACGATTCAAGGAGATGAGCTCAACACAAACTTCATTCTTGCTCCCTTAGAATTAGGCCCAATTTTATGGCTCTGCTAAAGTTTTTTGCCACTTCGGGATTTGTATCCATTTAATTGAATAAGCAGTACCCTCAGCAAAGAGCACGCTAACGTTAGATCATTCTTGACATAATGACACAATAGTGCTGGTAGAAATAGTAAGTCTTCACTGTGGGAAAAAAAAAGCCTGAGGTTAGCACAAAGTTTCTGCTATACTTAGCAAAACTTTTCTGCTGATCGTCAAAGCAGTGCCGTGAAATTTGACCCTAGTTTTGAATTCATTTAGTTTAATAATGAAGAAGACTTGGAGCTGATAACGACCTCAGATGGGGATGAAGATTACTAAGCTGATCTCTGCAGTTCCCTAGAAAGGTTCACCTCATTCATAACCCCTGCGAAAGAAGACAAAAATTGCCAATTTGTTGTTGCAAACAAGATGTTCAGTCTGTGAAAAACACTTGAAATTTAGAAATTATTATTTCTGCATAGAAAGTATCATTACTTTGTTCAATAGTCCTGTACTTTGGACATTTCTTGAATGTCTAGAGGACAAAGACAAGATATACTTACTCAACCATGTAAGCAAAGTCCCAGTTTGTTTTGGAGGATGTCGGGGGCTCAATCGTGACTCCCTCGGAAGTGATTACTGCATACTCGTACTACAAAGAGGGGAAAAAAAACAAGTATAACAGTCACGGAACAGCAGCAGGAATATCACAACTCAATGCAAGTCCAGTGAAAACATGTATGCATCTCAACTCTTTCAGTGCCAAACTCGTACATGTACGAGGTATATTTGTTAGTACGAAAGCGCCAACCTCGTACATGTAAGAGGTAATGTTCGTGATTAAAATCGCCAAACCTCGTACATGTACGAGGTAGAGTAAACATGTTATCAAAAGGGGGCGCTTTCGCTCTTTCTAAGTGTACCATTTTCATGCATGTACGACCTGTATTTATTTTTTAATTCGAGTTCTTGCGAGAGGGCGCAGCACTGACACTCGTGTTTTCTGCAAAAAGTGCAGAATTCCCCTGTGTGCAGGACAGTGTTTCTGGGCGTATCACTATGTATGTGACTACTATTGACTTTCCAATATACCAAGGATATACCAGAGAGCAATAACAACAAATTTAGTGAGAAAAACTTATTTACTTTTTTTTTTACAGAATTTTGAACAATTAACAAAAACGCTCGAAGTTGGGCACTTTAGGGTTAAACTTTTCGAATTTTGCGGGCATTGACAGAGTTAACAGCCAAGAAACCTTTACAGACCAATAAAGTGCCACTGAATAAAAGGTAAGTTTCAGGTCTTCAGATATGCGAGGGGGCTGCTAATGAAAGCAACTCTGTAGCAGGACTTGATTTTTTTTGGAAAATTATAAACAAATGCAAACAATTTTTTGAAAGGTTGGAATGTTTGCAAAAATGTTTCAAAATGTGCAAAAGAAATTGGGGATTACTCGGAATTTCAAGACAAACTTCAACTAACAAGGAACACAAAGAAAACTTTAACATTTGGACATTTAAAAAATCTATTTGGGTTCCTTTAATTGTTATTGAAACAATTTTTTTCAACACTTCAGATGGAAGAGAAAGCAAAGCCAGTTTTCACGAAGTCAACAACTGAAATATTATGACTGTTAATATAATGTTACACATTTAAGTGAAGGATGGCCTGATCTTTAGCGAGTTGTTGATTACCTTGTTAAAGGATCTAGCGTCTCTGTAGAACAACACCTTCATGCATCGGTCTAGTACAGCTCGTGCCTCTGCCTCTGACATGTTGCTGTTCTTCTCGTAAGCATCTCTCATTAGCGGCTGGAAAATAAAAGGTCAATCATAAAGATATCCATATCAAAAGAAGCGAACACGGAAAACAATCAGGTTAGTTAACCAAATTCTTAGGATTTTTTGCTAATCCTAAAATGTGCATGAAAGTAACATTATCTTTCAAGGGTTTTGAGTGTAAATAGTGGCTGGGCTCAACAAAAACAAAAATTAAAAAAATACTGAGGTAGCAATTTTTGTGTGTGGGGGGGGGGGGGGGGGGGTGTCAGTACAAGAAGCAATGTATAGACGAATCCAGGCAAGTGATCAGTGTACACTCACGAGGCCCTCTTTAACCCTAACTCCCTAGTATCTTTTACTAGGAACTGCACCAAGTCCATCAAAATCCATCAATCACTGTGTGTCCAATACAAAACTGTACATGACATAATGGAATCCACCACTGACGTGCTGGTTGACATTCATGGACTTGCTAAACATGGCTTTTATCACAATACATGTAGCAGTACAGGAAGCTGGGCAAAATCAATCGGATACCACTAGCACTGCTTCAGGCCATTAGGCCCAAGTCCATCATACTCCATCAATGTTTAGTCACGCCAGGCCTCCTTAATCCACCAAAATGGGGGATGGATTTTGATGGAGTTGGGGTGGTGCCAGGGATTGGTTTGTTGCAGTTCTTACCAGTGCAATGTAGGCACCAAACCCAGATGCTACTGTGGGAGATTCATAAGCTGTGCCAATCTTGTCAATATAACCCAGGAACCTGGATAAAGAAAATTGAAGAAATTGACTTCTCTATAAACACTGTCATACACATATACTGGGATTTGTATCCTTGTGGAGTCATTTTTTTTGTTCTCGTGTACTAAAGTTTTCGAGTTTGAAAGTGTAGTTTCAAAATGCTCCTATTTTAACCAGAATTAATTTCCTGGGCTGAAATTCGGACTTAATATCCCTTACATAAAATAATTCAATTTGCGACGGATCAACACACCTTGGAAATTCCTAGTTTTTGAGTAAAATCCATTGTATTTTGTGATAACCTTGTGGAAACGTATTCATCTATAGAAATTGCCCTGTGGAGGGGTATACAATCTTTTGTTCCCTACTGTGCTCATGTCTCCACAGGGTACCGTGTACCAGATCATGCTCCTAAAGGATATAAACAAGTTTGTTTGATACAAACTGTGGGAACAGTGTAAGGCCTACAGGAAATGATACCAATTTGTCAAATGGATGGCAGATGTGAGATAAACAGAGCAAAGTCTGAAATTCCTCGTGCTCTGCGACACATGTGACTTGGCATGGGCATCAAAGCATTTTGAACTCTACGCTGCCGGCAGAGATTTTCCCAAATTGCCCTCTCAAGGAATTAACCCTAACTGCCTAGGTCCTTTTGGTTAGGAACCATCCTCAATCCTGCAAAATCCTCCAATTGCCACCATGTAAAAATTGGATTCAGCCTCAATCCTCCAAAATCATCCGTTATCTCTTGTATTTGTTCAGTGGAGGGGTGACCATTGCCTCAATTGATCCTTGGAAATCCTCAAACAATCACTGTTAATGGGACAAGGCAGTACCAATGACATTCAGAAGCAGTGCTGATGATATCGAGCATAATGCAGGTCTCAACTATGCATGGCTGAACATAATGCTGGGTACAGCCTACAAACTCGACAATGCATCCTCCTAAATCAACTGACACTTTTTTTGCCATTCAGCCTCAATCCTCCAAACATCCTACCAAACCGCCTGGAGGATTTGGGAGAATTGAGGAACACTAGGGTTAATAACATCTTTAAGATATGGCTGACAGGAGAAAAATGATGTAACTTACGGTTCTCCCTTGTGTACGCCGCCTACTACAAAGACGTTCCAGAGAGGGTTGAACTTGGATCGTCGGTTGTACATGACCCTAGTTAGCCAGGAGAAGAGTGACTTGGGTGTGTACTCGTGTCCATCAGCAAGGCACTCATCATCAATTCTAACAGGATTCAAAGATAATTTTACGGTTAAATTCCAAGTCGAGTCAAGATTAATCCTAACCCCCCTAGAGTGATTTACTAGGAACCTTCTTTACTCCTCCAAATTCCAACATCATATTACGACCTGCACACAAAAACTGTTGGACTCTTGATTATTGGTGTAATGCCTGACCCCATGCAAAGCATAATCTGTTTACTAGTGCAGTACTCATCCTAACAGATTCCAACAAAGTCTGGTGTTGGAGTTCGACTGGATGGGGATTGTTAGGGTTAAAGATGTACTATCTGTGCTTTTGTCAACGTTCACCCCCTAAACTAGATTGTTTTTCAAAATGCTATTTTCTAGCATAGCAAAAGTTGTTCACTTTTTGACTGAGACATCGAACAAAAAAATATGTCCACATTCAGTCATGGAATAATTTCTTTACTAATTTCAAAATATTTGTGGCCCAACAACAATTCCCGCACCCTATCAGAATAAACAATATAGGGATCTGGGACCAGTGAACCATAGTGCTGATGTTTGCAGCTAAGAAAAAAAGCCACCTTTTTTCAGAAAGTTGCAGAAGCCCAAAGAAGAAAAATAGCTGTTTTCCTTAAAAATAAAATGCAGCAGTTTAAAATTTGTCATGAGAAAAACAAAAACAAAAACAAATTTATTGAAGAGCATGAACAGTACATGTTTAAATTTTAAGTCTAAATAGTAGGGTTAATGTTAGTTAGGGAGAATTTTTTTTTTTCAGTTGTAATCACTAGCAGCAAACTTCATACTCACATCCTCTGTTCTAGCACTTCTTTGAGAAACTGGAAATCAGCGTAGTCCCCCGCTCCGGCAATGGCTGTGTTATTGTTGACATTCATGATGCGTGAAATGTTGCGAAACCGAGCCATGGAGCCGTACGATCCTAACATATCGGCAGCCAGCAGGACTCCGCCATTGAACTTGATACCAAGGACCGAGGTACCAGTTACCATAGGGTTTCTGAAATTCCATTCAAATTGACAATTACATTACTTAATTTCACTCAAAAATAAAAAAGAATGAAAAAATCAACAAACAAAATTGACTAACAATCCAGAATCCACCAATTTTCACTCCCCATTTGAGGTTAAGTTTAAGCCCCCCCCCCCGTCCCAAAAAATAGGTGATGGCATCATCGAAAAAGTCTGTTTTTGACCCAAAAATACAAGTTCATCAAATTTTCTCAAAACTTCATACAAGGTGCCTGAAGCCAGAATTGAATTCCCTGAAGAGTTCAACTCATTACATTCAGTATCCAGTGAGAAAAGAAATCTTTTTGATTTTTTACCAAATGCCCCCAAAACTTCAAGGTTTTCCATAGCCGGCATCATCGAAAAAGTCAGTTTTTGACCCAAAAATCCAACTCGACAAAAATTGCTCAAAAGTTTACAAGAGGTGCCTAGAGGCCAGAATTGAATTTCCTGAAGAGTTTAACTCATTACATTCAGTATCCAGTGAGAAAACAAATCTTTTTGGCTTTTTACAAAATGCCCCCAAAACTTCAACGTTTTCCATAGCCGGCATCATCGAAAAAGTCAGTTTTTGACCCAAAAATCCAACTCGACAAAAATTGCTCAAAAGTTTACAAGAGGTGCCTAGAGGCCAGAATTGAATTCCCAGAAGAGTTCAACTCATTACATTCAGTATCCAGTGAGAA